TGCACAAGAGTGACCAGATTCACTTCACACATGCACGTTCGGATGGACCAGTGATACCGGTGTACGAGCCCTTCGCGCGGTACCTCTGCTGTTGATCTGTTTCCCCCCTTGGTATTGGCCTCCCTGATCTATATTAGGATACTTGTGCGAGGCACAGCACCCGAGCTGGCTCTCCTCGGTATCTCACTTTTCCTTCCCCAGCCACAATGGCCAGCTGCAGGTGCATCCTACAGAACAGACATGCTGTCCAAGTACAGATCAGACTATTTTAGAGCTCCCACAAGAAGAGGGGGATGCTAAGAGGTATGCCGCGGGCATTGGGCAGGTGATGGGTGCATCGACGATGAGCAGTGGGTGAAGTAACCTGATGTACCCAAAGTACCTAGCTAAACCCAAGAGACGGATCGTTATCTGCTTCGAAAACTGCTTGCGTGTGTGGCTACCTGCCACGCCTGCCTACCTACAACCTTAGTGCCTTAGTGGGCATGTGCCGATGAGATTTCTCTTCTCAGAAGGAGGTGGACCGCCGTGAATGATTTCAGGAGTGCGCCGGCGGTGCGCCACGCTGTTTTGGGCATTCTGGCTGTAGCGGGCGCAAGCGAACCTGTTTCAATCTCGGCAACGTTCCACCCTAGTGCTACTTGGGGATACGCATGAATTTTGGAAATTCTCCTTGTTGGATCCCTCGACCCCCGTCACCCAGCCAAATCACCACCAGACTTTCTCGCGCCCCATTTCCACCTTTAATCGAGACATCCCGACCTATTTCAGGGGTCATCTACGAATAGTTGTCCGCGACTCTCTCTTGTTTTATATGTTTTTTTTGTCAGTCCGTCTTCAGCTCAATACCTTTGAGCTTGCCAGAGAAATCGATTTCCAGGTCGACGACGTGACTGAACCGCCGGCGCAAGACTCACCAGCAAAGCACTCTTTGGCCAACGTGAAACCAACCCGAGTTTCTATTCAAAGCACCATACGACCACGCAGCTGGACGCCTATTCCTCTTTGTTTTCTTTTTAACCTCGACATCTACGCGCGCCTCCTGACCTGCTTCAACCCAGGCTTTTGCATTAGGTGCGTTTGTCTCGTAACTGTTCTGCGCGCGCACGGTCTTGGTACGACGCGGAAACCAGGTTCGACAGCATCGAGCCACCTGCGGAGATTTTCCAAATCGTCGTTGTTTTGCAGATCGAGTCCAGCCTGTGATGCAACCAGGAGACAAGAAACTGGTCGCCTCGGAACTGGTCGGCTTTTTTGGTCACGCTATTCAGCATCGCTCAGCAGATATCATTTTGACTGACCACGACAGTTAGCCGTCACGTCAGGCCGTCTGCGAACGCGTGCGCAAAAAGGATAGATTCATGGGCTATACAATGGCTCAGCATCGCCAGGCTCCAAGCCACTTCAAAACGGAGCCGACCGATTCGGTGAGTTGCTTGTTCCCTAGTCATCTACGATTTTCTTTATGCGACGCGCTCGGTTTTCTTGTACTCTTCTCTTGCACGGCGCATGAACATTACCTATCACCACTCCCAGCGGCAGCTCCATCGTGCGGTTAGACTCTTTTGCCTTTGCCCGTTCGCGGTTCCAGGGATCACCACACTACACACTAGCCTCAAGCAATGCTTTTGGTGGTTTGACGAGCTTGATGGTCGTTCAAGCCTGCCTTTTGACGTGCAGGCTCTGGGCCTGCAAGCGGACGCGCACCCTTGAGGATCTCCAGGTCCCAACTGCTTGACAGTCGGCCTGTCCTGACCTGGTCGATGCAGTGGGCTGCGTCGGGGATCTGGAGGCTCACCCATGCATCCCCATCATTTTCCAGGTATCCTTGTTAGTGCATGGGTCCTGTGGGAATTGCAGGGGCATGACCTGTTTCACCACCGACTGGGGGGACGATTTCGCGAAGCTCGGGAGACGCCCTGCTTAGCGTCCGTTACACCCAGACATCCACCAGCCAGGGCCAGGTGCCCGCCGCTCCCACGCCGACCCATGCCCAGCGAGCGGCCCGCATGCGAGGTCTGCAGAACGTTCCCCATCTCTCTCTCACACACACACACACACACACGCGCGCGCGCGGGCACACACGCCTCGGCCCTCTGTGCAAGGTTCCCTCTAGTAGAGGGAGAAAAAAAGCAAAGAAGGCATTACCAGCCACACTTGTTTGAGACCAAACACCCCCAAAAAAGTGCACCATGCGCGCGACCGTCCCTCAGACGGGGGAGAAGCCGACCTGTGGCCAGTCTGGAGACCCAGTCACGCAGGCACAGCACGCATACCATGGGAGAGCTACACAAGACGGACTCCCAATAGTCGGGAGAACCAAGATCCCGCCAACCAGCCCGCCAGGTACCTACCTAGGTAGTCCATCCTGCTGCGCCTGCGGAATTGCTCTCAAGCGACCAGCGATTTGGCAACTACGGTGCGCTTGGAAACAGCCAACAGGCCGATCGTTATCAAGCCCGCAAATAGTAGGATCACATCGCCCGGGCCTGAGTGTCCCGTAGCTTGATCCTGCCTTTTGTCAGACCTGCATAGCGCGGATGGCCCGAAGGTTGATTGATGCGTTCGCTGTCACTTTGGTGGGAGTGGAGGTCGGTCCGGACCCAGAGTGCCTGTGGCCCTCGACTTGCTGCTACTAGAGAATCGCTAGCGAAGCCACTGGCAACGCTCACGCATTGTGACGTAGCGCACTGGGCATACAACGGCGCAATGCGAAAGTGGGTGGTCCATCCACTGTTGCATGCACGTTGGTTCCCGCGACTGTGGCCTTCTCTGCCTCTGCCTCGAGGGCGGCTGGGTCTGGTCAATCAACGGCGGTGGTGATGATGACCGGCCTGGAAGATATCCAGCGCCCGAATCACACCGAGGCCACAGCTCTTGATCTGGCTTCCCCTCTGGTGCGCTCGATCACCCAATTGTGTTTGCTGGGGATTTACACAAAAGTTCTTCATTTGGGACAGGTAGCTCTGACTCCACTTGGTCGGACACGCTACCTGGTTCGGCTGTCGCTTTTCTACGCGCCGGTCTGTACCCGGAACTTTCGATGGTACGGACAAGTGTTCTAGCGGTGCGGTACTGCGGTACTTGGGGAGCTGCACCAGACAACCTGGGTCCTTCGGGAAGCAAAAGAATGGGTGAAGGGAGCAGGGTTGGACGGTGAAGGTGAAGGAACAGCAGGGGTTGGCTGGTGTGGGTAGCCCACTCTTCACCGCCTTGCAACCGTTCCATCCCATCAGTCTGTTCCCCCCTCTCTCTCCACCCCTTATTTGTCCCTTGTCTGGAAAAAAACGCACCTATCCCGTCACCTTCCTGGGCCCCCACCCATGCCAACACCTCAACAGTGAAGAAGCAAAACAAGAACCCGGATCCCAGTCCTGACGGGCTCCCAGTGGTTTGCCCCCCTAGTCGCGGTGGCTAGCTCCGGGCGAGCTGTCCTCATTGGGTAGTGCCTCTGCCGCTCCACCCGCCGCTATTGGCCATTTCATCTAGCAAGATGCATCCTCGCAACCCTTGTTCACGTTTCTCCCATGCGCTGTCCCACCGTCACCGTCAGGCCCACTCGCACTCGACGACCTGCCTGGTGCTAGACAGCTGCTAGGGTGCCCCTTTCAACCATTTTACCTGCCCAGAGCCACCCAGTTTGTACGAAGTATGCGCCCAAGGTGGTGGTCCCACTGCGCCAGCACGTTTCCGCCCACTACGGAGTACCTATGTACGTTGGTACTTGTCTCCAGCTCCTTCATGCCGGCTTGCTTCTGTCTGCATGGGAGCTTGCTGGGGACAATAGCGTTGGCGCAGACACACGCTATCCTTCCTTAGCTTAGGGTCGCTGGCTGGGTGGCAGTGGGCTTCGCGCTCCATCATCGTGTGTGCGTGCGTACAGAGTACAGACGTGCTATTATTCTTTTTCCACTTCTACGGCGGGTTCCATCCTATCCACACGTCCCAAGCCCAGACCAGACTCGCGCGCACACACACACTTTTGCGTGAGGAGAAGGGGGGAGAAAAGGGTACACATTTTCTGCCAACTGCTCTTTTTGCATTTCCGTCGCGCGACCCGGGCGGCGAGCAGAGAGCATTGACAAGAATTTCCCTATCCCATCCTGCCAGCGACAGGACCGTTATATCAGACTGGCCCAAAAATATCACCCCCTTTTATTACTCTGATTTTACCTGTCCCGCGCCGTTTTAGTACATAATCACCCTGGCCCTCTCCTACACTCGTTATCCCCACATTCGTCCTCTCTCTATCCTGTCCGCCTCTCTCTTGTCGAGGTCCTCTCTCCACGCCGCTCCTTGACCTTGCACTCGTTTATTTTTCTGACCCTTCCACCCCTTTCCCCCCCGTCCGACATTCCAGAACATCGTTTCGATCCCACATCCTGTCACTGGGGCGAAACCCCCTTGTCTTGGTTGGTCACTACTCCTGTCTCTTGTTCGCTCCCTGTTGCATTGGTTTCTGTATGCGCCAGGACTTGGCTTCTGCTCCGCCGATTTCTGCGCGCGCGCCTCTATCACAAACAGCCGCGGTCTCAAACCTCGAGGTAAAGGGGGGATGCATTCCAAGTGCGAATGCCCCCCCCCCCTTTGACCTACAGATTGGATCTCGGGAGAGCATAGTACTCTGAAAGTCACCTCATCTGGCCGAGAGTCGTTCGATCTCACTTTTGGCCGGGGTGCGTTCAGAAATCTCCCGTTGATCTTGATCTTGGGTAGTCTTCTCTGAACCCTGGAGAGAGAAAAAAAATTGGCCCCTTGGATTCGATCTGGCCGTTTTCCCCCCCTACACGCGAGCCTGGTTAATACATCCATCCCATTGCCGTTCCGAGGCTAGCCCGCCTCACCCCGTTGATCCTCGTCATTATCAAGGCAGTTAAAGCAAGAGATCCACCAAACCCTTGACCCTGACCAGTGTCAGGGAAATAAAATACCAGCGCGTCCGTTTTCACTCAGTCTCGAGTCGTCATTTTCATAATCAGCATAGAAGCTATGAGGTACTAATGGGCGTTTCCTATATGCAGCATCAGGGCCCCCACCACCACCAGCCGCAGGGTCAAGCACCTTCCCATATACAACACCACTCCCGGCCCTCGAGCATCGTCCACCAACAGCATCACCCCCAGGCGCCTCCACCGCAATCCCAGAGCCATTCGACCTACTCTTCGACTCATTCCATCCCGTCGGTGTACCAGCAGCAGACTCAGTCTGCCAGCACGCAGCACGGCCAAGACCTCCCGTACTACACGCACCCGAGTCCATACAGTACCCCCGGTGCAACCAGCGGGTACACATCCGCAGGTGAGTTCTCGTCGAGCCGTGGCAGTCTGATGTCTCATCAAGGCATGTTGTGACTTACTCTGACCTAGACAACTCAGATATGATGGCCGCCACGATGCCGAGACAACCCTACCCTCCCATGTCCTACCATACTCCGCAATCAAACTCCCCCGCGTCGGTAGCCTCTCCCTCCGGACACGACCAGCAGAGGAGCCTCTACGGCCAGCCGACCTCACAGCTTCACCAACAGCCGTCCATGTACTATGGCCAGCAAGCACAATACCAGCCCATGGCTCCCCAGCAGACGGCTTCCCCATATGGCCAACACGCCCAGCAGTCGCACCAGTCCATCACGTCACAGCCCAACCTGATGATGTCGCACACTCAGCAGCAGCACCAGATGACACACCAAGCCAGCCAGCATGCGCAGGTCGGCATGACCAACAGCCCGAGACACCCCAAGCTCGAGACTCCCCCAGTTCCCCAGAGCGCCAGCCATGTGCCCCGTCAAAACGGGCCAGGCCTCATGCAGCAGGCCCAGCAGCACACGCCGGGCATGATGCAACAATCCCAGCAAAACGGCTCCTCCCTTTCCACGCCGACCGGCTCAACCTCGGGCGTCAACCCCAATGCCGCTCCCGGCCCCATCCCTGCCACAACACCGCTTGTTGTCAGGCAAGATCAGAATGGTGTGCAATGGATTGCGTTTGAGTATTCGAGGGATCGTGTCAAGATGGAGTACACTATTCGATGCGACGTGGAGTCGGTCAACACCGAGGAGTTGACTGCAGACTTCAAGACGGAGAACTGCGTCTACCCGAGGGCGTGCTGCCCCAAGGAGAACTACCGTGGCAACCGTCTCCAGTACGAGACGGAGTGCAACACGGTCGGCTGGGCGCTGGCCCAGCTGAACCCGCCGCTACGGGGCAAGCGCGGCCTGATCCAGAGGGCAGTCGACAGCTGGCGAAACAGCAACCAGGACCCGAGGCTACGAAGCCGTCGCGTCCGCCGCATGGCCAAGATGAACACCCGCAAGCAGCTCATGTCGCCCATGCCCCAGGCCAGCTACAACCCTGGCCCTGCCTCAGGAATGCCCACGGCGAGCCCCATGGGTTCTGCTGGACCCGGCATGGGCAAGCCCAACGTTAACAGCATGGGCCCTGGAATGCACCACCACCAAAACGCCCACCACGACGGAAGCGCCCAGGGCGGAGGAGACGAAGTCGGTATGTTTCACCAGATGTGATAAAGTTTGCGCGCGCGCCATTGCCGTTACCTGATACCTTTCGCGAACCAACTACTACTACTACCACTACTATACCTGTGTCGCCTGTTTTCTCCTTTTTTTGTTCGTTTTGGTTAAAGCTTTATGGAAAGCGGGAAATATCTATCCTTTTTGTTTTTTTTGTTGTCAGCCTGTGGTATATAGCGGCCGCAACCTCCAGAAGCCGCAGGGCGACAGGAACCGGCACACAAAAAATCTGTACATTACAGTAGTCGCATATTCGCTGTCGTTAGTTTGCTTTGCTGGTTCTCGGTCGTTCAGTCGTCTGGCTGCTGGCAAAAACGGCAACAAATCGCGTCGCGCTGCAACTGCAGTCTGAACGCAGCAACTCTTATCGACGCATCAGATACACACCCTTTTCCCGGGTCTCGCGGCTGTAGTTATGGCCTCTGAGTGTCCTTTTGCATTGTATACTATGGCGAAAATTACCGTTCTTGGTTCTTGTTTTGTTGCTGCTTGATAATTCGCACACCATGCATCTGCTTGTGTAGATCAGCGGGCTAATACGAGATTGTCTTGAATCTAGGCGATGGCGACTCCTCCTACATGGACGATTCGCATCACCACCACCACCAGACCCCTACGCAGCCCGGCCACGGCCAAGGTGCGCCGAACGACGTCCGCACCGCCCAGGTCTTCAGCGGCTACGGCTCCTACCCTTCCAACGCGCCCCCGGCCTCCTCCTCTGTGCCCTCCATCCACGGTGCGCTGAGCGGATCACCTCACCAGGGTCCCATCGCCGCCCGCCGGCACAGCCGTGCCGGGGATGCCCCCGACGATCTTTTCCCCGATCTGCCAGAGGCCAAGAAGCGCAAGTTCATCCTTGTCGAGGACAGCGACCGCCAGTCCCGACTGCGCGTCCGCGTCACTCTCGACAACATCGACACGCGCGAGATCCCGGACTCGTTCCGGAAGAGCTCGTCCGTCTACCCGCGGTCGTACTTTCCGCGCGAGATGCAGAGCCCGCCGCCGAGCGCGACGGGGAGCCGCTTCTTCGAGGACGACCTGAGCGACATGGCCGAGGACGACGGCGTGGCGGAGACGGAGGGTCGGCGGGCGGGCCGCGGCGCTAGCCGCCGTGGCCGGATGCAGGTCAAGGTCCCCGTCACGGACGGCTCCGAGGCCGAGGTGACGATCCCGCGGACCAGGAAGACGTCGCGCGGCAAGGAGGTGCGGCTGAACGACATTGGCTACCGCATGGCGTGGCTCCAGAGCAGGGTGTTTGCGGGCCGGACTGTCTTCTTGCAGCGAGCTTGTGAGTTGTTTGACGTCCCCGATAACGTTTTGATATATGTATTGTGTTGTCCCAGTGCTGACCGTCTTTTTTTGAAAAACAGTGGACTCGTACCGCAACAAGACCCGCTCTGCCATGGAGTCGACCAACATGGATGTCCAGCGCGTGGCGCCGCATTACGAGACGCGCGTGGGCAAGCGGCACTGGACGGAACGACAGCGCCGCGGCGAGAAGAAGGACGATGAGTAGATGTGCTACATGGTCGTTCCTCAATCTCTGGGGAAATATTGTTCGACTCGGCACCAAGTCCCCCCAAGTTCATCCATTTCCTTATCTCGATGTTATTTCTCAGGAGCGGCTTGCTATGATGGCGCCCGCTTTTCTCTTTTCAATACCTTTCATCCTGTCCGACTAGGTGCAGTCCCGCAGGATTCCCCCACTATGTTGTTTGTTTCCATGGCTCTACTTCTCGAAGGGCTTTTCCTGGTTGCTCTCCATCCTGGGACCGTCTTTTCTCACGGTATGGCTGGGTGGATGAGGTGTGTTTTTCTCTTGTCTAGATTGGACCAAGGCATTAGCATGCGTGCGTGCTTGCCTTTGTGGATTATCTGCGAGGATATATTTTTTTCTTTCTTTGACAGAAAAGGCGGATGTGCTCCTCCTCTTCTCCCTCCTTGTTGATCATAGCGGCGTAGATTCGGAGAGAAAAAAATTAATTGTGGCTCACGTACATAGAGAAATGATGGTAGATAGATACTGTCATACAAATAGCAAAAAGCAAAGCCTTCATTGGCACTGTCTCCTTACGAAGGTTCGAAACATGTCTGCATCAGGTGTGGGTGAGAGTAAGAGTGGCTTCCATCTGCTAGGCTTGAAGACTTCAGGTCGTCTCTCACTTATGTGCGATACCTAGGGAATAAATGCTCTGCTTTGATCGGATCAAAGTCCTTCTCAAGCCCTAAGCAGAGAAGGTAGTGACTCCTGCACGTTCTTTTGACTCCCCAGGGCTTGATCTAATCCCCTTATTGCTGCTGATCTTGGAAGGCCATCACTTCTTTCTGAGATTCAGCTATTCATCGCTTTCATCCCTTTTCGAACCTACCAGACCAGACGCTCCATCTTCTCCGACTATATAAGAGTCGTCACATCTCTTATCCTCTCTTCCCCCTATTCTTCTTCTTCAGGAAAATCACCATGATCTGATCCTGAATTCGAACAAGTCAATCTTTTCTGAGGCCGATCTGAGGTCCATGTCAGGGCAGCTCCTTCCCTTCGCGTCAACACGTCAACGCCTCGATTTAGAAAACGACGCGTGCCTTCCCGTTCCACCATCCCCCCTCTCATCAACACAGTTTGCCCTTCGCCTTGTTTCCCCTTCCCACCTGTCCACTTCTTCTTCTTAACCGTCCAACCCCTCCCTCATTGACCAAACCTCAACCTGGTCTTCAACAACATCATACCCATCCTCTCGCGTTTCGCCTTTACCCTGACGCAGTCAAGGCGTCACTGAGTAGCTTCAGGCGTCTTGACTCCAACTTTCCTATATCTCATAGGGCATTCTACTTTCTTTACACTTCTCTCCCATCTCCATCATTCATTTATCCCTCTCGTCTCGGAACAAGCATCGACTCGTACTTGCAAGTGGGCTGGTCGTCGAACACGATTTCCTGATCCCAATTTGAGCTCACAAGCTCATACCCATCTTCCGCACGAGGTATTTCCATCTCACCACTCGTCAATTTCTTTTCACCATCTGACTGACCCTTCCATCACAGTTACAAGACAGTCCGCTCAACATGGGCTCACTCGGCGCGGATCTAGGTCAAAATGACCAACCTTCGAAGGTCACTTTCGACCACCTTGGCAAGGACATTTCGTTCGTCCTTCACAATCTACCCGACGTGCCGTCGCCCCCTCAAGTGATCGGCCTCTGCACGGTCCCTGCGGACGTCGCCGCCGATGACGGTCTGGGATATATGATCGCCGATTTCCTGGCATGGAAATACATGCTGAGCAGGGAGGGAGCCCGAGACGCCCAAATCTGGCTGTCTGCCTTGGACCTGGCCCAGCTCGAAGCAGACGGCAAGATCCCGCCTCATACTATCACGGCCAAGAAAGACGGTAGCCGCGTCGGCTCCGATGTTTCATCCTTGGCCACCGAGGACCCTGAGCTCCTGAAGACCTTCGACAACGCAAGCAGCCTGCGTGATGCATTCATCGAACAACTCAAGGCACGAGCAACCACCAATACAAAGACCTTGCTCGTCTTCGTCTGCGGTGAGACGACCCCAGACCAGTCCATCTGCTTCGATGGAAACACCTTCATGAACAAGCACGAGATCCTCGAACATTGTTCCTCGGATACCCTCGTTATTCTCGTCTCGGCAGCTTCCTTCAGTGGAGGCTACCAGGTCTCATACCTGAACGCGCCCAAGGCAATGTTCTCGCAGGCGCACGTCATCAAGCTGGTGGCTAGACGCTGTGGTGGCGCCCTCGCGAGCAAGCTTACCCAGCTTCTGACAAGCCGCGATAGCCCTCTCCTCAAGGATGATGAGCGTAACCGTCTTGTTTTTGACGACCTCTCGCTCATCACGAACTCAAGCCCAGAACGGTGGGCCAATTATCAACGCTTCCATGCGCTCATCCAAGCATCGCTGTCCAGCCAGATGGCACTGCTTCCCAAAGACCACGGTTTCTACTGGAGCGACGATGTAGATGAGTGGCCCCTGGAGAAGCGGGTTGGTCCGCCCCTGAAGGTCTGGAGCTCGAAATGGACTGGACGAGCTATTTCTCCCACGAGTGCCCAGGGTGATGAATTTGATTTCCTCGGAATGGCGTTCGGCGGAACCAAGTTGACTCAAATCCTACACTTGAAGTTCCTCTCCATGTTGGAGCTCAAGACTTGCCCCGGCGACTGGAACCTGCCGTCAAACGCCGCCACTCTCAAGCTCCTGAACTCGTTCCTTCAGGCACGAGACATTGGGGAGGCAAAGTGCCGGGAGATCTTTGTCGTCCTGCAGTTTCGGGCCTCGGCTATGGCCTTGGCTGATGTTATGATTGAGGTCCTGGGCCTTTCAAAGCCCGGAGGCCAGTCTTGCCGAGAGTGGGATTTCGCCGCCGACCGGGAGATAGTCAAGGATAATCCGCTCAAAGGCAAGGCACAGATGCTTGCCTTCAAGATGATCTCTCACGATCTTTTCCAAATGCCGCCTGTTGAGCCAGGCTTGTATTACGACAAGATCCACGGCTTCAAATTCTGGCGGCCTGCCTTCTACCTTGCGAGCGCCATCGCTCAGCAGTTCTTGAGCGGCGGCAAGGACATTTTTGCCATCGAGCACTTCATCAAGTCTGATGTACAAAAGGGTAAGCTCAACTAATTCCAGAATTCTTTTATGTTCCTCTTTCTAACTCGCTTTGTACAGCTTTCGACACGGTCTGGAAAGCCCAGCTCTCGCAACTCTTGCAGCTTGGCGCGATTGTCAAGACTGGACGGGAGTGGATTGAGTCTCTGAATCTTGACGATGCTATCCCGAGACCTCCGACCGAGCAGGACGCGGCCACTCGTCGTCCTACAGGTATTGAGGGCTCACAGCACGCCCCTGGCCGTCTCCCTCCTACGTACGCCCCGTACTTTGGCATGGTCGTCCAGAAAGGTCTCGAGAAGCAGTACTCAGGCTCCACAGGACTCAATGTGGCTGCCTCCACGTTTTCGCCCCAGGCTCCTGTGATCAAGGCCGAGCCCGAGCAGGATGCCATTGCCGCTGCAAATGGTGCTGGAGAGTCAAGCTCTAATGCCATCCCGACCAAGATGGAACCCCAGCCGTCTGCGGCTGGTACTCAGAAGCAAGCTGAGACCGAAGAAGCGCGAATTGAGCGACTTGTTCAGGAGCGACTTGCCCTGGCACTTGCGAAGTACAACCACATCCAAACTCAGGAGGCTCTGGCCAAGGAGAAGCTTGAGAAAGAGAACCTTGAGAAGCAGCGTCTCGTCCAAGAGAAGATCGCTCGTGAGAAGAGGGAGCAAGAGAAACTCAATGAGGAGAAACTCACCCAAGAGAAGCTTTTGCAAGAGAAGCTTGAGCTCCAGGAGCTCAAGCGTCAGGAGCGCGAGCAGGCACGCCTCGAAAAGGAGCGTCTCGAGAAAGAGCAGCGTGAGAAGGAGCGCCTCGAGGAGGAGCGCCTTGAGAAGGAGCGTCTCGAGAAGGAACGCCTCGAGAAAGAGCGCCTCGAGAAAGAACGCCTCGAGAAGGAGAGGCTTGCAGCCGAGGAAGAGGCTCGCAAGCAAAAGATTGCTGAGGACGAAATGGTCCAGCAAATTCTGGCCAAATTTGGCTCCCAAGGCCGACTTGAGCAGCTCATCAAGAAGCTCAGCAGCTCCGAGCCTACCCAGGAGGCACCCGCGGCTGCTATGGCTGCAGGAACTTCTTCTTCTGCCGTTCCGGAGCCTGCCGATGCTGATCCTGACAAAGCCAATACTGATGCACGAGAGGCTTGGCGGACCAAGGTCAAGGAGCGCGATCCTGCGCTGGACAAGGAGCGAAAGGAGCGTGCTCGTGCTGCCGAGGCCACGATTGCTCCTCTTCCCAAGGAGACGTGCATCATTCGCCCCATGTCCTACGAGAAGCGGCCTGAAGGTGAAAACCAACCTCCTCCCTCGCCGGCCACAGGCGCACGAGTCCCAGGACGCGCCTCTCAGCAGACTGAGGCCACTTCTTCCATAGTTGACTCGGTTGCAAAGCCTGAGGAGGCTCCGCGTCGCTACAAGCCACATCAGACCCTCTGGTAGGAGTACACACAGTCAGCGACCGTGTTGTGGCTCTTGGAGGCTGCTTCTTTAGGCGGATGGCATTGATATCGGCCAAGACACGCAACTGAGGAGTTATTTGCGATGATTTGCCAAGGACAAAAAAAGTTTCTGCATTTCCATTGATTCTATGGGAAAAGGTACAGTGAGGATTTCCCGACTAGGTTCTCGGCCAAGACATGAGTCTGAGGATAGTAATAGGCAGACGGAATTATTAGCTAGTGGACAATGGCACTCTGATACTCGAATACCAGCGCATCTGATTGTCGTGAATATGTGACTTGGGTTATTGGTAGATCCTGATGACCACAAGCTGGGCCATCGAATATTTAACAGCATCGAGTCGTTCTGTCGATGGCTAGCTTATAGATGCGTTGCACCAAGTTATCTGCGCTTCACGGATATCATGGATATTTGCACAGGGAGGCTCCCTGAAGTTGTAGCTACTTCGTTACTCTAACCATTTACATCTTCTACAGCGGCCTCCCCGGCCTCTGGTACAGGCGGTGGCGCCCGCTTCCCCCGCTGGTAGATGTACATGGCCTCGTCCTTGCCCGCGAAACTCGGCAGCGGTATCTGCACGACGCGCGTCCACTCGGGCCGCTCGCGCGCCATGTACTGGTCCATGGTCATGTCGCTGAAGCCCGTGTAGCCGTTGGCGTTCTGGGTGCCCACGACAACGACCGTGTCGCCGGCGTAGGCGTCGAGCAGGCCGCGCGTGAAGCTCCCTTCCTCGCCGCCGGCGCCGGCACCGCCGCCCACGACGGGGTAGACGAGCAGCAGGATGAGGTCGTCGCCGTCCTCCGAGCCCGTCGCGCTGCTGAGCCACGACGCGCCGTCGGCGATGACCGTGTCCGGGACCCAGGTCGCGCGCCACTCGGACTGGGCGCTGTCGACGGCGAGGCAGGGGACGCCGCGGGCGCGGAGGCAGTAGGTCCAGTACCCTCCGCCGGAGCCGACGTCTGCGACGGTGCGGGGCTTGGACCTGGGCTTGCCGTCTCCTCCTGCTGCGGCGGCGGACAGGAGGCGCAGGATCTCGAGGGCTTCGTGGGAGGGGCAGGCGCAGCCGAAGTGGTGCATGAGGACGGGGAGGACGTGGTGCGCCTTGGGCGGCCGGAGGCGGTTGGACTCTGGGCAGGGGCCGGCCCACTCGAGCGCGCGGCAGGACCAGGACCAGAAGTCGAGGTAGGGGTTCGGCGGGGAGGTGAAGGGGTGCTTGGCGGACTTGGGGAGGCGGGGGATGGCGAGGGCGGCCTGGAGGTGCGGGTGGATGAAGCGCGTCGCCGAGAGGTGGGCGGCTACGGAGGCGCGGAGGGACTGCTTCTTTGCGTTGGAGGAGAGGGAGCGCAGGGCGGGCTGGAAGGAGGCCGTTGGGGAGAAGAGAGCTGTGTAGGCGAGGATGTCTTGCTGTGGCGGACGGGGGAGCTGCGTGTGTGCGTTTTGGTGTTAGTCTGGCGGTGTTTCTCTTGTACACTGCTGCACTGAGAACGGGGCAGTCGTCAGGTAGTCAGCTGTGGGAAGTTTGCTCCCCAGACTAGTCGTCTCGGGGGCAAGCATCCGGCTCCAAATACGCAGGCAGAGGGAAGAGTCGCTTACATATTTGCCGTCGGTGTCGGCATACCAGTCATGCAGACCGTTCACGGCGCCGAGGCCAACGACGTGCTGCACCTGGTCCAAGACGCAACTGCCCATGGCGTGGTAGACGTAGCTGTCCCGGGTCGTAATCTTGAACCAGCTCCGGACGGCGCCCGCAAAGTCATCCTTGTCGAGGAGGGCGAGCGTCGTGTTGCGGACGTCCTCGCTGCGGGCCTGCTCGGCCGGGTCGAAGCCCGGCGGGCTGCCGACGCAGTAGACGAAGGGCTTCTTGGGCCTTTGGCCCTTTCTGCTCGCCATGAAGGAAGATAGATGCCAGGGCTCTGGCTGTGCCTGAGGGTAGCTGGTGACGGGTCCTGCGCTCAGATGGAAGGGGTGTCAACGGTTTGGAATTTGCTCTGCCGTCCGTTCCATCGACTTTGCGCCGTCATTTGTGGGGATGTGACGAATGGAAGTGTGGATCCCCGGTTGGTGGCACGGCCGAGTACACTACCGGGAACGTCTTGGGTCTTCCGGAATCCGGCAGGAGCACGGTTTTGTCAGGACCGAGAAGGACAGGGTAAGTATTTTTGTCGAGAAATAGAAGAGAAGATGAAAACAATATCGCCGGAAAGTCACTGATGGCCTTGCCCGTGCCTGCTCTGGACTGATACGGAAAGAACAACAGTATGCCTGTCCCATGCTTTCCGACTGCACACGATGGTCAGGCTCTCCTTCCATATGGTCTTTCTCAACCACGTCGAGTCCTTTCCTACAATTATTCCACGCAGGCCCCGAATGATCAAAGATCTACCTACCCACTGGAACGTATCAATGATACATCTAGGTAGTGTCAATCACGTATCACAGCCTTTGATCTCATGACGACGAATACATACATCAACGGCTCCTAGCCCACAAATATCTTCAATGTCTCATTCCTTACAATATCAAGCCTTTGGACGCCGTGTCATTGATCCCGCTGCGACAGTGGGACAGATCATGGAGAACCATGGCCAGGACGCAAGCTCCAGTCTCTACGCCATTCGTTCCTGGACGCAAACACGGCCAGAGAATTTGGTCCAACAAACCGAAGCAGACTCCTCGGGGGCTCTCGAGTACCCGATGCCAACCTCTTTGAGTCAAGAAGGCCTTATGTCAGACTATCAATATCCAGCATATCTGCCGGATAACCTACCACTCTGTGACTCGGCTGCACCACACAACCTTGCCTTTGGTGCTTCCCTTTCTGCCTCCATACCAGATCACGGTATTTCACCCACCGGTTTTCTTCAGCAGGATGGGAATTTCGACAATAATCCACAGTTCACTGTTCCACAGCTTGAGCCTGCCGCCGGTTCGAACACATTCGATTCCAGTACCCTTCCAAGTTTCTCGCCTCATCAGTTGCAGAATTTCGTCATACCCTCGGATATCTATAATGCAAGGGAAGATTTGGTCCAGTCCCGGGCCTGCTTGATACAAACGGGCTGACACTCTTCCCAGGAACATCAGAGATGCCACTGACTCCAGTGCTACCCTTGCGCATCGCCTGCAACAAGCAGTTGAGCCGAGTTTTGCCCCTAACTCTGGGCAGATTACACATCCCAGAGGATCATTTGCCAAGGCTGGCAACTCCGATAATCGCAAGGCCTCACATAGCACTTCTGCAACCGAGATGTTCCAGGCTCGAATCCTCCAAAGTCGCCAAGATGCAACCTTCAGCTGCGTGAACGACTCCCAGATCGAGTTTGACAGACTATTCGATTCTGGGCACAAATATTACCTTCCGGTGGACAACAAACAGCGAAGTTTGGAAATCCATCTCGGTCGAATACTTCGTCATATCGGCCTGGGCTTCCCCCAAGCCCCATTAATTAAACCAAAGACCGTCTTGGATCTTGGAACGGGAACGGGGGGATGGGCGATGGAAGGCAAGTCCCATAGTTTTGGAAAGGATCATCTTTTTGATACTGTCGCTCTGGGGTGACTGACAACGCATCTTGGACTAGTGGCCTCCGCCTTCTCAGAGGCTATGGTCACTGGCATGGATTTGTGTCCCAGGCCGTTGAAACGTCTATACTTGCCGCTCAATTTGCAGTTCCTGGCCCACGACTTCGATAAGCCATGGCCGTTTCCACCCGACCACTTCGATCTGATATACGCTCGAGATATCCAGTACGGTGTCAGGGATTAGAAGGCTCTCGTAGCACGAGCGAAGAAGTACGTCAACCCTGGACCTGTCACCATAGGCACAGTGAAGACACCTGAAAGTACTTACGAGACGCAGGCATCTTAAGCCCGGAGGTTGGCTTGAACTCCAGGAATTCAAAAGCAAACCAGAGGTATTCGGGAATTGGGTCCCTTGGTCCACAACCGGCCAAGTATGGCCCGGCGAGATGGATCATCTATGGAAAGATATAGCCAATGCATGGCAGAACCTGGGTCTCCAAACGAGAACCATAGATGATGATGGCATGCCCCAGATCTTGGAGGCTCAGGGCTTCCAGAGGCGGAAGTTTGGCCATTTTGATATTCCCATCGGCGGGTGGTATACGGCGGTGCCACAGCTCGCCGCCGCGGGGGATCTTTAGCAAGATTGCCTGCTCCGCATGGTTGATGGCATGGGAATTCAGCCTCTGAGATCGGGCCGTGGAAAGGGATGGCCGCCTGAGGAAGTGGACAAGTTCCTGCAGCGTGTAAAGAAGGTGTACAAGAATGGTTGCAACCTTCGACTGGTCTCAAAACTCCAAATCACGATTGGGCAGAAGCCGGAAACGCCACCGCTGAGAGAGCAACCGGAGGCGAGCCAAGCGAAGCCATTGCAAGAAGAGAGTTCAACTGGACTTCATTCCCTTTCCTGGGATTTTCATACTTGAGGTACTTCCTTACTCCAAGGTCGTCTACACACACACACGTACGTCGAGGCTATCTTGAGAGCTTGAACCAGGTTCAACTTCGAGCGGGCTTTCAGGTTCTGGACTCTCGATGGTACTGGCAATGATCTGTTAGTTTAAGAGACCTAGTTGGCCAAGGAAGTTATTCAAATGTTAAAGTCGCAGCGGGCTTTCAGTAATGATAGGGTTTTGTATTTCGTACTCTTCGTTCAATAGCTACATAGCTAGACATTCAAGAGAAGCAAAGCGTTCTCTATACGGCCAACAAGGTAGTGTAGTGGTATCAACTCCTCCTCTAGAGCAGCGCTGTCCACGATGATGACAACAACAAGTCCTCAAATACAAATAAACCCTGGAACCGCTCCCATCCGACGGTCGACAGTCACCGTCCCAGTCTTCTGTACGCCTCTCCCGCGTTCTACCAGCGTCCGTCGTCTCAAGCACGCTGTTCTAATATTCATGATGATGTGTATGGATGGGCGAGTTTGACTCGCATGATAAAACGACAGAAACAAAAAAAAAAAAAAGGGAAAAATTAAACAAGAAAAAAGAAAAACCGGAGAGTACGGTTAAAGACAGAGGCTTGTTGTTGTTACAGAGAATACATGCGAGTTCTTTTGGTTCGTTTATGGATCTGATCTGCGAGAATAGCCTCTTCTGTCTGTCTGGGGTATAATTAGTCGTCCAGAACACGTTACACACATATACACAACAACACAAGAAATTAAAGAGCCAGTCCCAAGAGTTCCCCCTTTCGGTATCCCCTTCTCCCGCTTCTGCACCGACTTGCGCGCGCAAAAAAAGAGAACCAAAAGGACAGCTCCCGTAGACGACGGAGCCCAGGTATCGTAATCATCATCTGCCGCCAAACAACCCCATCCCGCGGAACAAAAAGCCCTGACTGCTCCTCTTCTGCTTCACCGCGGCGGCGGCGCCCCTGCCGCCCACGGGCGCGCCGTTGCCCGTGTCCACGACAAAGGTGAGCAGGTTGACCGAGTTGCCGTTGTTGAGCGTCACGTTGCGCGCCTGCTCGACCGAGACGCCGCCACCGGTCGTGCCGGTGCCGGTGCCGCGATTCGCCCTCGCGGCCGCCGAGAAGAGCCGCTGCAGGATGTTCTGCGCCGCCTCGGCCTCGGCCAGCGCGCCCTCCTGCAGCACGTAGAGGATGGCGACGCGCGCAAAGTCGAGCACCTCCTCGGTGACGACGAAGGTGGTGCTCGGCGCGGGGGCGGCCGACGTCGTGGAGGAGGAGGAAGAGGAGGAAGAGGTGGTGCTGGTAGACCGCGTGGAGGACGCCGCGCCGCCGCCGTTGGCGATGCCCGTGTTGACGGTCGTCGTGACGGTCGTGGTCGTCCGGGGCGGGATGTCGATCGAGGTGCTGAAGGAGCGCGTCGTGGCGAAGATGATGCTGGGCACGACGCCGCTGTAGCCGGCGGCGTCGGCGCGGGCGTCGAGCGCGGCCAGGGTCGAGGGCGCGGGCGCGCCGCCGGCGTTTGTGACCGTCTCGGTGACGGTAGCCACGCCGCCACCACCCGCATCGTCGTCGCCGCCGCCGCCGCCGCCGGCGTTGTTGACGACGCGGAAGTCGCCCGAGAGGTCGGTGACCTCGGCCTTGGCCGCGCCGACGCGGTTGGTGCGCCCGTCAAAGGTGACGAGGGCGTTCTCGGCCGCGCAGCTGAGGTTGCCCGAGTTGAGCTTGGCGAGGATCTGGCCGCCGTTGAGCGGCACCGAGAAGTTGGACTGGGCCTGCTGGATGAGGCGCGGGATGGCGTCGCCGAGGGTGACATTATCGATATTACCTCCACTATTCGCAGCGCCGCCCGGCGAGGACGACGCTCCCCCTGAACCCTGGGCGATGCTGGTTGTCGTGCAGCCTGCCGCGCCGGCGGTGCTGCAGTCGAAGCCGGTGAAGCCGTTGGCGCAGATGCACGAGCAGAGGCCCTGGTCCGAGACGAAGTTGGTACCGCCGTTCTGGCACCTCAGCTGGCTCTGGCACTGGCCGAGACTGGCCTGGGGAGTGTTGTTGTTCTGCTTGCGGATGACGAGGAACTCGAGAGGCAGCACGACGGCCGCCGCAACGATAACGAGGATGAGGATGAGCAGCAGGATGAACACCCACAGGGGCATGCCGCAGCACTTGCGCCGACGCTTCTCGGACGTCTGGGTGGCTTCGTCCTGCTGGTACTCGTCCCGAGTGCTGCTCTGGTCCCGGCTGTTGAAGCCGAGGGGCAAGGGCCAGGAGCCAACCTGGTCTCGCAAGCTCTGCCGTATGCTGCGTCGGTTGACTTGTGCTGGAGGCGGGAACGCCGCAAGCATGTCGGACAGGCCCGACTGATGCTTCTCATTATCTACTGCAGCCATCCATGTTAGCAAGGCAGGCCAGCGTGATTTGAATGTGCCAATAAGAAGAAAAACTGACCTGAAAATTCCTTGTTCCCGCCCAGTTCTCCAAAACCAGGCGAGTATTCCAGATCGTCGATCCGACTCGCTGGTCTCCTGCCCTTCTCCAAGCTAGCCGCTAACCGAGTCGCACGCTTAATGAGATCTGGCAGGCTTGTCAGACTGCCTCGTGCCTCCGCCTTTCTGACCGCGTCGATATCGAGCCGCGGCGGCCTTCTTATGGCCGACAGCCGGCTGTAGGGTCGCGCTCCTGGGGGCGGTTGTGGTGATACGGACGCTCGCCTGCTCGGATTGGACGGGTCTGTCGAGCTCGCCGCGTCATAGGCATTCAGCATGCTATCAGCAGTCAACGCCGCCGCTCCGGCGGGGTTCCTAGTGGTTGGGAGAGTCGAAGAACTCGAGGACGCGTCCACATATCCCGTGCCGTCCCTGAATGGCCCTCGCTGCACGGGCGAAGGGCCCGGCCTTTGTGACGGGTCGTTTGTGTCGAGATGGGGCGGGGGAGGCACATTTGTGACGAGAGCTGCTTTGGCTCGCTTGCCAATGCTCGCGCTCCTGACCAGCTGGCTCTCGTCTCCGTCGTCGTATGGCGAGTTTTCTCGACCAACTTCTTCGGTGATGGCTTCCTCAAAATAAGTTTCGGGGTAATTTGGGCTCGGGCCCGGTGACGGCGTACCCCAGTTCTCGGGCATGGCCGCACTCGATGCATATGATGCGTGAGACCTCGACCGAGGGCTCTCTTCGGGAATTGGTGAAACATATGATGCATTTGAATAGAAAGACGACGCGCCGCGTCGTGATGAAGGAGGCGGTCCCAGATTGACGCTTCTCCTGGGTGGTTGCACGGGCATCGCCACGGGTACTGGAAAGTCTGGAATGGATCCGACGGAGGAGATTGTGGAGGGCCGTGAAACGGATGAGGTGGTCTGAGGCACGGAGAGCTCAGACTCCCTTTCGTTGTGCGGTGTGTACTGGAACACAGGCGTGTGTTCCTGTATCCGTGAGGCGTCGAGCATCGAGGGAACTCGGCTCGGCCGTGGCGGCCGTTGCGGTGGCTCTGACCGGCCTGGTGGCGGCCGGTAGGGTTCTGCGTTGGTCGGTATTGCCACGGGTCCGGCGAGGGGCCACTGGGCGACTGGCGTCGGCCGCGATATGGCCACCCCGATCTGTCCATCCTTGGTCTGCAGAGCAGGCGTTGCTTGTGACCGCGGTATTCGAGGAGCTACCTTCTGCGCAGCGCCGTCGGGCGCCATCCGCTGGGTGAACTGATCAAAATTCTCCCTAGGCAATCCTGCCTCGGCACGCTCTCTCGCCCTCCTGATGGATCCCCCTGCTGTCGTCGGTCGATCCATGTCTCTCCCATCTTGAGGGTAACTCATTTAGTCCGTCCACCTCGAGGAGTCGTTCAGAACTGCATTAAATGCCGCCGACCTGGCGTATCCTCCTCAATTCCCAGCTCTGTTCGTGGATAGGTGGTGTCAACCCTGTCGCGTATGCATCCAGGACGCGGAGATCCGTACTCAATCTCGGGAGAGCGACGACGACGTGCGACCTCGAGGCGATGCAATCTGCCGACCCGAATGGATTCCGACCAAACGACCTCGTACCACTCGACGCAGGTGAGTTATCGTTCCCGTCTTCTGTACGATTGTGCCTCAACAATCAACTGGTCTACTGGGTATCTCCGTGATGGTGTTGTCCAACTCTAAACCCAAGGTTGTGAAACAATGCGCCGCTGGCCGAAAAGAAAAGCTGGATGAGCGAATGAATGAATGCAATATCCAAGTAATGCCAATGGAATGGAATGGAGAACACAAGATGCAGATGTCTTTCGAAAGTAAAGGTAAGGAGCGAAGGGCGACAGATTCTGCTGAGAAACGAATTAGAGTGTTGAGAGTCGCACCAGCGATACGTCGAGGATGTGGTCTGAAGTGAAGAGGTCAGCTTCCTGCGCACGACGAGGCGTGAAGATGGAACGTGTGGAGAGAGGGCAGAGTCGATGATGGTTCCCTGAGACACGTTCTGGTGTTCTGGTTCCCCAGCTCGACAGGTTTGCCGGGGTCTTTCCTGTTCAGTAGAAGCCGCAGAGCAGTGCTGGGTTCGGGTCAGGTCGCTTCTATGGCAGCCGGGACCAGACCATGACAGGGGAGAGCTAAACAGCCGGGTCGCAGGTGGTGTGGGTGGGAAAAGGAGATCACCTACACTTGACGTTTCGAAGGCTTGGCGACACTGGGTGAGCCGCACAGAGCTTTCTCTCGGGGAAAGGGGCACGAGGGTGAAATGCACCAGAGCGGGCGGTGATGGTGTCTCTGACGGCCAGAAAAGTCGAGCCAGACTGAGCTGACTCTGAAGGTTGAATGTGATGGTGAGACCAGTTGCTCCTCATGAAGAACCCGCACGTCACTCGTGGTGATGGCACACACACACACAGAGAGAGAGAGAGAGAATCAGCTCAGAGAGAAAACCCGCAGGCAGAATCGTTCCGGCGGGAGACAGGGCCAAGTGTTGCACGATGCGGGTGCGAGAGGTATCCTGAGGCCCGGTGATGTTTCAGGTTGGCGGGACAGGCAGGGCGTGGGGAGCTCAGAGGCCTTGGGGACTGCCTTGATGGGTGTCTGAGGGTACGAAGATCAAGAGACAATCAGGCGGACTACTTGGGGCCTTCTCTGTTCTTTGCGCGCTTTGCGAGTGAGAATGCTGGATGCAGACGGTGTTGGTGGTGGTGATGGTGAGGAGATGCGCAGGTGTAAGTGACTGAGAGCACACAACACACAGCACTCAAATCGTGGGGGTGGTCAATGGTCTTCAAGACGCTTCAATCGACCGCAAGAAGAGAAAGGAACGAGTGACGAGAAAGCCGGACAGTAGGGGAGCCGCTGGTGCTCCTGGATTTGCACACAAGAAGCCTTGTCGCTATGTACTGAACAACGACAAAAAATCAGCAGAGAAGAGGGGGACGCGTGAGCGAGAGAGAGATCGCGGAGAGCTTCTGTCACACAACAAAGGGGCCGCCACGGTCTGCGGAGAAGATACGATTAATTCCCCGTCTTGTCTGTGTGAACACGCACAAAATGGAAGACAATGACGGGCATGTCGGAACCTACCTAGTAGCACGACAGTGGCCCCTGGTCGCAGACGAGAGGCGTGGAAATGAAGGACATCAGTGCATCCGTCTGTGCTTCTTTTTTTTTACGGAGTACGAGGCTGTACCTGGGTTGGTGGTGAGGCTAATATCACCGCCGACAAGGGTCCCCCCTCGTGCACATGGTGGCCCCCGGGCCAAACCATGCACAGGGTTGCTTTTCCCAGTCGGTCCAGAACCGGGTGACAGGTTCTGGTGGTGTCGATTCAGTCCGGACTTTTTCTCAACAAGGGCCACAAGACCACAAGAGCACGTCCAAGACCAGGATCGTCACCAGGTCGGCGCTGAACAAGGCCCAATGATGTTGACGTAGGTGGCCGGCGCGTATCTCGATTGCTGATCAGCGTCACCATGGCTCTCGAGATTTGGCCATCGACAGGACAGGACGATGGGCGCAAAAAAAGACGGCTGGACAGTCGACAGCCAGCCAGGATGCAGGGGCTGTACGGAGTACCTATGCAAGGTACGAGAGCGAGAAGAAAGATGTGACACACGCCGCCGCTGAGAGAAGGAGCGTTGATAGGCCGGGACGCATCATTCGAGGACAGGGGCCATGTGTACTTTGTACAGCTTGTACAGAGGGGAAAAGCACTAACACGACATCCCATAGGCCATGTCCCCTCCAAAAAAGACCACCTAAAACCCACTGTAAGAAGCCCACCAGCACTTCAAGGTTGCTTGCTCGCTTGCGGGCCTTTGTTAGTGCGTCTCGGCGCGGTCCTCGTCCAGGGGTCGGACAGGGATCTCACCACTTGCGACGAATCGAAGCCGTCAACGGACCTGAATTGGAAACACTAGCGCCAATCCTCACCTCCATGTGGCTGATTCCAAGCGAACCTCGACCCCTTTCACTTCCATCTACTTGTCCACTCGCTCGTGTGGTTGACAGACCCCTAGGAACAGCACCTCGTCAGTGTGATTTGCCCCCAAAGAGGCTCATGTCGACCAAGGGTGGCCTGATGCTGATGCCTATTTGGGGCCATCTCGAGGTGCTGCTTACAGAGCTGCCGCAGGTTGTCGTCATATTCTCGGCTTGCCGGGAGCCTCTAATGGAAAGTCACCAGAACGATACCAGCTTGGTGTCCTTGATGACCGGCCCGGCCCTGTCCGGTTCAGGAACCGAGACCACTACAGCAAACCCGGGATGGTTGCTGACGTTAGAAGCAAACATAGAAGGCTGCAAATTGCCAACAGGGCCTCTCCCAGGTCGACCGGTCCTCTCAATTTACAGAATATATTGGCTCGTATTTTGGTCCTCCCGAGCCCTCTGATTTGACACCTTCTCTCTTGTTTTTGGAGATGATGATGTGACACCACTTGACCGTTGGTGAAACGAAACCGGGACCGAAAAGAAAGGATGAACACGTCGACCTACGGTGAGCTGCCGTGTGCTCCGGTATTCCGTCCTCAACTCTCGATCCAAGTCCAACAGCGGTGTGCAAACACTAAATACAGCAGCATGTCTTGGGTGTCTCGGCTCCTTCCCGCTGCAAGACGATGATCAGTGGCCAGTTCCGGCTGAAGCAGACTGAGGGGGCTTCTAGAATTGCTAGATCACCATCAGTATCCCTTGCACGCAGGCAGTCCTCTCGATTGTGTGCGCGGTATGTTTGAAGTACGAAGTCGCGGAACGTCCATTCGAAATCCGTTGTTCGAATCCACCCGAGCCACGATGAGTTTGCCCTCGTGGGGTCTCAGAGGCCCCCCTGGATGTGTTTCAGATACACACGTTCGGATAGGATGAGATCCTCATGCCGGCCCGTCGACACAGCTTTTATCCGCCTGACTCTATTCTCGGATGGTACCTCAGTCACTGTGGGTTATTACGTACCCTGTGCAAGTCATTTTCATGCTTCTCTTATTAGCATCATGGGCCACATCAGCTGAGATAGGTACCTACTGCGCCGTACAGCATCACGAGGCTGACTGGTTATTACTGACAGCGCCGACCTTAGATGCTTGCTCCTGCAAAAGTCGGAGGCCTATTTGAGGACCTGCCTCGGGCGGCCTGGCCTGCTGACTTGGCGATCGGGCCGGGCCACGTCCAAGGTCGCAGGTTGCGTCCAGCCGTTCTTCTCGAACGCTACGGGCTGCAGCCAGCCTGAAACGAAACAACTCCCAGCGAGTGGCCAGATGATCAAAAACACAGTCTCACCGATGATGCCCAGGACCGTGCTTGTGGCATCCTCGAGCTCCTATCTGTCGTGGGCACGAAGCCTGCCTAGATGAGAAGGCGATACCCTTAGATGCTGAGACTCGGACTTGCTCGAGACAGCTCTGGGAAGCTTGTTCAAGTCCTTCTAGCCGAAGGGCTTGTCGTGCTGACTCTGGACTCCACTCATGTCGGTTCCGTCTCTGACACCGAAAAGGCAGGCACCGGCATGAGACGACCGGGTGCTCGCGATCATGTCGAGGCTTCTGTTCCATCGGCCTCGCTCGCCTTTCTGTGATCATTCGCCTCAGGGATCAGGCTCATAGTCGTCGCTGCCTGCTGGTCCGACCTCCCCGTCTTGCGCTCCGTCAACCGGCGACGAAGCAAAACTGGTTCAGTGGTTCTTCTTTCAGTGGCAAGATGCACACCATGACCAAACCTCAAGAAGGAAATAAGGCCTTCTCATATCTGCCTTCGGATACTAAGGATGGCAAACATAACGGAGAGAGTTCACTCCCTTTTTGTGCCAACCTCTTTTTCCTTTGCCTTTTTTTCTTTCTCCTTTTTTTCTCTTTCTCCATCTGGGCGCCACGGTTGCTTTTGCCATGTTGGAGGCATCATACAAAGACTGGGTGGATGTACCGACACAGTCTCTCTCGCCACAAAATTATGTGACCTTCGCATAATAAGTTATGCCTACCGCTCAGAACGAGCCCAGAGCGTAGCGTCGAGACTGTAGCATCATCGTGAGAAGCTATCGAGCAATAGCAAGGGGTGTCTCTGAGTCCTTGGATCTGCTCTAATTAGTCCCCCGGTCCCGGACGAGCAGTGTGGATTTCTCTTGTGCATCCGAGGCTTTGGCCAGAGCCCGGCCAGGGGTGATGCTTCGAGTCGTCTCCCACGCGAAAGGTCCGTTTCGCCTGGTGCCCTTCGCCCTGTTATGGTCAATTTCGAATCCAAGTGTGAAATACAATGTGTTCAGTCTCAGGAGAGTGCCAATAATAAACATGCCATTTTGGGCTGACATGATACCTAGGTAGTACGAAAACCGCGACAAAGAGTGCTAGACGGATCATTAAACGCCACCGAACAAGGTTGCATATGGGTGGTACTCTTTTGATAAACCCGATCGAATTCGTCGCAAACGCCAGGCTGCTCTGCCGCATCGCGATGTGCGTTTTGCAGAGAGTGCAGAGATTACCACAGAGGCTCTATTGAAATCTATCGACACCTCGGATGATATCATGTCGGACATCAATCCTAGCAGATCAGCACACCTTTATTGCACTTGACGAGAACCCTTGACAGTTAGGCGCATGCAGGGCACTGGAATGGAGATCCACACACCATCGAAATTCGGAGGTAATGCCCGCCAAGCCTGCGTGCTTCAGTCCAGCAGCTTCGGAACGCTGGCATGACTAGTTGTAGGAATAGCAACACAATAAGTATGCAGAGCCAAAGGGCTCAGTACGTAAACAAGAATGGCAACACGCACCCTGTCTCTCGTGGACAGCCCAAGACGAGGCCAGTCAGTTGTTTCGGTCATATACTTGTAAAACGGAGGATTCCCCATCGCAGTGCCCCAGGGCTGGCTGTATGTCAATAAAAATAGCAGGGCCAATTAGCGGCTCCAACTGTGGAGAGACTTATGCCAATGATCTCAGCATTAGCGCCTGACGTGAATGCGACCAAATCCTCGTGTCACGGGATTCACGAGGAGGGCATACGTAATCCGGGTGTGCCCAGAAGGTGGGATGATGGGGCCAGCGCTTTGGCAGTTTCGCTACTTACTCAGGTACTTGGCACGGAGTCCAAAGAGGTCCCCAGCCCCACTGTCTCTCTCATTCTGGCAGGTACTCCTACAGGTACCTACAGGGCGATTACACAGCATTCATTGCTGACGCTGCTCCGCTTCTTCCGTTGCCTCCCTCCCCATCCATCATTGATTGATGTGTTCGATTCCAACAAAACGCCCTTCTACACAATAACAAACAAGTCTCGATTATCCAAACGCTGTGCGCCTTTTCCAAAGACTCATACTCTCGTTTCTCTATCGACTGGCTTCGAACAACACCACGCACACCACAGCACCATGTTGCTGAAGTCGCTTACGCTGACTACTGCCGGCCTGGCTGCCGCGCACGCTCTCTTGGTCCCTCCCGAGCTTTCCGAACCGCTGCCTCAACTCGACGATATCGTCAACGTGTTGCCCGTCGAGGTTCCCAAGATTGCTCAGAGCCAGACCTTCAACCTGAACTGCCCCGGCTGCCCTCTGTTCCATCACAGAGGACACCATGGGTCCTTCCGAAACAAGCACACCATCCCAAATCACCTCGAGCTCAGCTTCAACGTTGACCATGATACCGGATCAGACCGGCTGACCGTCAACGGCTTCGAGCTCTATCCCAACGCCGACCCCTTCAGCGGCACCCTCACCGCCCCCCAGATCCCCGATGTCGAGTGGCACCACCGCAACCGGAAGCCCAAGGCCCCCTCGTCACCCTTGACGCCCCAACTGGGCTTCAGCCTACAGGTCAACCAGGAGGCCCGGGATGAGTCGGATAAGATGGAATTGATCAATCTCAACCTGCAGATCATTGAGGTCGGGGAAACCTTTGTCGACGGTATCCAAAACGTTCAGATCAAGCTTATCCAGAGCCTCGACGGTGCCCTGATGATCGGCGAGATCCACGCCACCGACTCGCAAACCGCCCACGACAGCCCCAAGGACAAGCAAAAGGAGTGCTCGTCGATTCTTTGCAAGTGGAGGGCCATGATCGCCGACCGCCTCAAGGGTCACTGCCATGGCAAGTTTGGAATGGGCCGTATCGGCCACCACAAGGGCCATCATCATCACAAGGGTCACCACCATAAGGGCCACCACAAGGGACACCCCATGATCAGCGACGAGGAGTTCGCTGGGCGTCCCGAGAAGACCATGGACGACGAGGTCGCCCAGATGTACCGTGACCGCAGCTTTGGCCAGCTCCTCCACAAGTTCGCCTCTCACATCATCTTCCCCGTGCTTATCGGCATTGTCGCCGGTGTGAGTGTGAGCATGTACGTATTTCCCTAATTGCCTGCTATATGGGCTCTGCTAATGGCTTTCTAGTCTCGGCATGCTCGTCGGCACTTTTATTGTCGGCACCTGGCGTGTTCTCGTCCGTGGCCAGCCCTTCTTCCGCCGCCGCCACCACTGCCGCCGCCGCGGTACCAGCCACTCTCACCACCGCAAGTCGTCTCGTACCGAGACTGCTTCTGCGGAAGAGAAGTCTGGTCTCATGGAGGAGCAGGAGGTCGAGGTCGAGGCTCCGCCGGCATACGACGAGGAGCAGGCCCCCAAGGACGCTGCTTGAACGCTTTGATGCGGGACTTGACAGGCCGTATCAAGGAGACTTTCAACGCTCCACGGCCTTTTGAGCCCTGCACATTCGAACGAATACATCGCTCTATGATCACAGGGCCAACAGAACGCTCCTGCAAGCTGATGGGTCTGGAAGACTAGGGATATCGGCAGGCGTTGTCACCCCCGATTATGCGGTTTACAATCTGGCATTGTTTGGAGAGGGCAAGGACACCGATTCTTTGCAGATACCATTACACTCCTTTTTTCCCAATTTTTTAGTCTATTTCGGATAGCACGAATACCCACGTTCCCTTACAGTTGAGCTTGTACGAATCAAATGAGCAGACCATGACTGCCTCGTTCTCGCTGTGACTTGCATTAGGTGTAAGTGCTTCAACACGTCAGCTTAAAGGGGAATCACGCCCTGGCCACCTGCCTAGGTGTGGCCCTCAGGGTAGGCTCCTATGGCAGGATGCTCTTGCTCATCATTCTTGAAGGTAAGGTGCAACGCTGGAACTTCAGGAAACCCCAGAGGATAGATCGTCACTGCTCTGTATGGGGTTTGTTGTCTCGAGTCCGTCCTGGCCAAGACCTGACTTGCGAATTGTCATTCTAGAATTGCGTCGTGTTGATTAACAACTCAACCACAACACACTCATTTGTCCATCACCTCTATACCACACCTGTGTGTTCTGCACATGTGTCGGTAACAGGTCCACGGTTGCCAGCCTCTTCAGTCCTTCAGGCGCACCACAGTCCCTTGCTTGCCCTCTCAAGTCTGCTACATCGCTGTATATCCAAGATGTGGGCTTTCTACTGTTTTCTTCTAGTGGCCCTAGTTGTTGCCGACTATCCTCACCGCGTTGCTCGAAATGAAAGAAGACCTCCTCCTTGCATGTATCGAAAGTCGAACGACTCCGGTACCGACCGTGAGCCTTGCGTCTACGAAGACTTTGATCTTGTTGATCCGGTAAGATCTTGACTGGCCTGTGCTGCACCACAGAATGATTGGCTCTTTTTCTCCGTCAAACTAATATGGGAAAGAGCACGCTGCGGCGCGAAATCTATATGTACGTCCTGATGGACCATCTTGCAGAACTGCAGCGACAAGCCTACAGCTACCCTGCGAGAAATCGGGTTGTGGGCGGACCTGCACACAACGAGACAATAGAGTACATTGCGGGAGAGCTCGAGGCCCTGAGTGAGTATTACGATGTCGAGAGGCACTACTTTGACGGCAATGTCCGCATCTCGCAGCACGTCGTGCTGCGGGTGGATGGCAAGCCGATGGTCGCCGAGGGGCTTGGCTATCCCCGACCTCAAGTAGTCAAGGGCCGGCTGGTCCCTGTGACTGCCTGGGGATGCAACCCCGTAAGTGAATATCGATGTAGTGGTTCCCGGTGAGGATTTGAAGATGCCGGACCGATGACTGATGCGGCTGGACTTGCAGGAGGATTATCCGGATTCAGTCGAAGGCAACATTGCCCTCGCCGCCATAGACGGCCTAGAATGGGGCACAAGCCAGGTGAACCACAAATCGACGTGTAGCTTCAACCAGATCATCGCTGCGGCACTGGTCAAAGGCGCGACGGCCGTCATCACCGCGGCGATACCAGAGGAGCGTGCCTCGAAAACCGACATTCCTGTCCTGCAGATCTGGCAAAGAGATGCTTGGGCCCTGCGACTGCAGCTCGAGGAAGACCCCGTCGGGCCCTGGGCAGAGATCAACGTACACGACTATCCCATGAAGCGTGTAGAGAGGTTAGTCATTCGGACTCTAGCAGCACCCTTCCAGAAAGGCCTGTGCTAACGAGACGAAAGCTACAACATCATCGCCACGACCCGCCACGGCGACCCGGAGAACACGCTCATGTTAGGCGCCCACACCGACTCGGTCGCCGCGGGCCCGGGGATCAACGACAATGGCTCGGGAACGGCGGCGCTGCTCGAGCTCGCCATCCAGCTCGCGCGCTTCCGCACCAACAGCCGCGTCCGCTTCGCCTTTTGGACGGCCGAGGAGTCGGGCCTCAAGGGCTCTAGGCACTGGATCGAGAGGTGCACCGAGGAGGAGCTCGACGAGATACGGGTGTACCTCAACTTTGACATGATAGCCTCGCCCAACTTCAAGCTGGGGGCCTACGACGGCGACAACAGCGACTATTATATCCACGCGCCGAAGGGCCAGGCCCGTGCGGGCCCGCGCGGGTCGGAGCATGCCGAGCAGCTGCTGAACGACTTCTTCTGGTCGCAGGGGTGGAACACGAGCAGTTCACCCTTTGACGGGCGGAGCGACTACGGCCCCTTTATTGCCAAGGGCGTGCCGTCGGGCGGGACCTTTACGGGCGCCGAAAGGAACAAGACTGAGGCGGAATGGGTCATGTTTGGCGGGAGCGCGGGCGAGCCCTACGACCCAAACTACCACCTCGAGGACGACAACATGGACAATGTCAACTTTACGGCGTTTGAGATGAACGTCAACGCCATTGCGCACGCGCTGGGGACGTACGCGAGGGGGTTCGAGGGCTTCCCGGAGCGGGGGCCTCGGCCGGAGCGCGTCAAGAGATTTGATGACGAGGATGACTCTGTCGAGCTGAAGACGGGGACGGGTTCCCTTTGTGGGGGCCGTGTTAGGACTGGCGTGCATGATGGGGTCCTGTACCGTGGTTGATTGAGACGCTTCATGGGTTGCATGTGAGCTCGGTTGACGCCTACTTGAGTGTGTATTGATAGCTTGCATTCTTAGCTATTAGTACTTATCGACCAAGACTATGGAAACAGCATTGACATTGACATCGAATGCAGGATCACACATCTGTCGGTATAAGTTCTGGTCAGGGAGCTTCCTCTATCACGTCTTTTGATGGATCAGGAAGAGCTTCTTGATCAGATCCCGATACGAGAGAATCAACCATATTGACCCCTGGACCTGGACTGTGATATCTCGACTCTTTGAACCGATATGCCACCCAATGCCGAAGAGTCCCGAGCACCGAACGGAGCTACGAAGCGGCTGTTCGGGCCATCCCCGGGAAATGTGGGTACCAGCGAAACCTGGGGGTTTCTCCAATGACCAGGGTGTAGCATTTGGGGTGAGAGCCCCGGCTGGACCGGGTATCGGTGGCTACCAGCGGCCCTGGGTATTCACGATGTCCTGCTTCTGGCGACCAGAAGGGATTGATGGTCTTTGAATTACTTTATGATCAATTTTATGGTCATAGGAGATATTTGAGAGGTATCTCTGGGAAGCTTAAATGGCCAATCGGAAAGTGTGTATCACCGGGCTACAAGTATGGTGTTTCAGTCCATCATCTCTTTTGGAGGTGTGAGTGATACCTATCACTCCACATCATATCACTTCTGATGCTTGAAAGGGTGCACGACAGGCTATTGTCCGATCTCGCACTCTGTGTTCCTCTGACCCGGTGGGTAGCCTGCCTGATTGATGAATGCTACGCTCCATATACAAGTACAACAGGCAGCCCTACCAGTCTTCACGATGTGTGTTGAATGCCAAGCCAGGTGTCTGTGGCCAGGTCTCAACCTGGGTGCGAGGCAATGAGGAACATGGGCCTCATGAAGAGCCGAGGTCTGAACGTTAAGGCCGCGGGGGGAGGACCTGCAAAACACTAACAGATGGTCGGTTTTGCCGACGGTAAAGCATTTCCCTTTTGGCTAGCTAGCTTGCCGTCTCCACTGGTTGTGCTGAGTTAGCTGTACCATCCCGTTTTGCTGCTGTCCCCTGCGACCGCTCAATTGGGTGGGAAGCTCTCTCAGGGCCGAGGGGCAACCGAATAAATAATTATTATTTCATACCGAAGCAATCCGCGTCCAACCTGCTCCCTCTCCTCTTACACCAATCCCTGCCCCAATCAAAAAAGTCAATTGCCTGCCTGCCTCGCTGCCTCGAGCCTCTCTCTCTTGTTTGACCACCGAGAGAGTGTTGAGACCTAGGACGACAGCGCTGTACAAGACAGAAGACAAGACCAGAAGAGGAAAGCAAACAGCTCGACAGAGAAGACGATGTCTGCTGTCAACCGGGGTCTCCGCACCGCATCCCGATCGCTGCGCCTGCAACAACGGACCTGCCTGCGCTCTGCTGCTCCGCTGGCCTTTGGCGCTGCCTCTTCCCGCGCCGCTCTTCTCGCCGCCCCTCGTCTCTCCTCCCAACTCACCAACACTTTCTCCACCACCGCCGCCAGACCATCCGCGCCCGTCATGCCTCAAGGCGATCGCGAGTACGATCCTGAGATCACGGACATTGCCAGCTATGTCCACAACACCCCGATTGACTCTGAGCTAGCTGTAAGTCTGTCCTGTTTGCAGCTCCAAAGCATAAAATTCATGAGGAGTGAGCTCCTCTCACCCCGCACCCCCAAAAATTGGCTTATGAGAACCCGCGGCTAACCGAGGTCGCAAATTCTCGCCGTCGTCAAACAGTTCGACACTGCTCGATGGATTCTCCTCGACACCTTTGGCTGCGGCCTTGAGGGCCTGCGCTTCAAGGAGTGCGCCAAGCTGCTGGGCCCTGTCGTGCCGGGCACCGTCGTGCCCAACGGAACCAAGGTTCCCGGCACGCCCTTCCAGCTCGACCCCGTCAATGGCGCCTTCAACATCGGCGCCATGATCCGGTGGCTCGACTACAACGACTGCTGGCTGGCTGCCGAGTGGGGCCACCCCTCTGACAACATGGGCGCCATCCTCGCTGTGGCCGACTGGATCACCCGCACCAACAAGGCCGGCGGCAACATCGCCGGCGGCAAGATCTTCACCGTCAAGGACGTCCTCGAGGGCATGATCAAGGCCCACGAGATCCAGGGCTGCCTGGCCCTGCTCAACTCGTACAACAAGGTCGGCCTCGACCACGTCGTCCTCGTCAAGGTCGCCAGCACGGCCGTCGTGTCCAAGATGCTCGGCCTCAGCGAGAAGCAGACGGCCGACGCCGTGACCCAGGCCTGGGTGGACGGCCAGTCGCTGCGCACCTACCGCCACTCGCCCAACACCATGTCCCGCAAGTCGTGGGCCGCCGGCGACGCCTGCCAGCGCGCCGTCAACCTGGCCCTCAAGGTGCTCAAGGGCGAGCAGGGCATCCCCACCGTCCTGTCCGCGCCCGTCTGGGGCTTCTACGACGTGCTGTTCAAGGGCAAGAAGTTTGAGTTCCAGCGCCCCTACGGCAGCTACGTCATGGAGAACGTGCTGTTCAAGGTGTCGTACCCGGCCGAGTTCCACTCGCAGACGGCCGTCGAGGCGTCGCAGAAGATCTACAACACGCTCAAGTCGATGGGCAAGTCGGCGGCTGACATCAAGGCCGTGACCTGCCGCACGCACGAGGCCTGCATCCGCATCATCGACAAGCAGTTCAAGCCCATGGACAACTTTGCCGACCGCGACCACTGCATCCAGTACATGTGCTCCGTCATGCTGACGTTCGGCCGGCTGACGGCCAACGACTACGTCGACGGCTCCGAGGCCGCGACGTCGGAGCTCGTCGACTCGCTGCGCCAGAAGATCAAGTGCGTCGAGGACCCGCAGTTCACGGCCGACTACCACGACCCCAAGCTGCGCACCATCTCCAACGCGCTGACGGTCGAGCTCAACGACGGCACCGTGCTCGACGAGGTCGTCGTCGAGGCGCCCCTCGGCCACCGCCTGCGCCGCGAGGAGGCCAAGCCCGAGATCCTGGCCAAGTACAAGCGCCACCTCGAGCCCCACTACCCGGCCGACAAGGTCCAGCAGCTCGTCGACCTCGGCCTCGACGCCAAGAAGCTCGAGGCCATGCAGGTGGACGAGTACGTCGACCTGTACACCGTCGAGAAGAGCGAGTTTGTGCAGTAAAGATGCGGGACCATGAGAGAAAAGACAAAAAGGGGGGTGGCAGAGGAGGGGGGAGGGAGCTGCTCTACAATGATTGATATATACATTATATTCTTCTTTTTACCGCGGATGGGATGTATGGATATCTTAGACTTGGTTTGTTTTTTTGGACTACCAAAAAAAGAAATAGATATACCTTGTGTTCAAATTGGTTCATACCTATGTCATGCACTGTGAAGCTATTCAATGTCGATGCGGTCTCTTTTTCTTCACGCACCTCGCGATGGTGCTATCTCGTCGATAGCCGAGGTCGGGAAGACTCCCGGAATGGGATCGTCCAGCGTCGGCAGGAACAACCCCAATTGACCTCTCATTTGAGAGCACAGCTTCGACGATGACCCGTCTTTAAAACAACCTTCGTTCTCCCTCCTTGGAAAACAACGGGAGGGCATCATCGTAGAAATCCTGAGCCGGCTATCAAAACTCAAGTCGGCTTTTCCGAGAGCGCGGAAGGAGGCTTGGAAGTGACTAAGCTGGACCGGGTTTCGAGTCCGCAACTGCCTATTCCGGATGTAGTCCACTTACATCCATGAACCCGACTTGATCACAGCCCTGCAGCGGGAAAGATGAAATCCATTCTCGTACCTCTCTGCACTCCGATCGGGTTTGCTGGGGCCAGGAGCAGCTTGCCACGACAGCCGAGCGAGAGTTGAATCATTGCCGTCCGTCGGGTAATCGACCAACCATCCTGAACCACACCGTCCGTGTTAGTAGGAGTGGCCCAATTGGCCGGGTCTTGCCTCCATCATCATGAAGGTCGGCATTGCCGCCATCTCCCTCTTCCTCGGGTGCTCCCTCGCGACCGCGCCGGCATCCTCCGCACCCAAAGAGCCGCAGTACTGCTCCCTGCCGCCCCTGCGCCAACAGGCGGCCCTCCAGGATGCGTGGACCGCGGAGCGCCTGGCCCTCGTGCCGGACCTCCTGGCCAAGCACGACGTCGACGCATGGCTGGTACCGTCACTCTCTCACAATCCTCCCCGACTTCCCCAAGCACAACCACTAACCAATATGCGTGTGTGTGTCTGTAGATCAGCCAGCGCGAGTACGCCGAGGAGACCGTCTTCTGGTCCCTGAAGCAGGCGGCGCAGTTCTCGGCCCGCCGGCGCACCCTCGCGCTCTTCCTCCGCGGCGGCGAGCGCTACGTCTGGGTCGACAACACGCCTGGCCTCTGGGCCCGCGTGCGCGAGGTCCTCGAGCGGCACGGCCCCGGGTCCATCGCCGTCGACGCGGACGCGGACCTGTCGTGGAGCGGCGGCCTGCACGCCGGCGAGCTGGCGGCGCTGCGGGAGGGCCTGGGCGCCCGGTGGGCGGCGCGGTTCGTCGTCCGCCGGATGCTCGCCGTCGAGTTCGTGGCGACCATGGTGCCCGGCCGGCTGGGGTGGTACCGCTGCCTCATGGGCGCGGCGTGGAGGCTGATCGGCGAGGCCTTTAGCGAGAGGGTCGTCGTGCCGGGGGTGTCGACCACGGAGGTGAGTCTCCGCGCCAGGGGCTCCAAGCCCTCGCTTTCAGAGGAGGAACAAGACTCGAGAGGGACTTGGAGAGAATTTCAATGGATTATCTGACGCCGCAACTTGTCTGCACAGGACATCGAGTGGTGGCTCCGCGAGGCGCTCCAGGCGCGCAACTACACCACCTGGTTCCAGCCGGGCGTCTCCGTCATCGACGCCGACTGGGGCGTCGTAGACCAGCCAGCACCGCCCCCTCCCACCTGGAGGACGGCCAGCGGTTCCCCAGCAGCAGCAGCCGCCGCCCGCGTCATCCAGCACGGCGACATGCTGCACGTCGACTTTGGCGTCACGGCCATGGGCCTCAACACGGACACGCAGCACCTGGCCTACGTGCTCCGCCCGGGCGAGACCGAGGCCGACGTGCCCGCGGGGCTGGCCGAGGGCCTGCGCAGGGGCAACCGGATGCAGGACATCGTGCGGTCCCGGATGGAGGTCGGCGCCACGGGCAACGAGGTCCTCGCGCGGTCCCTGGCGCAGATGGAGCGCGAGGGCATCCGGGGCATGGTGTACTCGCACGCCATCGGGGACTGGGGCCACTCCGCCGGCACTACCATCGGTGAGTCCGTCTGGCCCCCCGCCGTTTTTCCCAACGTGTTCTTTTTTTTTTTTCGTTGTGTTCCAAACAACTGTGTGGATGGATGGCTGACCCTCCCAACTAACCAAAAGGGATGACCAACCTGCAGGGCGGAGTGCCCGTCATCGGGGAGCTGCCGCTGCTGCGCGATACCTACTACAGCGTGGAGCTCCTTGCGGAGCACTTTGTGCCCGAGTGGAACGCCACGATCAAGTTCCCGCTGGAGGAGGACGTCTACTGGGACCGGGAGACGGAGAGCTGGGAGTGGGTGTATGGCCGGCAGGAGAAGTTTCATCTCATCCGCACACCTGCGGAGGAGGAGAGTGACGAGCTATGAGTTCATGATGCAGATGCATTTGCGGGCATGATCCTGGAAAGAGCAACAGCGGTCCTATTTTCCAGATACTTCACGAGAGAGAAGTACTGAACAAGTACAGCATGAGTTTTTGAAATGACTAACAATGGTAGATATGGTCTATGTTCGTATTTGGTCGTGATATATAAGGGACGAATGTCGATATGTACCTATGAACGCCGTTGAGGAAAACCCCTCAACACTAGCATCATGCAGACGGGGAAGGCCCTCGCAGTCTGAGAACGATTGCAGTAAGGTCAATGCAATGAGACACTTTCCATCCTCTTTTTTCTACAGCCACCCCGTTCCTCCACCCATGGGAGCTCTCTCCTCCCAATTTAGAAGATCGAGTTGACGAGATTACCACCCAGCGTAGCACCCGCGCCAAAGATGGCCGCGTTACCGAGCTTCTTGCCAAACTTCTTGCCCATCTCGCCCGCCTTGCCGCCGCCATCGCCGCCGCCCTCACCACCACCTTGTTGGTTACCGCCGCCCTGCTCCGCCACAGCCATCGGCGGCACGTTGGCGTTGTACGGGTTCTGCTGCGCCGGGGCGGGCGGGTACCCGCCGTACATGGGCTGCTGCTGGGGCGGCGCTCCTCCGTACAACCCGCCGGCGGACTTCTCGTCGACGTAGCCGCCGTTGGGGGGCCCCGCGGGCGCCGCCGAGGGCGGCTCGGGCTGGACGTAGTTGCGCGGGAAGATGCCCTCGTGGCCCGTGCGCAGGTTCCGCCCCATCCACCAGTCCGGGTTCATGTACTCGTGCACGGCGATGCGGTCGTCGCGCTCAAAGGAGCAGTCGCGCGCGTCGGACGCGGCGTAGCGGTAGAGCGCGCGGGCGTGGCAGAGCACGGGCTTGGCGGGGGGCGGGGGGCCCGGCGGGGGCATGACGACGTCCGCCGCTCCTCCGGGGGGGCCGGGCGGCGGGAGGGCGGCGGCGGCGCTGGAGGACCCCGTGGTCTGGGCGTAGGACGGAGGACCGCCGCCGCCGCCGCCGAGGTTCAGGTTGTGGAGGGAGGCGGTGGGCGGGGACGAGGGCGCCGGGGAGGCGGTCTGGGCGGGCGTGGGCAGGCCTCCCGGCCCGCGGTTGGCGGCGGGCGTGGCGTTGCGGGAGGCGCCTGACAGGGAGGACTCTGAGGGCAGGAGGCTGTGGATCTTGTCGAAGGCGTCGTCGTCTATGACGCCCTTCTCGAGGAGGGACTCGAGTTCCTGTTTTTGTCACGACGGGTCACATCAGCCATTTGTCTTTCTTTCTTTCTGTCTCTCTGCCGGAGAGGGGTTGAGGAAGGGAAGGGGAGAGAGGGGTGTTGAGAGAAAGAGCAGCGGCGGCATACATTCTTGATGAGGCGCAGAGACCGGTTGGCCTCGATGGTGCGCTGGCGCTCTTCGGAGACCATGGTGATGTTTCCACCCGAGGGAGGGGGTCTGATATCTGGTGTATTGTGCGATCAGGGCCGAGGGAGTGCTGCTCGGCTACTCGATAAGAAATCTTTGAAGGGACCTGGCTCGTAGTGGTTGGAGCTCGACAGTCCGGGATATTCGGGCGACGTTGAAGGAAGGTTAAAGAACAGTTCAAGGTTGTTGGTTGCAGGGTGGAAGGGGGGCATCGAATAGGTATACTTGTGGGGTTCGCGCCACCCTTCAGACAGGCAGATGTCGCACATCCAGCGCAGTTGGGGGCGCGGATGTACGGGCATGTTCTGGAAACCCAGGACCCTTTATCCCCACTAGTTACTTACTGCTGAGTCGGCCACTGAAAGCTGACCGCCCGCCACTGCCAACTAGCGAAGCCGACCCGCTGGAGAACAGCCCATTGGCGGGACCGTACAAGGGCTCAGGAGAGGCCGCCTTGGCGATCTGCCGTTCTGTCCGGCGTGTGGCCTGGCTTGACCTGGATTCGTACGCCGAAGCGGTTCATCGACGCCATCAACGTACCGTATCAGTCATGATAAATTCCGTGTACGAACACTCTACGGAGAAAGAAAGGATCGAAGCTCAAGCTACGGTCGCTTTCGACGAAAACCAAGAACCAATAGGAACCTAGCATCGTGTCATACACTAATACTAACCTCCTCGGTGACGGAAGGGTGTTGGCAACAAGTCGTGAATGCGTCTTGAGCCCGAGTAGCACTCTCATTATGTTGATTGGTATATCCAAGTTGGGCATCTACTCCCCCTACCATCCTCATGTCTAAGATAAACATCCCAAATATCTCCGCGTCCGCGGCGCTCAGGTGGTATAATATAAAAAGCAAAGGTGAGCCTCCTCCAGCCTCCAGCCCCATGAGACAAAATGAAGTCGAGAAGGAATAACAAAGATGAGATGTGGTTCATGAACCACCAGAAGTAGCAGCCGTTGCAGGCTTGGTATATGCCAAAATGTCGTCGGATATGGTCCGAATCTAATAAAAAAAGAATATCGTCGATGCTGCGCAGAAATAGAATGGCTGCAAGGGAAAAGCAAGTCGTTTCGTCTAAAACGGGTCGTGTCATGCATGCATCGAAGCTTGCGCAGAAAAAAAAAAGGCATGGCTTGCGCGGTTCGTCTCGCGGCAGTCGTCGGTCCTCATTAGTCCTGCGCCCCCGTAGTCGTAGTCATCACCGGGTCGTCGATCCCTCCCTCGTCAAAGACCTCCTCCTCAAGAGCTGCCGGCCACTCGGGCAGCTGCATGGGCCCGTACGCGACGCCCTGCTCCTGCTCCAGTTCCTTCCTCATGATCTCCCCGGCGAGCTCCCAGCGCCGGTACAGCGCATTCTTCCGGTCTTCAAAGAGGCGCGTCAGGGCCTCTTCGTCCTGCACAAAGTCGGCCTCGAGGTCCTGGATCGACTGGGCCCGAGACTCGAGCAGCGTCTCCATCTCCCGCTCTTGACGGTCCAGCAGGTCCTCCATGCGCTTGGCCTGCTGGTCGCGCAGGACGTTGATCCGGGCCTGGTGCAGCCGCTCCATGCCGTCCCTGAGATTGTACTGCTGGCCGAGCTCCCTCAAGTCTCGCTCCGTCACAACCCTGGGCGGCATGCCGGGGTCCTTCTCGTCCTGGCGGCCGCGGCCGCGGCCGAGGGCGTCGCAGTAGGCTTCCATGTGCCGCAGGCGGATGCGGACACTCCTCTCGCTCTGTTCCAGCGTGGCCCGGAGCTCCATCTCCGCGGCGACCTGCCGATCCTCCAGCTGCTGAGCCGTCTTGGCGTGCCGCTCCTTCATCTTCTCTACCCGGCTCGCAAATTCGCCAACCATGGCCGACTTGGTCTGCGAGTGCCGCGACCACTGCACCCATCTCGTTTTTCGCTCAAACATGCGAAACCTTGCCATCTCCTGCTCTTGATCCGCGCGCAGAGCCTTGAACTCCTCGCTCGAGGCGGTCCTCTCGTCGGCCTCTTTTCTCTCTTCCTCGGCTCGGACCACCGCCTTTCGCTGCTCCTCCTTGATCGCGTCTTCCTCGGCGGTCCGCGCGGCCTCTTCCTGCCTCATCCGCTCCAGCTCTCCTTCTCCGTCACAGTAGTTTGGGCACCCGAGGGTGTTGTCCCAGACAGCGCCGCATATATAGCAAAATTGCGCCTTGCACCGGCAAGTCATGTGCGTGCATCCGTCCGTCAGCTCGACCAGGGACCGACATTTATAACAGCGTCGCCAGCCAGACTTCTCCCCCATCTTCAGCACCGCGTCTAGTTCCCAGTCGCCGGGGCAATCCTGCCCGAACGGATGCGCTTGCTTCTTGCACATTACACACACGCGCGTCCGGCATTTCCTGCACACAACTTCGGAGGGGTGCTTCGGGTCGATCCTGCTCCGCGGCGGTATGAACTCGAGACAGGTCATGGCCGGGCAGAATATCCGAGCCTCCCATGGGACCGAGAACTGGACAACGGCTTTCAGGAATGAGTGCTGCTCGTCCCGACTCAGCACAGACCTGACGGTCGAGGAGGGGATCGGCTGTGTACAGCATCGCGGCGGCATCTTGGACTCGTCCGCGCCTGCCTGGTTGATCATGACATGCAGACATTTCGAACAGTAGGTGTGGCCACAAGGCAGGTAGTGCAGCGTCTGGTCTGGCTCGAATTCTTCCCGGCAACAGATACACGGCACGGCATCACGTCCGCCAAGGTCCGTCGACCGCTTCCTCAGCCAAGACACCCTCTCGAGGCTGCGCCTGAAGTTTGTGTAGCCCTTCCTGGACTTTGTGCTGAATACGCTCGCCGTCGACTCGGATGTGCCCAGTCTGTCCAGCTTGGGCTGTTTGAGGTCCGGGTCGACATTGGCGAGGTACTTGTCATACTGCGAGAAGCTCAAGCGGTCCGCGCGCTTCCTTATGACCTCCAGGACGGCGCCGTCCGTCTTGCCAATCTCCCTCAGGGAGGAGTGCGAGGTGAGCGCCGTGCTCGCCGTCGCGGCGGAGCCCGTGGAGAAGCTCCGGGCGTGGCCGGCGGTCGCGACGGTGATGGCCGACTCGGCGCAGGACGTGTTGGTCGGGTGCTTCTGGGCAGTCGCGCTGGCGGGCCGAGACAGCGTCGTCGTGGAGATGCCCAGCGCGGCGGCGCGCGCGGCGAGCTCGCTGTCGATGTCAGCCTCGGACCGGCTGTCGGTGAGGTGGAGGACCACGGCCCGGTACTCGTTCTCGTCGAGGCCCGGCTGGTGGCCGTTGGGGTTGGTGGTGGTGGTGCCGCCGCCGCCGCTGCTACCAGCAGGCGCAGTCTGCGCCCTGGGCGGCGACGCCGGCGGCACAGGCGCTACGGCTGAGCTCATGGGTGCGCGACTCTGCCGGAGGGCGTGCCCCGTAGGCAGTGAGAGAAGCAACTCCTCGTGCCGGCACGTAGCAGCAGCAGCAGAGGAGTTTAAGAGGGGGGAGGGGGGGAAGAGTTCAGTCGAATATGGGCACGTGAAGCCGACCGACCATGGCTTGCGTTTAAACCTCCAGTGTGCCTATATGTGCAATGGGATATGGGCCGGCCAGGGATTCATGAAGGGCCAGAGCGCGCGGGCGGACGGGCGATCAACGGTGACGAAGAGTGACGAGAGGAGAGGTTGTATTGGATATGGGGCAGGCTCTCTCATACGTGTCTGTGTCGAGGTCGGGGTCGGGGTCACCCAAGCAAAGCTGAAGCTTCCCAAGTCAGAATTGGCTCTCTGTCAACGAGGATCAATGCGCGGTCCAAGGGCGAAAAGGTAGGAGCGGTTGGTCCGCGTGCGTGGGGGTAAGGCGCGGGCAGGAGTGATTTCCGCTGTGAGTTGCTTGTTCACAGCGTCCGTAGGATCAATGGGAGTGGTCTCTCTCTCAAAGAGACAGAAGATCTTCTCTGCGATTGGAGAGGGGAACACAAGAACGATGAGCTCGAGAATGGCGAGATCTTTTCTTTGCAGCCGGCTTGAGCTTGGTGGCGGCCACTATGGACTTGGGCGGCGGCGTCGGCGGCGGGTGTAACTGCTGTGCCGATTGGACGATGTCAGGCGGGAGTAAATCGCCGGTCTATCTCTCTCGAGGTCAGGTCAGGTCGCAGCAGCGAACGCGTGTTTATTGGACGACGCCAAAGTGCCGTACGATGGTGGATGAAAATGACAAGGGGGCTCTCTGCTTTTATCGAAGCGCCTCAAGCCCGCCACGCAGGTGAGAGAGGGAGTTTGTGTGTGATGCTTCTCGGAGTCAAGAGGACGAGAACAGAGAAGGGAAAGAGGTTCATATCAAGCACGGAGTGGGTGGATGAGAAGAGAAAGGGAAAGAGGAAGCAGAAGGCATCAGGCGGTCTGCAGACCCAGCAACAGCACAATGCTCACCTCACCACATTCATCCTGCCAGACATGCAGAGCAGATGCAATCAAATCGTGGTCCATCCGGCGCATCTACCCACCAGACAAATGACCAGACAAACCCACCCCTCCTCCTCCTCCTCTGCTCTGAATGCCCATGCGTGCGTCCCACAGGCATTCCCCATCCACCTGACTGCCTCTGTTTGCGATCAGTGGTCGTGGCCGTGGCTAGTGGGACCCAATATCCCAGTGTAATGTGCAATACAAGTACTCCGTAGCCTACGTAGGTACGTGGATGGGCTCACCAGTGGGGCCCGGCCAGCGGTCTACGTTACTGGAAGCAGGGTAGTGCCATGGGAAAAAGAGGGTGTGCAGTGGATCGCGCCGTCCGTAACAAGAAGAGGCCCGGCTCGCAAGTGTCAAAACTCAAGCCAAAAAAAACCTTCGCTCGGAAGATAAAGCGGAAGCCCGCGGGTACACACACACAGATGCTTTACAGGTAGTTACACGTCCCCCAAGACCGGGCAGCTGGAGCAGGTGGTTGGCTATCAGAGCTCGGTGACAAGCCACCGGGCTACTTGGTAAGAAAAAAGGACCCGAGCTGCTCATGACGGGAGCGTTGTCGTGATGGCATGGCTGGCGTTTAGGTAACTAACTCTCGCTCCCTTGTCGTCTTGCTTATTGTTACGCCGAGAGACGGCCTAGTGATCGATGCCGATCGGCACTGGAGCTGCCCTATCCCTATCCCAGCTGTCCGTGCACCACAGCACGCAATTGTCCATGACAAGGGCATTGACCAGGGCGGTGTTCGAGGAAATGGAGAGACTCTACCTCAGGTAGATGGAGAAGTCTACTTGTACAACATCTCATCTAGGGACAGCACGCTAGAAGCAGCCAAGACATACACAAGAGCCCCAGAGCGGCTCAGGCCTCTCGCCATCTCTCTCCATACTCCATACTGCATGTCTTAGCCTCGACCGCTGCTAAACCCAGACGAGCAAACTGTCCGGCTGAGACAAGACAAGGCAGTACACTCGTCTCCAGTAAAAAGGAAAGAAATGCCAGAGGGGAGAGACATTCCAGCGCCTGACATGCGTACTTGCACGTGCCTATTAGATAGTTAGGTATTCAACGTACTTCACAACACAATGGCCGGTTCTGGTGTGCAATCCAGTCCTCGCTTAGAGGGCGGGAAATGGAAAGCAGGGGTTTTCTCTCCCCGTTTCTCCCCCTCCGATCGATGGCGACGGGAAGTCTATCTGGTTTTGGCAAGCCGCCAATCTGCTCATCGCGATGTGGGATGTGGCTCGCCCGCACAGGGGGTCACCGTTGGCAACTAGGGACCAGTCGCTGTGGACCACGGCCAAGTCTGCAGACGATCAGTGGATCTCTCCAGTGGAGGAGGGTTCGGTCCCCTAAAACAGTGCTGCAAGATACCTAGGTAGTGGATGGGAAACTGCGTCAATGCCAAAATGCCCTTCGGCCAAACGCTCATCATGCAAGAGTCGCTTTCAGCTCCGATCCCTCCCCCCCAAACTAGCGATGGCTTTCGTCTCTGCAGCTGCCCGACGCTTCTCAAGAGAGGCTCTGTGGGACGCTGGGCCTGATCGAAAGCCTGGCTGGGCTGGGAGGACCGGACCTCACGGGAATTCTGGCTCTTGGGCCTCCTCCTATCCTGGCATGACAAGGCAGGATCGCAGACAAGACACACACAAGGAAACGCAAAGAATCCACCAACACGGCGAAATGCCCGATGGCTGCACGCCAAACCCAACATCCAACGATGCGGCGCTTGGAACCCGGGTGCCAAGGCAATCGGCAGCGCCTCACCACCTCTCCTGACTGGACAGTGACCACCATCATGATGCAGCCGGCGGCGCCTACGTCGGTGCTCACCGCTTCCAAGGCGAGTGCATAATATTGGACCATATGGTACATCAAGGCGGCAAGCTAGTATCTTGACCTGCGTCACCAAAGGGATGGGAATCAGTGGGGAAGGGGCTGCTTTTGCGCCCCATTCAAGTTGGCTTACATAGGTAGACTACGTACAAACAGCAAGCGGCTCTTTGGTTGTACAAGTAGGTCTGGTATTTGCTTCTTTTTCTTCTTAGACTTCGCCCTACCCGGCATCGCCAAACCGATGGCGTCCAGCCCGGCTCGATACCAAGCCCTGCAACGGTCGCATTGTATGCAAGTCAGGCGGCTTGAATATTTCTTTGCCCATCCATCAAAGGGGGACCCCCCGCACTGTCTCTCCCCAGCTCTTGACAAACGTATCGACCCTCCGACAAAAAGGATGGGAACAGGCAAACGCCACAGCTAAACTCAAAAGTTGGTTCAGAAGAATACAACGGTAGCGACCGAGCGTTTGGCCCGAAAATGTGCGAAGATCAGGCACCCGTTCGCTCGCAAGAAACCATGGCGACTGCTCGTATTCGTCTCCTAGGTAGGACAACTCTATCATTGCTTCTTCCTCTGGTGTCCCCGCCCAAGTTGACAGCGGCTTGCTTTTTGATGGCGGGTCAGAGCCGCGACAACACATCCCACCTGCTGGGCTCCAGTGATAACTGTCTTGGCAGAGGTAGGCTATTCAGCTAGGAAGCAGCATGAAGTCAGGGACGCCGGTGCTTCCCGCCAGATAGCTAGCTGGTCTGACCAAGCAAGGGCAAAGTCCACATCGTGCTAATATTCTCGTACATTTTTGTTTCGGCAGTGAGGCTGTAGCCCTCGGTCTCACTAACAAATCCGTTCTTCTCATACCCACTTAGTGTCACAAGTTGTGAGGGTGTCTAGCAGAGCTCCAGAAGCTCCCACTGCGCAAGCCAGCCCACGCTCTCCCCGACGTTCCGTACAATACACAGCCTCGCCTCGATCTTGGACTTGGGCCTGGTCAAGTTTCTCGGGTCCGCCGCCTCGAGCGCCTTCTTTGCGGCGATGTGCCCCATGGCAAACCCCCTCCCGAGACTCAGGTTGACCTCGCCGGTGGTCACAAAGCCCATCAGGTCCTCCTCGCCTGGGACTAGCGGGTACCCACCCATGTCTGTCTCGTTGCCCTTCGGACGCGGGTACGGCAGCTCCGTCGTGAGGAGCGACTGCGCCATCAGCCGCTTGCGGGTCTGCAGATCCGCGTCCTTGGGCATGGCCTTTGGCTGAGGTGGCCGTCTCGACCAAGCCTTCTTGTGGCGGGGAGTGCCCCTTTGCTGAGAGGGCTGCGGGGCGAGGCTGAGCCACTGGTCCCGCAGATTGGAAGGAAGTGCGCCGGGCTTGGACGGAGGTATCGTCGCTGGCACTTCGGCTTGAGTGCTCTGGACAGCCGTTCTATCGCGTGTGGGGAGGCGGTATATCCTTGCGCAGGGAGACGGCACTCCTCGCCCCAGCATCGTGATCCTGACCGTTGATACTGTGGGTACTCCGCACAAAGACGCCAGGTCTCGATCCTGCTTTGATAGGCTGGTATCGAATGACCATTTTGGAAAATGGCACATATCCCGTAGAGGATGGCTGTCAAACGCCACGCCTTTGCTCTCTGACTGTCCTTCTGCAGTCTTCTTGTTGTTTTCTGGGAGCAGCTTTGCTTCGACACGCTCAACAGGCGGCATTCCAAAGAGCAGTTCCCAGTCACACGCAAACCCAGATCCGATCTCGCCCTTCCGTCCAGCGCCGAGATCAAGTGACTCCCATACCGGTCTCTTGCTCTTTGGGCGACGCTTCCACTCCCGTTCTCTGCGCTCGCGCTCCCGGAACTCCCACTCGAGACCGGCAAGCGTGCCGGGGTAATCACCAGGAAACCAGGGGAGGCCTTGCTCGTAGGTGACTTGCCGTAACTCATTCAAACCTCCGAAGCGGGGGTTACCGCCAGTGGATAGCGGATAGTGCACAAGGCTGTGCCATATGGGGAGGATACACTTCCAAGGAGCCATTAAAGTCCACGAACCATGTGTGCCCGATCCAGTAATATCTCCTCTCGAGGCCACCAAGATGATAGGGATAGGAGGATCAGCAGGGATGGGCTCAAGTTCCTTGCCAGGCACTCTTGCAGCCTTGCGCCTGTTCAGCGAGCTCAGGGAAGGGAGTTCTGCGGCCCGGCGCCGTGCCTCGTCATCAAACAGTGGTGAAGGTTTGAGATCGCCATCTGCAGGCCAATGCGCCAGGGTGTTGGCAAATTCCAAAGCGATATCGCCAGTTTCAGAAGGGGGGTCGTGATATGTCTTCGGTGGGTAGTGAAGACGGGGATCTTCTATGTTGAAAGACAAGATGACGTTCTTGGGGAGAGAAGCTGGGTTTGTACCAGCCGGAAGCTCGCTGAAAGTCTTTGCGTTCAAGTCGGTGAAGTCTATTGATTCCCTTGGCTTCCCTTTCTTTTTCGATGGCCGCAGAATGCCCTTCAAGGATTCCGTGCAGCCCGGGCCGGCGATCTCAATGCTGCCAATCTCCCAGCGAAGGTCCTGCAAGGTGACATGAAGGCTATGCAACTTGATCTGTCGCAGGAGTTCGTCCCAGACCTGCTGGAACGATGCTGGGTGCACTCTTATGAGGAGCATTCTCGATGATTTGACTGAGCCGCTCTCTCCCGGTCCAGAAACTGCTGCAGTTTCCGTTTCCGGGTTGTATATCACGGTGGCCACTGCCTGCAAGGAGCCCTCGCCGGGAAGAATAGACCCTTTCTTGTTGCCTACCCTCCACAGTTGGGTCATAGCGCGCGCACCATCTCTGACCTTTTTCTGCATCGCTTTACCATCACGACACATGTCAAGACCGATGAGCAGGTCAAGGTGATCAGGGTTACCATGCAACCTGATAGTGCTGGTGTAACTTGTATCCCAGCACATGGCGCCTTTAATGGTGGAGGCGCGGTGAGTTGGTCGATAGACCTTCTCTGTGGGTGTAAGTGGTATGGAGAACTTCCACAGAGGATCTGTGGGTTCTGTCATCCGAGCCCTTTTGGTGTGCCAGATGTGCGTAGGCAGCCATACTTTCTCCCGCTGACGCTTCGCAAACTTGGACCGCTTCTCAGGCGGGTCCAGCAGCGTGTTCTTCTTGACCTTGGGCCTCGCAGGCCGCGATTGGACGTAGGAGTCGACAACCATCGCATCGCCGGCCGCAGCCTTATCTGCTGCATCTTTGAGCTGTCTGTTTCGTTTCCTCTTGGCGAGGATGCCCAGCCTCTTTGCAGTCTCAGCACGGATCCTGGCTTTGGTGGTCCGTGGCTTCCTCCTCCGCGAGTCGACAGTGGGCGTGTTGTCCACCTGCATCTCGTGGCGCGCCCGCCTTCGCAGCCTTTTCGGGAGCCTTTTCGCATTGTGACTTGCGGTGCGCCTCCTCATGTCGCGCGGCACGACCTGGAATGCCCGTCGTGCGGACACAGCCTTGGAGTTGCACATGTTGGCTTCGAGGGCCTTGATCTCGAACTCTCGGGAGCTCAAGAAGGCCTGCAGGTCCAGCTCGCCATTGTTCTGGGCCGCGGCTGCCGGCTGGCTCTGGATTCTCCTAGCATCAAAGACCTTGACACGCTTGGCGGCGCGTCCGCCCTGGCTGTTGTCCCCATTGCCCTGCTTGCCGGGATTGCGGCCGGGCTGGGACGAGTCTTTGCGCTTCGGGGGGGGCTGCTGCTCCCTAGAGGAGATAGCACGTTCTTTGGGCCCCATTTCACTTCATTGGAGAGGAACTGTGGGAAAGATGTCGACTTTGTGTTCGTACATGAAGGCACACCCAAACTTTTGATGGAGGAAAAACGTCCACTGTGGTCGATAAGAGCTCCTTATCTTATCGGCGATAGTTACAGTAACCGCCCAACCAGCTGTCTGGTTACAGCAGCTCCACAGCGCCTCTACCAAAATCCCGGAAGACGCCAAGAGATTTAAAATGCACATGCAACCACTTCAACTTCAATCGTTCCATCCAAATAGATCTTGTATCATGGCCAACCCGCCAGGTAGGATGGCATTTTGGCACTCGACGTCTGCGGATACCATGCTTGTCGTGCCACTACGGAGGCGAGGGGCAAACGAACACTACTGCGAACCATACGAGAACTGACAATCTTTTCCACAAATGTACTTGCTATCAAAGAGCGTGAGGCTGGACAAAACTTCTCGACACGCCAGCAGTCATCCCGAAGCAAAAGACTCAGCGATACAAATCGACTAAAAAGAACTGGAAGTCCCCAGCAGAAGCATCCCTTCACGAGTCTCAAAGCATCTACCACAGCCAGACATCGTCAGAGTCCTTCTGCAGCTGCTTGCTCTTCTTCCACAGCCAGACGGCGTCGGCGTCGGTGGTAGCACCATCGCGCTTCGTCTTCCAGAGCCAGATGGCGTCGGAGTCGGTGGTGGCTCCGTCGCGCTTGGTCTTCCAGAGCCAGATGTTGTCGGCATCAGTCTCGGCGCCGTCGCGCTTCTTGCCGGCCCAGAACATAGTGTTGCCCTCGGTGGCGACGTGCTTCTTCCAGAGCCAGATGGCGTCGGCATCAGTCTCGGCAGGCTCGCGGGCTACATTGTCTGTTGACTGTGTTAGCTCGCTGCTATCATAGCGAAGCTTTGCGGTGAGGAAGCTCACTGGTCTCGGCGATGGGGGAGCCATTGACGAGGGCAAGGAGGAAAGGGGCCACGAAGGCGAGCTGCTTGAGCTGCATGTTGACTTTGTGAGTTACTGGACTGAAATTGTGACTGAAAAGGGGATGTTGGATGAGACAAGTCGAGAAACCGAGATGGCAGAGTGGTTCTCTCGCGACTTCAAGTACACGCAGCTCCCGCCTTTATTAGTCGCCGAGAAGAGCCTGCATACTCGGATCTTGGTATCCCCCCTCCTCGGATTAGTATTCACCTGCCTAAGACGCCCAAGATCTGCTCGTAACAGCTTGACGATACCCAATGCGAGGCATAGCGTAGTAATGGTACCTTTGTCTCGAAAAACGATACCAGTCGCACCCCATCGCCCCACTGTGTACGTGTGTGGCACAGAGTCTTGTTTTCGAGAGTTGCAGCTCGCGGCCAGCATGTTTTAGGAAGGCCTTTAACATCTACTAGTCAGTGCTGTATCATGGTGACGGTCTTGCGTTGCACCCGACGAAGCCATTAGGAAGGTAGCTGTGTGCCGATGCCTCAACCCCTCATGAACGCCCGGCGTCTGCATGTAAGCCCAGCCGATCCACGCCGATTCGAGAAGGTCCAAGTAGTTTCACCTACGATGACGATCAGAGGAGGCTCTTATCCGTGATAACCGACGTCAATTCCTCTTCTCCTCTGACCGCCCGGGCGTTATTTCGATGCTACTTTACCCGGGCTCTCATTTTCACTCCAAACATCAACTCTCGTCTCCTTCCACAACCTCTTGCCCTCGCAGGATTCTATTTGTATTTTGCAACATCTGTCTATGAAAATGGGGATTCTAGAGAAGAACAAAGACCCGGCCTACTCGCCTATTACAGACGACCAGACTTCTGACTCTGCCAGAGAGTCGGACGACCTCATCTACGATGGGGACCGGTCACAGTTCAAGACGTCTCGCAGGCGCCCCGGATGGATGGTGATCATCGGGTTCGTGGCTCTCCTGGCCTACTCTGCCGTCCTCCTCACTGCTTCTTCATGGTGGTGGAAGAAGGAGAGACTGCACGGCGCCAATGTTATCGACTGTGAGTTCAGAACAACCTCCCGCGTCTGTCTGTTTTCTTTTCCTGGACTCCTATGCTGACTCTTGCCATATAGCACCGATAAGAGACTATATCAAGTACGAGCCCACGTTCTTCAAGCACACCGAGATGGCCAAGGACACCATGCTCGTGGGGGAGCCGAGCCCGGAGCTCGAGCGCAACTGGCACGCCATCATGCAGTACTTCTACGCCGAGGTGCCCAAGGAGTACATGCAGAAGCTGGGCCGGGAGAAGGAGGGAATTCGCATGGCCAATGGCAACTACCTCGCCAACTATGCTTTTATCCATCAGCTTCACTGCTTGGTATGAACTTTTTCGAGAGTGAAATGCTTGCTCTTTACCGAAGGATCGTCGTGTAAGCTGACTTGTCCTCCTCTACACCCGCAGAAACGTCTTCACCACAACTTCTATCCCGACCACTACTTCCCCGACATGACGGAGGATGAGCAGGCTCTGCAGAAGGAGCACAGCAGTACGTTTTCCTTTCTGTCCCTTTCCGTGTAGCCAGTGCGTGTGTGGCCGTGACCTCTCTTGTTCTCGGTGCTGACTCCCTTCGTCCGCCCTTTCCGCAGTGCACTGCATCCAGATGCTCATCGAGGCCATCATGTGCAAGGCGGACGAGACGCCGCTGACCATGTTCTGGTTCAACGAGAGCATCCTGCCCGGCGGCAACCGGACGATCGCGCACGAGTGCGTCGACTGGAAGCTGCTGCTCGAGGGCATGGAGAAGGTCAAGGTCGACCCCTTCGAGGAGGGCCTGCTCATCCACCCCAAGTTCGGCGCCGTGGTGCCGGACGGGCGCGACACGGTGCTGGACAACAGGATCGGCTATGTTATGCACGCGACCCCGTTGGACAGGGATAAGTATCCGTGAGCGCCTCACGCGTGCATGAGAGACCTCCTTTTTGAGGAGTCGGCAAAGTGGTAGCCGGGAAAAGTGACCCGGTGCGAGACGGGGATTGCTACTCTGGGGATTCTCTATTGGGTTGGGGATGTTGTCCCTGAGAAACCTTGCAGTCTCTTCTATTGATGTACTAAAACAAACAAATGGGTCGTAAAATGAACAAGAAAATCCCTGAAATGATTTGTTCCTCAGTGCGATCGACGGTAGGACTGGATCTGCAGGTCAAGACGGTATGACGAAAAAAAACAAAATGGCTTGCCTGTAGAGCACACGATCATCACGGAGGGTAACACATAAACTAAAGTCTCATCAGATCTTCCTCTTCCGACCTAGACCAGCGAGTTTACCTTCAGGGTGGTATCCCAAGCTGGCCAGCCCAGACAGGGCTGGGATCATGATGATGTTCGGACGTTTGTTCTTGGCAGTCCGAGGATTCTCGCACTCCGATTGGAAGCCACGCCTCGAGTTACATTCGACGTCGTCTTTCCTGTCAGGGAGATACGCCGTTGTTGGTTGTCGTCTCCCCGCTCGAGTAAGCGCGCGGGCCGTTGGTCTGGCACCTTTGATACGACCGTAGCAGGCCCCCCGCGCCCGCCGCCCGGGATTTCCGAGAGGCCCTGATTGGCCACGGCAGGACGGTCGTTCGGGTTCGTATCCAAGAGTCGTCGCCTATCTCGCCATGACGTGGACGCGGTCCTCACCGCGGGGCCTTTGTTGCCGATATGTCCAAGACGGGAAGGTGGATATGGTATCCCAGCCAGATCCCAAATCCTCCCCCGCTCGACCAAGACGAAGGTGATGGATATGCCGCAGATAACCTAGGATGGTGGTTGGCTAGAGTACGCGTGATACCGTCCGAATCTTGTTGCTGTTCCGGTGCTATAAGCTCGACAGACTCGGTAGATGATGCATCTCTTGAGACTAGTTCATGGCTCAGTGATCAGGCTGGCCTTGGCTCACCTGATCTGAACTTTGCCTTTCCAAGACTTTGAATATTCATGAATCCGTTCCGTCAGCACATTCACACAACATGTGAGGCGGCGTACAAGCACGATGTCAGTAGACAAGTGTCGACGCCGAGCTATGCCACCAAGTGAGGGTCAGATTAGTTGACAGACTGCTAACAGAAGTACTTGTCTACCCAGCAAGCCCATCGGATTTAGGTAGTGGGATAGCCCTTCCGAGTTCCAGGGCAAGGATGTGACAAGGATATTGATTGTTAAGATCGAGGTAGCTCCTGATGAACTTCTGTCAACTATTCAGAAGCCCACTTGGCCACTTGGCAGCTTAAGACTGTATCGATCTAGGGAAGACGTATACAGATTGCGGCTCAGAAGAAGAGGTTGAGGAGGCTGTGGACACAATTGATCTAATTGGAAAAAGGACTGTTGCGGTCCGTACACTCTAGGAGGGAGGAGCAAGAGTGCGTACATGAAACTGAGTGACGGCCGTCTTGACAATGGACGCAGTCATGCTGCACGCACAGTCCGAGCATCGCGGATGTCGCCAGTCACGTGCCTTTTGCTACAAAAATCCATCTCTCCGCGAAACCGAAGAAGCAGGAGAACTAGATGGCCCCTTTTTCTGGAAGCGCCACAAAACCGCTTCAGGCATGAGATGAGATGGAACATGATGTGATGAGACGTGCAGTGTTGGGTTAGCGTGACAGCCACCATCTTCCCCTGACGAACCACTAAAATAACGGATCTTATCAGTGATATGGTGCTGTTCCCCACTATTTCCAACGCCCTGGAGAGGGAGAGAGGGGGGCTTTTGGCGGTTCTAGGCCTTAAACGAAGGGTCTTCTTGGCACACCAGCAATGGATGATCTTCGCCCATATTACCAAAGCAATTCTTGACAAACGCCTGGGGAGGCCTCGTCTTAGGATCAAAGTCCGCCTCGCGCTACGCCGGCATTTGCACGACTTGGCACAGCTTGAGCCTCCTTTTCCCTGTGTCCTCTGCCTCCTGAGTACCCGGGTTCGTGACTGATGCTAGGTTTCAACCTTGTCGCCAACAAGCAAAGGCGTATCAGTTGTGCGAAGTGCTTACGCAGCAACGCAAAAGCCGACTATTCCCCCTCCTTTTTCGGTGCCTTTTCGGGGTTCCAAGGCATGACGTCTGTGTACAAGCAAAGGCAGGGCAAAACTGGGTACTTTTTTAGTTAGCTGCTGCGGCTGCCACTGACGACGCGAGAGACGACCCCACGACGCAAACGCACTATCGCAGCCCGGGCCCTCAGCTCCCTCCCTCATCCCGGCCCGGATTTTGCCTCAATCTGCTCCCATCTCGCAATTTCGTCCCCAACTGCCAAACCGCTAGACTTGCTGCTTACTCCTCCTCTCCTCTACTTTGCGTACTTTGTGGCCCGCCAGACTCGACCAGCCCCTTTCTTTTGCAGCAGCACTTACTCGCTCCGTCCCATCCGAGACACCATCTACCAAATAGCCTTAGCCGGATCCGGGCCCCGTTCTAGCCTGCATTCCAGTCACTTGTCAGTGCCGGGCTCCTCATTCCTCGCTGCCGTCTGCTCGACTGTGCGCTGTCGCTGTCGCTGTCACTCTCGCTTCTCTCTCTCTCTCTCTGTGTGTGTGCGTTCCGCTTTGTTGGGCGGTGGCTTGTCATCCTCCAATCCACACAGTTACGTAGTACTACGGACAGCACCGCGCGCGCGCAATACGGACCGACACACACGCAACGCACTCCCCATACGGACCGGAGATAACCTTGTCACCCACAGCCAGACACACACCAAACCGCAGATGTTCCGGAGGTAGCAGCGGAAGCAGAGAGATCCATAGATGGCCTCGCTCAGTAAGTCTGACCTCAATCATGACTAGCGCACACCAAACCAACCCCAGGCGCGCCTCCTTCCGTCTTATCTGTCACACATGCGCTCTCTCCCAACATCATATCCCAACATGAGTAGCCTCCTCTCGCCATGATCCCATCTTGTCAAGCCCCAATGCGCACAATTCCGTGACTCGAGGCACTGCCTCGTCTTGGTTATATCTGCAACTCACGACTATACACCCGCCCTTTGTTTCGTCTACCCATCCCTCGTCCCAAGCTCTGCTCTCCAATGGGCGACTACCCTCGCCATTCTCTTGCGCCATGGTTCAATGGAAAATCCCCAAGCCGGCACTTGCTGACATCAAGGTTCTACCGGCAGTCAATAAGGCCAGGAGGGTAAGCGAAGCTTCCCCTTGTCTGCGCACGCATTGTCGCGGCGCAATGACATCAAGTGTACGACTGCGCTGACACGAGTCCAAATCCACACAGCCGAAATTCGAGCTCCATCTCAAGGTACGACCGAATGGCGAGACCTCCCAAAGACACTGGCGCATGCGCGCTCTGGCTGTCATGTCGGAGAACACCACATTAACAAGCTGTGCCTCTCTTTAGATCTACGACCTCAACAACGTCCCACTCGTCACCGGGCTGTCCCAGATAAAATGGCACCTACCGCACTCCATACACGGTGACCACCGCGGGCGCACGACCAAGGCCCCCATCGTGAACCACCGAGTCGAATACCACTACTCCAGGGTTGTCCCCGTCCGCATCGCCATCGACCGCAACAACAACCTGTCCGAATGCCCCATCGAGTTCGAGGTCCTGCAGGAGTTTGACTCTGGAGGAGTCGCGGGCCACGTCGAGAAGATTGTGCTGGGCAAGGTGACGTTGAATTTGGCCGAGTATGTCGAGGAGAGCGAGGCGATCGTACGGGAGCTGCGCCCGGGCACGGCAGAGGGCCCGCAGAGCAGGGGCCATGCGCGGCACAGGAGCTCTCTGAGCGCGCACACGGGAGGCACGAGTCGGAGCAGCCTGGACAGAGACGAGGCCCTGTCCGCCATGGACGCCGAGGAGGGCGTCGTGAGGAGGTACCTCATGCAGGAGAGCAAGGTCAACAGCACGCTCAAGATCGGCATCTTGATGGTGCAGATCGAAGGGGAGCGGAACTACATCGCGCCGGCGCTCAAGACGGCGCCCGTCTTTGGAGGCATCGCCGGCATCATGGCCGGAGAGCAGGTCGAGCAAGACGACGCAGGCCGTACGTTGTTCCCATCTTCTCCCAACTCAAGCAAGACACCAGGCCCCCCACTAACACATCCCACATAGAGCTCCCCAATCTCTCCAAGTCCCGCGACGCCTCCGAGGTGCAGGACATGTACCGCCGCGCCCTGGCCGCCTCGTGGGCCTGCCAGCCGGGCGACATGCCCGCCGACGAGTGCATCGAGGACATCTTTGGCGGCGGCTCCGGCTTCCGCGACCCGCTCTACACCACCGCCGCCGCCGCCACCTCGAGCCCGCGCGGGGCAGCGGCTCCGCCGACCATGACCACCACCGCCGCCACGGGAGCCTCGTCCTCGGACACGGCGTCCACGGCCTCGTCGTCGCCGCGCAGCAGGGGCCCGCCCCACGGCCGCTCGCGCTCCAACCTGCTCGCCCGCGACGACTCTGGGTCCGACGAGTTCGAAGGCGGCGGTGGGGGAGGAAGCACCCTGCGCCCGCGCGACGCCCGGCTTTTCCAGCAGCGCCAACAGCAACAGCAGCAGGGGCTGCACCACTCGCGCCAGCACAGCGGGGGCAGTCTGCACACCGTCACGCACAGGCCGGCCTCGCGCAGCAGCCAGCAGCGGCCGCCGAGCCGCAGCCGCGACGAGACGTTATCCGTGCGCGTGCCGTCCGGCGGCCCGGCCAGCAGCAGTGTGACCGGTGGCGGCGGCGGCCGCTCCCTGCGGTCCTCGGAGAGCATGGCCAGCCTGGCGACGACGCTGGGCAGCGACCGCGGGCGCGAAGGGTTCAAGCGGCCCAGCGAGGTCGGCGAGTTCGAGGTGCGGGACGACCTTGTCGCCTGGCGGTTGCCGGGGGCTGTGTCTTGAGAGAGAGAGAGAGGGAGAGAGAGAGAGAAACTTTACAAGTGAGCGAGAGAAGCTGCGGCTTTCTTTGTATATACACGGCAGCAAGAGGTGTAAGATGCAGGCGGGATCGGAAGGAGGGAGGAGTTGGAGTATGACTCTGTCTTTTTTTGAAAGCGCAGCGCCGGGGAGCTTTTTCATCCTCTTTTTTTTTTCACACTCTGCATCACGCATTCCGGCGCAAGACACTCTTTTTTCTCCTTTTTCTCGTCTTTCCTGGGTGTTTCGGGGGAGGCAAAAGAATAGGGAGGGAGGCCTTCTTTTTTTCTTCTTCTTTTTTTGACAGATCTAGGCGCAAATCACACCTGAGCGGAAACAAGGCTCTGGAGGGAGGGCGTATTCGTTTTTTTTGGGGGGGAGGCAAACCTCTAACATAACCAACTTGGCATTTGTTCTCTTATTCACCAGTCGTTAGATCGATATAGCGAGCCAGCAGCAATGCTAGTAGTAGAAGCACGAGTTGGAGAGAGAAGAGACGGAGTTTTTGAATCTCTGCATATCATTTCATCCCGCCACACCACAAGTTCTCCTTGACTGCAATCCGTGTATGCGCATAATGACGATGGACCGTGTGGAAAAAAAGAACTTTCTCTCGTTTCTATTAAATCTATCAGATCGATCCCCCTTTTCTTTGGTCCCAAATGCCCCCCCCTTTCGTCCCGGAAAATGACACGACGACACCAAATCAAAACACACAAAACTAGTCTATACGTGCCGTGCCGCAGGTCTCCATTCTTGCCGGGAGTTCAAAAAAGGGGGGAAGAAAGGGGCCCTTTGTCTATCCATCATGCTATCTCCTCTATCCCCCCCTCCTTTTTTTTCCTTCTCTTTTCTCGCACTCGACTCACAGAGTCCCCCGGACGCCGCCCTTGGCGCCGACTTCCCTCGCCGTGATGGTGACGCCCAGGTCGGCCGTGACGTTTATCGTGACCTCGATCTTGCCGTCGGGCTTGACGCCCTTGATGGCGGCCTCGGCCAGCGCGCCGCCGATCTTCCAGACCTTCTCGCGGTGCTCCTCCTCCTCGTCGTCCGAGTCGTCAAAGTCGGAATCGTCGTCGTCGTCCTCGTTGTCGTCCTCGACCTTGGCCTGCTTGCTGTCGCCGTTGGCCGCGGCCTTGGGCTCGGGCTTGGTGACCTTGATGTGGGTGCCGCCCTCGACGACCTTGATCAGGACGTCGCCGCCCTCCTTGGGAGCAGCGACGTGGACGGTGCGGCGGGCGGGGACGGCCGTCTCGGGGGGGATGATGGGGGTGAAGACCTCGTCGCCGCCGACGTCGGACAGGGTAATGACACCGATGGCGTTGGTGATGTGCTTAACGGTCGTGACGGCCGGGTGCGTGCTCTGCTCGATGTCGTCGGCCTCGTACTCCTGGACAAGCGACGCCTGCAGGGCAGCGCCGCGGGCCTGCAGTTCGGAGGGGTTGATGGCGGAGGCGGCGGTGCTGGGGGCCAGGATGGCGGTCGACTGAGGGAAGATGTAGCCAAAGTTGGCGGCAATGCGCGGGGTGTGGGAAGTACCGCCGGCCATGATGACCTCGTCAATGTCGAGGACATCGAGGCCAGCCTTCTTGACGACGGACTCGACGAGGCGGTTGAAGCCCTCAAAGACGGTGCGGGCAATGGTCTCGTACCGTAACCTGTTGATGGTGCTGGCAAAGTCGTAACCCTCGGCGAGCGACTCGACGCTGAAGCTGGCGTTGTTGCCCAGGCTCAGGGCCTTCTTGGTAGACTCGGCCTCGAGCTTGAGCTTGGCCAGGGCCCTGGTGTTCTCCCGGGGGTCGACACCGGCGTGCTTCTTGAGGAACTCCTTGGCGAAGTGGTCCATGAGGACCTTGTCGAGGGCGGCGCCGACAAACTCGTAGTCGTGAGCAGTGGCGAGGACGGTGTACATGCCGCTCCTTGAGGCGACGACGGCCACGTCGGAGCGGGTGCCGCCGAGGTCGGCGACGACGACGATCTTGTCCTTGACCTCAGCCTCGGGCCGGGCATCGTAAGCCAGGAGGGACGAGATGGGGTCGGAGATGAGCTGCAGGACCTCGAGGTCGGCGGCGTTGGCGGCGGCGATCAGGGCGGCGCGCTGCTTGTCGGAGAAGTTGGTGGGGACGGAGATGACGGCAGAGGTGACCTTCTTGCCCAGGTAGTCCGAGGCGGAGCCGACGAGGCGGCGCAGGTAGCGGGTGGTGACCTCGGAGACGGGCACGGTCGAAGCCTCGACGTCCTCGCCCTCCTTGTCCTGGAAGGAGAAGGCGACGGTGTTGTCGCTCTGTTGGGGGTGGGCGGAGGCGTGGCAGTGGGTCGGGTCGATCGACTTGAACCTATGGAGCCGTGTGAGCGATACGTATATTGATATCAAGTGAATGGTGGACAGCATACTCTTGGCCTAGGAAGTCCTTGAAGTAGGCGACGGTGTTCTTGGGGTTCCGGACCAGGAACGCCTTGGCCTGCTGGCCGTAGTACTCGTCGCCGCCGACATATGACAGGATCGTGGGGATCTGGCGGTCTAAGAAAGAAAAGGGCAAGAGTCAGTCAATCTTGTTGTTCTTTCTATCTGACGAGACTGAGCCAGCCATACCTCCATCCTCGTTGGCAATAACCTCGGCCTTGTCGTCGACGGTGTAGGCGATCGAGCTGTTGGAGTTACCAAAGGTAATACCAATGGCGACCCGGTCGCCAGGCGCAGGACCAGCAGTCATCTGTTCGATGTTCTCGGGAGTTGACGGGGGGCGGTATGCTCTAGATCAGGAACGCAACACGCTCAGGAGACTGGAAATCTAACGACCGAAGGCGAGGTGGTAAGAAAAGAGAGGCTTCGATGGTGGACGATTGGGGATGGTGGGGTTTCCAGCAATGGGCATTGAAAAAGATGCCCCCAAAAATTTCACAAAATTTTGGGCACGGTCCATCAGCGATCAAGACCAGGCCAGGCACGTTGCCAAGGCGTGCCTCAAAAGAGGAATCCACCTAAAAAATCCCACCCCACTCTCAGACTTTCCAGAGCAGTCAAAGAGAGAGAGACAAAAGAGATCCCCACACCAAATTGGCCCTACCAAAAGTTTCCTTAGAACAGCATCCCAACCGATGAAGCCTCACTTCCACAAAGCACATACACATACATACATACAAACACATCAACACACAACCACCAAGGCAGCCCTCCGAACCATGGAGCCAGAAAGGCCCGTCGTCCTCCCCGGCGACCCCATCGACCCGTCCTCCGTCCCGACGCACAAGAAGCTGCCCCTGCGCCTCGGGCCCGGCCTCCGGCACGTGCCGCCCGGCTCGATCGTGCCCACCGTCGCGGGCCAGCTCGCCGCGGACCCGCGCAGGAACTCGCTGTGGGTAGAGCACGGCGGCGGCGGCGGGCGGTACGTGCCCGCGGCGGGCGACCTCGTGCTGGGCCAGGTGCACCACTCGTCGGGCGACTTCCACTTCGTCTCGCTGGCGGCGCACGCCCCCAACGCGCTGCTGCCCGCGCTCGCCTTCGAGGGCGCGACGAAGAAGACGAGGCCGCAGTTCCAGCCGGGCGCCCTCGTCTACGCGCGCGTCTGCCTCGCCAACAAGCACATGGACGCCGAGCTCGAGTGCGTGAGCCCGTCGACAGGCAAGGCCGACGGCCTGGGCCCGCTGCCGGCCTCGAAAGCCAACACCCTCTACCCGGTCAGCCCCGGCATGGCGCGCCGGCTGCTCATGCCCCGCAGCAGCGCGAGCGGCGTCGTCGTGCTCGAGGAGCTCGGCGCCGCCGGCCTCTCGTTCGAGACGGCCGTCGGGCGCAACGGCAGGCTGTGGGTCGGCAGCGACAGCACGCGGACCGTGCTCGCCGTCGGCCGGGCGGTCACCGAGACGGACGAGCGGCAGCTCGACGTGGCGGCGCAGAAGAAGCTCGTCCGGAAGCTGGTCAAGGAGTTGAGCTGAGGGCCTCGAATTGTCAAGGGAGATAAAAGAAAAAGATACTACAGCGCCCCCGAGAGAGGGGACGCAACATGCATCGCTGCCGCCCGCCGGGACGGGAGGTGTGGCGCTGCTCCTGGGAAGACCTAGATCAAATCTCAAATTTCGGCCCCCGTTGAGCATGATTCACCACAACGGGAGCATGCCGAGGGCGTCTACTTGTGCCACTCTTCTTCCTGCACGTTGTGGGAACAGCGCAACCTGAAGGCTGTCGATACGGTCAATCACTCGCAATTGAGCGAGCTTCAAGGTCCAAAGACCCCAAACAGGTCACACAGAATGGGTAGATGTCATAGGAGAGACACTTAGAGAGGCACGCTCCAAATGAGATTCAGAAGCCACGTCGCACGTGGCCCTATTGACATGGACGAGGATTTCCAAACGGGTCATGTCTCCCGCGGAAGCAGACTAGAAATACAAAAAGCTATATCCCGCCTCGGGCTGAAACAATGAACAAAGAAAGGGGACGTTCACACGTCAAATACAAATTTTGTTACCGTCCAAATGTCGGATATCTCGCTACAACTTCTCGGTGATTGTAGAATTCAACCTCCCTCCCAAACAAGAAAAGTTCACACCGTGAAATGCACATGTCTTTTTGTCCCGTCCTGCCACCTGACAGGCTGCGCTCCAAAAGAAACACCCTGGCTGCAGACGAGTGAGTTGGGGATTACTTTGTCCTTCCCTCCTGCATCTTTGCAAGAACACCCGGTTGGTTCTGCTCGGCTCCCATGACGTGTAGGGAAGGGAGCCCGGCCTTGAAACGATCGGACGGCCGACTCGGCTTTTTTACTCCCCAGAAAGGCGAGCTTGGTCTGCCAGGCTTCTAGTCTCGACACTCCATTCGAAGCTTGGTCTGCCCAAGTGTCGTTCTGAGGGTCATTCACCTACAAGCACAGTCGTCGACATACCTCACCCCGCCGGAGTAGACTGGACTTTGACGACTAGCTGGAGAGAGAAGACACAAGACTGAATTCTAAGGGAAAATCCTTCAAGTCCCAGTCATAGTCTCGTCCACAACCTCGACGGGGTCATGCTCCGGGTTGAGGTTGTGCTTGTTCTGCATGTGCCGGCGCCAGTTGTCCTTGCGGGGGAACGACTTGCCGCCCTGCCTGGAGTAGGCGCAGTCGGCGATGGTGCAGTGGTACTTGCGCGTCTTCTTGTGCTTGTCGTTGATGTGCCGGTCGAGGTGCGTCTTGGTGCCGAAGCGCTTGCCGCAGCCCTGGTGCGTGCACTCGTGGGGCCGCTCGTGGTAGCGCTTGTGGTGACTAGTTGGGAGAAAGGAGAGTCAGCCTTGATAAAGACGGGAGGGGTGGTAAGGAAAGACATGGCCAAGATTGCTTACTTGAGCTTGTGGACTTGGTCAAAGATGCGCCCGCATTCCTCGCAGGTGAATGTCCTGGGGGAGGCTCCGCTTACTATTGGGTAAGTTAGCATGAATGCGGTCACCTTGCCATATATCTAACGAGCGCTATACTGTACTTACTATCAGAGCTATGAGCCGGGGTACTCCCCTCATTCGAACGTGGCGACGGGGTGTTCATGTACCCCGGCGTAGGCTCCGTGAGCCTCGTGTCGGGCGTCGTATACGTCGACGGCAACGAGGACTGCGACCCGGGCGGCGGCGTAGAGGCGTCGGTCTCGGGCATCTCGTGTGCGACGAACTCGCCCGCCCTGTTCTCGGGCTCTGGCTCCACAATCGTAGGCTGATGGTAGTACTGCTGGTCTTGGTGAGGCAGGCTCGGCTGTGTATGCTCCTGCACCAGCTGCGGCTCATAATACGGCTGCTGCTGCTGCTGCTGCTGCTGCTGCTCCTCCACGACCGAGTGGTACACCTGCATCGGCGGGCTAGCGGCTTGCGGTGGCGGGCTCTCTTGCATCTTGTCAAGTTCGGCGGCGACCTGGTGACCCCTTTCTGAGGCGTTGGCTGGCGCCCAGACATCCATCGGGTTGACGGTACCAGGTTCGGGATGTGATGGACTAGGTATGCGCATCCGCATGGGCGAAGCCGAGAACCCTCTCACCCCTTCCTCTTCGTCCTCGGGCTCGCCCTTGATCCTTCCGGGGGATGTCGGGCTCATGGGCGAAAAGTCGTCCGCCTGGCTTCCCTGCCGTGACGGAGCCTCGAACTTGGCCAGGATGGCAGCCCGCGGCATACTCATAAAGTTCAGGGGCGTAGCGCCGGCATCGGTCGAGCCGTACGGGGCCTGCGGCGGCGGCGAGTAGTCTGACGACGGAGGCGAGAGGGGGGCACCAGAGAAGTATTCGGCCGCAGCGCCGGTCATCATGACCGGCGAGTAGGTCTGCTCTTCCGAAAAGGTGGGCATGGGCACGTCGTTGGGGTCCGCCTGCATCGTCGTGGACCTGGTGGGCGACGTGATATGCGCGCTCCGAGACGAAGACCGCGTGCTCGAGCGGTGGAAGAGCGCCGTGGCCTTCTCGGCGAAGCCCTCGATGGCGTTGCTGAGAGACGATTTCCTGGGCGGTTGGGCTTGGTCTGGACTGGCCGCCAGGGGGGCTGCAGGCGGCGGCATGGCTAGAGGAGCGGGTGCAACGGGCCCAGTGAACGGAGGATGCGCATCACCCTCGCCGCCTTGGGGTGCTGCGGTGAAGGCATTCGCGTACTGTGGGACGCCCGTCCCGGAGGGCGTCATGTTGTCGTACGAGTTGCCGTCCATGTCATAGTCCTTGACCGGGCGGCGGGTATCGTCGGAACTGGCATGGCCAAAGTGGTCGACAGATAGGCGGCGGTCCGTGGCGGGCGACGCCACGAGCGAATCTCCTCTCCCGGGAGCAGTCTCGGCGGCCAAGCCCATCTCAGCCTGGAGTTCGGCCTGCTCCCGACGAGCCCGGGCATTGCGGCTTCGCCGCAGGAGGAATGGCGATACGCACAACAGAATTAGCGCAGCGCCGATGACAGATCCGACGACGGCTCCCGCGATGCCTCCGCCGGAGAGCTGCCGCCTGGCGATGGTGGAAGACCTGGCGGATAGGGCGTTGGAGCCCATGGCGGCGATGCTGCTGGTGTCGCGTGGAGTCGTCAGCCGGGGGGAGGGACCCGTGCTTATCCTGAGGTCAGAGAGAGCGGCGAGCACGGGGTCCTGGGCAGCATCGTCGCGAGCTTCGGGCTCGGTGGCCTCGAGAGACCGTGGCAAGGCAGCATGGCGAGCCATTGCCGGTGAGCCGTGGCTATCGGGTGACGAATCGCATTGGGAAGAGCTGGTGGACATTTAATGGGCAATTGGATTCGGCTACTGAGATGGGCGACGGACCCGGGATCGCTGGGAGTGAGTCTGAGAGGGCGTCGTCACAATGAGCGATGAGCCAAGAGTTGACCACGACGACGAGAGGTGGGTGCCTGATGAAGGGGCGGGTCGCTATAAGGGCACGCTTATGAGGGAAGATGATGCGTGAAGATGGAGAAGAGGAGGGTTGAGGTTCAAGGAACAATGTCGTAATCCCTGGAGTCTCCAGAAAGTCACGCTTCTCACGCAGTCGCTTGCGGCAACAAATTAAACGAAAGCTCGTGCTTCTTCAGCCTCACTGGGCGGTGGGGGCGTGTGTATGGTGTGTGCGTGTGTGTGAGAGAGTAGTTAGAGCAGGGAATCGGGCCTCCAAGTCGAGACTCTTGTCTCTTGTCTCTTGTTGAGGACGGGAGAGCAGACGTCAATTGCCTACTCCGTACTGTACTTGGCGCTGGTGCTGATGCCGTTGGGTCGGATCATGGAAAGGAAGTGCGCTTGTGCTGCTGTTTGTGGTGGCCGAAGCTAGCTTTGGGTTGCCTCCCAAGCCTCCCTCCCACCTAAAGCAAGACCCGGGGTAGCGTACCATGGACCTGTTAGGGCGCTACTGCCGCACCGCTAACGGCTCCACTCAACGTCCGTCCCTCTTCGCATATGAAAACGGCCTGCCGACAACCATGGATTCAGTATCGCCCTAACAGCCGACTGCACACTCTCTCCACCACGCCAGGTCAAAGGGTCCCTCCATCCCAAACACAGACCACCGGCGCACAGCCACCCTGTCGTGGCTCCCTCGATTCGCTGCTTCGTACGCCCCATCCAGGAAGCCGCCCGGAGTTGGCCGTGGGGCGCATCATCATCATCCCTGTGTGAGGTCTCCTTGCTCCAACTTAGCTACCGCGCGCGCAGGACAAGAGAGAGACGGTGTGAGTTTTGTGCATGGCAGATGCCCTCATCATCTGTGTCGAGAGTTTCGGTCCAAGTGCACCACCACCCCACGGCACCTCGGAAGCCCCTCGCTGCGGCTCGCTCTGAGAGCACATCGTGACGCCTCCCCCTGCACTGCAGGGCAGCAGCATGGCGCCTGAAGGACGATGCCCAATTCAATTCCCCTGGATGTGTGAACGCGCGTAACATGCGGATCAACGGCTGGGTTCTCAGGAGGGCCGACCGACATGCTGTTCCTCGGGATGTCCTCGCCGCGAAATACAAGCAACTTGGTCTCACATTTACACACGGCGGACGCACTCGCTACACGGCGTCGCACGACCGACCCTGGACTTTCAGCCCGGTAGGGTCTCAGTTCTTGTTACATCGTTGCAGAGACAAAAGATGAGATGCATGGGACCAGATGGAGACTGCTTACGGGTTTATGTGTCGCATTTCTGAACGACAAGGCGTTCTGTCATGGACATTACGCACATTATGCCTCGCCTACGAAATGAATACTCCATGAGGTTGCAGGCCTGCCTCTCTCCTAAAAACTTAGATCCCTCAATGTGTGTTTATGCTGCATCATGACATCTAAATGCCGAACATGATGTGATTCAACTTGTTTGACCGCATATCCTGTTGCTTCTTTTCTCATTCTCTTCCCTCAACCTTCCAGACTTGCACCTCAGCAGGTATGCTCTGGAGGGTAGCTCGATCACTTTCAGCAACGGCCAACTTGCCTAGGCATCTTGGGGAATCTAGGGACTCCTTGATAGCCGTTGCAGCTACTCAACCTACCATATGTTGAGACTTCATTGTCAGGCCCGTTGTCTAGACATGCATAACCCCAACCCTTTGCCCTGGAACACTTGTGAAGGAAAGTCAGGTCAAATCATGTTTGGTATCTGGATATCATAATGCAGAAATCAACACACAACGAGGCGTATGGTCCCAGACGCGGAGAACCCGTCAGACCATCCCTCCAACGCTCGCTTCTGTCCAGTACAGGTGTACCTAATGTATGCCAATCACCGCACTCTAGCATCGCCAGTCCTCTGGGCTCACTCAATGCTTCCGTTCCCACGATGCCGCACGCTCTCTGCGCAGTCCAGAGGAAAGAAACCCCTCCGAATGCCAACTTCCCATGCACAATGCCGATGATAAACTCTCACTTGGTTGAATCCATTCATGTTGATTCTTCGCCGCTGCGTTGCATTGTATATACTCTCTCCCCAATCATATCAACGGGGCGCTGCCCGCCTCCTCTTTGGTGGCAAAGCAAGAAGAAAAAAAACACAAGGTCATCTTGAGCATATATCCATCGTCCCGTCCCCCGAAGAAAAGACCCACGCCATGCAAATGCCCCTTCCGGTTTCTCCCCCAAAGTAGTGTATCAATGTCATCAGTGGTATCTCTTCTGTCTCTCTCTCTCTCTCTCTCTCTCTTCAACAACGTCTCTTTCGATGCAAGAATATGATGATGATGTAGACAAAAATCACAAGAATGAGTAGTTAAAAAAGCAGAAAAAAAAAAACAAAAAACAAGAAAACTAGGATATGCAAAAAACAATCACACGCATCTCCCAATCCTTCCTCACTGAAGCTTAATCGCCTCGAAAAGACTCAGGTTCAAGCTCGAGTCGTTCTCCCCAATGTTCGGGTTCGGGTCGCTGATGACGTCCCACTGTCTATACACAAATTTGGACAGCCTCTCCGGCTGCTGCTGGCTCCAGACGCCCATGCCCATGTATCGCGGGGGCGGCGCTGGCGTGGGCTGCGAGGGTGTCTGGCTCTGGCTACCACTATTACTATTGTTATTGTTCGCTGCCGCGGCGGCGGCGGCGGCAGCAGCAGCGGCAGCAGCAGCGGCAGCAGCTGTTGAAGCCACAGATCCGGGCCTGTCGCGGTGAGAGAGCATGAGATGGTCCCACGGCGGCGACGCAAACGAGAATATGTACTGGGTCCTCTGGTCGCTCGTCGAATCGCGCAGGACACGCACGCACTGCAGGCGGGTGTCCTCGGCCAGGTTGTCCACGAGCACGAGCCCGAGGTCAAACACGCGCTCCTTGAGTGAGTGGTCCAGCTCGGCGTCTGGGGGCAGCACATCGAGTTCCTGGAGGATGCCGGAGAAGATGAGGAGCATCCTGCCGCGGACCTCGTTGCTTGCCTTGGATGTGTCAAAAGTCGCCGTGTGAAGGGTCGTAAAAGTCAGGAGCAGCGGAAGCCAGTGCTTGACGACAGCCTTCTTGGAGGCGACGTCGCCCGTGGACAAGATCTCCCACATGTCAGCCAGCTTGTCTGCCATCGCTGCGATGAGCTGCGGCGGTCGCCCCATAGACCCCTCTCGTACAATGGCATCGATGACGGCAAGGAGGTTTTCGGCCATCTGCACACTCCGCTCCAGAGTCCTCTCCTGCGGGGGGGAGCTCTTCATGGAGGGGATGACGTCGAAGAATCGGGCCTGAGCTCGATTCTTCAGGTGCTGGGTGATCTCAGGACTCAGGCAGGATAGCATGCCGGTCCATGTAATGTTCTTGGCTTCGATGGCGTTGTCCATGGCGTTCGCAAACATCTCCAGGTGAGATTGGCCGCTCTCAGACCCGTCTGCATTGTTGGCATCACCAGACCCCAGGCTCGCGACAAGCTTAAGCTGGCAGAACGGCAATGTGAACTCGTTGGTGAGCTCGAGAACCTTTTCGAACGAGATGTGCTCCCCTTCCGAGCAATTGGGGATGAGTAGCTTCGTCGTAAGTTCCTCTAGGTACGCAGCAACTGCCGGGTCCGTGCTCCTCGCGGTGAGGGCTCGAGAGACAGACGTCGAATCCATCACGGCCAAAGCCTTGAGGTGCTCCAATAACCTGTTGAGGGTCTGTGGCTCGTCGAGAGGGAGATCTGTGCCGCCGTGCTGTTTGCAGAGAGAATACTCGGCCAGGGCGGTTCGGAACAGAATGAGCAGCTCCTTGAGATATGTCTTGCCTGCCTGGCTTTGTATGACGGAGTAGCGGTAGCACTCCTCGTCGCTGAGCATTGGGTGGTGTGGAAGTGGCTGGCCTAGGAGCTGAAGAACCCCTTGAACGTATCGCGTCTTCCAGGTACTCTGCACGATGGACGGGCCCACAGTGCCTGAGGGTCCCCTGCTGACGGCGCTGATGGCTGGGCTGCGGTCGGATGCACTGGCCAGAATTAGAGGCAGTCCGAGGCAGCCCGTAGTGACGAGGAGCGGGAAGATGTGCAGAAGCGGTGGTCTTTCCACTGATGTTCGCACCATGCATAGCCACTTGGACATGAGATTGTCAAAATGCTGCATATCAAACAGCCGCAACCGAGTCAAAAGGAGGGCATACGCCCGCTGTCGCTCGTCGTCGACCTTGGCCCAGCATCCCTGCAGCCGCTCAATGACGGTACCAAAGAGCCTCTCCATGGTGTTTCGGTCCATGCTCGTACCGCTATTCAAGAGCTTATCGATCTCTTCATGGAGCTCGCTCTCAGCGTCCTGCAACCTCAGTGCCATATTATCAGAGACTGGTGAGCATGCATCGACCATCGTGCTTCGGTCGCTGCGCACGAGGTCGTTGTTGAGCTGCGTGCCCAGCTCCTCTCGGCCGGGCAGGCGCGGGGCTAGACTGGCGAGAGCGGCCAGCAGAGGGCGCGCTGCTAGGCCCTGCACATCCACAAGGCTCTTCAACCGCACTAGTAGAGAATCAAACAAGTCTTGAGCCTTGCCCAGGGCCGCAAACACTTCGAGATGGAGGCTGACAGTGTCGGCGCAAGAAGCCAAGAGATCGACATCCGACATCCCAGAGGCAACCTCCAGCACCTGGGCCAGCATCGAGTAGTCTTCGGCCGCCTCCAGCATTGACCGCACAGCCGCGAACAGGGATAGTGAAATACCGAGCCCTTCCTTCTCCCCTTTAGGGCCGACATCCAATCGGTTGAAGGCATCTCTTAGCCACGATGCGATCTCAGTCTTCAGCGCGCGACTGCTCTTGCCGATGCGCCTAGACAGCTTGGGTATCGACATCGGCTTCCGTCCGTCCATAGGAATATCGTGCCCAAGGGGGAAACCTATCGCAGTTTGGATCGCGTCAATGGCCAAAGCAAAATCTTGGGACTCATCGTCAACCACATAAGATGCCCTGCGAAGCATACTAGCTCGCAGTGTCCTCAACGACTCGCTCATCGAGTGGACTGGAAGTTCGATCAGCAGTCGCGTGTCGACGCAAGCTTCAGGGTCCACATCCTCCGCGCTATGCAAGCCACCTCGAGCAATGAGCCATTCGACATAGCGTGAGATCGAGAAGTTGCCAGATCGGACCAGCTCCGAGACAAGATGGTAGACGGTCTTCTTGCGCTGGGGTTCCAGCGGCTTCTCCGAGCCCATAAAGTCGAGGATGGCGGTGGTGATATCGACACCGTGGCTGTTCCAAGTTGTGAGAAGCCGCGCAGCCACATACACCTTGGCCATCCCCGATCTGTAGAGAGACGTGCACCAGTCCAAGACAGTCCTGACAAGCGCTCCCTTGTCCTTGCTAACCGACCAGCACTGCGCCGCGAGCTCGTTCGAGATAGGGGACTGCAAGGTGGAGTCCAACAGCCTCACCAGGACGTTCCGCGCTGCCGGGTTTGTTCTGACGCTGTCCACAGCTACCTGCTCGTTCCTGTTGTTGACGTGCTTGAAAGCCACGTGGACGTGGGCATCGTCGGGTAAAAGGGACGACTCGACACTATCCCGGTATTTGGGCCAGATCGACGGGCATACGAAATTATGCGGGCTCGTCTTCAAGATCTTGTTGACGAGTAATGACAGATTTGAGGCAAGTGGTTGGAGAATATCTTTGTCGGGATTGTTCTGGAGCTGTTGATGCATGTTAGCTGGTGGCGCTCGGGGGATCGGCAGGAGAGCAGGGACGTACTGTTGCGTGATGCGACAGCAGGGCGGCGACCAGCCTGCGACCATGTCTTCGAAGAGACAAGATGTCATTGAGGTATATTTGAACAAGAAGAATCCACATAGGAAGCTTCGCCTGGGTACTGTTCTCCAGACTGGAGACGAGCCAGTCAATGTAGTGATCTCGGTCTAAGAGGTGTTCGGCATAAAGGTTGGTCGCAAGGCGGATACTGCGCGAGATGTTAGTGGATAAATGAGGTGCGCAGAGTCACTCTGGTTCACTTACGCATAGTTGACCTTGGCCTTCCAATCGTCCTCTGCAAAGGCTGATATCCTAGTCTCAAGAAACTGCTCCACACTGCCAGTCCAGTCCTTGAGCCATTTCGTCTCGCCACCCATCGCAAAAGCGCCGTTGACGCCCTTGCGCCTAAAGGCCCTCAGCTCGTTCGCACCGACGTTCTTGGCCAGCCAGACTGCGCGATCTGTGGGTATCTCTTTGTTCAGGCATTGATCCAGGAGGACCTTTCCACGGATACCGTGCGGGATGGTGCGGCTAAGGCGGCGTATGGGAATGGTGGGCGTGGCCAGGTCCTTCAGCCATCCTTCACGCTTGGAATCGGTGACGGTCACTCGTGGTGGCGGTTTGAACGTCGAGGTCGGATTGATCTGGCCGCTGTGTCTCCTCTGCCCGAGCACACCTGTGAATATGGACGAGAGCATATGCAGCCCGGTCTTGTGCTTGAGCATGGGGAAGAGAGCTGCCTTGGCGGATGAAGTCTCGGTCGTCCCGGAGCTGGGGGGCTTGTCGAAATAGCCCGTTCGGATATGACTTTCTGACCATTGATCCTCCGGGTGGCCGCCTGACCAGGGGAAGAAGTCGGCATGCCCGGTCAGAGAGGTGTCGGAACTACTCCCCGAGTTCGCCGCTCCAGCCTTGGACCTGAGGTCTCCTTTCCTGGGCTTCGAGTAACGAGGCGCGGCAGGCGGCACCTCCACGGTCCAGATTTTGGGGCGCATATCTTTCTTTGCTGGCGCGGCCGGTGTCGTCTTTGGTGCGGCGGGCTTATCGGATGGCCGCGCAAAGCGCGACCGACGCTTCGGCATGGGCAGACGGCCTGGATCAACATCGCCGTGTGTCGAGGGTTGCGGGCTCATGTCGCCGAGCTCGGAGGGTTCCGAAGCGGGCATGATGCGTGAAGGGGTAAAGACTCGCGACGATTCGAGCGCGCTGGGCGATTCGGTAAGGACAGTGTGGTCCGAAACCTCGTGGGAGAGCTCGAGCTTGAGGCGAGACCCTCCGCGACGGAGGCTGCCCATCCTACTCTGCGCGACATCGCCGGAGTCGGGGCTATTGAAGTCTGAGAAGGCCTCCTTGCGTATAGGCGACGGCGGTAGGTATTGTTGGGAAAGAGTGCGCTGGTGCGGCGGCCTCTGGGAGATGCCGGAGCCGCTCAGCGACCTCTGGGGCTGTCGCTGTTGGACGCCGCCCAAAGAGGGTCTCGAGCTCATCGCTGGCGGCAGATCGTGAGCAGCATGTCTGCGATCGGGAGGCTTGTAGTTTGAGACGGGGCTGACGAGGTCGAGGTGGCGGCTCGATCGACGAGGGCCGCGACGCACAGTCTGGGTCGAAACAGGGACTCGGTTGAATTAGGTGAGGCTGAGGCGGTAAGAATAAATGGGTCCCTCGGCACCAAGGTCGACTGGGGCGGATTGGTCAGGCCAGCAAACACCGCAGCGAGGAAACAAAAAAAAAAAGAAGCTATCGTCAAGGGGAGATGGGGTAGAGGGGAAACAAGAGCGAGGTGTTTGCCGGGCCTGGGGGAGATCTAGATGGGATGGGTTTTGGGATGGTGTGTAGTTGAATGTCGTCTTGTCCCAGATTAGGATGGCAGTGGTTGGCTGACCCCGAAGCGTTGCGCACAGGGCCGTGGGAGGGTGGCACATGTGGGTGGGTGCGCGAGTGGGTGGGAAAAAGTGGTCGCTAAAGTGCTACGGAGCAAGTAAAGTGGGCGGAGGGCGGATGCAGATAGCGGATGCGGTGGCCGCCGTGTGCGCAACCTGCATTTGCTTTTTGGCGGTACAGGTAGCACTCGCACTAGCGTGTGCTTAGGTACATGTAGGAGGGAGGGAGGCTAGCACCAGACCTGTTGCGCTGTTGGGAGCCGGGTTTCGGGATCTCCATCCTGTAGACGTTTGTACGGAGCACTACGGAACTGGGGACTGTGACAGCAGCTCCTGGCTCTCTTCTCCTCTCCTCTCAGAAGCGCCTGAGAACGGCAACCGGCCACGGGAAAATGAACATAAGACACTGACAAGTCAAGGTGTACAGCAGGCCTGGGTCAGACTGTATCGAGGCAGAGACACAATTTGGGGGAGGGGGGGCAGCACCTGCATCTATTGCGGATCGCCAACAAGCAGACAAACGCACGCATTCAAATGTCCAGTTCAGTTTCATAATTCATAACTCTCGTTCCTACTGCTACAGAGACAGGTAGTCTCAGTACTCCGTATGCCAACTGGGGATCTACCTACTTGTACAGGCTCGCTCAGGGTTCCAAGGTTGTTCGGGCGGAACGGGTACGATGGAGCTCGCAACCGACCGGACCAAGATGGGAGACCCCTGCCCCCCCTGTCATCACCACTGCTCGTTTTTTCAAGTACTTGTAGTTACTCGGGATTACCGTTCTTTGCCTGCCGCGCCTGCTATCTCGCATCCTCCAGGACTACTTGTATGCCTGGTCAGCAAGAACGAGAATCCCAACCGCTAACGCCACGCCACTCCACTCGTTTGCGTGCTGGTTCAATGCTGCCTCGCCTTTATTTCTCATCGTTTACTGCACTCCACGGCAAGTTCCCGTCCTTACCCCGGCCGAATTGTCTTGTTCCTGAAAACAAGACACCGAGAGAATCCACATACGACTTCAGATCTTGCATTTGGTTCTTGGGAGTCGACATCGACATTCTACCGTAGCAAGGAGCAATAGTCTTCTTCTCCTCGACTCTCCCCAGACCTTCCTCCCCCCGAGAAACTCGTTAGTAGCGCCACTGACAAATCACCCACTAAAGAGACGCTTGTCTCCCAAGTCATCCTTGGCCGGCTTGTCCACGATTACTCCGTACCCACGATGGTTCCATACTTGCCCCGACGCCGCGTGCTGCCAACAATATGATTTGATTACAGATTGACTCGGGTTGCCGATTGCCTATCAGCACAGGCCTAGAATCCCCGAACAACCCGCAGTAATACCCCATCCGGCAGGAAGCAGCGTGCCGACGGCACTAATTACCAAGGGACTAACTCGTGTCCTTCTGTGGAGAAAAAGAAAAAAGAAGAAATAATGCAGACGATGAGGTCTTACACGCAGCAGAATGCAAGATTGCATAACTGTGCTTCGCGTCTTGTCTCCTTTCTTCTACCGGCTCCATCAGCCACGTTGCTCCAAGGTTTTCGCTATTTTACTCGTGTAGGGACGACGCCAGGGATGACAAGAAATGTCTAACCAGGTAACTATCCTCTGCTTCAGATCTAGTGCGCCAGCAAGCCAGATAGCCTGATGTCGTATGCGGGCCTGTGCTGGAATGTCCCAGCTGCATGTACGTATGGTCAGAGCCCGAGCTGGGCGTTGGCGTTGGTTGCCCCAAGGCCGATTCAGCCAGCCAGAAGCCATCTCGGATGCGCGATCACACCCCCGCGCCTGCCCAATGGGCTCTCAGCCGGCTCGTGTACTAGAAGCATCTGCAGTGTTGAGTGGCGATTGAGACAATTGCAGACAAATCATGCATATCCCTCAGGAGTGCGACGGAGGGGCGAGATAAACTGTCCGTCATGACCTCGCAGCCCCGGCAATCGACAGAAACACAGGAGTCTCCTTTCCGTCGATCTGCTTCTAGGAAACTTTGTAGACTGTACGGCGGCCCAACGCCTGTCTCTCTCACAGCATACAGCATCTACAAGTACGAACCAAGATATAAGGCCGGGGAACAGAGAAGCTTGGGCGAGAGATCCTCCGCGCTCTACCTAGGTAGCTCATAGGCCCCCCCCCCCCCCCCCCCCCCCCCCCCTTCTGATGCGTGGTTCCCCCAACATTGATGCACATCGCCCGGGTATCCACCGCGGCCTCCTATCCGTGACAGGCGATAGATTAAATGTCCCGAGAGACTCTCGGTCACACTTGTGAGCATCACATTGATTGATACGAACTACCGGCATTGTCTCTGTACGCTGATGGGAGATGAGTAAGTGACCACGGGAGTTGGATTGCAGTCTGACAGGGCCGGTTTCCGCATGATGAAAGCTCGAGCCTGCGAGCCTGCCACTGCGAGACACAATCGAGTTTGATACCAGGATGTACACAGTAACGAAACGTAATGAGATGGCGAGATCCCAGATCCATCCCAATGGCACGGATGAATCTGCGCAGGGACTTTTGGAACGCTCTCCCCGCAAGACTAAAATGCCTGGGGCTGCCAACACTTGTCGGCCACCCGCTAAAAGCATTGGGCGAGCTTAGGTAATTCCGAGCTAGTCCAAGGCTGGGGTAATTACCACCTGGAGTTTAGTTACTAAGGTGGTATTGCGGGCAGTGCCAAAAGCGTACAGGAGAAGAAGCTCTCAGCGACTGCAGTTATAGAAAGCAGCAGCACTCCGTCGCAACATCCCAATCGCCATCGCTCCGTGAGCTTCCACACACCAGCGAAGGACCAAGATGTCGTCCAAGAAGGATATGCGCCGGCCGGACCTGGGTAAGCTGATGCGATTGTCCCCTCACGACCGCTTGTGCGCCCCCCCAGCAAACTAATCCCCCGTCCTTTCTCCAAACAGTCATTCCGTACCAGGAGCCCTCGGGCAAGGGCGAAAGCTCTGACATCTCATCGACCCTGTCCTCGACTCTTCCCATGGCTGCGATGTTCATGCGCAACCGCTACGTTGGCTGGTACGTTCGGAATCTCCAAGGCGGCATCGCGTCCCGCAAGCTTGCAGTTGCAAGCTGCGACAACCCTCGCCAGCATCCCTCTTGATGCGCCAGCAGCTTTCTGTCGCAATGCTACACTCTTGGCAGCAGGCGCGGGAACATTCGCCTTCTTGAGAATGGTGGACTGACGTTTGCAACAGGGCTGCGGTCGTCTACAGCGTACAGAGCTGGCTCGGCGAGAGCGAGGAGTCGAGGAAGAACCAGGCGACTCCTGGCTACTTCTCCGTCGGCATGGCTGGTAAGTCGCTGCCTACCCTTTTCTTGTTTGCCTACGAAAGGGAACGTTCGAAGTTGACAGTAAATATAGTCATGTCTCTCCTCGTCACCTACATGCCCCTCTTCCTCCCTCCCCAGCCTGGCCTACAGCCCGGCTCGAGCACCGAGGCTCCCCCACCGGTCCCTCCTGCGTAGATGCACAAGCCGTGTCGGCCGTTGGGGAGGGGCTGTGAAGAATATCAGGAGTGTTGGCTAGGAGTTATACCCACGGGGCACTTTCTGAGCTGGCGGCACTGGAGGGAATGCGTGGTCTGACATTGCAGCGTGTTCGGCCAAAATACATTTCCCCGGGAATCTGTACAATATCCAGATAAATGTCCTAATTCACGAACATCGCAAAAGCAATCCCCAAAAGACATATGAGCGATTGGGTTACCGTGCTTCACAAGCAGGTCGGCGAGCAGATATCCACATATGTTTTGGGGCCGGACATCTCCCCTTACTGAATCCCTTAACTAGACGCTTTCAACAGTGCATGGAAAGTTAGTTCTCGATAGAGAGCATGTGAGTCGACAGCAAGGTACATATCGCTGCATTGCTCTCAACTTGACCAGGCTCTGGACCGTGAACCTTGCTGATCTCCCGACCTCTTTCTTGAATGTAGTTGGAGCGGAGGGTCCGATATCAAACTAGTCGAGTGCAACAATCATATTGCTCACAGCTACTCTTCGTTGGACATATAATTACGCAAACAAACAGGGCTGATATCACATGCGAATGAAGATCTAGTGGTCCAATCGAGTCGAGGCTGTCACACGTGGACGCCTACGTACTGTAGTTATCCAGGGGCAGATGCCGATCCACTACTGGTACGTTGGACCTAAGCCGCAACGACCCCCCAACTTCACCTCTGACCTCCAACAACGCCCAACCCTCGACGAAGACGGGATTCTCACCATCTCTTATCAAGAAGATCATTGCAATTGCTCAGTGCAATTATGTCTTACTTTTTTCCAAGGTCGAGTATTCAGCTCTTGAATTATCGCCATCTCCCGGCGCCGTGCTCCAGTGACACGCAGCGCCTGCCCGCCAGCCAGTCGATGGACCGTTTGGTTTCAATCCTGAAACGGCCCATGTTGCTCAACCCCCCTGGCCGCCGCTCCGACAAGTCTCGTCGCAGAGCGGAACCACCCAGTGGCCCTCCTCCCTCTCTGGGCGCCTTTTTCTCCCTTTTGTCTTCCGCTCCTCTTCCCTCTCCTCCTATTCCTCTGATCCATTCAATATTCGCGAAAAGTGTGTCTGTGTGTTGTGTGTGCGACTTTGCGATCCCATCGTCACTCCCCCCTTTCGTTTCTTCAGCTGGTCTGTTCCCATTGTCTTTGCCACGACGACGTCCCCAGTCAACCGCTCCATTCTCCCAGCCAAAAGACCATCCAGCGTCTTTCTCCCCCCTTGCTTCCCGGACGGAGAAACAAAAAAAAAAGGAACATAATCAAATCACAAAAAGATGAGGACATCGGCCGCCTTCACCGCCCTCGCGGCCCTGTGCTGCGCATCGATCGCCCGCGCCGGCGTCGTCATCACGCCCGTCTTCGCCGACCAGGTCGTCCAGAAGGCGTCCAACGACTGCTTCTTCGGCGTCACCACGCCCCAGGGCTGCGCGTACGTTTTTGTGGAATCCCCCTCATCTATCTCTCAAGGCAAAAAAGACTCTATGGCAGAGCTGGGGTGGGCAACTTGGACTAACGCTTTGCAATCATCCGTACAGACCGCTCCGTCCCGGCTCGGGCCCGGCATGAATGAGAGAGCGCATGCCATGAGGAAAAGAGAGATCAACCAGGAAGTTGTCAAGAGTACTTTTGAGCGATGAGGGGGGGAAAGGCAAAGGCAATCTAGATGCTATGCTGGCAGGCAAGGCATGGAGACCAGGAGAGGTTGGTTAATACCCGCGAGGCTCGGGGAGGGAGGACGGGCTAGCCCCAGGCAGTTTCCGAGGAGGGCGCGAAAGCATGGCGCTCGTTGTGGCTTGTTACGTCTATTTTTATATATATACATATTTGATCAACGCATCACCTGGCTGATGAGCGAAATACCATTACATTCTTTTTCGGTACACCATCAGAGAGGGTGTGGCTGGCACACGGGTGTGAAAAACATGTCAACGGCACAAGAAACTAATCCGGGCAAGGAAACACAAACGCCACGGTTCATTTGAATACGACAGTGTCCTCTTAAGGAACCCTCAGTGCCATTCATATACGGATATCCATAAACACGAAGAAGCCTGTCCTCCCGACAGCAACCTAGGTATCTTCGAGTCCGTCCTTCATGCTCATGTACACCAAGGGCTCTTGAGCCCGTCCATCGTGCCCGCGGTCATCAAGAAATCGAGGTTGACTGACTGAAGCGATTTGAGTGACTTGTGGGAGGTCCCGGCTGGTCAATCTGATGCCGTAAGAATCACACCGTTGCTAGTACCCTCGATGAGGGGAATTATATGGTGTATACCATTCCCCTCACCGAGGGTACATAACGACGGTGTGAATCACGGCATCAGATTCATCGACCGGGACCTCACATGTAGTATATAGTGGGAAATATATACGTCAAAACCCAATGCCAGTGCACTCCAAAACTCTCCCCAGGCCGGCCTTGTATCCAATCATGTACATCGTCTATGTGTTCGCTCACCCTCTTCCCACGGGAAAAAAAAAGACATCAAGATCTGTCTAAAAATAAAAAAAAGCGAATAGAATCGTGCAGTGGTATAATCCGAATCGAAAGAAAAGAAAGCGAGATATAAGAAAAATGACAAACAACGTATATCATCTCCTTGTTTAATTGTTGTATATATGCAACACACTCCCCTCCCCCCCCCAAGATATGTTATTTACAGCAGGCCCACGACTGCCACGCCCAGGCTGGCGGCGAGGGCGGCGGCGGAGGCGCCGACGCGGGCGCCGGCGCTCTTCTTCTCGGCCTTGCACTCGCCGGTCAGGTTGCCGGGCCCGCTGGCCGAGTCGATGGCGACCTCGTTCTGGCCGCAGTTCTGGTACTGGCCCATGTAGACGGCGCCCGAGGTCTGGTCGAAGATGGTGTAGGCGCTGCGCATGAACGAGTCGCCGAGCAGCGCCGTGATGCCCGTGTCCGAGGTGACGGCCTGCGCGCCGATGACGCAGTTCTTGCCGTCGCCGAGGTCCCAGATGAACTCGTTGAGCGAGACGGCGAGCCGGAAGCCGGAAAAGGTAAAGTCGACCGTGTCCCGCGAGGCCTTGAGCTTGCAGTCGACAAAGTAGAAGCCGTAGTTGCGGTTGTACTCGCCCTTGAGGTCGGCGGCGATGCCCGACACGATGCTCGACGGCAGGTAGGTCAGCGAGGAGCCCGAGTCGACGACGACGGGCAGGTTGCCGCCCGAGTACGTCTTGGCGTTGCCGCCGAGGGTCATGCCGACGGCGTCCATCTGCACCCAGTAGCGGGCGATGCGCTCGCGGCCCTGGGGCGGCAGGATGGGCAGGCGGGCGAGCGGGCCGGTCCACTTCTTGGTGTCGGCGCCGCCAAAGATGAGCACGCCGCCCTTGTTGACGTCGGAGGAGCCGAGGGCGATGGTGAAGGCCTTGGTCTTGGTCACGTTCTGCCTGACGAGCTCGTCGACAAAGTTGTTGTACTTGAGGTTGACGCCGTTGCCGTACGACAGGCCCATGATGCCCGCGTAGATGTCCTCGCTCGAGGTGGCGACGCCAAAGGTCACGTTCTTGAGGTTGATGGCTGCCGTCCCGGTCAGGATCAGGGGGCCAATTGTTTGCAATTTGGGGGAGAGATGGCAAAAGGGAACTTACTGCTGTCAGGCAGGGCGATGGTGTCGGCATAGTAGTTGAATCTGACGCTGCCCTTGCCGTAGGGGATCCGGCTCGACGTGCCCAGGGCGTCGGAAGTCGTCGAGGTGCTGGGGCTGTACTTGCCGTTGCTCACGCAGAGCCTCTCCTGCAGCGAGCTGAGGCTGCTGTCCTGGCAGTCGGGCGAAACCCACAGCTCGTCGGATCCCGTGTCGATCGTGACCTGGACCTTTTGTCCGTTGGAACCTATGCTCACTGAACGCGAGGGATCAAGAAAGTTAGTAACCCTTTTCTGGTTCGCTTCCAGTGCGAATTGAAAGCGTGGAAGGAGAGAAAGAGGCAACATACGCGCAACCATGTAGTTGAGTGTGGTGTAGTTGAGCAGCGGCACGTTGGTGTCCTCCTGCCGCTTGACGACCATCGGCCGCACGAATTGCCGGTGCTCGATGGGCAGCGAGAGCATGCCTGGCGAAGGGGCATCGTCTCGCGGCGCCAGGACCGAAGCTGCGCTGCAGGCAGCAATGGCCGAGGAGAGGAGCAGTATCCTGGAGGCCATGGCGACTCTGGTGACGGGGCGCGCGCAATGGGGTTCGCGCGACGGGCGGTGGTGGTGGGAGAAGGTCGATTCGACACGCACAGTGGTGCTGCGCAGAACTCCAGATTCTCGATTCTTTCAAACCGTGCCGTCTCGACGGGTAAAAGAGGTAGAAGGAGAGAGGGTCGAGTAGTCGAGGTCCCAAGGAGAATCCTGGGCAGGGCGTCTGTCGTAGGATTGGGGGTGTTGGCACCGCTTGGCACGGACTGGGCAAGCGTCTCAAGCCGTCGATCCCGAGAAAACAACAACAGCGAAGGCTTCGACAATGGGAAACAAACGGGAAATTGGGGGTTTCTTTCCACGGTCAAGCGACCGAACAAAGAAGACGACCCTCGCGGGCCTATTTAAAAAGATGGCATTCATAGGCAGGCCCTCACCCCCGTACAAGTACACCTAGGCGGGCTTGGCTATGGGCCTAGTATCATCAGCCTTAGCTCGCGTCTCCTTACATTGCCTAGCCGGTAAGACGGGGTGATGAGTGGCCACGGGCAGGGCCAAGCACAGCGGCCGTCATGCTCCTTCAGCAGGGCTCACCCAGTGCCAACCGGGGCTTGGGCGGCTCACGGCTCCTCTGCCTGGATGGGTCCTGACGTGTGGGCGTGTGGGCGTGTGGGCGCCAATTGTGGCACTTTTCGGAGGCAGCACAGCCCAGTCACGCCGAGTCGACGGCACGCTAGGCAGGTCGAGCTGAAGTCAGTCCGAAACCTCACCATCATCCCATTCCCAGTCATGATCTCGCTCTCGTCCCTGTTGTCTTTTCGGGTTGCACAGCCCCCTGTGTCTCTCTCCCGAGTGTCCGGTGACCCAATGAGACTGGCCAGTGCGCTAATCAAGAATACAGACCTCATCATTGCTTGTACAAGGAGTATCATCAACTTTTTAAGGTTAAAGTCGCCCCCTAGCCGAGCATTGCTCTGCATCTGGAACCTGCCTGTCTCCGTATCAAGTAGACGACTGCCTAATGTCGCTGCCTGCCTACCTTACCTCGGTGCCCCTATCCCACAAGAAGCACAGACAGCATTGACAGATCCCCGGACTGGCACTCTCAGATACAGGACCATGTACCGCTGCCTTGCATGCTTGCAGGTGTCTAATATACCGCATTCGAGTCATCGCTGTATGCTTAAGATGACCGTCGCGTTTTACTTCCTCTCAAGAGGGGACAAGGCTAAGAAAAACAACGTTGCGACCAGCTTTTTGGTCCTCCCAACGCGCCCAACGTCGACTAGGTCATCATACAAGTACATCCGATTGGTGCCGTGTGGACCGGCGTCAGCGTTCCTACCAGCCTGCGGCCCAAAATAGCTTTCCTTTGGCTCGCACTAAGGTAGTTGGAACTTGAAGTTTGGTTTGCCTCGCTCTCCCCGCAACGCTGTGGCTTCCGAGTGCTTTCAAAACCGTTAGGCTGTTGGGTGCTGTAATTTCCCACCTGTCGACCAACATTTCGCATCTGGTGTTGGCCGGTCATGTCTTCATGCGCATCACGTACCTGCATACAGTGCCATGTAGAGGCTCGCCCAGGCGGCATCAGCCCTTCACAATGCGAATCCTGCACAGAGACATAGCCTGAGAACTCAGTGGCAATGTGTTTGCCGTCTCTTCCAGCGATGGACCCTCTCGCGTCGAGGCACAGTCAGTCTTGGCAACTCTAATTACGACTCCGCCAAGACCCTCCCAGCTCCGCTCCCCGAGTCCGATTCAGGCCATCCTTCAGGAATTGAAGTTAGTTACTTGCAGATGACCTAACTAGGTACCTACGGAGGAGTCCCCATCAGACAGGGCAGACTCGGCCGCCGTAACGCTTGTGTGCTGGATGCGCCATCTTTGCAACCCAGCGGCCAGCGGGGAAGGATCGCCATGGCTTGAGTCTTGAGTCTTCTTGAGTCGAGTCTTGAGTCTTGAGCCCTTCTTCTTCTCCCGACCCGAGCCACACCGCTCTCGCTCTGCTTGCCTTTGCAGGTTTGCAGGGATCCGGATCCTCGTCACGGTCGATGCCAAATTTGCTGACATGTTTGACCGGGTTCGAGTGGCCAGCCGCCTCGAAACGGGCATGCCAAGACTCGAGTGACCTGTCAACTCATTTCTCGTGTAACGCGAGCGAGTTGTGTCTTGCCTGTCTCCCTGTGCAGGGCTGGCCTCCGACGTGCTCATTTGCCTTTTACGAGCGATCATCTTGTGTAACCACTCGATGGGCTCATGGCTGTTCGTAACCGCGAGCTTCCCGCCCTCGGTCCCATCGCTGCAGGCCCATCGGTTCTGTTGGAAAATCCAGGGAATTGTTCTGGCTGTATGTAAGTCAAGTCATGGTCCGCATGTCTCCTTTTATCGTCTGCCTCCACGAGGACCCCGAAAAGCAAGCAGTTCGGTTCATATGAATCCTTGGCTTGTTGAAGATTGTGAACGATAGATGCGATGACAGAACAGTGACCAAAGTCCGTTGTGTATTGCAAGTGCATTCATTCTTCAAAAAGATCTTCTATCCCTAACAATCTCGTCAACGGCTTCCTCCTCCTTGCAGTGACATGATCTCGCTGATGTTCACCAACCCATTACTTCCCTGGCCATTCTCTCTACTCTGAGTCATGACCGTATTACCCACCCCCTAGACCTGCTGCTCAGCGGGAACCCCCTGCTCCTGCCTCTTCTCAGCCTGCCTCACGGGCTCCATCGGCACACTGGTAGCCCCAGCCTCCGTCCCGCTCCCGCTCCCAGTCCCGGCCGCCGCCGCCGCCGCCGCCGCCTCCCCGTCCTGCCCGACGTGGCCCTGCAGCCTCTTGGCCACGTTGAGGTGCAGGAACTTCTCCATGTTGGGCACGATGAACGACGCCGCGATGAGGATGACCGAGAACGGGATCGTGCAGAAGAAGACGATCTTGAAGCTCTCCTGGTACGCCCTGCGGAGCGCCGCCGACACGGCCGCCAGCACCGCCGGGCTGGCCCCCGGCACGGCCGACAGGTCCCCCGAGGCGGCGATGCCCGCGAAGAGCGCCTTGAGCGACGACGCGGGCAGGCCCGCGCCCGTGGCCGCCGGCGCCACGTACGCGGGGATGTTCTCGCCGAGCTTGTTGTTGAGCACGTTGACGTACATGGCCTGCGCGACGGCGCCGCCCAGCGCGCGCAGCGAGCCCATGACGCCCGTCGCCAGGCCGATGTCCTGCGGCTCCCAGACGAGCGTGACGCCGGGGAAGGCGATGTTGTCGACGTAGCCGATGGCTGGGAGATGAGAAAAAGGAGCAAGGTTAGCTGATGCTGCACAGGGGGGGGAGGTCCAAGGGGGGGTCAAGGTCTGTTAAGTGTCAGAAGAAGAAGAAGAACGTACCGACCAGGCCCAAGACGCCAAACGCGATCGTCATGGAGTGGGTGTCGGGCGTGATGGCGGCCAGCGGCGTGAGGAAGGCCATGACCAGCACCGAGGCGATGATGGTCTGCAGCTTGACCTTGGGGATGTACGAGATGCCGAAGCCGCCCAGCACCTGGCCCAGGAGCACGCCGCCGCCCACCACCGAGCTCTGCCAGCCGATCTCCATGATGTCGGTCGTGTACAGCGTCGAGATGATCAGGGGCCACAGAATCGTAAGCGAGTAGTAGCTCATCGCGGCCACGGCCTGTTGAAAGAAAGGGGAGTTAGCACCAAAAGGGGGAAAAGTCTGTTGGGTGGTCATGTTGTCCGGAATTGCGCGTGGCGGTCGCGGAGAATGCTTCGTGGTGTATGGACGTTTGAAGGGAGAGGGACTAATACATACCGCAATCAGAACGATGCCGACAAAGCCCTTGTTCCTGAAGAGACGAGGGGGCATGAGCGGCTGCACCTTGCAGAACTTACCCTCTGTTGCGATGAAAACCACCGTGGTTAGCTATCCGTATTTCCAGAATGCCTGAGATGCCAGCCCAACACCCAAAAGGAAGGAACACTCACCCCAGACGACAAAAGCGGCCAGCGTCGCCAGCCCGATGAACAGCGTGCACAGCGTCTGCGCGCTGGCCCAGGGGTACGAGGTTCCGCCCCAGGACAGGCCGATGAGGAAGAGCACGCAGCCGGCGACGAAGAGGAAGATGCCCATAAAGTCGATCTCCTTGACGGCCTGCCACTTGGACTTGCCCGCGACGTGCAGCTGCTCGTACGAGGGCGGGTGGTAGAGGAACTGGTAGAGCACGAGGGTGACGGCGCTGAAGATGATGCCCAGGAAGTAGCTCCAGCGCCAGCGCGAGGCCGTGTTGTTGTAGAGGGCGCGCGCGATGACGGGGCCGAAGACGGCGAAGGGCATGCTGCTGAGGAAGATGAGCGTCACGACGGGCCCGCGGAACTTGTTGGGCACGAGCTCGCCCATGACGATGCCGAACGACAGCTGGCCCGCGGCCGCGAGCCCGTTGAAGAGGTTGGCCACGATGAGCATCTCGATGTTCTGCGCGCAGCCGCCGATGATGCAGCCGACGAGGCCCAGCCCCGTCGTGGCCTGGACCATCCACTTGCGGCCGAAGAGGTCCGACAGGCGGCCCACGAGCAGGAAGCCGATGCAGCTGCCCAGCGTCCAGACCGTGGCGACCCAGTTGATGTTGGGCGAGTTGCCCAGGTCGGCGTTGATGAGGGCTCTGTGTCGAGGCAAGCGGGTTTTTGCCTGTCAGCCCTTCATTCCATGATTTTCCCCATCATCACCACTTGTTGTCTTTCCACCATCAAGCGAGTCATAGGGGGGCAGGGAAGTGTTATCCAGGGGCCACCTACAGAGTGTTGGCAGGAAGAACCCATCCGAGATAGGCGCAGATACTGGCGAGGCATTGTGCCTGAAGCCCAGTCAGTCAGTCAGTCAGTCTCGACAATATCCAACTTATATAATAGGAGAGAGAGAGAGAGAGAGAGAGAGAACCGACGACGATGAAACTTACCGTCAGTGTCCCAATGAACTGCACACTCATAAAATACCCCAGAGGCATCTCCTCGAGGTCGCCGCCGACGGCCCTGGCATCGATATAATCGATAGTGCCATCGGCGTGCACGACCTTGGCGACATCGCGGTCGACGTGCTCGGCACCCGCCACCTTTGTCTCGCTGATCGATCTCTCGTCGGCCCCAGACATCTTTCCTTGTAAGCGAAAGAGCTCTCCTACGTCTTGTAAATATCCTGCCTGATACGATGGAGATGAATGCAGGAGAGTGGGTGTCGATCAGGGACGAGCTGTCAAGAGCCACGTGTGACAGGAAGGGGGGTCTGGGGGAGGAGTTCTTAAATGCCCCCCGAGCGTGCGGCTGCGAAGTGATGAAGAAGAAAGAGGAGGTTCCACGCAGGGTCCAGATCATCCGGCTGAAGCTGCGGGGACCAAACATACATGCAGGTCTGCCGAGAGGTAACCCCAAAGTATTGGCCAGCCTGCAGCTATCGCACGCATGCGTGTGCAGGAGTCTCTATCCAACAGCCAGTGCAGCGCCTCCTGCGAGTGTGGGAACCGAGAAAGGGATGGTGCATGGAACAACACTTCCCTCCTCCGCAAAAAGGAAAGACTGGTGTGTGTAACAGGTAGGCCAGCAACAAATTGACCCAGGACTGTGGGACACGACAGGTGCTCCGCAGACCGGGAGATGTTGGCCGTGGAGGTTTAGCGAAGGCCGGGCTTCTGCGCAGCCCAGCGTGCCAGCGTGCCAGCCCACCCGTCTCGTGGTGTGGGCGTCGACTAAAAGTCGAAAGCCGGGGCTACACGAGTAAGACTAGACTAACGGCAGAGGTCGCCCTGATTCAGAACCAGGAGAGTCAATCAAAACTTCGCGAGACGGCATCGCCTTTATTGGCTGCCTTCTCCACGTCCTACGCTCGAGCTCCGCTGAGGCGCCCATGTTCGGGGGAGAAACTGGGGTAAGAATGCGGGGATCGACCCGGGTGAAGCGGAGCGAGACTGGAAAATGACTTCCGGGTCGGCTCCGGGCGTTTTCTGGGGCTCGTATCCTGTGTGAAGTCGACAACGAAGACATGGCGAAGCTGTACGCGTTTGCATATATGAACTCGACTCGATTACACAAGACAAGATATCGACTATTCAGATAGAAAGCGCAATGTAAATGCGGACATCGATGGCCGAACACGGAGCGGCGTACGGGGTAGTAGAAGGGGTAGTAGAAAACCCAAGCCTTGGCCTCCGGCTAGGCTCAGGTTAGTTTTAGAGCAACATCCGGGAAATGCACCTGGTGCATCAATACCACGAGGCAGGTGTAGCCGAAATGTCAAAGGAGAGGAAGAGCCAAGGGAAAATCACAGCTGCAGGGTCCTGTCGTTGGCACGGCATTGCATTACGGCGTAGAACGATTCTCACTGTGAGAAGAGTCCCCCCCAAAAAAAACGCCAACTCACACTCAACTCTAGACACAGAGGCTTATTTCCTTACTTTGAGTTAAAAAGCGCGCCGAAAAGGAAACCCTGTACAATTACCGCGACAGTGGAAGACGCATTGTGCAATAGTGGCCACGACTCCGGGCCTTGTTGATATGGAAAACATCCTCCGCCGGAAAATCGAGAATATGTGGTCCTGATGATTCATCTCCTTGCGTCCGAACGCTGACTACAAGTCAGCAAGCCCCTTCATTGATTGCACACAGAATGGCGTCCGTTCGAAAAAGGTGGCTTCGAGGCGATCGTATGATATGTGCTGCCTGAGATGCCACCGGCCCGTGAATCTTGATTCAAGTTGTCCCCGATACCAGAGCCGATTCTCCTACACAAGTCGGCCAGGGCTTCAGACGGAATATGTCACCAGAGTGCAGGCCGGTCGTCTTTGAGGTCTAGGAACCTGTACGCTACGTAGTCTCGGAGCGCCAAAAAAAAAAAACCACACGGAAACTCGGCGTGCAAAGAAGGCACATATACCACCAGGAATTGTGATAACGAGACACAAGCTCACAGCTGAGAAACTTTATGTCCGACAAAGGACTCAGCTTGGCGCTTCCTGCAACGAAACAGGTTCTGCAAGCCACGGAGAATGCTGCTGGCTACCAAAACAACACACAAGAATAAGGGCCTGAGCGCGTTTCAGCCTCGGCCCCCAGCACTGGTCTAGGTAAGCTCCCCCTTTTTCCATCCCTCTGTTTGGACGCAGCATCTGCCACAGTGCCGTGCCACAGCCACTCCCCACAACCCACTGCTCCTCTTTTCCTGGTAAATTTGCACATCTTCCGCCCGAGGCATTAAAGATAGGAGCCAGGGGTGGGTTTGAGGTGCTGAGAATCAAGGGCCTGAAGCAGATCTAGATCCTCCTCGCAGCGAGAGGTTAATCTTGGCAGAACCCGCCTCGCATCTCTGCTGATCTGATCGGTTAGACATACTCCCCCAGCATTTTCGTTTCGAACAAGACCAAAAAAAGCAACACCGCAATCAACAAGAAGATCATCACGGAAAAGGCGGCAGGCAGTCAAGTCAAAGAGTGTTTGTAAAAACAAGAAAAAAAGGTTCTATTGAGCATTGCTAGAATGCGTCTCCCTCGTCCTTCCCCTCCCTTTCTGGCTATGCAAGAAAAGTTGGTATTTCCCCCAGACCACCACCAAACCAAGTAGTTTTGTTTTTCCCAACATAGCATAAACAAAGTATCGTAAATAAAAAGGAGGACAGAGAAATCTTGAGACGAGAAAAGAGTCTTTCTGCATTCACATGAGAAGCAGTGCCCGAGAGGCCAAGGGGACTCCCCCGCCGCCTTCCGGAGCCTCCAACAACAACATTAGACAAGAAGGCGGCCTGAACAACAACAAGGATAAGGAAAATTATGTGATGTACAACGAAAAAAGCCAGCCATTGGAACACAAGTGCTTGGTCTGACACATGATGACAAAGATCTATGAAAAAGGCCCAAGGATGACAAGAGACGGGGAGCACACTCTTTTCTTCCTTGCGTCAAAAAAGAGGCTTATCCATCTCTCGTCGATCCCACACTTTCTCGAGATAGTACCCTCCGTCAGTGAGAGAGATTGACAAAAGAGCCGTGCCGCTCTCAAGCTCATGCGCCGCCGGCCGCCCTGCAGGCCTCCTCCTGCTGGTTGCACTGCGCAACCGTGACGCCCTGCATCTTGCCGCCGTTGACGGCGTCCGCACAGGCGTTGTTCTGGATGGCGCAGGCGCGCTGGACAGCGGCCGCCTTGCCCACGAACGTGTTGCCGTTGACGCTGAAGGGGCGGGTGGCGTCCCCGGTGTCCTGGACCGCCGGGGCCGTTATTCCACCGAGGGCACCACCGGCACCGGCGCCGGCACCACCTGCGTTAGCGCCGGCGCCGCCCTTGCCCGTGTTCGCGGCTGCCGACGTGGCTGCGGCTGCAGCACTAGTTGCGACCTCGGCGGCCCCCGAATCCTTACCATCATTAGCAGACGTTGTCGGAGTAGCATCTGAAGCGGCCGCACTATTACCATTGCCTTTACCCTTTCCGAAGCCACCCTTGCCCTTGCCCCGGCCGCCGCCACCGTTATTCTTGCCTTGGTTGCCGCCGTTGTTCGCTGCGCCGTTGTTCTTCCCTTGGTTGCCGCCGTTGTTCTTCCCTTGGTTGCCACCGTTGTTTTTGCCCTGGTTGTTGTTGTTTTTGCCCTGGTTGTTGTTGTTGCCGCCGTTGTTGTTGCCGCCATTGTTGCCGCCGCCCTTGCCGACCGTGAAGTAGCGGCAGTCCTCCTGGGAGCCGCGCTGAGCGACAGGCATGAGGACAGGCTGGTGGTTGGAGGCACCGCTCATGGTGCAGACACGGTAGTTACCGGCAGGCAGACCACCAGTGACGGTAGCCTTGAGACCACCTTGGCCATCGCCGGCGTCGTTGATGCCCTTGAAGAAGACGAACGTGGAGGCATCGAGGGGCTGGTTGAAGGTGAAGCCGTTACCGGTGTCCTGAATGGTGACGTGAGTGTGGCCGATGACAGTGCCCTGGTTGCTCAGGTCCTGGGGGGCAGAGTAGTAGGTGTTCTGGGCGTTGGTGAACGAGCCGAGCTGCATGTTGGCGATCTTGACGGAGACATCAAAGTCCTGGTTGGCAGGCAGGTCCTGGAGCAGGCCGGGGCTGGTGATGACGGTCGAGACCATCTTGTCCTTGGCGGGGATCTTGCCCATAGCTGCGGCGTGTCAGTACCATACACTACACAGGAGGCGGTAGCGAGCAGGCTGCAGCACTTACGAATACCGTTGCAAGAGCCCGAGGTGACTTGGGCACCGTTGGTCAGGGTCTGGCCCGAGCAGAAGTTGATGAAGTTGGCGTTGTCGCTGCGAACTCAAGTTTAGCTGCCATCAAGAGTGCGCACTGGGATTCGGGGAAACTTACGTCTTGGAGTTGACCTGGCCGGCGGTCACATCACCCCCGTTCTGGCCGGTAGCGGCACTGGCGGTCTGCAGTGCGTTGGCAGCCAGGCAAGTGTTGGAAGCTCCGTTACCACCGTTGTTCCCGCCGTTGTTGTTATTGTTGTTCTTGCCCTGGTTGTTGTTGTTCTTGCCGCCTCCATTCCCTTTTCCTCGGTTTCCTCCGTTGCCCTTACCGCCGCCCTTGCCCTTGCCAAAGTTCTGCCGTGCCATTACTCTGGAGTTGCTAGGTGCTCGGTGGAGGGCGGTGGCCTCGCAGATGGCGCCCAGACCCATGAGGGCCACCAGAACGTGCTTCATCAACATCTTGGCTGGTGTGCGGGAAGAGTCGTCCTGTTGTCGTCGGAGTCGATTGTCTGAGATACAGTGCGATATGTATGCACCACGAGAATCGAATCGATAGCTGGTTCCAGACCGTTATCGTGATACGTAGAGAAAGGAATGGTCGCAGCCACTTGGTTTGAATGGAAATCAAAAAAGATAAGAGAAACACTATGCAATAGCCTTTCTTGAAGGGAACGAACGAATGAGACACATTCAGCGCAGCAAACGGAAACGGAATAGAAAGGAATGAAGAAGAAGCTTGCTCCAGAACAAGAAACTGGAGGAGAGGGAACAGATGAAATAGACAGAGCCAAGACTTCGGCGTACTTATACAGATGGGTGGTCGTTTCGACCAGGGCCCCGGAGCGCCAAGCTTTTGGCGACCACGCCCGATGCATCGCGAGGGTCCATGACAGGAGGATCTAGTCAGGAGGAAGCGACATGGATGGTGGGGTGCGGCGTAGGTGGCAGAGACAAGGCCGTGTCTGCACGGCGCCCAGACCTGATGCAGGGAGACGATGTACGGAGGTACTGCTGGAGCTCAGAGAGTGAAGGAAGCATCGTGTACTCCGTAGAACATGCAGAGTAACTAGCTCCGTAACAAGGTGTGCAGACCCTTGTTGCAGCCGTGGCATGGGGGATGATAATGGTGGAGAGAGAACAAGGTTGGCAGGTAGCGGAGATGACTGGGAGGCCCTGGTCGTCGCCAGAATCTACTTGCTCGGGGTGTGTGCCCGGGCACGAACGAGGGTGCCGAGGAGCCGCCTGGTACAGGGAAGAGACCAGGATCGAGCAAGAGAGCGGGATCTGTGATGTGTGCAGGAGGCGGGCGAGCGTGGTGGCCATCCAGGGCTTTGAGCGCCAGAAGATTGACGAGCTATGTCGATCTGTAGAGCACGAGGTTCCCGGACAAAGTACCAGGGACGACGTGCAACAGAGATGTCGCAGGCCTTGTGACAAGGGGCCATGGAGGGGATCCAAGAGGGATGCAGAGGACAGGCGCCCGAAGAAGCAATGCTGCTGCTGTGGGGAAGGATTTCCCGCGAGCAAGAAAGGCAGAGTGAATGCCTGGAGCTCGTGTCCCCGATTTGGGCTGGTCGTTCAGGCTGAAGAGCTGGCTGGACGTTGATGCGGCTTGAAATGTCACAGATCCAGGTGCGGGTCCCGCTGGCACCCCTGTTGCTCCCCTGTCCATCTCGAGATTGGCCAATGAGCAGGCACAGCAGCTGGGGTCTCTGGCCAGGCGGGTTTCGTCCCCAGGCGTCGATGAAGCAGGACGAGCCTCAAGAGACATCCACCCCCCTAATAAGCGCGGTCTGTTCGCGTCGCAGGGCCAACCAAGGAGTCCTTCCTCGGGCGGTGCAACCTGCCATTCTCAACTCCTCCTGCAATGCAATGACCGCCAGCGACGATCACTAAGCAGCGTGACAAAGTACCGAGCGACAGGCGCTCGAGGTAGTGCTACAGGGCGCCTAAATCTGATGCGCTCAACCCTGTGGTGATCTTGCCGTCTTCTTGCATCAACGGTAGAGGTTCTATCGCAGACACGGCTCAGTGATTTTAGAGGATTCGCACGATGATTCTCGCTTTGCACGGCAGATCATCAAGCGTTCCTTCTACCAGGAAACTCGAACATGGGAAATCAGCAAAGAGGCTGTGCTTGTATGTCTCCAAGGCATGAACCAAATCAAAGCAGCGAAGCCTCCTCCGGCCGAGGGCCCAAAAAGCATCATCGTGAGTCTGATGCCAGATGCCAAATTAACGTTAACTTTAGTCTCTCGTCGTCCCCAGTGCGCCCTTCCACCTTCGCACTGGACCTGCGATTGCACCGAGACTGTGGATTAGCTTCAGTCTCCCCGGCTTTTCCACATCCGAGATTCAGAGATCAGCTGGATCAGTTGCTGGTTTCGATAAGCTTCACCAACTGCCATGACCCTAAACGGGCCGGTGCCTCGAGAACGGGGGAACCAGATGAATGCCCCTTTCAATTTCTACCCTTGTCTCGTGTTTGAGGCTTGAGATGACGGGCTTTAGGTGGGTTTGGGAGGCTCCTCCAGCAGGGGACTCCAGCGGGGGCTCCAGCAGGGGACTGCCCGCTAGCGGCCTTGCCGCATTGAGCCTAGCCGCTGCAACCCCAGTGACTCTCAACAGCGTTGGTCATCATCGTCAGCACTTGAAATCAATGCTGAACGCATGCCTTCCTAGCCGAGCACCATGGATCGCTACACATCACTTTGCGCCATGGTGCATGATCGACAACCCTAGGGAAACTCACTGTGGCTGGTGTGTGTAAAAACCAGGCAAGTGTAAGCTGTGGCATTGAGCAGGATTAGTACTATGCTTCGTTTCTGGTGCCTAGCCTACCTAGTATCAACCTTTCTAACCATATCCGCAAGGTTATCAATCCTATTTCACAACAACTCGATTCAATCGGCAACGACTTCAGGCCAATTAAGCATACAAACCCAATCAGGACTAATCTTTCTTTCAGATTTTGATAGCTTTTCTACCAGGACTTGACAGGGCCGTCGACGAATGACATCAATGTGGCCTGTTTTATGCTTGTGCCAAGTCTTGATGGTGAAACGCAACAACCTCGTCAGCGCTGTTTTGAAAACAACGCCGTGACCACCAGGTAATCCAACATCCCGGATCTCACGTGCCGTCCACAAGGCTGGGGGACTACGCACCCCCGGTGGGCAAGAGATTCGTGCGCCTTTTCCTTTTCGAAACACTACTTCGTAATACGTAGTTACGCGGATGCGGTTGCCCTGCCCTGCTCCTCGAAGCCAGATAGAGAAGAAAGCGCTATGACCCGACCCATGGCCAGGGGAGGCCGCGTAGTCTTGCTCGCTTATATGCTTGTCCCATTTCAACATATCCACTGTCGCAGGAAATCTCCGCAGTGAGCGAGGGATTCCAAGGCTTGTCTTCCAGAGATTGCCACGCACTCCACGAAATGGTCCAGATCACGATGTGAAGCACTAGTACGGAGCCAAGGTCGGCCGCGCCGCTGGAACATTGGGACGAAAACGCCAAGACAGCCACGGTCATGATCCCCCTGGCCTCAGCCAGCCGGTAACCGAACCTCGTGGGATTGCGTTTGAGTTGATATACAAGCATCATGGAATCCTTCAGAGTAATCCACAGAGGCTTCTGTCGGCCTTCTTCAAGAGCCCGAGATAGAGAAAACGGCAGCCAGCTTTGATGGCACCACGGGCCGGCGGTACCCCCATCACAACTCATCCCCGGTCTCAGTAGCATCGATGCCTGCAACCATCAGATCTAGCCACGCCGCCAGTCGGAAGCCGGCCCTAGCAACTTGCAACTCTATCACCGGCGCGGCCTTCTCGTAGTAATCACCTCCGAGCTCCTGGCCTGCGATCTGGCTCGGGCCCTCGGGGAACACTGGTCAGATGAGAAGTCAGCCTCAACCGAGAACATATCACATAATACCTCGAGACTACCTAGGTAGGGTTTTATGTATGAAATCATCTTACCATGCGAGCAGACGTAGGCATTGCACTCCCTCGCCCACAGCAGCGCGCTCGCGATGGGGTCCTCGAGGTCCATGCCCTCGAGCCACGCCTTGCTCTCGGCGCGGTACTTGCCCGCGCGGATCTGGCCCGCGAGCTCGGTGGCCCAGCGCAGGGCGTCCTCGTAGATCCTGCGCCGGCGCGACCCGACGAGCTTCTCGGCGATGCTGCTGTCCCACACGTGGTGCAGGTTCCACTCGCGGCCGTCGAAGAGCACGTGGATGCCGTTGCCGCCGCGCGCCACGTCCTCGGTGTGCAGCGGCTGGTGGATGTCGCCCAGGAAGTGCACGACGAACTTGGCGGCCTGGGCGCGCTCCCAGTCGGCCAGCCCGGCCGTGTCCATGGCGCGCCGCGTGTAGTTCTGGATGGCCGTGACGACGCAGCCGCCGGCCTTGCAGTCGCGCTCGAGGTCGACGCTGCAGTTGGCCGGCGGGCTGTCCTTGGCGTCGATGAAGTGGAAGATGCCGCTGAAGCGGCCCCATTTGGTGTACCGCACCGAGTCGGCCCACGTCGCGATGTTGGCGAGGTAGTCGCCCGTGTCGTTGCGGAGGAGGCCCTGCAGGTAGGACTCGGTCCGCGGCGCGACGAAGCTGCTAGCTACGTAGGCGACGGTGATGTGGCCCAGACCTATCGCGGATGTCTCAGTACGGCTATCCCATTCTCGGAATTTCCACGTGGTTGATGACAATTCGGAATTGATGACATACTTCCCCAAGCTACTGCACCTGGTAGCGCAGCGCTGGCCCAGACAAGCGCAGTTGATAATCTCATGGTCGACTCGGCTCTCTGATGTGAATTGGCTCAAGCTTCAAATCCAAGGACTCAGCCCAACACTACGAATTATGTATCCAAGAAGTGCCTAGAGGAGCAACTAAATATTCCTTGAAGAAGATGGGAATTCAAAACTCTGCCAACTCATCCAGGCTCAACGCCGAGACATTGTCGGCGGGCTGAATATTGGGTCTCGCCAATCTATCCCTTGTAGTATTTGTTGTCAGAGAAACCCAGCTGACCTTGCTAGCCTATGAGCAGTCAGCAGGCGTGCACACATGTGACAACACACACACACACACACTCCGTCCAGCCTTGTTAGCACCGGATGATCAAAGTGAGGGAGGGATACAACAAAACAAATTCGAGGAGCTGATCAAGGCCAATGATGATTACCCTGCCGCCTTCTCCCAACGCAATGAGCAGATCCTGTTCTATTGCTAATTCGATAGGCTGCCATTTGTAAATAGCACTTGTGTGATTCGCGGTTGGCGCGATACGCGACGGGACTTGCGACACGGTCCAGCCATCTGATGACGGGGGCCCATCCGTCCATGGGTTCATTGGCTCGTCAAACAGCGGCGGGCTCGCATGTAACTCCCAGCTTTAGGTTCCCTACCTACTTCAGCACCTTTTCATAGCTGCATGTCTTGGTGCAACGGTGGCGCTGGTGCAGATATAGGCATGGCTTGACAGGTAACCGTACCGTCCCCATGTTGCATCCAGCATCTGGATCTGAACTACACAAACGGAAGCCAGATGACCGAAAGTTCAAGTTCTTGCGAGAGCAGACAGTCGAGGTCTGAAGTAAGGTAGTTCAATGGTTGGAGCTTCAGAGGTACCTACCCACAAGCTTCTCATGCGAGCCCCAATCCAACTCCGTCACTGCCCCACAACTTGCAAGGGACCTTATCTTGCACCTGCAGATAAGAAAACCTGCATCACCAATGAAGCAGCAGCTGACTCTTCAGTAGCACCACCATCCCCGCCTTCTCTTCCCCATGACCTGTGACTCCCGCCCACGATAACAAGGCTTGCCAATTGGATATATACGAGGAAGAGGAAGCCATAGGGCTCAATTGGCAATTCTCAGACCCCTTACATCTGCCCTCCGACATCCAACATCCCGCATCGCAGCATGGCCGCCGCTGTGTCTTTGTCGGCCATCCGCATCGCGGGGCTGGCTTCGCCTCCCGTCAACGAGGCATTGTCTGGGATATTTGGCAGCATTAGCTTAACGTCGTGGATATGTCTTTTGGTAGGTTGTCTCGAATGTTGCCTACGAAGAGAGCACAGCTACTGACCGACTTCGAAGCTGCCCCAGCTCATTACCAACTACAAATCGCAGAGCGCCGATGGGCTGTCGATGGCATTTCTCTTCGTCTGGATGGTTGGGGATATAGCCAACTTGATTGGTTAGTGCTGAGCCACGGGCCTTCCTTTTACGCTGTCCCGCATCTATATTGCTAGAAGGGAGTCGTTTAGGTGGTCGTACAATCGGCCGCCCGATCGATCGTCAGCTCAGACTATTGGATGATAGGTCGTGTCCTCGGACCTGCAAGGCTGACAGAATACTCTGACAGGCGCACTCTGCACTCACCTCGCCCCGACTGCAATTGCTCTCGCCTGCTACTTCTGCGTTGCCGACCTCGTCTTGATCGTTCAATGCCTTTACTACAACGCCAAGAATGCCCACCGAGCACGCAGACACCGATCGCAGCACCGCGGGCAAAACGGCGCCGCAGTCAATGACGAGGACGAGGACGGCGATGTGGAGGATGAGCCGCTTCTTCGCCGACGGAGGAGCTCCAGCATCGGCCTGCCCGGGTCGCACCGCCGCCATTCCACCCGGCGCTCCGAGTCCAATCTCGACCCGCTGACCCGCATCGTCACGGGCGAGGACGATACCCCCGACAGCAACCCCTGGCTGCACAACACCGTCAGCCTGCTGGCCGTGTGGGTGGTTGGCGCTGCGGGATACTATGCCTCGTACCACATGGGTGCTTGGGACGGGGCGCCCGAGGTCCCGGACCCGGAGATCCCCGAGTCGCAGACTGCGCTGGAGATTGTCGGCCTGGCTCTGGGGTACTTCAGCGCCGCGTGCTATCTGTGCGCTAGAATTCCTCAGATTGTCAAGAACTACCGTGAAAAGTCCTGCGAAGGTATGTGTGGTCCATACGAATGAATTTGGCAAGACGGGACAGCTTCGCTGACAGAAAAACGATAGGACTCGCTTTACTCTTCTTCCTGCTCTCGCTGACTGGTAACCTCACATATGGCGCCAGCCTGGTTGCATATGATCAGAGTGGTGATTACCTCCTGACTGCCCTGCCGTGGCTCCTGGGCTCCCTAGGAACCATTGTGGAGGACCTGGTCATCTTCTTCCAGTTCAGGCTCTACTCGCCCAGCAAGGAGCCGAAACCGCCCGCTCAGAGCACTGAGACCTATGGGACTGTCTAGTTCTCATCAGATATGGAGTCCCGTTGTTCATTTTCGGCCATTGGTCTTGGCTCGCTGTCCATTCCCATCATGTTACAAATGTCTACTTCTGCATCACGCATGGTCTGGAGTTCTGGAGCAAGGATGCTTTACAGTCTCTGTGTTATTGCTTCAAGTCAGTCTGTTACGTCTTTTTTTCCTGGTTGTATATAGGGAGGGTAAGAGTATTTTATGACCCGCGTTGGTTCCTGCATGTATTCCTGCACGTATTCCTGCATGGTCTGCTGGCAGTGAGTCGAGGGTCATCTCTTGAATGGCCGCCATGATGCAAGAAACCGGGTCCTTGAATATTCATTCGTAGTTGGAACAATTTTAGTTCTTTGCTCGCCTCCATTTGTAGTGATCCCTGGGCGAAAGAAGGCGAGGGCGGTGGTCTGCCTGCCGAGTCGCACCGAGTCCAAGCACGTGGAGCGCATTTGCGATTTGATAATGACCACGATCTGTATTATCTTGCTTTGGACAAAAATGACCGCGTTTGCCAATTCGTTCCGTGGCTTCCACGGGGTTTTCAATGGATATGATATGGTGTTGTTTGGGGTTGCATGAAGCCAGCCTCGCCGCGGCCCGAGACTACCTAAGCATACGAACATCTCTCAGCGAAACCTCCTCACAACCAGCACATACAGCCCAGATAAACTGGCGGTAGAGATATATGTTCTAATTATCTGCCCAAATGTACAGATCTTCGAATGGTCAGGGTCGGCGGTCTTCGATCTCTTGCAAAACCCACCGAGGTCGAGGGCAAAAACTGACATATATCGCCGTCCAGCAGCCGCAACTCTCTGTTTTGGGACATCAAAGTGGTATTATTTGGCTTTCTAGGTTTTCTCCTTTGGTTTTATTCTATTCTGGTGCTTCCTTTCCTGGTGGTCGGGGAGATATGATTTTTGGACGGTTCTGTCTGGAAAATGCTATTTTGATGTATGGTTTTAATAGAAAGTTCTGATCAAAGATATATAATATTGGAAAACACACAAAACATCACCAAAACAAGTCAAAACACCACAGAAAAGGCACACAGGAGCGATAGAGCAGTATATAAACCAGGGAATTACTTTAAATATAGGATAATCCTGGTGTATCATCCGTGGCTGGACATCGTCTTCATCCGCACCAGCACCCGCACCCGCACAACGTTGCTTCTCAGCAAGATCCCCTTAGAGAAACAGTCTGATATATTAAGCCAAACTGTCCTGCCCGAGTACATCCTTTTTTTTTTTTTTTAACAAGCATGGAAAGTGAGGCGAGAGGCACGGGTCGAGGTGCTGAGAATCTCTCCCACGTCCGTTCCGGCGGAGAGATGTTGCAATATCACGGAGCTGCCACCGGCACTTGCCGGCGGCTCACGGGGGACGCAACCCGTCCACGCCAGACTACCAACGAATCATAGGGGGCTACATAACGGCCGCAGCACAAGAACACTGGACAACAGGCCATCCCTTACCGGAATGATTTCTACGACAGGGCATACCTATAAACACACACCCTTTTGACCGCGAGAAGACATCAAAATTTCGGGCCACAATACTGCCAGACTCCAAGGTCCTGCTCGAGCCCTCCTCATTCAACCAATCGTACGAGTAGGTATTGAATCTGCCGATACCTGAGAAGCCCCCCCCCCCCCCCCCCCTCCCCCCCCCCCCCCCCCCCCCCCCCCCCCCCCGTAGGTGTCGTTTGTGTCATAGACCGAGCCTCAAGCCCAAAGGCGCAGCAGATAAGGACCGAACATCAGAGACAGTCAAGGGGAGATCTTGTCTGTTCGATCGCAAGAGCTGCCATGACTCGAGGCTTCCCTTCCTGCCCGACGGATCGTCGCCTTGGCCCAGAGCTTAGCTAGGTACAATCCGTCGCGGCAGGCAAAGCAAGAGAGTTGCAAGCAAAAATAGAACCGATTCAGAGACATGTTGGCCAGAGATAGGTAGTCCGTTTCTCACACCACACACTCTTTTACCCTTGTTGCTAGTGACAACTGCCTTGGATTTCGGCAGCGAGACATATCTCTTCCTCGGGGCAAAAAGCAGAGAGTCAGACAACAAAGACGATGGGCCGCCGGGGCAACGGTTACCCGGCAGCTCTCACACACACTGCCAACTCAGCTCAGCTCACCGTCTACTTCACCAAGGTGAATATTCCAAGCAAGCCAAGTTTCGTGAGGCTGTTGGAAGTGAGACAATACACTCTCTATTTTGGCGTGTTCGTCGCAGCAGAGACACACTTGGCATAAGTACTGTCTCTTGTTCTCCACCGCCAAATCGAGGCAGGCAGGAAGCAAAGCAGGAACAAGGCAACGGTGGGTTAGCCCATTTTGTGGACTCGGCCCCTTTGGGATAGCTAGCCATCCTACGCGCAGGGAATCGACACGAGGCGTCTGCTCGAAAGGGGGGGGAAGGGCGACTATTCTGGCAAAGGGGCCTCCACTGTATCCGTTGACGATTTCCTCCCTCCCCCTAAGATCTTGACAAGCGGGGCTTGTACGGGGGTTGGCTGAGGGAGGCGGAGGGCCATGCAAGATAAGGTTTCGCCAGGAGCTCCTCTCATCCATGGAGATACCCGATCATTGGCAGCCATACCTTATTCCGAAGTGCCACCAGCTCCAGAGCGTTTGGTTAACCGCCAGCCAGCCAGAAGGGAAGAAAAAGAGGACAGGCTGCGAAAAGAGAGCCAGAGGAGAATTGCAAATCTCGGGGTCCCAGCAACGAGGAGGGTTCCGCGTCGAGAAAGGTCCTGGCCCAAAGGGAGGGGGGAACCAAACCTCTCCCGTTTGCGCAAAGGGACCGCCCTTTTGCCTGCCCCTGGCCAGCCTCGCGTTGGAATGTCGCTCCATTCCCGGCCACACGCCGCTAACGACCGCTCATCTCACACTACAACACTGCTGTTGCGCGGCGCCCATGTCCGCGACATTCTTCAGCGATTGGCCAATCAGAGCTGCTGGCGCAGAGACAAGGTCTTGTCAACACAGAGTTCGCCGCTAGGTACAAGCGCATTCTGCTGGCTCATCTGGTTTGATCAAAGTCAAATCGCCTTTTCAAGAAGAGATCGACATCTCACGCTTGATGCTTAGATTGCCGGCTAGCCCAAGCTGCGCAGGAGATCCACCTCCATGAAGGAAAAGAGAGAGGCTTGAGAGCTTGAGAGGGCTGTTGTTCGAGCACTCTTTCTGGCCAGTGCCCGCTTCAATTGTTCGATCAACTGCACGCAGGCTTGGCAGGCAGATCTGCAGTGCCTATTCCTAGACCAAGCAGCACTTGCTCCGATGGACCAGGTCCACATCTGTTTGTGCAGCTCTTACACTCGAGACTCCTGGAGAGATACATGTACATGTAGGTATTGCCTATTGCAGACAGATGTGGAGGATGACGACATGTGGTGCTTGCCAATTCTGGGCAGTCCTGCCACGCTGCCTGGGCGCTTTGCCAGATTCAATGTAACTGCGCCAGGTGGCAATAAGTGGGCACCTACAGTTGGGAGCTTGTACCGCCGTACCTCGCAGCTGCAGCCCACCCAAGCCCAGCCTGACCAATCAGCGGCGCCCAATCCGCAGATGTCAGCATCAGCTAAGCTCCTGTCATCACCTTGTAAGTGAACCGCTTTCCAAACTCTTTGTCAGCACTGAACGACCACTCTAATACACCACCACATAAAAACTCTGTAAACTCTGTAAATGCTCATACAATGTTTACACAAGCATGAAAAATAACTTGGGAGAAAAAGAAAGAAGGAAACCGGTAGTATCTTCTCGTCTGTCATCAGAAAGGCCTTCCCTTGGGTATAAGAGTGCGTCCTTGAGCCATAGACAGGCTCACTTCATCATTTCAAGATCCACCATAGCGACAACTGAACACACTCCCCACTATTGAGAGACTGCCCGTTTGCAAGCCTTGCTCAGCTCGAGAACCAGACACGCCAGAGACAGGAAGCAGCACATGGCCAGTGCCAACATCAGAAACGTCATGTCCAAGACACTCCTCCACCACGCCAAAATCACCCCCCACCGGTCGTCTGCCCGGGGCCACTCGGACCACGGCTGGCTGAACACCTACCACTCCTTCTCCTTTGCGGGATGGTACAACCCAGACTTCACCCAATTCGGCGCCCTTCGCGTGCTCAATGAAGACCGCGTCAAGGCCCGGTCGGGCTTCCCCACACATCCTCACCGGGACTACGAGATCTTCAGCTACATCCTCTCCGGCGAGCTGACCCACCGAGATTCCATGATACGCAAGGATGACGAGAGTAGCCAGGGAGACAAGTTCTACCGCATGCACCGCGGCGACGTGCAGTTCACCACGGGAGGCACTGGCATCGCGCATAGCGAGATGAACGAGCACTCCAAAGACACAGTGCACTTCCTGCAAATCTGGGTCTCGCCTTGGCGGCGCGGCCTGCCGCCTACCTACCATACAAAGCACTTTGACGAGGATCAGAAGCGGAAGGGCTTTGTCCCTATCCTGAGCCCGCTCAAGGCCGGAGTCGACGCGAGTGCAGTGGATGAGAAGGCGGCCGAGCCTGTCATCCCCAACACGATACCCATCCATGCAGACTTCGCCATGGGGGCAGGCATCATTGCCCCCGAATCGACGTTTGAGTGGACTGTCGGAGCCAAAGCCACGACAGCAACCAAGAGAAAAGTATTCGTTCATCTACCCATGACCAAAGGCGGCAAGGCGAGTGTCCGTCTGGATGGTAGAGACGACGCGGTCCTGCTTGAAGGCGACGGCGCCTTTGTTGATGCAGTCAAGGCTGGCGACAAGCTCTTGGTCGAGAGCATTGGTTCGGTCGAGGCAGAGGTCGTCGTCCTGGATACCGCCTAGGCCTGGTTCAAAACTGTAAAATAGAAAGTCCATAAGAATAAAAAGATTACACGCATCTTTGAAGAACGGAAGTGCTTCAACCATAGTTCCATGTCTACTCCTGTGAATCGTAATAGATAGGATCCCCTGTAGACTGCGCAGAGGCCAAAAGGCAGAAAGGAGGGAGGCTTCCCTCTGGCGGGAGAAGGGCAGATATCTATATTACCCTAAGGACACGTAATAGGAACACTCTTTGCTAGAAGAGTCATTGCTCACTCGCATCGCGATTTGACGCTGCCACGCAAGGGGTAAGCTTGAACGTGGTCAAGAGCTTCGAGCCCGCGTGGCGGGTTTGCGGCCTCTAGTGTCCATGCCAGGTACGGCATACCTACCGGCCGGGAGCATCGAAGCATACCTCAGCATCGCGACGCGGCGCGTCTTGGGTGTGATTTCTGTTCTCGTTGATTGGCAAATGCGACAAGCTTGGTCAGTAGTTTAAAACACACATATATCTGTAGAAGGTGAAAAACGGCGCGCGACTAGCGCTGAGGATATCAAATTAATGATTGCATGACTTGGACGACCTGACACTGGCGATCGGGGAAGATGCAGGGGAGGAGGCAGACCTAGAGATGGTAGGAACCACCAGCAATAAGGCTAAAGGACATGATAAAATTGCTCATATCTCATTGCTGTCCATGAAAGCGTCTCGAAAATTCCCGTCTCCATCAAGGATAACGGCGAGCCAGCTACCGCCTGAGTGTCACAGTTGGGTCCAGTAGACGGCCATCGTGAAGATGCGGACTAGGTAAGCTAGACACGGCTGTGTGGTACCTACCTACCAAGGTAGGAAACTCCAGGAACAGCGGCGGGTAGCAGAGGGGCAAAGACAGTCCCATCTTGGCAAGATGAGCACGTTGAAGTTGGGTCCTGACTAGTTGATAGCACATAGGAGATGGGGCATGAACTCAAAGTAGACGCGCGAGGCAAGTGGATCGCCATGGCGAGAGGAGATGAGGCGAGCACGAGGCGAGGTAGGTAAGAAGACGCGGGAACAACGGCGGTCGACAGGAGCAATGGGTAGGAGGAGTCGGCGATTGCCCAAGCACGAATCCACCTCGCATACAGACCGCAACGTGGTGGCGCAGCATTAGGTACTGCACCACTTCCACAAGCCAGTGGCAGTAGCGTGTAGACAAGCTATTCTGGGCAGATTGGATATGACGTCCTTGATCTCGTCGTCTGGTGTTACGCGTCGACCCATCCGGGGAGAGAGACGGAGCTGGTCCACTTGGGCCAACATTGGCGCTCAATATCTCGCTCAGTAGGATACAGGAGAGTGAATAGGGCGAGGAATGTTGGTTCCTTTGGAGGTATTGATGGATGGATAGCGTGGAGAAAAGAGGAGAGGACAGGACTGTTCGAGCTCTCGAGCCCTCTGGAGAGCAGCAGCCGGAGGAAAACAAGACGGAGAGTGGAGGTCCCGATAGAGCGAGCTGGTCTGGATGGAGGATAGTGCTCAAGCTGTGTCTTGCATCGCCCTCCGTCACTGGCTGGTTGAGGAGCAGAGGAGCATGGACGATTGCAAGATCGAGTCAGGGCTTGTCAGGAACAAGGCAAAGCGTGTGGGTGTGGATGGACCGAATCGGACTGGCAGAGCAAAATGCGGAGGCTGGAGTGGACAGCTCTGGCGGGCGGCAGGCAAAAGTCCCTGCCAGATCGAGTCAACTCCAAGCCCAGGGGGGCTGGAGCTGAGTGCCCGCGTAGCAGAAAGGGGCAAATCACGTGCACGTGTATCTCAATCGGGTAATTTGCACCTGACTAACACGATGGACGACGACACTTGATCCTTCTCCTTGCTTTGCTGCTACTCCCTTCGTCCCTTCCTGCAGAACCATCTCCAAAGCCAGGGGCCGGAATCACAGAAACAAAACAAATAATAAAAAAAAACACATCCCTCGCAACACACCATCCCATCGCGCATCTCTCTCTCGACCAAAAGCCGCCAAATAGCTTCGATCGATAGCAGAGGAGCCACGGCAGAAAAGTGGAGAGGCGAGAGGATGTTGTACCTCGCTCAACATTCCAAACGACGAGGCCTGAGACACGCCCACAGCCTAACAAAGGCAAATCTTCAGTGCCACCCAATTAGCCAACATTCCAACTCGTGCCGGTTGCTTGCCCCGTCCAGGGGCACCAGCGATGGTGGCTGATTTGACTTTGCCCGTCCTGGCCGTCTCTGGCCTCTTGCCTGCCCTGGAGCTTGCCTGCCCTGGGCATGCCGAGGAATGCTGCCTCTGACGCCAGGCGAACCGCACCACCAATCCGGTCGACCTGGCCGGCAGGCATGACGACCAGACCACACCACGCACCACGCCCCAGGTACCTCTCGCCCACTTTGGCCGCCAAGCAGAGACATGGAGCGAGGATCGCGAAAACCCAACTGGCATTGTCTCGCCTGCTGCTGGGTCGGATACATCACAGACCGCACAGAGGCCCCACACGAGCTGGAACTCTAATGAGGCGCCGTCGTCAAGTCGAGCATCGAACGCGAGCCTGATTAAATTCCAGTCCGATGCTGGCCATCGTGATCCTGGCCGCCCGCCGGCTTGAGGTCTTTAAATGGGGCCTGATCTTCCTCCTCCTCTGTCCCAAAAGCATCCTCTTCTCAGTCATTCGCTCGTTTACTCAGTTATCTGCGGTGTAGTGCTACTCGCCAGCCCGTCTCTCTCTTTTTAAACAGCTGTAGAACTACTCGTTTGACGAGCTCCATCCTATCACAAAACAACACCCTTTCGTTTGCACAAAGACTCTCAAGATGCGTTGGACCCAGGCTGCTGCCCTGGCCGGCCTCGTCGGCCTGGCCCAGGCTAAGACCTACAACAACATCCGCGACCAGGAGATCCGCGACTGCGGCTCTGTTGGCTGCTACGCCAAGGCCATGCAGGCTCGCCAGGTTGGCCACGGCCCCCGCAAGATGATGGGTCGCCAGATCGACAACACCACCAGCTCTGCTTCCACCAGCGAGGAGCCTTCCTCTACCACCGAGGCCCCCTCGTCGTCGTCTTCGGCCGCTCCCAGCAAGACGACCACCATCTCGGTTGCCTACCCCACCGCCACTGACTACTCTGCCATCTTCGCTCTCGGTGCTGGCTCTGCCATCATCACCACCGTGACTGTCAACGGTCAGGTCGTCGAGGTCGTCCTCGTCAACAAGGGCTGCTTCGGCGCCCAGGCTGGTGTCAACCCCTTCACCGCCAACCCCGAGGCGGGCAGCGCTGCCTCTGCTAGCGAGTGCACTGAGTTCTGCCAGGCCTTCCCTCTGGGTTACTCTAGCGAGGTCGTCGCCGACTGCTACTGCGGTAGCGCTCAGCCCAGCCTGCAGCAGATCGACGACTCCTACTGCCAGACCACCTGCCCTGGTGACTCTACTCAGTTCTGCGGTGGTGGCCCTGCCCCTACCAAGCGCGACATCAAGGTCCGCCAGAGCACCGTTGCCGCCCAGATCTTCGAGACCGTTCCCCGTGCTGATGTCTTCATCCCCGGTGTTGACGGCAACACGACCACGACTGCCCCCACCAGCGCTCCTACCTCTGCGCCCACTAGCCAGGCCACCAGCGGTACCGAGTCCACCACCGGCACCGGCACTGAGCCCACCTCCGGCATGACCTCCATGACCTCCATGACCTCCGGTGCCTCTTCCACCGGCTCTGCCAGCGCCACCTCTTCCTCCGCCGCTGCCGGCATTCCCACTGACACCCCCATCATCTTCGGCATCTCCCGCATTGGTGGCGCCAACCCCTCCAACGCCGTCAAGCGCCAGACCAACACTGGTACCTTCCTTGGTGGTGCCGGCCCTGTCGCCCCTGAGAGCTGCTCTGATGCCACCACCTTCCGCATCTCCAACGGCCAGCTCTTCTCTGGCAACCAGCTCGTCTCCACCAACGCTGGCACCCCCTACCAGGCCTTTGCTGTCTCCCCCGTCGTCGGAGCCATCACCACCACCTTCACCTCGGCCGGCTCCAACCTGGTCTGGGCCAACGCTGCCTTCCCCGGTGGTCAGGCTGGCTTCTGCCAGGACAACACTGGCCGTGTCTACATCACCTTCGGCACCTCGCCCCCTCTGTGCACTCCCGTCAACCTGGTTGCCTATGCTGCCACCCAGTGCCAGAACGGCCAGATCGTCGGCCCCACCCCTGCTCCCACCACCACTCCCCTCCCTGCCAACCAGACCCTCAGCCTGCCCGCCAACGTTTTCTTCCCCGACAACGTTCCCACTGGCGAGGCTTGCACCTGGATCCAGGCTTCCTGGACCATTGGCGAGGCCACCATCACCCCCTTCGCCAACCCCGCTGCCTAAGCGGCTCAGGCTTGGTGCCTCGACCCAAGTCCCAGGTGAGACCCGCCCTCGCGGCGTGTTCTCTCCGGCTCTCGAGGTAGTTCGTGCCGCCCTCAGGGTCCGCGTCTGCCTTTGATTGCCACTGGTCGGGTCCGCTCTGGCCCTGCGCTCCCTTTTACCCCGAAGGGCCGCCGGTGCCGTCGGACATTTCCAAACCGGCCCATTTCTCATTACTCGGCATCTATGGAGCGTACATCAGGATGTAATGTGGAAATCATCTTCGGTTCTTTCTAATCTTTTTTGGGAAATATGCAAGTCAAGACTCTGAAACGTGTTGTTTTGTTTTGTTTTATAGGATGGTCATTTTGGTTCTATTCTTTGTCTGTTTAACCGGCTGTCAAGAAGTAATCTCACCAGTAGCTCTACAAATAGAGGTTGTGCCCTTTATTTGAAAACAAAATGTGCCTCTTGCCGTTGTGACTTGTGTGAATCCCTCCTCAGGTCTTTACAATGTTGTATGCATCATGCCCCTTTGCGCCTTGTTAGCTTTTCAGGGCTCGCTCCATTTAAACACCATATATAAGATTTCGACATAGCCAAAATTCCACCAAGCCCGAGGACTCTTGACTATGTTAAATCACCTCAGAATACTCACAATCTTATATGGTCGATACCTAAGTACGTAAAGGTATGTACAACACCAGGATAGCTTATAGTCAACAACACAAGCGAACGTACCTAGGCCATTCGAATCGCAACGAGAGGAAGAACCAACGTCAACTACAAGCAAGACTTGTTTGTATTCTCAAATGTGCACAAAAGCAAATGTAGACCAGCGGCTATCCTCATCTTTCCGCCCAGGCTCCCTCCCTCCCTGGTGTGACATATATAAAGTAGAGTTTCTTTTCCTCCTAGGTAATTCTTTCCTCCTCTGCTAGTCCAAATCATCCCACCCCCCCTCAGAAAAAGCTGGCTCTTGGTCGGACCAGACCACCTCGCGAGTCCTTCTCTTCTCCGATGACATGGGGAACCAAAGCACACACACGCAAAACATCTCTCTCACGTCATCCCTATTCTACTTTGCGTCCCGTCCGCCCAACCACACACACACACACACACACACACACACACACACACACACACACACACACACACACACGCACAATAGATTCGAAAACCGAGCGAGCGAGTGTGTGTGAGAAGTATCCATACACACCACATCACATCACATCCCAGCTCCAAACTCACCCCTCAAACTCAACAATCCTCTCCGTAGGCAGCCCCTCGTCCCCCCTCGCCTTCCCTATCCTGGGCACACCACTGGCACCACCGCCGCTCCCCGCGGATTCCCTATCCTCCACCGTGGCCCCCGCGTCCGCCCCCTCGAGCAGGTCCCTGTCCGACGACAGCGCCCCGCCCGCGACCCCGAGCTTCCCGCCCGCGCCCTCCCTGCCGGGGCCGTCCCCGTCCTCGTCCTCGTCGTCCTCGTCGTCATCGCCCGCAGTCGCGGAGGCCGGGCGCTGGCCCGGCAGCGCGTTCTTCTCGAGCTCGCGCTGCGCCTCCTCCATGCGCTTGCGCACCTCGGCCGCCACGCGCATGCCGTCCGTGACGATGTTGTCCAGCACGCCGCGCAGGCCCCTCGTCGCGCCCGCGATGCCGGCCGCCGAGGGACCACCGCCGCCGGGCTGTCCGCCGCCGATGGGGCTGATGGCGGCCGAGGCGGCGCGGCCGGCGCTGATGCCGAGGCTCGAGAAGGTGGTGAGCGCCGAGCCGCCCGTCGTCGCCGGGCCCGAGGTGGGCAGGCCCTCGATGACGTGGAAGGAGGTGGGGAACGAGGACTCGAAGAACTGCTCCAGGAGCTCGTCGGCCAGCACTACCATGCGGAAGGTCGGCAGCGTGATGTGGAGCGGGTTCGACGGGTCGAGAGCGGCGTTGGCTGCCTCCGACGCCTTGCGGCCGGTGGTGGTGTCGCCCGACTTGGTTGATTCGGCGTCGCTCGCCCTCTGAGCCGCCGGCTTCTGCGCCTTGCTGGGCTCTCCGGTCGGTGACTCCAAGGCGAGCAGGTCGTCTTCGTCATCATCGCCGATCGCAAACGAGCCGGGGTCGGCCAGTTCCGAGTCCGTTGTCAGGTCTCCCATCTGCTTCGCGAGAGCCTCCTTCTCCTGGTTCTTGGGGTGGTCAGGGTCGGCGTACTCGAAACACCTCCTGATGAAGGCACTAACGCTCCCCAGGAACCTTTCGTTAACAGATCCTCCAGGCATCGACCCTTGTCCATCGTGAACGGTTTGCTCGGTGTATCCATTGAGAGCTGTGTTGGACGCAGAAGGGCTGAGCGTGCCCTCGAGTCCCCGCCGAGACAGGAACAGCAGAGCTTCAGACATGCGCAATATGCCCTCTCTGTCCACTCTGCCATCCCCGTCGTCGTCGTAGAGCTCGAAGAAATACGTGATCGTTCCCATGATGTCTCTCTTGCCCTTGATTCTGGCCATGCCGGTCACGACATTTTGCAACGTCAATGCCCCGGTAGAGTCCACATCCCAGTGGCGGAACATGCGCTGCAAGAACTCGTGCTCCGCAGGCTCGGGGCCGTTCCCCCAGATCGACATGGGGATGTCTGGCCTCCTAAAGCTCCCCCACCCGTTCTTTTCCTTCTCGGAAAATGCATCCCGCCGGGGAGTCGTTGGTGCATCCGAGATGGCCCATTTAGACATCCCTGCGAGGAATTCTCGGAAAGCATCATAGTCCATAAGATTTGTACTCGGTCCAAGTCCCACTCGGCCCTTCTCTATGCCATGGTGGTGGTCTTCATTCATGCCAGGCAGTCTCGGCCGCCCAGCTTTGACTCTCCGGGCTTGCTCTTCCTGGAGGATCAGATCCCGTTGCTGCCTCTCGTACAAGACGCCATAAAACCTGTCATAGAGCCCACCGAGCTCCTCTGTGCTCAGCACTTTGCTGTCTGGACCAAGGTTGCGAATAGCAGTCCGTTTGGCAAAGTTCTCAATGTTGTTCAGAACAGCGTCCTTGTTCTTGAGTCGCAGCTCGGTGATGCTGCTGTGGGTTATGCCGGAGAACTCCTTGAAAGCAACCACCATAAGCTCTTGAAACCTGGTGACTGCCCTCAGTTTGGGATTCTCAGATTTCGGGTGCGCCGACTCGTCCAGACGAGAGAAATATGACTTGAGCACCGAGATGAAGGCGCCGTCATCTGTCGCGTCCAAAAGCTCCTCGCCGTTTATCCTTAAGATGGCTAGGCCGACCTGGAAGAGGACTTTGGGACCCTCAACGAAGAAGACATCCAGGACCCTGAAAGCGAAGACTAGGGGCATGGAGTTGATGTAAAGTGACAGGAACCACGGCAGAGACACGACAGACAGCTGGACGTCGCTCTTGACGAGGTGCTCCCACAGGACAGGCATCGTCTTCTCGACCAGAGATTCGAATACCTTTTGGTCGAGGAGGGTGCCGTACATGGTTGTAGAGTAGTATCCAGGCACAAGACGGTCACAGAGCGCAGACAACAAGAAGAATGCCTGCGCCTCGGACATGTAGATGAGGAGAGCCGCGACGACGATGTTCATGGCCTGGCAGTAGCCGACCTCGGCATTGACCCAGCTGTAAGCAGTGAGGACTCTTCGGAGCCGGCCGATTCCTTCCTCACTCTGGAAACCCGGATACTCGGGAAGACTGCGGTTCAGGTCCTTCTCGATCTCGTCGATAGCAAGCGATTCCTGGCCCTCAAACTTGGCCAGAGTGTCGGCGTACAACGTGGGGGTTTCGAGGCGGAGGTATAGAGAGCCCGATGTCAGTTCCCAGATCTCGCCCCTCAGCCGGTTGGGCAGGCCGACTCTGATCAGTTTGTGGAAAGTGGGCTGGCGTAAGAGGGTGACGTTTCGGCCGTTGTCGCGGAGGTACTCGGCCCAGAGGCGCATCTTGGCCCTGTCCCTCAGCTTCTTGGGGTCGCCAGGATACCTAAAAACCATGCCGAGCCCCGCGTCGGGGGGATTCGCGTTGTTTTTTTGGTCTTCTGGGCGGAGGAGATATTCGGAGTAGCATTCGGCGGTGACGGCCTTGAGCTTCGCGACGTTGCCGACACCGGCTCGCAGTCCCTTCTTCAGACCGTCGCAAAACCTCTCGCACGCTGGCCGGGTGCCGGCCAGCTCTATCGTTATCCGTTGTTCTCGCGTCGGCTTTTGGTCCTTGCTGGCATCTTTGTTCTTATCTTTGCCACTGTCCTGCGCAATGCCGTTCCACGTTGTGATGGCTAATGAGAACTACGGGACACGGAGTCAGCTTGCGCACTTCCAGCCAGATGGAGACAAGGTACGTACCTGGAAGTTCTGGGTGTGAAGGCGTTCAACCCTCCTGATAGAGGAGAGTGGGAAAGTGAACCCATTGCCGCTGGGACCGCCGCCGTGTGTCTGGCCCGTGAAGGCCGACGATGTCGAGGTGCTGGCAGAGGCTAGGAAGCTGCTGGGGGTGGTAGAGAAGCACATGTAGGCCTCGGATAGATGTAGCTTGCCGGCATAGTGATAGCCGCGATCTCTGTCCTTGTCACCCTGGGTGGCATTGGAAGGCGGGATGGTGAGCTCGGCGGTGATCTCGTAAAGGGGGTGCTGGGATGAAGGGAGGCGGAACTGGTTCTGGAAGAGGGAGGCCTTGGAGGGGTTCTTGTCCGAGTTTGTCAGGTTCAGGCCCTGCGTCGGGTCGAGCAGCTGCTGTGCCTTTTGCACAAAGCTGGAGAAGTTCAACATGGCTGCTGCTGAAGCTGTGAGAGCCGAGGGCCACCGCCCAAGTCAAGTATGACCATCCAGGGATGGGCCAGCTGAAGGAGGAGGGGCCGACGGAGAGCGAGGATGGAACGAGCGGAAGGCCGGAGCGACGGCCAGTCTATTCAGACGGCGGTGATGGATCGCATAGGATGGCTAGGAGACGGAGGAGCCCGAGCCGGTCTCGATTTTGGCAGTCTATGAACGTATGTATCAAAGGTCGCTGGCTGTTCTGCAAGAAGCGATTAGGGATGGTGGATTTGGAGTAGGCAGGCTCGGCTGTGTTTCGTCGTGATAGGTAGCCTTGCTGGGCTTGCGTCTGCTCTCAGAGTCCCAGTAGCGTTCCTAAGTGTTGCTGGGGCTTAGTTCAGCCTAGCAAGAATGGGAAGTGGGGAGCTAGCCAAGCTGTCCAGGCAGCCAACCCCTGCAGCCGCCGCCTCTCTCCCGCAAGCCTCCGTGGTAGCGCGGTGCATTCCGGGGTTAGTCCCCTATTCTCTCGCCTGGAATTGGTAAGAATTGGGGAGGTCTCCAGGGCCTCTCAGGGCTGTTGTCCCAGCACTGCCAGTCCATACCAGCACACCGACGTGGAGGTACCTCAAGTATTTGGGCAATCAACCTGGGCAACACTCGTTGAGATGAGATAAAGAGTCTGTTGGGCAATTGTCGAGATAGACTATCTATCTTCTGACCACGAGATATACAGCAGTCTACCTCTATTGGACTCCGACTCAACTATCTGACTAGATAGAATGATATCAGATGATTTGGTTCTAGTGATAGCAGGCTTTGCTGTTTCTGCATTCTTGTTTCGCCAGTCGTAAGTTCCATATGTAGGCAGGGAATTCATGCTTTTATTCCTTTGCTCCTCTGTTTGGGCGCAACCTTGCTTCACGAGACAGCCATGCTAGAGGGCTGTCATTTGACTACCGTCTCTCACCAGCTCTTGATGATACCAAGGATCCGTGTGTGGGCACCACTGAGAACTCAAAGAGACGCTAGCCCTGTTGTCAATGCTCTGCGACAGGAGATGCTCACCCTTGACCCCTAAATTTCATCTCAAACCCAGGCAATGTGTAACGGGTGATGCTGGCTAGACTTGCGGAGGATCTGCTTACGACCTGCATTGTTTGGACACGGCGACCCCGGGAGCCGGGGTTGATATGCACTGCACGACAATAACCCGGTCAATTTCACAGATTCAATGCGTCTCTGATCGTCGCGGCTGTGGTCGGCCGACGGGGATTATTTACAGTACCTAACTGCCTGCAAGAAGAGGAGAGAGAAAGGCGTGTGGGTGGGAATTGTCGTGTGCTACCTACTGCTGCGAGTAAATGACTCGACAACAGAGACATGTTCAACATCGCGACTGGGGTACCTAGCTGTCCGTTTGAGTCGGACAGATGAGGGATGAGCAGTTAGGTACGCCGTTGAGCTAGAGCTACTCCAAGACCGGTCCAAGCCAAGAACCACCAGGCTGGAACACGTATTCCCGGTACCTCAGAGCACATCACATCTCCCCTCCCGACTCGAGCTGTCTTCTCACTCTCAACTCTCACTCTGATTCACGATACCAGGATTGGGAAGGACGGGCAGAGCGATACATACCCAAGTACTCCGTACAAACTGTAATCTGCAAATGCACATTGGCTTCATCTTGCTTCTTGTACTGCGTACACAACTAGTGAATAATAATAGCGACTTCACCCGCGCCTCTAGTCCGCTTCTGGGAGAAGCCGTTCGAGGGGGAGGGCTCGGCGAATGCGATCATTCTGCGGCCCCGTCAACGTCATAGCTGGGCCGGCTATCGTTTTCTTTGCACCTCGTTCGCGCGCTTCCGTCCAAGGATAAGCCGCCGCTGGGCCGCCTAGTCCTTCTTTGCAGTGCGCAAGCGAATCCCTTGACACCCATCCCATCCCACCTGCAGATGCGCTTTTTGGGGGGGGGAGGGGGGCAGATCCAGAGCGCGGGTTGAGAGAGAGAGAGAGACAGAGGGTGAGAGAGAGAGAGAGGGAACCTTGGGGACGAACGCATCACTCACTCCACTTGTTTTCTTGCACATCCACACATCCACACATCCTCCGTAGACTACTCGGTCCCCTTGTTTCTTCGTCGGATGGTCTCAGGTCTTTCCCCCTTGCCCATGCCCATGGCTAGTGTGCCAGCACTAGTTACTGTCCAGACAGACGCACTGCAATGTCAGAACAGAGGACCCTTCAAACCTAACCTAACCAAACCACCCGGCATCATTACTCGGGTCTCTTGTCTTGTCCTGTCCTGTCTTGTCTCTAGCTACTCAGTTCTCTTGCCCAGTCGCTTCATCTCAGCTTGCTTATACCCTGCTGCCATTACCCATCCACCACATTGCTCACCTACTTGCTTACTTGCTTACTTGCATAGCTGCTCTGCTTGTGCAACGCAGCGGATATCGGACGCTGCTCCAGCTTGCTTACACCAACCCTCCGCCGCCTCGGCTGCTTAAACGGGGCTGCTGCTGATCGCGAACAATCCCACCCAGAGGTATTACTGCCCCGCATTGGCTGCCAAAAGTCACTGTGCGCTATCGAGAAGAACCCCATCTGAGCTGAGTGCGATCATAACCCAAGGGCATGGATCGCAGGTAGAACAGCTTCAAGTCTTGTGTCTGCCCTTCATCCGCCCGGACACGGCAACACCCTTTCGCACAACTCTCTCCCCGTCTCCCCTCCTCCTTCACACCCGTCCGTCTGTCTCACCACACCCAAGAGAGAGAGAGAGAGAGAGAGAGGCTGCGTTCACGCCCAACCCGCCTGATCCAACATGGCTGCCGTCGCTGCGTCCAACCCAATCATACCCCAGATCAACCAACCCGGTCACTTCAGAGCTGAGGAATTGAACGGATCTGGGGGCGGAAATGGAGGGTCAGGAGGCCACAGCAGTGGCCGCGAGAACGGGCATGCCTTGAGCTCGCCCAAGCTCCAGCTCAGCGACTTCAAGAGGATAAGAACCTTGGGAACAGGTAAGGGTCCATTCTTAACCCCCCTCTCTCCCACGCATGCATGCGCCAGTGTAGGAATCCCCGAAGAGACTGACAAAACACCTTTGTCGCTGCTACACAGGCACCTTTGCCCGGGTCTGCCTCGTGCGGCCCGCGAGCCAAAACGACGCCGACCGCAACAAGGTCTTTGCGCTCAAGATCCTGCGCAAGACCGAGGTCATCAAGCTGAAGCAGATCGACCACGTCCGCCACGAGCGCCAGATCCTCGGCGACGTCTCGGGCCACCCCTTCATCACCAACCTGCTCGCCTCCTTCTCCGACCACGACTTCCTCTACCTGCTGCTCGACTACGTCCCCGGCGGCGAGCTCTTCAGCTACCTGCGCAAGCTGCGCCGCTTCGACGAGGACATGGCCCGCTTCTACGCCGCCGAGATCGTCCTCGTCCTCGAGTACCTGCACGAGCACCAGGGCGGCGTCGCCTACCGCGACCTCAAGCCCGAGAACCTGCTGCTCGACGAGGACGGCCACATCAAGCTCGTCGACTTTGGCTTCGCCAAGCGCCTCGGCAAGAAGGACGACGACAACGGCCGCGCCGTCGAGACCTACACCCTCTGCGGCACCCCCGAGTACCTCGCCCCCGAGGTCATCCAGAACAAGGGCCACACCACCGCCGTCGACTGGTGGGCGCTCGGCATATTGATATACGAGTTCCTGACCGGCTACCCGCCCTTCTGGCACCAGAACCCCATCGAGATCTACAAGCAGTCAGTTGTACCCCTCCCCCTTTTTTGGCTTGTTGTGGACGACGAACAATATAGACTAACCACTGCGCCCCCCGCGCGCACGCAACTGCAGAATAGTAGAAAAGCCCGTCGTCTTCCCCCAGGAGCCGCCCATATCCCCCGAGGCCCAGGACCTCATCCGCTCCTTCTGCACCGTCGACCGCTCCCGCCGCCTCGGCAACATCAGCGGCGGCGCCGCCCGCGTCAAGGAGCACCCCTTCTTCCGCGGCGTCGACTGGGAGGCCACCTACCGCCGCGCCGAGCGGGGCCCCATCGTCCCGCCCGTCCGCTACCCGGGCGACGCCCAGTGCTTCGACATATACCCGGAGGAGGACGTCAGCAGGGACAAGTACACGGACCAGATGGCCGAGAAGTACGACGACTTCTTCAAGGACTTTTGAAAAAGAAAAAACGGGCGTACTTCTTTCTTCTCCCCCGATCCGATGCTCTCCCCGTCCACCCCGCCAGCGACTCGATTTCCCTTCTTCTCTCCCAACACTCGGGACAGCTGTGTTTTCTGCGTTGGGCAAAAAGGAGGTCCATTTGCTCTTTGTTCTGGTATTCTTTTGGTAGAGGGCGCGATTTTGAGGTGGGAGGCCGGGGGGGTGGCGGCGCTTTTCTGGTCTGGACTTTGGAGAGAGAAAGTGTGTAAGTTAACATGTTTGGCGCGAGACGAGGCGTTCTGTGGCGTACTTGATATTTCCTTTTTTTTTTCTTTTTCGTATCATGCTTTTGAGCCAGGTCTGCATTCATATGATGAAGAGAAGAGAAGAGGACAGGAATGATGGGGGAAGGCCTTTTGCTTGATTCTACTTATTGTTTGTTTCGACCCTAAACCTTCCCCCGAGGAGCTCAGGAAGGGGGAACTGGGGCCCCAGCAGCAGCACCAGCAGCAGTGAAGAGAGAGAGACGGATGGATGGATGCCAGGACATCTATCGACAGCGAAACCCATGTACCTCATCATCTGGATAGAATCACTTGACAGACACCAAAACACATTCAGACAGATCGTATAGCTCAACTCGTCCTCGGCATAATAAGAGAACGTATCTGCAACGCCTCCCCAGACCCAACGCTCTCTGTATATGCAGTATATATATATGTAAGGGCCGTCCCTCCGCAACCGCCCATCCGTCGTCAGGGTATATCTGATATCCCGTGGTCACATCATCGCACTCAGCCCTCTCCCTTCATCAAACAGCGTCCCAACTCCTATTACCACACAACCATGCCTCCTCCATGAATCACATGCCAAAAAGAACAAAAAGGGGTAGTCATCGCGTCTATACGAAAAAACCCGGCACGCACCACACAAGCCCCATGACATGAATGACATGATTCACATTTCCCTCCCTCGCACACACACACACAAAAACCACCAACCACACACACTCCAAGTCTTTTTTTTTTAAACAAAAAAAAACCGTTTATCAGACAGAGACCTCGTTTCAAACGCCCTGCCAGGCCCACCAGCCCCCGACGCCGACGAGCATCAGCGTCGCGATCACCACGGCGCCCTCGCGCGTGCTCCAGAGGAACATGCTCCAGCCGACCAGCACCTCGCGCCGCCGCGCCGCCGCGCGCCGCCCGTACGCGTCCACGTCGATGGGCACGGGCAGGCGCACGCGCGGGTCGTCCTCGTCCTCGGCCTCGGCCTCTGCTGATGACGTCGCCGCCGGCTGAGACGAGAGGAGAACGGGCACCCGCGCCCGCAGGTACACGGCCTGGTGGTCGCTCGTCCGGACCACGGGCAGCGGCTCGTACGCCAGGACCTCGACCTTGGCGGCCTCGGACCGCGGCGTCTCGAGGTACAGCACGCGGTCGCACCACGAGGGCCACCGGTGCGGCGCGTACGTGAAGGGGACTACCTCGGCGGCACCGGCACCGGCACCGGCACCCGCCCGCCGGACCTCGGCCTCGTTGACGGCGCCCTCGGCTCCGCTCTGGACGTCGAGCTTGTACGTCGGCGGGAACGTGATGGGCGCCTCGGACAGGCCGTGCAGCGTGCGCCCGGCCTCGCGCTCCTGCGTCAGCTGGTCGCGGCCGAGGAACGCCGGCCAGTAGTCCGGCGAGGACGCGTCGAGGCTCGGGAACGCGGCCAGGGGCGGTGGGGTCTTGGCGCCGATGCGGTAGTTGAGGTCGCCCGCCACAAAGAGGTGCGACCCCGGGCGGAAGACGGAAATGCCGCGCAGCCGGTCGTTGTGCTGCAACAGGGCGGCCTCCTGCTCCGCCGACAGCAACATCTCTTGCTCCTCCTCCTCGGGGGTTATGCCCTGGCTGGCGGCGCTGTCGAGCAGCCGGCCCTTGGGGCCCGACCCGAGGCCCTCGAGCCCCTCGATGACCTCCTTGGGGTTCTCAAAGACGAGGTCCGACACGATGCTGCGCCAGTTCTTGTTGCGCCGGCGCAGGTTCCACTCCATGGCGGCAAAGTGCGTCGCCACAAACGTCACCTCGGCCGTGCTGCCGTCGTCGTCCCCGGCCGCGTACGCGACCCTCACGCCCACGGCGCCCTTGTTGCCCATGTCGGCCGCGCCGAACCCCACCTCGGCCACCTGCAGCCGGCGCACCGCCTCCGGGTCGCGCGCAAAGACCATGACGGCCGTCATGCCGGCGTTGTGCGAGCGGATCAGGTGGTAGGGCTTCGCGCGGCCGCCGTTGCTCTGGCCCTGGCTCTGGCCCTGGCTCTGGGGCCCGTTGGTGGAGAGCAGGGAGTCGGACTCGGCCTCCCCTTCTCCTCCGGCGGAGGAAGGCCGTTTACTCGTCGTTGTCGCCGCGGCGACCTGCGCGGCAGCGATGTTCAATGCCTCTTCGAAGCGGGCGAGGTAGGGCGAGAGGAAGTAGCCTCCGATGAAGGAGTAGGACAGGGGCGCAAACTCCTGCAGGGAGCTTTAAAACATACAAACAAGTCAGCCATGGCTACGCTACTGTTGTTGGAATCTCTGTCACACGACACCCTGAGAGGGCTTTCGAGAAAGGGGAACTGAGCAGCAAGACACACTTACAAGGCCACCAGGTCCGGCAGCCCCGTCGCGTTGCGGGTCAGGGCATCCTGGAGATGGGAGGCAAAGACGGGGACGTTGATAAGCGTCTTTGCACAATTGAAGGTCAGGATGAATAGATCCAGCGTCGAGGGCCCCATAGTCGAAGGCGGAGGAGAGATCTTCGTCGTCGTCGTGGACGAGGTGGAGGGTTCGTCCATAGCTTCAGGCCAAAACCACCTGCCAAACAATATGGCGTAACCTGAGTGAAAATGGGGCTGGCCAGCTCCAGTAAAACAAAAATAACTATACCGCCCGGGGTTGCTGGTGTCAATCCCGCCTTGGTGGGGTTGATTACCTAGATCACAAACACTCGGGCTTCTCAGCTCAGGGCTCACAGCACACCGACACACCAACTTTGGCGAGAGCACACGACACCACAGCGGACTGCTAGAGACAATCCTTCACCGGTGTTTATAGATGAGGCTGCGGCCAACAGCTATTCTCGTCTATGATAGAGAGCTCGAAAATGAAATACTTTCTTCGCCGAAGTGAGGCTAAAAAGAATGTATTTCACAGGGGCCTGGCAAAGGTGGCAATATGCAGCACCTTATATATCTAGGACTTCTTTCGTGTCTCAAGCTCGAGGCCATTCATGACCGCTCGACTGTGTCATGTGCCTGTTGTCGGGCCCATCCCGGGACTGGGCTTGTGATCAGGGTCCAGCCTCATGACTTAGTGGACTGCATCGCATCAGCTAGGGCCAAGGTGGGGGGTGGGTCGACATCGGTGCCTACCTACAGCAAGACTAAAAACCTGCTTGGCCACATCATCCGTACTCCGTACAAGCAGACCGTACACACACATCCACACAATTGCAGTCGGGCCCATTAAACGGTTTGGGATGCCAATGTAAATGTCAATTGCTAGAAGAACTACCTGACCCCGTGTAGACTGTTGCTTGTGCCAACACCGCCGTGTCGACGCACAGGACTCGACTTTCACCAAACGTACGAGCCGTTCGGGAGGAACCGAGCCTGCGCATCTACAAGGCCAAGTGGTTGAGTTGAGTAAGGAGAGTGCAGTGGCGCAGTCTTCCTTCCACTGTCGTTCCCGACCGGCAGCAGAGGAAGCCAGCAAACTGCTCATTATCCGTTCCTTCGAAAACAAACTAGTTCGTTCCTGTCGGGCCATACCGCACGCCATTCAGCTTCGGCCGTGCAAGAGATAGAATGCTACCAGTAGAGAGAGGTTTGTCTCACGAGGCCACAGTGGGTAGCTTGGTGCTATCCAACAGCGTCCGCAAACCAACCGCCCATTTTAGATGATTAAGTAGCGCGCGGGGCCCCTAACCATGTCTCGGTGCCTGCATTGTTACTTGAATCTCTTGCACCACCATCCCCTCGTCCCCTGATGCCTAACCTCCCCAGAAGCGGGCTCTGAAGCGAGAATGCCAGTGCGAAATTCGACGATGCAAATTAAAGAAACCGCGAAGGATGTGGATCGGTAAGAAACGTGCATGGTGACCATTAGGAAGAAATTTGTTGCTCCGTCATCTGGTAACACAATCGGTTGTGTGCGCCTTGATCTGGGAAGCTCCTGAGGTTCGTCGAGGCCGATGGAATTTGAGAGATCGGCGCTTCTAAACAGTACCTTGCAGGAGGATTTCCAGGTTATCCTTTGGGTTTCCCTGAAGAGTCCACTGCGGTACACTGGCACGTTCGCCAGAATACCGGACATGCCGTTCGAAAGACCTCGGATTCATGCAGGCATGCAGGGCAGCCGATCTAGGTAGATCAGCCTTCTGCCCAAGCAACTGCTGAATGCCGGAGTGCTCCGAGCCGTTAAGGAAATTTGTCGAGCCAAAGAAATAAAAGACTTCATAAAGAAATATCGGGGAAGCAATCTCAAGACAAAGACGTAGGGGAGTCGTGGTTCTCTGTCGCTCATAAGCTCACGCTTGCAGGCTGCGTGACGAGACTTGGGTTCAGTCCAATCCGCACAAAACAAGTGACTTTGCGATGAGAATCCACGGCGGGTCTGAGTAGAATCAAACCCGGATACAGCACTCCCACAATAAACGATCTAAGTCCGATGGCCATATGCATGCTCGCGTACACGCAAATCATTTGGGTCGATAACTGCCAGTGTAGCCCGTGGCGCCGCCTTGACCTCGGGAAGCCGAGCGAAGCCTGTTATCGCATACTAGTGGTCAGCCTGCTTGTCAGCATATTCCTTTGGTCCAGCGTTCTCAAGCACACCAAACTCGGAAGGAGATATGATTCCTTACAAGGAATGCTGTCGGGTCGGGCTGGGCTGATGAAGACACTCACATCCTGTCGCTTCCGCCAACGGCACGGTTGGTGTCGGGAGTGTCAACAACGGCACCACCAATCATCTTGGCGCGGGTCCGGTTGCTGGGGATAGCAGGGGTGCCCTTGGTGCCGGCAGCAGTGGTAGGGTTGGCCGCCTTGCTGTCGTCGTTGTTGGCACCGCCGGCAGCCTGGGCAATAGCCTGAGCGTTCTTTTGGTACTTGTAGACAGTCCAGTCAAAGACGTAGTCGTATTGGAAGCCCTCACGGACGAAGAGGTCGCGGAAGATCTTTCGCAGGTAGCTGTAATCGGGCTTGTCGTCGAAACGAAGCGACCGAGTGTAGTTGAGGTAAATGGCAAACTCGTTGGGGAAGCCACGGCAGAGGACCTCAGTCGGAGTGGTCATCTTCTTCTCCATGATGCGGTCGTACTTCTGCTTCTTGGTGGCAGCCTTGAGACCCTGCCAGGGGAGAGAGCCACGGCAGAAGTAGAGCATGACATAGCCCAAAGACTCCATGTCATCACGACGGGATTGCTCTGTTGCGGCTTGTTAGGGGTTTGGGAAAGGCGATGTGGACACACGGAGCGAGTACTTACCGACACCCAAGTGAGTGTTGATCGAAGCATAACGAGCAGTGCCAGTCAAGTTCTTGTTCTCTCTGTAGGGAATGTGGAAGTGAGTCTTGGGGTCACGGTATTTCTTGGCGAGACCGAAGTCGATCACGTTGACCTGGTTGCCTCGCTTGCCGATGCCCATCAGGAAGTTGTCAGGCTTGATATCGCGGTGGATGAACGACTTGGCGTGGATGTACTCGATGCGGGAGATGAGCTGATCGGCCAGCAGAAGCACGGTCTTCAGCGAGAACTTGCGGTTGCAGAAGTTGAAGAGGTCTTCCAGACTGGGTCCAAGAAGGTCGAGGACCATGGCATTGTAGTCACACTCCGTGCCAAACCAGCGGACGAAGGGAATGCCGACACCACCGGCGAGAGACTTGTAGACACGAGCCTCATACTCCAGCTGGGGATGCTTGGCCTTGACGCTTTCGAGCTTGATGGCAATCTCCTCGCCAGAGATGATGTTGGTTCCGAGGTAGATATCGCCGAACGAGCCAGAACCGATCTTTCGACCAATCCGGTATTTATTGCCGACACGAAGATCCTGCAGTAGACACGGTTAGAACAGGTTCCGACGAGTGATGAGGAGGCTGGGCTCCAACTCGACAGGGCTATCGACCGGGTAGCATCTATGATACTTGCATTGACAGTATTTCGAGCTGCTGCCGATAGCCCAGATCGTCAAGTGTATCGAAGGCCATTCAGCATCCGTGGAGGGAGGATAAAATGTTACATACCATGGTCGTCATGATGGCGGGGTTGCTCAGGTATGTCCTGAGAGAACAATTTGATAAGAGAGCAGAATCTGATTCGAGAGTGCCTATAAGAAACAACAAAAGAACGGTCGTTAGTCGAGGCTGGTATTGAGAAGACTGAAAGGGAATTCGTTGTCAAGAAAGCGGTGTGGTAAGGCCGGGTATTGAGAGAATTGGGATGGGGAGGAGGAAAATGTGGGTAAGCTAGTAGCGAGTAAGGGTAGCCTGGGCAGGATGGCAGCAGGGAGGCAAACTACCGAGATCACAAATCACCTCACAGGACGAACAGAGAGGCGTGCCTGCTGCAGAACCGCGTCTGCGTGACCGAGATGGAATGGGGGTGATGGGATCAAAGCAGGAGAATGGATCCTCCGAGACTTACTTCAATGACAGCACACTGGTGATCGCTCGCGTTGGTTGAAAAGAGGCGCTATGATGGAGGAGACGCGGATGGGTGATGGTTCTGGATGGAGGGGGGTTGCCGACCGAAGAAAAAGGGCTCTCTAGGAATCGGTGCTTGAGAGAGTTTTAAATGAAAATGCCGAGAGAATAGAACGATGGAATTCAAAGAACCGGGCTCTCGACGAAACTTGCCTGCCCTTTCCTGTCCTCTGAAAGAGATTCGGACAGCCGAGTGAAGGGGAGGTTGAGGATCGGTGAAGGATTGCGGGAAACGCTTGGGAAGTGCGTGTGGGAAGGGAAAGGAAGAAGGAGAGGGTTACAAATGGGTGCGGAAAAGGAAGGGACGCATTTAGCTAGGAGGGAGTCCACACAAGGAGTGAGAGAGGGAGTGACTATTACAGTACGGGGGGTACAAAGCACGGCGGCGACGGCTGGTTCAGTTCTGGGCCCAGCTCAAGGGTACGAGAAGTACCATGGAGACCACATCATCCAGTGACTGGTGGCGCCCAGCAGCCCAGGACAGTGAGTGAACAAGGTACCTAATTAGTTAGGTAGGTAGGTGACCTGGACGGAGTGTTGGCTGGCCGGGGGCGAAAAGGTGGGTTCAACGGGTGGATGAGACGCGGGTAGAAAGGAACTTGGAAGGTTCATTCATTCTTTCCAACCGTGCTTCTACCGAGGACTAGGCCCAAGAGAGCCCAGTGCAGCCCAGCCCAGACAGCCTCAATCAATCAATGCTGCTGGAGCCAGTCGGACCTGTCGTGGCGGTCAGCTTCAGTGGTATCTATAGGTACCTACATAGGTAGGTATCGTCTAACCTACCACTCCAGCCAAGGATTCAAGCGCCCACGGGACTGCAATGTCTGCCTGGGCTCGCTGGCGCGCGCGCCAAGCTGGGATCCCGCTATTTCCGGCGGGATCTCTTCATTGCAGCTGGGATTGTGAACATTGAAAGCCCTCTTTTATGGAAACAATGGGGCTTGATATTGATCAGTCGTGGACAAATTCACAGACTCGCTCAACAATGCGCCAACCCATCAAAGTTGGATGATTGCGGGTGCACGAGACCAGCAGCCGGTCCGAAGGCAGCTTGTTCCCGTCACAATCGTCCGTCAAGGGCCAGTCGGATACTTACTCCAGTGGACAACTCGAGAGGCGTCCGCCCTAGGCACTTTTGCTCCGCAGATATACGGTCAGGCAGAGACGACTTCGCCCTTGGCTCCCCCTCCTGCTGCCCAAGCGACCCAATTGCCTGACAGAGCAGAGAGTAAGTTGCCGTCAGGACAAGCAAGGGTGGTTTCGCTTGTCAGCACCATGGCGCCCATTGGAATACTCGACTGTCTTTTCGAGAATCTAAGCAACAGTCCAGTCCAGTCCAGTCCAGTCCAGTGCTATGCTATGCTATCAGGAACTTGGTTCGGGAACGCGGTCAGTCATCTCAGGTTTCGGAACCGTCAAAAGTTACTTCGCCGGTCCTCTATCCGGCCCCAAGCTCGAGCCCTTGCCCGTCTCGTCGAGTTAGTGGAGTAAGCACCAGTCCAACTATTGTACAGAGACAGGCTCCAAGTGTACCTTGGGCAGAGGCCGAGATTGTCAGGCCGGGTGCGTGGTTTGAAGTTGCTAAACGTGCACTCGAGGCATTTATCCTCCTGACTTACCCTGTCTCTGTCTGAATGGTCTGCGGGTTTGCATCCCTGGCATTCGCATTCATCAAATGGCATTTCCGCGTATGGGGGCGCGCGGATACCGTGTGCATTGAACACCCTGCGCGAGGGAATCATGCAATCTCAAACCACCGCGAGCAATCCCGGAAGCCTGCGCCCTCGTGCGGGATGCAGATCGACGTCAAAGGCCTGGCCAGAGGTAGAGGTATTTGAGTAATCCCCCCCAGTGCCCGCAATGCAACTAAGCAACCAACCGGCGTCGATACGACGGAGTCGTATGCAGCAGCGATCCCATGATGCCGGTCCACAACCGCGTTGGCGTTCCCGCTGCCATCCATTTCCCTCTCGCCCAGCCCCAGAACACAACATGGAGGCGGATTGGTCCAGCGACATGAGCCCTTCTCCCTCTAAGAACCCAGCTTCGGGAACAGACTGGCGGGACAGGACAGGTTCAAATTGGGACGGACCGCCACAAGATTACCCCGTCCAGCTTTGTGCGTCCTTGGGTCTGTTTGCTGCCCAAAACAGGCCTTCCCAAGACAAAGAATTACGGGTCCTGTAGGGGTAACTTGGTCTGTCGGAATGAGAATTGACGTGGAAGGCGTTCATTCAGTCCGGGCGCTAAAACCTCAGGTCCATTTTCCGTCAAAGGAATTCCCGCTCGTCCACGTCGCTCCGAGCTTACTCGCCATTCCTAGAGGACGAAGGGGGAGCTGGAAGCTGTCTGTACTAGATGTCGTCGGTCAAAGAGCATCGATCCCTCAGTCCAATGATCAATAGTGATCAGGATAAGACCCAAGGTCCCCATGATCTTGACTGCTTCTTTTATCTCCGACCTCCGGTGATGGATGCGGTCATGACTGGTCACGTCAATGCGGTATGAACACCAACCAGTCGAGGAGGTACTTGTAAGCGAGGGAAGCCCGGCTTTTCTAACCGTAGTGCAGTCCTTAAAATAGCTAGCATACCGAATACCCCGTACATACACCCTTGTGCCTTGGGGGGTCTGTGACAGGTTGTCAAAAAGCCTGGGGAGTCGATAAAGAAGTCGCAAGCTCGATACGGATTACAATACAGGTGCCGTTTCTTTCGAGTGATTCCTCCCACTACCTGGGACCGTTCTGAGCAGGAAGTTTCCCCGACAGCCTTTGTACAACAAGGCAATCACTACTTTGGTATGACATGAGCTACGGTGCCTCCTTGCAATCTTACTTGTACCTCTAAGTTCAGTTGTGCTGTCAAGTCTCGTCGACTCGAAGGGCGTAACAAATGGCTCAAGTGACCCCCTGGGTTGCCTTCCTTTGCCAAAGGAACGAGTCCGGTTAGTCCGATGAGCATGGCACTTTACTGTGTGTCTAATATAGGTCTCAGGCTGTCTTGCGGGCTTTCTTTGTGCCAGCCCAGCACTCGTGTCGTGTCCGTTCTTGGCCGGCCTCTTTGGTGGGTGCACAGAGCAAACCAACCGCAAATCCGCCGACGCCGGAAGAAGGGCCCAGATTCACCTGGGCTTGGTCTAGCCATGCCGATCCCGAGGGCCACCGCCCTTTCGAATCAGCTCCCGCCCCGTGACGCTGCCGCAAGCCCAACAAAAATCCCTTGACAGCGAAATTGGGCCGGCCTCGCCCAGGAGGGCGACCGGCGCAGCCATGGCCCTCGGTTTTCACCAATGAGGCAGCCGAGCCCGATGTTGCAGCTCCGGTCTGGGACGAGTCGCGGTATTCTGGTCAATCGCGAAGCACGGATCGACACTTCAGTCTGACCGATTTTCTCTGTCATGCTGACTGATCCGGGCGATTTCCCCTCAGACTCCGCAGTCGGTCTTGTACTCAGCTCAGGTGAGGTTTGATCTATCTGGCGGGTGCTTGCCTCGATCGAAACTGCTAGCCACACGAGGCTTGGTTGTTTCAAGCGTTTCCCTCAGCAAGTGGAAGTCCACTGAGCTCATCGCACAACAGCCTCGTCTTGAAAGCCGTTCTACCACTGTTGTTCCTGGAAACATGAAATCGTCGCAAGATGGTGCTTGGTTCAGAACATTGCGACTACCACTACTGTCAGCATCTACTATCACATCCCGAGATGAACACTTGGCGGAGTAGTCAATATAGATCATCTTAGGAGAGTGCAAATCCGATTCACAGTTTGTCTTGTCTTTACTCGAGTGAGTCAAGAGTCAAGAGCCCTCGAAAGGGCGTCGCGAGCCCTCAATATATGAAGGGAACCTCCTTAGACCTCTCAAGTGATCAGGACTGTGATGAAATAAGGATCGAGCCATTGGCCAGGAAGTCAACTCGGTCTCATATGTTGATTGGCTTAGACACTGTGCTCAGCCAAACCACAGCTCTCGGTTCCATGGCATTTGAGTGGCCAGTCCAGCAACCCCTTCACTTAAACAACCATCCAACCCGATTAGTCCTTTCGCCTAGAGAAGCTCCGAAGCGAGACAGGCAACCCTCTGTCCCAATTTGAAAAGCTTCAAGCTCGTCACGCTGGGCCCAGCCCACACAGATCTTCGATTCCCCCTCCTCCTTCCCCTTTCAAGCGAAGCACGCGGCTTGGCATTGTACATCTCCGCACTCAGAGGCTGGCGGGGGTTACATCGACAACCAGGCACACTGCTGAATCTGGGCATCCCCGGCCGGCCCTGCCAGGCCTCGTGGGACATTGCGCCCGCATTGTTCAAGCTCTTGACGTGCCGTCACGCCAGCCCATGACCTCAACGGCGGCCCACGAACCAGGGTTGGACATGCCACTCGGACTGCTTTCGGATGTCATCAGCCACCAGTGCCGGACGCCCATCACATGTTAGATGAGATGAGTCGACAGCAAGCGCCGCGGTCCGGCCGCGGCTTGTGACCCTGGTGATAGCTTCGCTTTTATGACCTTGGACGTGGGACGACCGTTCTATAAGAACGAGGCCCTTGGACTGTGCGCGACCTCACAGTCAGGCAAGTCTGCTGGGTGAACTAACTCCCTTACAGGTCGAGTCTGCGTATCGCCAAGACAAACAAGTTGACCACGATGCTTCTCCGTCTTTCCAGCCTGGCGCTCCTGGCGTCCACGCTGCACTCCTGCGCTGGGTTCGAGTACAACACCTTTGATGGCCCGGGCTTCCCCTCTTGCCACAATGTCATCGCGGTGCACAATGCCACCAGCGTCGACGAGATGGTCTCTCTCGTGAAGGATGCTGCCAGCACCGGCCAGCGTGTGCGCGCCGCCGGCAAGGGCCACATGTGGTATGACACGCAGTGCAGCGATGCGCCCACCGTCCTCATCCGGACCGAGGACGTCAACGGCATCTACGACTTCGACCTTGAGGCAGGGCACGTCACCATCGAGGCTGGTGTGACCTTCTTCCAGCTGGCCGAGTACCTGCACCAGCGGGGAGCGAGCGTCAACTATGCCCTCGTCAACTGGAACATCAGCTTGGGTGGTAGTATCGCCATGGGCGCGCACCGCTCGTCCATCAGGGAGGACTCGATGGTTGCCTCTGCTGCCATGGCTCTGGACATCATCGACGGCACCGGCACCATCCGCACCGTCGAGCGCGATGAGAGCAACGACGACTGGCTTGCTGCGTCCACCTCCCTTGGCCTGCTGGGCATCATCGCGCGGATCAAGCTCAAGATCTACCCCGACACCAAGGTGTACTCCATGCAGAAGATCCTCAGCGAAGATGAAGTCCTCAACGGTGACATCTACGGCCTGATCGCCCCCTACGCCACGGCCAACCTCTGGTGGTGGCCGTACATGAGGAAGTTCCACCAGCGGTACTACGACGTCGTGCCCACCAACCAGAGCGACCAGGAGGGCTTCCAGTCCACCTTCTCCGTCACCGAGTTCGAGGGCAACACGGCCCGCACCCTGCTCGACAGCGGCAAGTACCTGCCGACCTCCAACATGGCGGCCGAGACGCTCTTCTTCGGCCTCTGGTCGCTGCCCAACTTCCACGACAAGAAGACCGACAAGGCCATCCTCAAGTGGCCCGTCTACGGCTGGAACTACGACGTCCTGATCGGCGGGCTCTACCCGAACCAGAAGCCCGAGTGGGACTACGGCCTGCACGGCTACACCCTCGAGCTCGCCTTCCCCGTCACCATGGCCAACGACATGCTCAAGCGCGTGCGCTCGCTCTTCGACGCCGAGCTCAAGAAGGGCATCGTCATGACGTCGACCTACCGCAGCGGCATCAACATCAAGTTCGGCAAGGCGTACAACGACCTGCTGGGCCAGGTGCACAACTCGACGCACGGCGGCGCCGACTGGTCCAAGGGGGCCATCATGTTCGACTTCCCCTCGTATGCCCCGACCATCGGCGACAAGAAGCGCTTCAACGAGAACTTTTGTGAGTCGCAGTATCTGCTCAAGTCCGGTCGGTGGGTGTGCTCTAACTGTGTACCTCTACAGACATCAACCTGGCAAACACCCTGATCGACGAGTTCCCGTGCCGCCCGCATTGGACCAAGAACACCCGGGACGTGTTCACCCGCGCCGCGAAGAACTTTGACCCTCAGGTATGTAGTCATCGAAATCCTTCCTAAGCTCTCATTCCCCCCCTTGTTCTACTCTCCTAACTTTCCGTTTTAAAATAGAACATCTCCCGTTTCAAGGCGGTGCGTGAGAAGTTTGACCCCAAGGGTATCTTCAGGAGCGTCGTCGGAGAGATCATCGGCGTGTACTAAGCCAAGTGCTTGAAATGCCGGCAAGATCAGTGATCCATCATATTCTAGAGGTGGCATATTGAGGTTTCGTTGTCCATATTATTACAATGGAGGCGTTTAATGAAGAATGTGCATCAGTGTTGGTTGAGTGTCAGGGTGCGGATGAGCTCCCATTTCGACCACGATGGCTCAGCCAAGCTAGGCAATCATGTACATACTGGGCGTCTACCGAGACTGCAAATTAGTTGAACCTCCCAGCACCTCCAACACGATCTGTCCGTCGGTCCGTGACTGATAAAGCGCTACTGCCCGAGCTCTGGCGCCCCTCCCGTCTCCAGCGGCCGCCGCTTTGCGCCGTATTGTCATCTCGGACTATTCAGGGCTATCCATATGCCGAGCCTCGCTGTATCTTGCTATTCTACCTCTGTCCTCAACCTTCTTTGTCAACTTGTAGTTTTGGTATGATGCTCCCCCAAAAGACGATCATCATTGCGCTGAAATCCAAGTTATGCTTGTAGATGTAACTCCGACTTGCCTCATCTCCCAACATCACCACTGCCATCATCTCAGATGGCAGCTCCTCTTCGCTTCATGTTGACATTCAACCTCATCTTGTCTCCGGATACCACATTGTCTTTAGTACCAAATCTGCCCTAAGGTGCATATGCAGCTTCTCGCTACCCTCTTTCACCGCCTCTAACTCCTATTTCAACTCGCCTCGTGCCTCCTCGTCGACCCCCCCTTTAGGTCATATATGTACATGTATGCTTCGGTATAACTTGTGTATATGTATGCTACACACAATCAGATCTTTCTCTACCCCGATGCGGGTTGGATCTGATAATTCGCCGTGATCCTAGTATTATACCGCCTCCAGGTACCGTGGACATCACTCACCTTTTTTCCATTGCGATCTTGTGGCTTGTCCCGGGATGCGAAGAAGCAATATTTATGATGCTATGCCATCAGCACTATTCTACGCCTACACAGCTATCGGCGCCGGATCCTCCTTGATCTCGGCCTCCTTACCCCCCACGATGGCCTCCTTCTTCGGGTCCCTCCGCATGTTCGTCCCGGCCAGCTCCCCCGCCGCGTTCTCAAAGTCGTAGAACCCAAACCTCTTGTACAGGAAGTTGCCCTCCGGCGACGCCTCGATCCAGCCAGGCAGGTACAGCTGATCCGCCAGGTCGCACCCCCACTTCAGCATCATGGCACCGGCACCCCTCCGCCTGTGATCCGGGTCAGTGTAGCAGATGTGCAGTTCTACAAAAAAAACCATCAATATCTCCAACAACAACAACAAGAAAAACAAGACCAGGCATCAGCCAGAAGGGGGAGAGGGAAGGGAGACATACGGACATACCCCGCCGGGTTCGCCTTCCTCCTCGCCGCGTTGATCGCCCCCATCATCCGGCGCGACCTCTCCAGCGACTCCCCCTCGAGCCACTCGGGCGGCTCGTCGTCGGGCCCCGGCCCGTTGGGGCACACCTTCCACTCGCTCGCGGCCACGAGCCGGCCCGTCGCCGCGTCGACGACCTTGATCCAGACGTCGAAGGGGTCGGTCCGCAGCCGCCGCGCGTACCAGTCGGCGAGGCGCGGGATGTCGGCCTCGGACCGGCAGCCCATGAACATCTCGCGGATGAAGGGCGAGAAGCTGCGGTACTCGACGGCGGCGATCTCGGGCATGTCCGCCTCGGTCGCCCGCGAGAGGATGAGGGGTCCCATGTCTGCCTTTTTTCGTTATTTTCTTTTCTTTCTTTTGATTTCACAATTATTTGTCGAGAGGGCGGGCGACGTATCATAACATTTCAAATCAGAGCTAAGAATCGCTGTTGGTTGCATGCATATGCGCCAACTGCAAGTCTGATGTTGAAATAGAAAAGCGCGAGGCTGCTGTCGGCTGCATGCGAGCGATGTCACAACAGCCAAGACACTGGTGGCTAAAGCGGCAGTTTAGAGGTCGGGCTAACACCACATTTTTTAGTCATGTTCATGCTCTATGATGATACGGGAGTGAATGTTGGGTTTATTCTGCTCGCCGAAACTGGCTTCCTTCTGTATTTTACGGGGGGGGCCGTGTCGAAACGGCGAGGCTTTGGGGCTTCATAAACTTTCAAGTAGACAGAGTGAACCGCCTCCGCCAGGCAAGCACTTGTAGCCAACACCGACGCTACCATTAGATGCCATGCCCTCCTAAAAACCAAGTAGCCTGCCAAAACTGCAGCAAATGACTCCAAATGATGCACACACGCCCTCAACCCCGGTAACCTTTTACAGGATCAAGCCCCCAAACCCACCAGCAGTCCTAACTTCCCCAACAGGCACCCTCTCCCTCCTCTCGAACGCATCCACGATCCTCACATCCCCATTCCTCCCTCCGCCGCCCTTGCCCCTGCCCACGAGCCCCAATACATCAACAGCCCCCCACCGCCTCTCCCTGCTCCTCCTGCCCTTCCCCCCCTCCCTCGCCTCCTCGGGGTCCCACACCCCGACCTCGTCCATCAGCACCTCCACCGCCCAGGCATACCTGATACCTCCTCCTCCTGCTGCTGCTGCTGCCCCTACCCCATCCCCTTCTCGCCGAGTCGTAGCCGACGCTACCGCCGCCGCCGCCGCTTCCTCCGGGGGCAGGAACACGGCCTCGGCGTCGGCGCGCGAGCGCGGCACCCTCGTCGCCAGCAGGTGCAGGTCGAGCAGCTGCGAGAAGACGAGCCCGAAGGACGGCTTGTTGCGGCGGCTCAGCGGCGTGCCGTGGCTGTAGGGCAGGCCGCTGGCGGCCAGGGGCGGCGGGTTGAACACGGACCGCAGGGTCGGGTCGAGCGGCCTGCCGTTGGTCCGCCGAGGGCCGCCGCCGTCCGCGTTGTCTTCGTCGCCCTGCCTTCTCGGTGGGCCCCCGGCGGCCGAGGGATCGTTCTGCTTGCTGTTGCTGCTGCTGTCTCTGCCTGGAGCAGGCGGGGAGGCGGTCGTGGTCGAGTTGGCGATGAGGACGAGGGGCGGCGGCGCGGCGTCGTGCTCGGCGGTCGAGCGGGTCAGGTAGCGGAGGTGGATGGAGAGCTGCTGCAGCATGGTGTGCGCCGTGTCCTTCTCGCGGCGGGTGAAGAGGGTGGACAGGATGGAGGACATGTGCGTGATGAAGATGATGTCTGGGAGCGCCGAATCGTTCTGCTGCTGCGAGGAGGTATCGCTGTCCTTGGGATTTATTGCTGTGGTTGGGTCTTTTGTTATCGGAGTAGACTCCGGACTGGACAGTCCACCTTCGTCCTCGCTGTCTCCGATCTCCATGGAAGCTCCCTGCATCGACACGTCTTCGGTAGTGACAACACCGCCACTCGGGGCTGTCTCAACCTGCTGCTCATCCGCCTCCTCGCGCTCCGACGACGCAGCAGGTGCAACACTCGTAGAGGCCCCAAGATCCAGCTCCCCAAGCACCTCCCAAAGCCCTTCGAAATCAAACACCCTCGAGATAGACACCCTCTCCAGACACGCCGTCACCAGGCCCGCCTCGTCATCCTTCGCCCCGGCTCCGCCGCCGGGGCGCACAAGCCTGATCTGCGTGCGAACAACATCCCTCAACAGCGGCACCAGCTCGCCAACAGCCAGCGTCGTCACGACCACCGCGCGCGGCCGCCGCCGCCCCTCCCGCCCTGCGGCCACGCCACCATCACCACCACTACCACCGCCCGCGACCGCGGCGGCCAGCAGATGCGCGACAGTCTGTAGCCCGAGCTGCAATAACAACCCGATTAGCCCCTGCCTGCCTGTATCTCCCTGCTTAAGAAAACGTGTCGACACGACACGTGGTAAAACCAAAAAAAAAAAACCTTACCAAGACACCCACGTCGTCCTCCTCGGCGCTGACGCCGACGACGCGCCCGCGCTCGAACCCGCCGAGCAGGACCTCATCGTCCAGCTCGGCGCAGCCGGTGCGGCACCCGCCGAGCCCGTGCAGGCGGTTCCTGCGGGCCCTGTCCTGCAGGAACAGGGTCTTGCCCGTCACCGGCTCGAGCGGGAAGTCCGCGCTGAGCTGCGACAGCGGAGGAGCGTCTGCCTGATCGGCCATGTTGGGCACGGGAGAAAACTCAAACTCGAGTAGACTGACGGAATTGATGAAATCGGGTTGTGGTCACAACGATGCCAGAGGCAAGGGCAGGCATTTAGTCACGACCGCACCAGACAGTTTGATCTGAGGTCATGGCAGGTGGTCCAGCTCCCTAAAAGCCTCCAAATTCCCAAAACGTGTCGCTTTCATCATTCGAATGAACAATTGAATATTGACGCGCGAACATGTATTCCCTGGCGCGTTGGGGTTATGGTGTGAATAAGGGATAGCAGCTCGCTCATACATCGGGAAGCATATCCAGTGGCTCTTGAGTCGATTTAAGCTACTATCCTCTTAGTCATCCTGGAAATGCCCAATATCGCGAAAGCAGACCCGGGTGTCACTACGGAGATGCCTCTAGCCACAATACACCTTCCTCTGGATGATAGTCGAATGATATCATTATTTGTACTCCGGTCAATCTGCCTAAGAAAGACGACTACTTCTGAAGAACTACAACAACTACTGATGAAGCCCCCTAGGTCTTGACCACCGCGACCAGGGCGGTAGTAGACTCTTGCCATAATCAGAAAGGAAATTTGGTACGTGTTTTTGACCCTTCGCCTGGGTGTTCCTGATGTCGAGTGGTAAGGTACGACTATAAAGGAATCGTCCTTGAAATTCTGAATCGGTCAAGATGACCATCCGTGGGCCGCCAAGGAGGCGCGCACACGAAAAGAAGCTGACCACTGCCTTCTTCCAACTTCAACCAGTAAGCTGCCCACATGCCAAGCACGGCCGGGCTCTGCTCCAAAATCGCGGAGGGGCTTGCCTCCTCACTGTGTTTCGCCATTCCTTGCATCGCATCTGACGCGGCGCTCCAAGATCTGTAGGTCGCATGGCCAAGGCAATGCAATGCCATTCCAAGATGCCATCCTCGAGATTGGGGTCTGCCGATAGCCATCAGTCCCGCAAGTGCTCTCTCCACTGCCGATCTAAACAGAAGTGACGACTCCTGCAAGTGGGGATCTCTAAGCCTCTCGACCCATCGGCGGCGGAGCAGCATCCGAAGGTCCTCTCGCGCGCCGACCTCCCTTCAGACTCTTGACACGAGCAAGCAAGCCTCCTCCCTGCTGCTTGGGTTGCGCGTTGTCCAAGGCCTGAGTGGCATCGGTCGTAGCTCGTCGCTCAAGGGCTGCACCCATCGGAGGCGGGCTGGAGGGGGACCTCGCCTTGCCGCCAGTGTCTGTCCTACGAACGGTGATCACGTCCTCGCCCTTCTTGCTGTCGAACTCCTCGAAGAAAGGGTTGCGTTCCGAGCCCTGCATGCCGGCCGATGAGCCGCCAAGCATGGGCATATCAGCGGGCGGGGAGCGACGGGAGCCATAGGCGCTCTCGGGGTTGGTCATGCGGCCAGACGGGTAATCACGAGGAGCGCGATTGATGTTGCGGATGCGCTGGGCGAGAGACTTCTTGCGCTGGAGGCCTCCTTCCTGGATGTCGGCGGCCTTTTCGGCCTCGCGTCGCTGGATGACAGTCCTGGCGGCAGGCGTGCCCTCCAGGAAGGTCGAGGTTCCGAGGCCCATGGACTCGTCGCCATGCAGGACTGAGCCCCGGCTCAGGGGGTCAAATACGGGCGGCATAGCGCTCGACGAGCCCATCTTCTCGGCCTGCGAATACTCCTTGAAAGCCTCCTCTTCTCCACGGCCCATGAAGGTGGCGTGGTCAGGCCGCTTGTTGAGGGGACCAGAGCCGCCGATGACGTTGTTGAGCGAATCCTTAGGAAATGCCTGCATCGGCGCCCTCCGGCTGCCCTTGCGGTTGCGGTGCGGGTTGAGCGCATCAAACGGCCCGTCGTGATGGAAGACTGTTCCAGAATCAGTACAACGAAGATAGCCATGTCCCAAGTCTGTATAAAGTGACCTACCTCCAGTACCGAAAATGCTTGTGGCATCGAGCTGGTCGATGATATCCATCCTCTTGTTGGGACCCTTGGGCTTGTCCTTGTTGTCGCGATGACGGCGCTCCCGCTCTCGGCGCCGTAGTTCGCGGGCCTTCTTCTCCTCCTCGGTCATAGGCTTGTCGACAACGGACGACTCCGAGTTTCTGCGAGGACGCCTCTCCATCCTCTTTGGCGGCGACGACGTGTCAATCAGTTTGCCTTCGCCTTGGGGACGTCGCGCACGGAGAGCTTCCTCCTGAGACCGGGTAGGTCGATGGTTAGGTGGGCCGCGGCGTCCTGGAGGCGGCATGTTCTCCCCTCGCGGAGGGCCTGGCCGGCCACGGGGTGGAGGGCCTCGTCCCCTAGCCTCAGGCGGAGGGGTAGGCTTCTTGTCGTCTAGAGTGAGAGAGCCCTAATGATCGCGATGTTAGCCTGCTAGTTCATCGGTGCCGCCGCCTGGCACGAGCGAGCGACGACGCCCATGCGCGGGCGCGATAGCTCTGTGCGACCGTGGAGGAGAGGGGTGTCGTACAAAGATCTCTTCGGCCGTGGGAGAGGCCTTGCCCGACTTGTCTGCCATGGCGTCTGCGATTGCTGATGGTGGGAGCGGGTTGTTTCCTGGGTCGAGGAAAGGATTGCGGGAGACTGGGCGAGGCGGAGGGTCATCAAAGGGAGAGGCTGGGCTAAGGGGGAGAGAGGAAGGAGATGCGGCGCGGTTGCGAAAGGGGTTGTTGGAGGAGAGGTTGATTGTCAGGCTCGAGGAGCGTTGGCCTAAAGCAAGGAGCGGAGCAAAAGGTCAGCGATCTTGTCTGTCAAACAAAAAGCAGGATGCGTGCAGATGACGACGACTGAGAGAGCGACATGAAACAACAATCCCTTGTACATGACACAGCAGGCTCGACGGTTAAGTGGACCGACAGCCAAGCAGCAGCAGCACCCTTGCTTGGAAGACCGCGACGCGGCCTGGGGGCACACAAGACAGCCCCAGCAAATAGTCGGCAGCGATAAGGGGTCAAAACTGGGAAATGCACAGATTGGCGGGCTGGTGGTCGCTTAAAACAGTCAAAGTCGTCATCGCTGCTGCTCCTCGTCCACTTACCTGACTGGTCAGCTTGAACGGCCGACATGATGGGCGATCGTATGCAGGGTTATGCCGTTTCCGCTGCTCGTCCACGGAGGATATTTAAAAAGCTCTGCGTTGCCGCTCTGCTCGTGTTTTGGCGATTCGAAATGTCTCCTGGCAGGAGGAGCGAAGGGGGCTCCGTCAACAGGGGCCTAGCGTCATGCCAGTAGCCACAAGAGTGGCCAATCCTCCCTTTTTCGCTAAAACCAACGCTGGACGTGGACCAGACACGGGCGCGTGCAGGGTGGATCTGGATCCGCGGGCTGGCAAAACGTCTCGGCGCGTGCGTGGTCAATCAATAAAGGGGTTGGAAATGCCACCAACGTCCACGAGCAAACGCTGCTATGTAACGACTGACGCCTGAACACTCTGCGATGGGAGAATCGATGTCGGTTTAAGGCTGAGTGAGTAGCCAGATTGTTCACCGGCCGGGCTTTGACTGGTGGCTTATTTTTTTTTTGGCCTTGATTCAACTACCGGCCAGATGATGACATGCGGATCAGCCCAAATATGGCTGGCCACCACAACACGGCCGGGCGCGATGTCGCAGTAGCCTAGGCGGAGAAGGCGCACCCTGGATGGAATGCGCCGCCAAGGGCAAGATTAGAGCGAGTGTTTGTGCTGTTGGGCTCGGCAGGGTCAGAATATCCTCACTGAGCGGAAAATGCGCACAGTAAGATCGTCGGCTGGCAGGCTGACACCCGTAGACCTATGTCGTCGTGTGTTGCAAAGGCCGCTGCACTCGCCCGGTGTTTGCTTTCCTCGGGCACAGGGATTCCGGAGAAAGGAATATAGGCGGGAGAGAGAGGGAGGGGCGGTGACGTCTCTACCCTTGGTGGTACTCGGGTATGCAGTGTGGTGTCGAGGATGTAGTCGTCGTGATCTGTTTGGTCAAAGTGCGACAGATGGGGAATATTCGGGCAGAGGGCGCGCAGTTGGATGCAAACAGTGGATGCTGAATGGCTGCTTGGTTTAGGAAATCGTCTACTGCAGGAGGGACTGGTAAATCCGTGTCGTATTTCTGAAGGGCTGTACTGGAGGGCGGGAATCGATCGATCCCAGGCCAAGTCAGCTGTTGCGTCGACCTGACAGTGGCTTGGAGATGCGCCCGGGCAAGAGAAGATTTTTCTCTGATTTCTTTCGCTTCTGGTGTGACTTGGCTCGTACAGGCAAGAGCCGTCGACTCGATGGGTTTGCGATTTTGTTTTGCGAGGGCAGCACTCGAGGGAAAGCCGCCGATGCTTTTGAGCCAGGAGACTTTCAAAACGGTCCCGGGGTTCTGGCTTCCTTTTTCAGGGACCAGCGTCGTGGGGATTTAGCGCAGAGCTGCCCGGTTTTGGTAGCGGGAGAGAGGCAACTATGGCTGGCTGGGACGGGGCACTTCCCGGCGACGTAACTAAGGTAATGTGTGAACAGCTCAGGGTCCAATGCTGGCTGCAGGGCGGGTCCAAGCGTAAACCGAGGATCGAAACCGTACCGCTGGCGAGTCTGGCTACCGGGTTCGCCTTGCAACGTCCCCGTTCAGACAGTGTTTCCTGGTCAATCAAGGCCGTGGCGAGCTGGGAGGAGTGGCAGAAAGAAGAGAGAAAAAGAAATATCGGCAGCAAAGGGACGGCATTCAAGGGGGTGAGGGGAGACGACGGAAATGCAAGGTGGGCGCCGCTATTTGGCCTCTAAACAGCAAGACCATGAGCAAGTGGTCTCGTTCCTTGGGTAGACATCTGAACCATACTGCTTTAGTCGCTCCGCTGCTACCGTTTGAACCACGCGCTATGCATCCGTTAAGTCCAGGCATGTCCAAGCATCCAGAACAGGACTGGAGTGGAGGAGGGCTGCGGCCGCGGATTCCAGCCATGTCTTGCATTTACTTGTACATACCCACATTCGTCATCTAGCCTGGCCTTCACCATTGCCGTGTATCTACTCCGTAGAAGGAATCGACACTTATTTGCTCAGTCCTCGAACCAGCTTGCGTATGCATCGAATGGCAACAAATATGAGTACCGACTACCGTTGACCAGCAAATCTACTAGCCTGCCGAGCCGTTGTGGTCATGACTGTAGCCTCGCAGCCAAACTGGGCCCAGTCCCACGATTCCATGTACTGTGCCGCGCCGTCTTGGAAGACAGCCAAGCTTAAAGCCAAATTTCCCACCACTTCTCCAGGTCGAACAGGGTCGTGGAGGATTAGAAAGTAATGCACCAGGACTTCAGATAGACTAGAAAATAGTGTTCGCTCTGCTAGCCAAACCGAGGTGCTCATACATCTCAGAGCAGCGAAACAGGACCACGGCCTCGTGTTGATTTCGCTGGCTCAGAAGGTGTCAGTCTCGAAGCGACACCGCTGCTCAGAGCAACCATTTTAGCCACCTGCCAAAACCTCGTGTTCTGGCCGATCATTCCAGTCTGGCCTTCATCTGTCTGCGGGACAGTCGCATAATCGAAGCTCCATCACCGGGCACCCGGGGTACTGTCTCTTCCCGATTCTCCCTAGCTGCGTGCCCAAGATGCCAAGGGGTGATCGGATCAATGGACAGACTGGTAACAGAAGTACTTGGCCAGTGACCAAACCCTCCAAATTCCAGGTAGTGGGATAATTTGAATCGGAGTATCTCATGATGAACTGCAAAGTATTCTGACCCCTGTTTGGGCTTCCGAGGTGGGGGAGAATGTGCCAATCGCCCTGTGGCCAACCCCTGAACCTGCCCACAGCTATCCCCGCTGGTCCCCGACACAAGGGGTGCTGCAATGGGGGAGAACCCCTCCCAGTCGTTGTCTTTAGCAAATATCTCCGGGTTCCTTGTAATTCTGTAGGCCTCGGCTACTTGAAGATGTTGAACTGTCTGGGGGGACGATGAGGACGGCTGTTGAGAAAGGTTTCATTTTTACAAGTACGGTGCAGAAATGAGTGACAGTCCCAGCAGGTAGATCCCAATGAAGCACTTGGGAAAACGACTAGGAGTTCAACCAGAGGCGGTCTGTAAATTGTGGTCCTGTGGATCCTCTTCACAAGTAGCCGACGGAGAAGCCATCGACAAGCGCGTCAAGCCAAGTCTAAACCTGTACAAGGGTCATCCCTTCAAAAGCCGGATTAGGAAGAGGAGCACTCTGAAGCGCACACCTAGCGAACTACAGAAACTGTATGAGTCAAAACAAGGGCACCTGGAACCAATCAAAAGCCCTTGATGGTGTAGTTGGATATCACGTTCGGCTGTAATTGTTAATTTCATACCGAAAGGTCGCTGGCTCGATTCCGGCTCGAGGGACAAACTCATCCTCGCTCATCCCAGATGAGCAACCTTTTTTTTTGGCCAATTTTTACTTCATCCAAATCTTCAATCCAGACAAAAGAGCGATTTTGATTTCTTTTTTCAAAGACGAAAAGCATGAAAGGTTCAGAAGCGACATGTCTTCCTCCTGTTGATTGATCTGAGACGCCCAATTGTCCGGGTTTTGTCCAAGACGCAAACACACGATTGGTCAGAGGGTGTTCTTCGTTTCCAGACAACAAAACTAAGTTCAGAAATGCGGCTCCTTTTGATGCCATTGCAAAGTTTTGCTTTCCTCAAATGGATAGATATCACACGATCTGGAACCAGTGGGACCTCTCAACAGTGAGGGCCTTGCTTCCCTGATCATGTTAGTAGACGACATCTCTACCAGTGACAAAACTGACATCCACAGTTTTCTACATCAATGACGGGCCTAACGAGGAGAACAGCAGCTGATAGGCACGAACAAGCTGCCATTCGTCCATTGTATCCGCTCCTTGGCGATGCCGGAGCTGACGCAAGTTCTACGGACTCCTCGGCATCCGCAACTCCACCAGCCCCAAACTTAGACTTCTCTCGACCAGAAGGTACCTGGATGGTACTCTGAGCCTCTGGTTGGACTGGCGATCGACTGTTTGAAGATCCTGTTGGCTTCTGCACACCGAGACTGTCAATAACTTCTCCCGCCGAACACCTGCCGCCGGACCACTCGGTCTGGCATCCCTCGTCCCTTGGCACTTTGGTTCTTACTACCCAGATTCCTCACGACTAGATCGAGTGATCTCGGTGGTGTATCTCTGTACCATTGTTTTGGATTTACCCTGGACTTCTCGACTTAACCGACCTGCCTAGGTCGCGGTGCTGTCGCTCCTGAGTGCCTTATTGTCCTCCATCTCAAACTTCAGGTGCGCAGACGGAGGCATACCAGAGCATTCCGAGGGCACACATTTCCCTATTCGTCGGGCCCATCCTCCACGCTGCTGTCATGTTTCCCTTCGATTCGCTTGATCGAACAGCTGGTCCGCGTTACTGTTTTATGAAAAGCGTTCTCGTTCTTGTTGGCACTGTCCACACCGTGGTAGGTTTCCCTCTCAAGGCCGAGGGCTCAGGGGCAACTAGTTCAGTCACACATTCCCAAATCTTGGAAACCTCCAAATATGAAAATTACAGTGCGCCACATTAGATGTATTCACTGTTAATTGTTTAATCTGCTGTAGTGCATTTGTGCGGAAATCTGTCTGCCTTCGAATGGAATTACAAAAGACCTTCGATGCCCAAGGCCCGCTAGTTTGTAAAGGACGGTGAGGCATGGGTGAACCGTACATACGTTTCTCACCAAGGAAGCTGAAGAGGGACAGCGAGGTTCTTTCCCAAGACGGCTTCGGCAGTGCCGATGTCTCCGGCTCCCCTTGGTGCCCAGTACTGGCCGGTCTTACTGATATCGAGATCCGCGATCCAGTTCACGAGGCTCCGAGCAGCTTCGTCGGGTGTCACAGCTGCAACTGCTCGTCAGCTCTTATCCAACAAACAGCAACACATTCGTATGGAGACCTACCGCCTCCCTCGTCCCAGTACTTATCGAATCCCACGCCCTTTGTCATCTCCGTCCTCATGAAGCCGGGGTGAACGGTTGAGACAATGATATCTCTGCCCTTGAGATCCATGCTCAGCAGCTTCGCGGTCATGTTCAGGGCCGCTTTACTGGCATGGTGTGCGTAGTTGCCACCGCCCTCGACTTCATGGCGTAGAGTGATACTTCCGGACTCTGAGGACACGAAGACAATCTTGGACTTGGCCTTGAGGAGGCCGGCGTGGAGAAGACGGTGCACGATGAAGACGGGTGCGATGGAGCTTGTCGTGTACATTCTGACCTCGTCGTCCCAGTTCGGACCCTTCTTGAGGCTCAAGTCTTCTGTGTGGAAGAAACCTGCGGTGATGATCTAGAGTGCTTCGTTAAGGAACTGCGTGAAGTCGCCGGACCCAGGATGCTCTTACCACACTGTCGAGTGTCCTGGCCCCCTTGAGCTGGGCGACCAGCTCGTCGGCGGCCTTTGAATCCATGAGATCAATATTCTGAATCCATTTGACATTCCCGGGGAAATCGGCAGGGGTCTTATTTGACCGAGTTGTTCCGTACACGGTGGTACCGTCCTGTTGGGCATACATCTTGGTGAGAGAAGCGCCCAGGCCTCGGGTGGCTCCCACAATGAGCACCGACGACATGATGTTTGTGCTCGACTCTTTTTCACTCCACTGTGTGTTTTCTGTTTCTGCTTTGATTCCAGGTGTAAATTATGCTTGTAGATTGGAGGTGTTGCTGTTGTTGTGTAGAGTACTAAGTAGCTGCTGTCGACGTGACGCATGTGAAGCTGGAAATGATGTAATCCCCACCACATCAGAGTGTAAATATGAATGAATCTAGCTGGGCAACCACGACCCACGAATTAAGCATGCCTCGCCTCGATGCTCAACATTTTTGACCTCATCTCCAGCCTTGCGAGGCTATAACCAAGGATTTGGCATTTCTTGGTCAGTATCAAAATGAATTACATGATCAGTTGCCCCCAGTTCGAGTGGTCTCGTGGCCATCGAATCCAGTGCAGCAGAGTGGGATCACAGTATGCGGGGTGCATTTTGCCTTGATATCCAGCGAGACGGAACTCAATCTGGACCCGATTTCTAAACGATACAACCCCAACAACAAGAGCTGTATTTAATCTGGGTCGTTCTCCAGCCGGGGAGCCTGGCATGTGGACTTCTCACCACATGGGCAGTGGAAAAGAAGCTTTCCCTTGGCAAGGCTTCGGGCCGTCATACTACTCCTCCAAATCCCAGCCCTCCAGAGCTCTTTTGGGATTTCTCTGACAACAATGTCGATGCCGGCGGCTAAAACGACGCAGTACAGCCCATTTTTGAGGCCTTCAAGCAAGTAATAATTCTCGGGCATGGTCTAGACGGGCATTCGTTCGCTCGGTAAGCCTGATTGATCACTGCCAAGCCCTCCATCTCTGGGGCATCGACAAGGGTGTGCTGTTGGATCATCGAAACACACAGAACGCCTTGGGGGCGGCCAGACTGTGCCCCTCATCTTATTAACCCACATGGCAAGCACCTGAGGCTTTTCGGAGAGAGGTGAAGACCGGTGTTTGGTCGGACATTCTTGATTCATTTTCCTTGGTCGCCTGTCAACTCTGTCGTGGTCAACGCCTTTGTCTCGAAGACTCCAGACATTCACGGGAAATGAGCTTGAACTTCTCAAAATTCTTCGGGCCACAGCCAGGCACCTCGCTATGCGTGCTCACCACACAGACCTCTTTGTCTTTGACAACGACAGGTTGGCTGGCGATATCCTCCTCAAGGATGGCAGCTCTAGACTAGCCTACAATGAGTACGCCGTCTTCAAGGTTCAAAATCCCCCCGACGACCAACACACTCTGGCCAGTCAGAGCGGGACCCACGAGAGCAGATCCATCCACTCGGAGACGGAGGATGAGGCTTCACAAATGTTCAACTCCTCTATCAGAGGAACCCATTCCTTGGGCACAGATGTATGGTTTAAAGCCCATGCCGTTATCGTGTTGCGGTGTTGACCTTCCGACAGGGCAAGTTCGAGCCGCACGCCACTCCAGATCCAAATCTAGAGGGCCGAGTGCGCCAGATGTACGTGGCATATCATGGCCTTTTCAAAATCTATGGACTGCCCCACGCTGACTGATGCTCTTTTCTAGAATATGCCGCAGGCGAGGGGAGCCAGGCTCTGAAGGTCTGAGCATTACGGATGACGATTTTGAGGACTTGCGTCTACATCCATCCACGTTACAGCATGTGCGCAGAACTACGACGGAAGCTATGTTCTGGGATCAAGGTCATGAGAAACTCAGTAAGTCCTTCCCATAGCTTCCGACACCACAGACCTACCAGCAGCGGCTAATGGATCAACCTATTGCTCAAGGCCTCATTCTGGCCTTCTCAGGTAACCCGCGACCCCCATACGACTTTCTGTCCATGACATACGACATACCCAAGCGTTGTCTCACGGTGCTTGTGCGTCAGTCCTTCGATCCGCACCACCATGGTGTCAACGACCTGGACGACTACGAGAAGCGCATGAAGGCTTGCGAAAACCATTGGGCTCACCCGTTCATCTTACCCGTCATCCTATTGCAAGTTCAGCTCAATCTGGCAGAGCAACATGTGGCTATGAACGGGGTCGAACTCTCCAAGCTGGAGAGAGATATCGGCAATATGGCGGGTTTCATGGCCGGTGATGAGAAGCGAAGACGGCCATCGACGGGTGACGATAACTCTGGCCCGCTGAACACGACCCAGCTCATGAAGAACGCGCACCAAGTTTTGCGAAAGAGCATTGAGCTTTTGGATACGATCCGCTGGTTGGAGAGGGCCATTGAGACCTTGGTCAAGGCCGGAGACGAGCTGGAGCGCAAGATGGCGGGGCCCGAGGGACCTCCTCCGTCGCCGGTGTCACCAATGCCGATGTGGGCCCAAGTGCCCAGGCTCACCGTGGAAGGGGCCGACTTCACTGACTTTAAGGGGTTTCGACATCCGCTTGCGAGTCACTGGCATGAGATCAAGCAGTACCTGGATAGCCTTGATCGAGTATGCAAGAGCGTTGGAACCGAGCGTAGCATGTTGGAAACCAGATGTCGTGCTCAGATCGACATTGTAAGTCGCCATGGATACATCTTCTGCTACATCTCTTGTTCTAACCCGACACAGATCTACGCCAAGATGGCACAGGAGGACAATATTCTCAACGCCCGGATGGCAGTAGCGTCGACGCGGGACTCTTCGTCCATGAAAGCCCTGGCCGTCATCACCGCCATCTTCCTGCCCGGCGAGTACATCGGCACGCTCTTCGGCATCTCTATGTTCGACTGGGACGGCAACGGCGGGGACGACGACGACAAGCCCAGCACCGCACCGTCGCCCCTCCTGCCGGGAAAGCGCCACCCCTTGGTCAGCAACATCTTTTGGCTGTACTGGGCTATCGTCGTGCCCCTGACCATCTTCATCATCACGGCGTGGCGCGTCTGGTGGGTCGGCCAGGACCGCTTCTTCCGCAAGCATCTGTCGAGGGAGCTCAGCGAGGAGCGGTACTGGACCGACAACGGCCGGCCGCGCGAGCTCGATCACTCGTTCATGCACGACTTCTTCTACCTGTCGGTGAGGCGGGACGAGAGGGCGCCGGAGGAGAAGCCCCCGCAGCTCAGTCGGTCGACCTCCTTCTTCCACCGCACCCGGACCCTGAGCAACTCCAAGGACGACAGTAGCGGATTTGGCGACCTGCCGAGAGCCCACACGGGGATCGTGCTGCCTCGTCGGCGACCGAGGAACGGGAGTGGAGGGGTCTCCGAGCGAGGCTCTGGTGGGAGATTTCAGCAGATATCGTTTGCGAGACAGAGCAGTCGCCGAATGACGGGCTCAGCCATGGTGTGATGGGCCAACAGACTCTTCACATTCTAACCTCGCTCTCGGCAGCCAGCTCAGTTCTGTGTGCGAAGTCTTGAGCACTCCGCCTCCACCCCCTGATCTTTTTCTTTACAAGCGTCCATTCACTTGACGACTGAAACGACCATACGACGGCACGACTCATGTAATTCATAGTTGCATCTCTCTACGGGTACCATATCATGTGTTTGCCGCATTCACAGCATGCAAATCTTGTTTTTTATCTGAGCCATTTCACACAATGCTGCTTTTAAGTCAAAGATGTGTTCTTGTCCACCGAGTCGCTTCATACGTCTATGCCTGTCCCTACTGTTCTGTGTTAGAATGTATGTGGTTAGGCTTCTAGACACAACCGTGAGATTACGAGGCAATTGCAATGTAGGCGTTCAAGAGGCTTATGAGGCGTGTCTTTTAATATCTGGCCAACACTCGACCTGTTGAATTTCATACAACAACTCCCGTCACTGACCACGACCAAACTGCAGGTTCTCGTTCCCAACCACACCGGTGAGAACAGTCTGCGCATTGACGCCCTGGACCGCGCCGTTGCCGCCCTGCATGATATTGGCAAAGTTGTCCGAGATGAGCTGGATCCCGCTCACAAAGCCTTGCTCGTCAAAGGCGCAGTGCCCGCCGTTGGGCGTGTTGTCCACCGTCTGCAGCGCGTTGATCTGGGCGGCCGCCAGCCCGGCCCCGGCGGCGAGCTGCTCGTAGCCCTGGATGGCGGCGGGGATGGACTGCTGCAGCGACGCGAGCTCCTGCTGCGTGCTCTGGAAGTGGATCTTTGTGTTGCCGGCAAAGGCCGCCGCGTTGACGGCGTCGACCTGCGGCGGCAGGGCGCCGCACATGAGCATGACGCCCGTGCCGGCAAAGTTGGCCATGTGGGCGGGCACGAAGAAGCCCGAGAGCATGAGGGAGCCGCCCGAGACGCCCGTGAAGAAGACGTTGGAGGCGTTGAAGGCCATGACCTGCGGCAGGACCTTCTGGACGAGGTCGTTGACGGCCTGGGCGTCGGCGGCGCCGTCGTCGCGGGTCAGGCCCGAGGGCCCGCCGGTGCGCTGGCCCCAGAGCAGCTGGCATTGGAGGATAGGTTAGCCAACCTGGGCCGCTGGTGTATGTTCCGAGGGTATGGAGGCATGTATTATGCACGAACCTGTTCTGAGGGTGCGAGGACCACGACACCCATCAGGTTGCCTTGTACGGCCTGGTTGGGAAAGTCGAAGAAGGATTGACCTCCGTCACCTGTCCCTTGTTAGTTCCAACTGGTTAAACATAGCCGGGGGACGATGCTTCCTACCGTGAAGCAGTACGTTCAGGCCCATTGCGCCGGCGGCGCCGGCTTGCTGCGTGGCACCAGTGACGCCCGAGTCGGTAGTGAACTGGGCTGCCGGACCGCTAATCTTGAACCTCAGGTCGACGCCACTACAAATGGGTCAGCGTGGGGATATTTCGAACCAGCCGAGGGCTCGAGAAGGCGTACTTGACTCGGGCGGTCATGTCCAAGATGGTCGACCCGTCCGTCGCTTGCGACACGCCCTGGGGGATCCGGGCCGCCTGCTGCTGAGGCGTTCGTGCGGCTGCATTATTCTTGCCTTTTCCTTTCCTCCCTCGGTTTTGAGGAAGCGCCTCGACGACGCCAAACACGTCGAGGAGAAGGACGAGAAAGAAAAGAAAGATGGAGGAGCGAATGGTCAACATTCTGCCTCACGCTCGATTGAGCAAAAAAGGTATACAAGAATAGGAACCGTAGAAAAGGATGAAAACACACAGCAGCAGCAAAACCAGGCGGACTTCCAGGCGAGAGAAATCCAGTCCCTACCAGAGCGGAGCAAGAAAGCAGAGTCGTGATAGCTCTGTGTGTGTGGGCATATTGGTGCTTTTACTCACCTCACCTTTTGGCGAGCTGCACGCTCTCCTCCTCCGCTTAGCAAAGCCAGCCACGGGCGCAAATCTCTTGGGGATCATGATGGTCACCGCGCCCCCGTGCGATGTTTTGCATTGGGCTAGAGCAGGGTGTACCCCAGACTGCTCGTGTAGGAGGCTCCGGTGAATTGACTATTTGCAGTCAGCGAGGTGGTTCGTCTGTCGTTTCAAGTGGCTTCGCGACAGGGTTTTGGACCAGTGTTTGAGACAGGAGAGGCGGCACGCACCCCTGTTGAGAGGCCCCCGCCGGTCAAGGCGATTGCAACGCTCCACAGGTACGGTAGCCAGATTAACTTATTGTCAGCTGTCAGTTGAAAAGAGATGAGCAAAAGAAGCCGCACTGTGTCTGTATACGGGAGTCCATTCACTGTGACATTCTCATTCCTCGTTTCGGAGGCCCATTGTGAGAGTCCACAATGAGTGCGCAGACACAACGACACCTTGCCTCCACAGCCCTGGACTGCCAATGATGCCTGTAAATAGCTCGGGTCATCCAAGGCCGTGTAGTGTTTATTGCGGGTAGTTGCATACTGTATTCTCCGACTCGACCATGTCGTTTCAAGAAAGCTAATTCTTAAGCATATTGTTGAAGTGCTTGTAGATGGATCAAGAAATATGGAACCGTACTCAATCGAATGACAACGCCATCGCACCATTCTAGAGCAGATCATCGCAAGGCTATGGATCGCCAATGCACCTTGAGCAAGCCGAGAGACTCATAGCTTGCCGCCCTCCTTTCGCCGCTTCTCCCTCTCCTTGTCTCGTAGGAACCTTCTAAGAATCTTGCCGCTGGGGCTTTTGGGAATGACATCGATGAACTCAACTCCACCCTTGAGATGCTTGTACGAGGCCTTGTGATCGGCAACATGCTTGATGATAGCCTGGGCGACTTCCTCCTCTGGTTTGGACTCGAACTCGGCAGCCTTGACAACAAATGCCTTGGGGACTTCTCCAGCGTGATCATCAGGGACTTGGATGACTGTGCAGTCCGAAACGGCTGGATGCGTGAGGAGGTGTGCCTCAAGCTCCGCCGGAGCCACTTGGTGCCCCTAAAAGAAGTATTTGTTAGTGATAACGTATGTTCTCTATGAAGGATCTGAGTCTTTACCTTGACCTTGATAAGCTCCTTGATTCTGTCGACCACCACGAAATGCTCGTTGCCTGATGGCGCCAGCGTCACAAGAACCTCGTCGCCTGTGCGGATCCACCTTCCATCATCGTCGTAGATGAACGTCTCGGCCGTCGCCTTCTCGTTGTTGTGGTAGCCAAGCGTGACTGATGGGGATTGGACGAGCAATTCTCCAGGCTTGTCATACTCTGTAATCTCCGAACCGTCCAGATCAACGAGCTTGGCCCTGGTCCCTGGAACCAAGGAGCCTGAGGATTTGTGCAAAATATCATGCTCACTGGTTGTCACCACTACCGTTGCAGTCTCGGTCATACCTAGCATGTATTAGCAGCTTTGTTCATTTGTTACTTGACACGGGCACCCACCATAAGCTTGACCAATGACCCATTTGGGGTATTGTTTCTCGAGAGCCTCGATGGTCTCCTTGCCCATCGGTGCGGCTCCCGTATACAGGAATCTCACGCTGCTCATGTCATATTTCCGGCAGATATCTTGGCTTCGCAGGATTCGGATGACGATCGGGGGCACCTAGATTTAGTCTTTAGCTCGAGCGCACCTGTAAAGCCACAAGCTACTTACAACAAGTAGTTGCTCGATCTTGTGTTTTTGGATCGCCGCAAGCAGTGTCTCGAGCTCGAATTTGGGCAAGATAATGACTTCGTCACCACGCCACGTTGATGAGTGCGCGACGACAATGAGGCCATAGATGTGACTGAGAGGGAGGAGACCAAGAAGAACTTGTGTCTTGATGCCTTTCTGGCTCCTTGCTACTTCCTCAAAAGTGGTCTGTTGAATGACATTTGCAATCACATTCCTGTGCGACACCATAACTGCTTTCTGAGGGCGTCTTGTCAGAACTCTGTGATCTCTTTATTGTTAAATTGGAAGGTACTCACTGGCAGTCCTGAGGTGCCACTGGAGTAGCTGAGCATCGCAGGTTGGCGAGCCCCCTGACCTTTTGTCCACTTCAGAGCCTCAAGATCTGGGAGGGCTTTCCCCTCTTTGATCAGATCCTCTATACTCGGGAACTGGTGGCTTGTCTCTGCGCCAGCCATAGGCAGAATGAAGATCTTGTCATTGGCGATGCCCGCTTTCTTTGCCGCCTGAAGTGCTGTGTCGAGCAAGGGAACACAAGTGATGAGAATCTGTGATCCTGATGACTTGAGCTGATGCTCCAGTTCTGCTACTGAATACACAGCATTCGCTGGTGTGACAATGCCTGAGAGTCTGTGGATGGCGTAGACGGTGGGGATGTAGTCGACCTTGTTTCGTGAGCTTTTGACCAATTCTTGTTATCATAATGATGTTTTCTAAGGGAGAACTCACACTGTTCAATGAGAAAACACATCCCACTTTATCCCAGGGTGTGCCGGCATTGGGCGCCCAGCCAGTTCTCTTACTGAGAGCTCTTGCTATGAACTCAACCCGCTCGAACACTTCAGCCCACGAATACGATCTCCCCGTGAGCCCACAGGTGTAAGGATTGCGTCTTTCTGACAGCGTGCGCCCGCCATTGCCATGGCTCTTCATGAAATCTGCAATAGTGACAAAGTCGGGCGGATCTGATTTTCTTTGTTAACACACCACAGAACAACAATAGGCACTGCGTAAGGACCAACAGACCTATTGGGAGCTTGGGCACCCATGGCGGGGGATGGAACACCATCGTCACGTTGAAAAGGCAGCGAGGCTTGGGCGTATAGGCTCGTGAGATGAGGTTAGCCAACGAGTCTGTGAGAATGTTGTTGTGTCGTCGAGAGAGAAGACAGCAACACCAACCCAAGTAGCTCGAATCGATCGGAAGCCGAGGCGGATCCCGTCATATATGCGACTTCATCGTCAGCACCGAGGGACCGAGGCACTAAACTCGAGCTGGCCGACAGCATCCAAGCCCGACTCCGCATCCGCGCCAACAACGGCAATCGCTGCAGGCAGTTCGCCCTGGACACACACGCTAGTGATGGGTGATCACTGAGACCCGGACATGGTCCCCCACAGTCCCCCACACGCCAAATCGACGAGCCCGGGATAACTCAGAAATCTCACTGGAGGAGCCCTCTGGAGCAAGCTGGGATTTGGGCCTAGCGTCATCTTAGCCTGACAGTTCTTACCGACGACAACCCGAACATCCTCTGACAGCACCCACACACGACACTACTCTGTACACTTCTTCACCGAGACCTGTCCACTACTGCAGTGCTGTCAAGATGGCACATGGGCTAGACACTAAGCGCAGGTACCTACTTAGGAGTAGACGCACAAACCCAATCCGCCTCAGCTGGTCTCATGTGTCTTTTTCAAGCATGGAGCTGTCATCCTTGCCTGAAGCAGGCAGGCACTGAAGCCTGAGTGCTCACAAAGGAGCGCGTTATTGACACTTGTGGACAAGACTGAGCCCGTCAGTAAGCCCAGCTCGATCGAAGCATCCACTCGAGAATGTCATATCCATCCACTGTTCATTCATTCATGCTATTTGAAGGTATCTATCCAAGTGAGTTCTGTGATGCTTAGTCTCGCAGGTAAAATGCTGCAAATGAGTGACATCGTCCAGTCGTGTCTGCACCTCAGACATCCCCTCGGATATCCTCGTGGCAGTTATGGCCTGGCAGAAAGGTCCTTCCATTCTGTCATGGTTCGATCATAGGTGCAATGCTTGCTTCATGCTTTCAAGAGAAGCACAGGAGGGTATCGGAAAAGGACTTGGCCTATCCATCAGGCACTCTACTCTATGTGCGGAGACCAACAGAACCCTGGATGTGTGCATGGCGCAATGGGAATTCCAGGTCAGGCAGTAACAGACTGCCTATGTAGGTAGTTCCAACTCATTTCCATCAGTACCTGGGTATATTGTATTGGGATCCTGACTGGAGTACCTGCCTACATAGTGAAGAGAGATAAGATATTGGTTGAAAGGGGTGTTGGCTGACACCTGAGGCTCAAGTGTTGTCCGGGCTTCTCCTGTGAGCCTGTCCAGGAGGAGATAGGTCGTCCGCCAGATTGTAAACACTGTATCCGACCACCTAGCAACCACCATCAAAATTCGAAAACTTCCAATTCCAAGATCTTCCATGGCAGTCTTTTTGATACCACTCGCTTCATAGGTATGATCAACCAGTCCCTGGGTCTTGACCATATCGGATGGAGTAATCGTCCCAAACAGGCAGTCTCGCTCCTGCCTCCTTCGCCGAATTCTGGAAATAGCTGGCATTGCGTTGACCTCCTCCTCAGAATCAAAATCATCGTGGGCTCCTGCCCGTTTATTATCACCACACCTCCTCCTCACGCCTCCTCACGCCTCCTCACCCCCTCGTCACTGCCTCGTGGGCACCTTCCTCCTTCCCCGGCCCATCTATAAAAGGGCCCCTTTCCTCCCCTTTCCTCCCGCTCTCTTCCTCCTTTCAATATTAGACATTGCTCCGTCTTCAAGATGGCGTCCAACTTGAAGCGACCTGTTGGAGACGACCAATCTCAGGATATCAAGCGGGTCAAGCTCGATCCTGATCAACAGCTCATCACCAAATTCTTCACCAAGCAGAGCACTGAAGATGTTGGCGATGACCAGGAGAGCTCGGGAGCGCCCTCGCCGGTTGAACCTGCGAGTAACTCGGAGCACGACTCGGAAGTGCCTCCGCCAATTTCACCTGCGGACAATTCGGAGTCAAGCTCTGAGCTTTCCACTCCACCCTCATCGCCGCCCGGATCGCCGCCCGGATCGCCGCCTGCATCGCCGCCCTCAGCCCCGGCTGTAGCTCAGCCGGGACAACCTTTGGTTTGGGCCGACAAGAGGCAGTCCTTGTGCTCTGCACTGCCTTGGTTCAAGTCCTACCAGGGTGGCCTCCATACCGGTGGTGGCTTCATCAAAGGCCTTCTCATTGATGCTGAAGCTCGCAACAGAGATGTTATTGGATCTGACGTGATCATGACAAACATGTAAGTCTACAAAGAGTCATACATGCAATCCAGCAAAACTGACTCCTGGTTCAACAGCGGTGGAGGCAAAGTCGATGATGGAAGTGGCAAGCGCGTCCACATCGCAGACCAGGATGAGGGCCGATACGTCAAGGCACTCAGAGCCAACAGAGATGCGAAGAAGCCCATAGGCGTGATTCTGGGTAAGAAATTGCAACTACGACCCAAACATGCTCTCGTCCTGACAGATCAACTAGGCAAGAACTACCCTCACCAGCCGGGACCGCAGCTTCAAAAGCGCTACTCTGTTCTGGAATGGTTTCACGTTGTCGACGTGTTCCAGGAGAAATACCAGTCCAACCCGAACACCCCTCTGGTGACTCTCTGGGCGCTTCGCCTGGAAAAGATAAAGGATGAGGAGACATCTTGGTGGTCCGATGGACACACTGCGATAGACACTCCGGTCGATGCTCCTCTTCCAGTTGAAAAGTGTGGAGAGTGCGACCAAGACCACCCGCAAATCTTCACCCAGGGATGGACCTGTCTCAAGGCGGACTGCACCGAGTTCTTCAACTTCCGCAATGTCCCTGTCGAGCTCAGTGAGCTCGTATATTCGCCCCAGTATCTCGGACAGCGAACCAAGTTCCAAGGCGATGCTGATCTCCTCCCTCCGATCATGCCCCCACTCCCAGACACGGAGTATTTCCCCGAGGACAAGGAAGCCACCTACGGAACCGAAGAAACGTTCCGTCAAGGAATGGTCTGCCACCGGTGTGGAGGGTGCTCGAGTCGCCGCTTCTGGACCCACTGGCAGTGCGAGAATCCTGACTGTGAATACATTCACAAAGCTGGAATGATCAAATATCCGCTGAAGAATGTCCTCATCGAGAACAAGGCGCTGAAGAAGCTGAAGGCCAGGTCAAAGAGCTGCAGAAGCTCGTTTCCCTCTCAGTCGAGCGATCCTTTCGAGTTGAGCAAGCACGACGGCTTGAAGCGCATCGAAGACCGCAAATATGGAGCTTATACTGCGGCTACCTATTTGCTCCCAGGTCCTGACAAGGAGACAATTGGCACAGTCACGATCCTCCGTTCAGATTCGACGATCAACGGCCAGCCTGGTGGAGCCGACTCGCTCTGGGAACAGCTCGAGGGCAATGAGGATCTCGATCTGAAGAGAAATCCTGTGCGTCATCCAGGTCGCTCCTCGGAGATCCTCACTCGGCACTTTGGCAAGAACTATGGCTCCCCATACAAGTTTGTGGTATCTGTCGAGTCGAGCGCTTTCAAAGGTGCTCCACAACCAATTCTGAAGGCTCTGATGATGATGACTTGGGCCGGTGAAAAGGTCATCTCGGACATGGCGGACATCGTTACTGAGGCCTGGGACCCGGCACTCGTGCCCAACGTCTACCAGGATTTCAACGAACTTCTTCATCTGGGATACATGGAGAAAGACAAAATTGATTACCATGATGATGGAGAGAGCGAGCTGGGCCCAACGGTTGCAACCCTCTCCTTGGGTTCGCCATCGACCATGTCTTTCAAGCCCAAGCGGAAATCGGGCGTCTAGAAGACGCTCGAGATTCCAGGCAGCAAGCCTTGTGTCCTCAAGTTCAGCCTCCGGCATGGAGACATTTTGATCATGCATGGGGCCAAAATCCACAGCCACTACCTGCACATGGTAGAGCCACACGGCAAGCGTCGACATGCCCTGACTTGCCGTTATGTCGACCCTGCCCGCAAAGTTGACGCAAACGAGAGAGCGGATGCTGTTGAGAAGGGTCACATCCCTGACGATATTCGGGAGCGCTACCAGTATCACGGAGGCGTTTGAATTTTGACAAGCGTCGTGCTTGCTCTTCTCTTCGCTGCCGTCTCTAACTCAAGTTCAATATGCTCCTTTGGCACTGCGGCCGGCTCGGCTGACACTAGCTTCTTGCGGCTGTGCAAATTTTCTCTTTCTGTTCTTTCCTTTTTCATTTCATTTGTTCTTATGATGGGAACGACCGGTTGGTGGTTTGGGCACATGGGCACACAAAAGTTCTCAATCCATACGCAATGCCTGGGGGCCGGGATTGGTCGATCGAGTGGGAAACAAGGGCGTCTTTCACGCTCACATCTATGGTCTAGCACTGAAGTCCGATCTTCTATCGGCACAACGTTATCCTCAATCTTGCGCAGGATAATATTGCTAGCATATACTTGCTATCTGACGAAAGGTAGAGTGGAGGTTTCCACGATTCTACCATAGCTAGACCAGATCTCATGATTCCAGAGCAGCTGCAAGAATACGAATTCTTTTTCTCAACCCAAGACTTTGCTTGATTTGACTTGCACAAGGGGCCTCTACTAATGCCAGGTGGAACCCAGGTGCAGGCCTACATGGCTACCAGCTAATCTTTGTACAGTGCGTATATTTACAAGGGGTTAAATGTCCCAGTGGAACGGCTATCTACTTCCTGCTGCTGCCAGAGACGAGAAGAATGACGCTTCCCAGTTGTCGGCGCAGGTCCACCTTCTCTACATCATGGGTGTCCTCGACCTCGCCCCAGTTCCCGATCTGCCAGTCCACCTCGATGCTGGTGGCCTTGGCGGCCTCCTCGACGCCGTAGCCGGCCTGCCGGCCCTCGAGGGAGGCGACCCCGGCGGCGCCCTCGCTCCACTCGGCCACGAGGCGCGAGGCGCTCAGCAGGCTCTTGCCCGCCAGCACGGCGCGCTCGAGGCCGGCGAGCTCCCAGGGCTCGAGGCCCATGATCCAGCCCTGGACGACCTCGCGCACGCCGGGCTTCTGCTGGCGCGGCATGATGGAGTCCTCGTCGAGGACGGGCTCGAACTCGACGCCCGGCCAGACGTGGGCGGAGAGGAAGCCGACGACGCGGGCGGCGGCGCGCTCCTGCAGCTCGCGCAGGGACGCGCCGTCGGCGTTGCGGCCGTGGGACAAGGGATCCGGGGGCGGGCTCCAGCACAGCAGGCTGTCCGTGTCGAGGTAGCGGAGGAGGATGGTGGCGATGCCCGTGCGGACCGGGGCGAATTGGCCTGCCGCATCACTGGTGGCGCTGTGGTGGTGGGCGGCGTCGTCCTCGGCGATGTCGATGGCGCGGCAGACGAGGCTGGTCAGCGGGATGAGGTGCTGCCTCGTGGCCTGCTGGGCCGAGACGAGCATGTCCCACTCCACGGCGAGGGCGTGGGCGAGGTTGGGCTTGGAGAGGGGCAGGCGGACCTTGGCCTTTGTGGTCGGGTGGCGGAGGGCGCGGGTGTCGAGGTGGATCTCGTATGCTCCTGTTTTTTTGGTTATATCTCAGAGATCTGTTTTATAGATTCTTCTTCTTCTCATTCGAGACGAGTGAAGGCGAAGAGAATGGGGGTGGGGGCGGTGTTAGCATACCATCGACCTCCTTGACGTGCACGTCCTTCCAGAAGCGCTTCTTGAGGGCGCCGGCCTTCTTGTCCTTTGCGCTGGGCTTGCCCTGGGAGGCGGCGCGCAGCTCCTGGGCCCTCTTGAGCATGTCGGCCTTTTTCCTGCGCTCGGCGATGCGGCTGTCGACGGGCTGGCTGCTGCTGGGCACGGGCGGCTCTGGCGGCGGGCCGGTGCCGTAGACCGGGACGACGTTGGCTCGCTTCGGGGCGCCCGAGTGGATGGCCCCCCGTTGCTGGAGGAGGCATGCCGGCGGCGGCAGCAGCGCGGCTGCTGCGGCTGCTGAGCTGCGGCTCCGGTGCTGCAGGGCGCCCGAGAGGGGGAGGTTGGCTATCCTCGCGATTGGCTTCATGGCGATGGCTGATCTGGAACGGGGACGGAGGAAGGAAGAGAAGACAGGCTACGATATGCCCCCGTTACACTACACGTACGTTGAACCGTCGTGAAATTTTGATGGAGCCTTGCCAGTGTCCAGTCTCCAATGCGCTATCGATAGCGATAGCGCTGGAGCCGGACCGGCTGGACCCTTGCATGAGCACCCGATTGGTTGATGCGCGGGTGTGTGACATCACGGTACAGCATTGGCAGTGGCAGTGGCAGTGCGTGGGCGTTTGGTCTGGTGCTATTGGGAGATGCTACGGCGTGAGAAGGAAAAGAAACTACTTGTAACTACAGACGAAGCTTGCTACATAGGTATCCTCTCTTTCCCCCCCCCCCCCCCCCTCGATGAAAAGACAGGAGTGAGTAATGTATGTATGTTTGGATTTTACTTTTATTGTGCATGTTGTGCCAAGAGCTCTTTGCGGCCAGCACAAAAGATAAGAAAGATCAGCCAGCCATCGTAAACGTCTGCCGAATCTTTGCCAGGGGGCGCAAAATAGCCTCCGAATGGGGTATCAAAAGGGTTAGATTTGGAGAACCTGCTCTCAATCTGGGTAGAGATGATGTCCAAGTCCACCAAAGAGGCTAAATAGGCAAGGAGTCGCGCCCAAATGACGCATGTCCTCTGCAAGAGGAGGTGGAGTTCCCAGCAGGCGCTCTCGAATCACAAACCAGTCCTTGCTCCCCCGCAACTGTGGTCTGTGGTGAGGAGGATGTGCAGCGCAGCGTGTGTGAGACGGTGTGAGACCATCCCCCGTATGTTCCAGAGCCATGCTTTTGACTGTGGTTGTTGTTTGGGTAGGTATTCCTCCCTACTAGCTATTCGCTACCTAGGTAGGTACCTAGCATAGCACGGACTACCCTTACCTACCCAATGTTGTGTGTCTGGGGTGCATATTCAACAAGTATGCGGAATACATGCCCTGTAAGCGTGCTTCGAAGGCGGCAATGGACATACACATGTTACTAGATTTGCGCACCTGTATATGCTTGTAGCACCTTGTGTCGATTGCCCAGCTGCTGCTGTAGGTGTGTGGTGGGAGACAAAAAGACACATCATCAACAAGCGCGCACCGTCGTCATCCTTTTGTATTGCGGTTTCAACAACTGCATTGTTCCCCCCCAACAGAATTCCAAGGTGTTCCGCGTTGCCTGTCCGCTCCCTATTCTGTTTCTGCTTCTTGCCAGCAGCATCTCTTTGATCCTCGTCGGGGATATTCTAAAAATGGAGAGGTTATCCCATGTCAAGAAACTCCCTAAACGGAGCAGGGATCTGTGAAGTGTTATCTTAATAAAAGCTGAAATCGCTACTTGTACAAGGATTTGCGAGAGTGGTTCATCAGGGGGCTGGAAAGTACCTAGCTTGCCTGATTAGGTGGGCTAGGTACAAAGGTGCTTAGTGCGCGCCTGATGGCCCCCGGGGCGTGAGATGAGGTGGTCCCCAGAGCATTTCTAGGCGGCGTAATCCTGGTCGCCAGCAATCCCGCAAAAAAATAAGCTGGACAGGGCCGCACGCAACACCACCACCACCACCGAGATCTCTCTCTCGTCAAGGTTCTCCCTAAGGGTAGCCTCCTGATCCTACTCCCGTTCCTCCAAAACTCTATCGCCATTTGCCCATATCCAGACTCCCGGGACCGACGACAATCCATCCTCTCTTGCCACCCTGCACAGAGCTGTCTACTTCTACCTCGCCCTCTTCCTATGCTCTCCTAGGCAGCCCGCTCGATCCCTTCCCCCCTTCTCTCGACCACCCGCCAAGATTGATGTTTCTTGACCCGGACTCAGCACAAGCGCGTACGCTGTCGCCGTTGCGATGAACGCCATCGCCCAAAAGTGCCGGCCGAAGCACCAGGTCCTCGTCCTCAAGTGCTACCCTCGCACAACCAAGGGCGCCGTCGACGTCAAGCCCAACTCGAGCGAGCTCAGCTACCTGCTCTACTATGCGACCTCGCGCCGGTCCAAGATCCAGAAGGTCGGCTCCTTTCTCGAGAAGAAAACAGCCAGCGATGTCTGGCGCCTGCGAATCGGGTATGCCCTCCCTCCCCCCCTCGCATGCTGCCGAACCCGGCCCTTCCGGACTGTCACTGCCAAGCTCGAGACCGAACACCGCGTTGTATCACCGCCGGATTGCTAACCCTCTCCCTCCCTCCCTAGAAATGTCCAGGTAACACTGCAGATCCTCGAGGCCTTGATCGAGAAGAACCCCAAGGACCTCCCTCTGTTTGCGCAGTCGGTGCTCAAAATCCTCGACAACATCCTCCGCTCCAATGATATCACCATGGTCGAGTCGTCCATCCCGACCTTCGAGGCCTTCTGCGCGCACCACGACACCTCCTCGCTCCTCGTCGACCGGGCTTACCTTAAGCAGTACGAGTCCATAGTGCGACAGTATGCTTCGCTCGCTTCGACACGCGCCGTCCCCGGCAAGGCGCACCCCAGCAAACCAGTCGCCATGCGGTGGAGAAACACCGGCCTCGAAGCCATCAAGTGCGTCGCGTCGTCCGACGTCCTGTCCTCGGTCTCGGCCCGGCAGTACGAGATCATCGTCCCCATGATCCTCGAGAACCTCTGGACCGACAACGAAGACTTCCTCGAGGTCCTCCTGCAGCGTGTCCAGATGGAGGAGAAGGTCGACTCGGACAAGCTGCTGCGGCGCCGCACCAGTGTCGCAACTGTACGCACTGCCGAGGGCGCGACTGGCGACACAAACCCCATCGCCCTTTCCGGCACGGCCATGGATGTGGACAAGCTGGCCGAGGAGGACATCGGTGTGCTGGCGATGCAATGTCTCAAGCAGCTCTTTGTTGCGCCGAACCGAGCCCAGGTCCGCTTCTCCACGGTCTACCTCCTCCGATTCATCGAAGAACGCGTAATACAGGAGGAGACGCTGGTCAAGACCGACAACAACACGGGCCGGGATGGAGGCTGGGCTGTCAAGATGTTTGGCCTCATCGCACAGTGGGCCCCGGTGCAAGATCGCTTCATGATCCTGGTTACTACCCTGGATACCATGCTGCGCATGCCCTTGACGGACGAAACCCTGCCTCAGCACATAGTCCTGACCGCCATGATCGGTTCTCTATTGCGATCCGACGTCAACCTAATCGGCCTGAGTGTCATGGACGTGTTGATTGGGTTGATACAGCACATGAGGAGGCTGGTCCAGATGCCGGGCGCTCCTATTGTTTCGCGAGGCAACGGCACCGCTTTTGGCCCGCAAGAACCCAAGTCGCCCACAACCGAGGCTGCTGAGACGGTGGCCGCCCAGCGAAAAGAGTTGTTGGGCAGGATCCAGCAGGCTATCGGTGATCTCGCTACACATGTTTATTATGCCGACCAGATCTCGGATATGATTTCCGCCATCCTCCTCCGTCTCAGGCCGGGCCGATCCAATAACACTGGCAACTCATCTCCCCACGGAGAAAAGGCCGAGGATCCGAACGCTTCAACCACGAACTCGATCGGAGGTCACCACGGAGAGTCATTGTTCTCCCTCACCGTGGCCAAGACGGCGGCCCTCAAGGCGATCAAGGCCATCCTGCTCGTCGCGAACCCAAAGACTAAGATTACTGGGAACATGAGCCTGTCTAGGAACCGGGTTCCAATCCAGGTATGGGAGGGGACGCAGTGGCTGCTGAGGGACCATGATGGTTCGGTTCGCAAAGCGTACACAGACGCGATCGTGACCTGGCTCGATAGGGAAACGACCGGGAAGGATCTGCAGGCGCGCGACGAGACCGCTATGAACTCCCGATCCGCTTACAAGAACGGGCGCGAGGTACCCTCCACCAGCATGGCCCGGAGAGTAGTCTCGAGTGCTTCGAACCGCGAGAAGGTGTCCATCCCGCGCTCGCACTTCCTGGCGCTGCTTCACCTGGCCGTCTACGACAATGCTATCCAGTACGTCGACTACGAGACGGACGTTGTGCTCTTGCACGTCCTCTTGGCCAAGCTCGTCAGTCGCCTTGGTGTCAATGCCGTACGATACGGCCTTCCCATGATCTTCCAGCTCCAGGAGGCGATACAAGAGGTGGAAACGCCGTTGGCCAAGGTGCGGGTCGGCAGTCTCGTACACGGCTACTTCTGGGCCGTCATTGACAAGTTTGACATTGATGGCTCGGTCGTCGGACGGGCCATCAACAACGAGGTCGTTCGCCGGCGGAGCAAGCACTTCTGGGTCGAGGGCATTCATGTGCCGCCCCCACTCATCGAGCTCGTCGGCACCCCCGGCATGCTCAGGCCGCAGCCCAAGATGCCGCTCAACGAGATAGAGTCCGAAGCGCTCTTGCCCTTCGACGACCGCATCTCGCTCGTCGAGGCCGTGTGCCACAGCTACCAAGACCAGCCCCGCTCGCCACCTCACAGCCCCGCGACCTCTCCCGGCCGGACCTTCACACACCCCATCCTCAGCTCGACGCTGAGCGCGATCCCGGCTCTCGATGCTGCCGACCACGAGCTCCCGAACTCGTTCCGCGAGCAGATGCTCATGGAGTGGTCGCGCGACGCCGTCATGGTGGCCACGCAGGCCGGCAGCAAGTCGGCCTCGCTCAACGGGTCCAAGACGGGCACGACGGGCACCAACATGAACCGCCTCACCATCAACAGCAACATGCTCAACGGCGGCCACGCCGGCTCGCCCTTCGGCAGCCAGCACAACCTGCGGCCCGCCTCGCAGCCCGTCGGCGGCAACCTCGCCCCTGGCGGCGGCGGCGGCGGCGCCTCCAAGCTCCGCAAGTCGAGCGTGCGGAGCGGCATCTCGCCCGCGCCCTCGTCGAGCTACGCCGGCGGCAACGGCGGCGGCGGCTTCGTCACGTCGGTCGACCAGCTCAAGATGGCGCTGTCGGGCCACCTGCAGCCGCCGCCGAGCATGGGGGGCCGAGGAGGGGGCACCGCGCGGCCCGGGGCCGGCGGCGGCGACGACGACGCCAGCAGCAGCGATAGCATGGTCAGCTACGACGCCGCGCCCTCGGAGCTGTCCTTCAACCCGCCCGCCCAGCAACAGCAACAGCAACAGCAGGGCCACCCCGTCACCCCCGCCACCCCCGTGCGCACGCGCTCCGTCTCCCGCGAGCGTAGGGCCTCGTCGCCCGGGGGCCCGCTCGACTCGCACCCGACGCACGACAGCGCCGACGAGTCCCCCGGCCCCGCCAATGGCGACCAGAAGCCCGCCGCCGCCGCCGCCGAGGGCGCCGTCGCCATCCCGCCCGTGCCGCCCCTGCCCTCCGACTACGCGCGCGAGCAGCAGCAGACCCCGCCCGTCGCCGCGCAGGACCACGCCTACGCCTCGTCGCCGCCGCAGCACCAGCAGCCGCCCCGGACGTCGGCCGGCAAGCGCAGCCTGCGCAGCCGCGGGGGCGAGAGCATCGTGGCCGGCAGCTTTGGCGACGAGGGCCCGGCCATGGACCTCGCCTCCCTGCTGAGGGGGATCGACAGCCGCGGCGGCGGCGGCGGTGGCATGGGGGAGTCGCAGCAGCAGGCGTATCTGGGCGGCGGGGCCAAGAGGCCTCCTTATTGAGACAATACTCGGGGCGGCAAGGGAAGCCATTGATGTCCATTTCAACAGGGCGGGCGGTTGATGGGGCTTGGGGGAGCGGGTTTTTGGCACTTCCAATTGTAATTATAGCGCAGAGGGGGAGAGGAAGCGAGCGAGAAAGCCTAATACGCCCCGTTCTCCGGTGATTGCCTCTCTTTTTTTTTTTTTGCCAACACATGGGCTTCTCCTTGTGTCTCAGCTTCTTTGGTAAGCGAAGTGTTGTCTCTCCTCTTCGGAAGTGGAGACGAGCCTCTCAGAGACTGAGGAAACGAAGAGGGCAGGATTCATTTCAGGTCGATCTTTTTTCCCCTTTTCATTATCGGAGCATTCACAGCATACAACAAGACTGGGGAGGGCAGAGGGGCAACTCTTGTCGACAAATTGGCATTTGGGCTCCCGCAAGAGGCGCCAACTTTTTGAAGGGGGCAGCGGGAACGGAAACAAAATCAATAATGGCTTGAACAGCGGTTGATAGGGATGGAAAACGGGCGTGGCGACCTTGGGTTGGGCGGGAGGGAGGAAGATTCCATGTGAGGTTGGCTTGGGCTTTCTTGTATAATTATTAGCGAGCGTGACTGATATCAATCTGGCGGAGGAATAGACAAGTGAGGGAGGGACATCTCGATTATCTGTATTGGCCTGCCTGCCCCTGCCTGCGTATCCGCATGCCTTGTGTGATGATTCTCTGACCTACTGCCCTCCATGTCTAAGATTTTACAACTGACTCTTGCCATCATCTCCCATTACTCCTCTGGTCTTCCCAGCCACCTGGCACACAATGATTGACCATCGCCGCGCTCATACAAACGCAGTTCCCCCTTCGTCAGTGCTAACCATACGCTTCCTGCGGCTGCTCAGAAAGATGTCGACTATCCTCTGCCCACCCAGGGGAGGTTGCAACGAGGGTGTCGTCTCGCAGGCATCTGCCTGGCCGTCGACTCCTGGATCGTTGCGATGTTCCTCCGACATGTCCGCGAGCCGGTCCTGCGACTTCCCCAGTCTAGCATGCGGGCGTGGGCCAAATTGCCTCTGCAAAGCCGTGGTCAGTCCAGGACTAGAAGTCGTCGAGCCAACGCCGTGTCCGTCGAGCGCTCGAGCCGCATATCCTCCGAGCCTCGCCGAAGCAGAAGTGGGCGCGCTGTTTCTATCATTTCCCGCCGCATGGAGCTTCTTCAGTGAGCGGAGGCGAGCCAAAGACTTCGCCCGCCTGGCCGCGAGCAGTCTATCTTCTGGTGTCCGAGGGTGATAATATTGCTTCTTAGTAGACTGTACTGATTCCTCAATGGTAAGGCTATTGCCAACCCCAGAGGATAAATCTCGAAGTGGGTTCCTAGGAGGAACAGGTGGCGGGGTGCTATCCGGCAATGAAGCATCTCCATTCATCTCGTCTTTAGAAATGGAGCTCGGAGCTTCATTCTCGACGAGATTTGTTGTAGTGGACATATTCAGACGAGCCAGGGATGGCTGCCATGGGGTCGCCCTCTCTATAGATAGAGGCGTTGCGGCCAATACTGGGTCATCGTCTGCGAAATCCGATGAATCGTGGCCATCACTCTCATCAGAAATCTGAGCTGGCTCCCTGACATGGCCCCGGCACTTCGGGATCCTGAGAAGAGCCTGCGTAGTAGTCGAGGACCTTACACTCCGCGCAGGGGAAGACTGTAATTCCATGCTGCATGCATTGTCTGTCAGCCATGACTGCCAGTCGATTGAACTTCCTGGCGCCGTATCAGACTTCTTGATAGATCGATCATGCCAGTCGCGTTGTCCTTCAGCTTTGCTTCTCATCATATCTGGGGATTTTGTGAATCCTTGCAGAATCGACCGGATTTCAGCTGCGGCCTGTGACTCGCTGGTGCCGTGTGATGAATATTCGCTAGCAGAATAGCTTCTGCTCTTGGTGAGAATCGGAGAGGCCTCATGTCTCATCGCACCCTCACTTGCCTGCATGCTTTCTTGGAGTGCAATCCGGTAGCTGCTTGCAGTCCTGAATAGGTGGAAGGACGGACTGTCCAGTGATGGGTCGTGGTAGCAAGAGGCGTTGGGATTTTCGTAGCCCTCATCCTTGCGTGTCCCATCATCGGTGGCCGAAGGCTTTTGTATCGTGGGGGTCGTGGATGCTGAAGCCCCTGATCCCCCTTGATTATTGCTGGTGTTTGTAGCCGTTGGCGAAACGGTGCGAAATGGGTTAGATAACGCGTCGCTTGGAGCATACGGCCGCCTTGTGCGCGATGGTTCCCTCCCCTCGTCCAACTTCTTCATCAGCGCGGAGTACAATCGCTGAGTGTCGAATGTTGCACCTGGCATGGCCGCAATTTGAGCTTGGCAACCCGCCAGCGTGGCTGGTGGGCTTGTTCCAAGATTCGCTCTGCGCTGGCGCTGGAGTGACGGCGAAGGGCAGTGGTTGTGGTGTTCGTCAATCACGGAGAGCCTTTGCCGTTGCCAGTCAGAAGACTCCTCCCATGGATGACCAGCGGAGACCAGGCTTGAGCCAGCCCAGCTGGTGGCGCGAGATTCCTCGTCGCGGTAGCTCGAATTCGGTTCACCACAACTGATGTCGCCTATCAGGCCTTGCTGAGACTTCAGTCTTTCGGTAGAAGGAAATGAGTAAAGGGACACGAGATTTTGCTGAACATTGGATACTGTCCCAGCGTCGCTGGGGTGCTCGCCGCGTTTGCTTGCTGGTGAAGATGCCTCGCTGTCAAATATCGATGCTAAAGCTACTGTCTGTTGCTCTTGGAGTGGCTCAGTGTCAAGATCCGTCTTTGGGCGACCGAGGAGTGTTCTGAACTTCGACTTCAACGATTGGGAAGCTTTTCTCGCAACTATCTTCAGACTGCCATCCCGTTTAATAGTAGACTTGCCCGTCCCAGCAAATGAGGGTACCGCGCTGTTCGAGCTGCTGCTGCGGAGGGACTTTCTCATCATTGCTGAAGGTGGCAGTGGCTTTGCTGGCTCTTGCACGGTCGTTGATGCGAGCCTCAATGGCTGTGGGATCAAACTTGAGTCGGGGGTGAGTCTGCTTGCGGTGCAAGTGGCCTCACCTTCATATGGCTCCTTTGAGATGAGTGGGAACAAGGACGCTTGGTCTTGAGGTGACTGACCGGGCCAGTCCAAATCTGCATGAGAGGCGGGAAATATTGTTGAGGGTTGGCGATTCTCCTTCAGATGGCCCACGCCTCCTGGGTTTGGTGATCTTAAAGATTTCTGATGGGAGGTGAACATGGACTGAGATCTGCGAAGGCTGCGAAATGACAACGCCTGGGAGGCAATATCATCTTCAGGTGTGTAGTAATCCGCGCCATCTCCTTGTGAATTGTCCAGAATGAGCGTGTCATGTTGTTTGATAACGGTATTGGCACCACTCGTCTTAGAAAGGTTACAGACCGGGCTCTTTAGCATGCCATGACCATGTGTTTCATCTCGAACTTGATTATTGTTCTCAGAGCAATGGTCATGCTCTCTTGGGGTACTCGGCGTATACGCTCTCCTCTCCTCATCCTTGGCTTGATCTGCTTGAGATGCTGATCTCACGTAGCGAACACTCCGAACCTTGGTGGCCCCCGTATTGGCGAATCGTCGGTGTGCCTGAGTAGCGAGGCTGCTACTTCGCGAGAGCGTGGACGTTTCCTTGGATGAATGACATCTAGATAAAGAAACGGGGAAAAGGCGCTGCGCTTGCGCCGAGCGATCCGTGCCCTGGTTGTATGCATGTAGCGCAGCAATATGAGCATCGCGTAAAGCTACGTCGGCATCGAGGTGTTCGAGGCATACGCTTCGGCCGGAGGAGACTGATTTGCGCCGGGCAGGATCGGATCGGGACTTGGTGCTCTGCCTCCGCAGCATCTTGTGAGAGCAATACCGATGCTTGAACTCGGTATGTTAATTTAGAAGCGATCACAGTGGTAATTCAACGGCAGGGGAAAAGCGCTTGTGTAATGGTGTTGATGAGGCTGCAAAGATAAGTGATCAAAATGTGTCTGCTTCTCCATGAAAGATGTCTAGCATAAAGGTATGAGTTCTCATTGTCCATCGAAGCATCGTCATACCCGACTGTAGGCTCAACATGGAAGGAAGGTATGTTTACGACCGAAAGACAACCTTGGAAAGTATCAAGGAGACCGCAAGGAAAGAATTGTTCATGGATGAAGTAGGCACAGCAGTGCCGATTCACCACGGCAGGTGCTTTGTCGCTCACTCAGTTGCTCGTTGCTTCCTTGGCCAACCAGCGGCCACTCTACTGAGAGGTTGAGAGTTGGATCGGGGATGGATGAACTCTGGATGCTTGCAACTGGACCCAAGACCCAAGACCTACGAAGGTTCAATACCCCCTGTCATAATCACGAAGGGCTACAGAGAGCAATTGATCACTTGTGTGTCATGAGAATGCCAGAATGCATTGTATTGAGCGAACCAAGGGAACGTAACTATGATGAGATGCGTATCATCCTCAATCCGCCGCGAGCGATAAAATCCACGTCGCGTTGAAGTACACAAAAGACAACCCGATAACAGCGAAAACCATGCCCATGTATGCCGATAATAAGAGATATAGGAAAACGCCGTGTGGCGGCAAGATACACGATGGCAAGCAGAATCAAGCTACTCCCATCGCATCGGATGAGACTAAACTATCCGATTCAGATCCATGTGGCTTAGACAGTGATCTCCTCAAAGAACTCCTTGAGCTCATCCTCGACAAGGTCATGGATCTTCTTGGAGAACTTCTCAGCCTTGCCAGTGAAGGACGAGACACCATGGACAACCTTGCCGGAGACAACCTTGAGGTCGTGCTCAATAGCCTTCTCAAGCTCGGAGACGGAGGTGTAGACGTCCTTCTCCTCGGCACGGTCAATCTTGTAGCTGCCCTGCTCCAGGATCGCGGAGTAGTTGCTGCAGCCACCGCCGTTCCAGGCCAGCAGGTTGGGGGTGTCCTTGGGCAGGTCGCTGAGAGCACCGACGGTGGCAATGCTGAGCATGTTGGCCTTCATCTTCTCGGGAGTGATGGGCGCAACAGAGTACTCCGAGTCGGTGGAGGGCTGCAGGGACAGGTAGTAGGCCAGGAGACCGCAGATGTGGGGCGAGGCCATCGAAGTACCCGAGATGGTGTTGACGGCATACTTGGAACCGACCCAGGTGGACTGAATGTTCAGGCCAGGAGCGAAGATGTCAGTGCACTTGCCCCAGTTGGAGAAGTAGGCACGAGCGTCGTTGATATCCGAGGCACCGACGGTGATGGCCTTCTGTGCAGCAGCGGGAGAGTAGTTGCAGGCATCAGCGTTATCGTTACCGGCGGCGACGGCAAAGTGCAGACCAGCGTTGACGGCAGCGTTGACGGCAGCATCGAGAGGGGTAGTCTTGCCGCCACCAAGAGACATGTTGGCGACAGAGCCCTTGAAGCCCTTGCGCTTGCCCTTCTTGGCCTTGGCGACCTCATCCATGTGCCTCTGGGCAGCGAACTCGACGCCAGCGATGACATCAGACATGGTACCAGATCCGTTAGACTTGAGAACCTTGACTGCATAGACGTTGGCCTTCTTGGCAACGCCATACTTCTTACCAGCAACGGTGCCGGAGCAGTGAGTGCCGTGGCCGTTGCCGTCAACATCAGCATCGTCCTTGGGGATCGTCTTGCCCCAGTGAGCGCGGCCCTCAAAGTCGACATGCTCGATGTTGGTACCAGTGTCGATGACATAAGCATCGACACCCTCACCGCCGTCATCAGCGAACAGGTATTTGTTAAAGGTACCGAAGCTGAGTTGCTTGCGGTGAGAGACACGAGCCAGACCCCATGGGGCGTTCTTCTCGGTCTCGGGGCTGCAGTCGTCTTTCTTGTCCTGCTTGTTGTAGCTCATGGTGTGAACAATGGTATCCCGGTGGATATACTCGATCTGATGGTTATTCAGTCAGCTTTTGTTCGTCCTCTCTCGTCGCCAGCAGACTTACATCAGGATGCCTCCGAACCTGCTCGATGACTCGGTCATCGAAGTGGCCGGAGTAGCCGAGGAAGCCATTGCCGATCTTGTACGTGTGCTTGAGGCCACGAAAAACATCGTCGCCGAGGATCTCGCCGCGCTTGCGCAGCTCGATCACCCTCTCGTCTTCACGCTCGCCATGGATCTTCTGGATCCACGAGTGGTGGTCCGAAGCGGATGACTCGCTGACGTGATCCTTGAACTTGATGATGTAGGCGTTGGGGATTTCATCAGCATTGTTGGAGGAAAGGATAGGCGCAGCACCATCGTGGATGGTCTCGGTGCTGAATGACGGGGCCGCAACAGCGCAAGCTGCGAGCGACAAGGTAACTAGACCTCTCATGATGAAACGGGTGTTTGGGACGATCTTTGGTCTACCTGCGACACTTGAAAAGACGGAATCCCGGATGTACGGAAATGGGCAGAAACAAAAGAGAAGAAAGAAACAAAACACCCAGACGATGCTTTGATGGCCCGACGCGACACAAGATGGGTTGCACGGGGGATGATGGACGACGGAAGATGGATGACGAGAGAGAGCAGAGGACAGGATGGATGTGGGAGAGTCAGCGTCAACAGGAACGGGGAGCTCTGGGGTAGATAAAGGATGGCGAATCCACCAGTGACGGCACGCCAAGGATGGCGGCACTGGGAGGGGGGAGGTCGCCTGAGCGCAAAGCTGCGGAAGGGACAGACAAGCACAGCCAGACAGTGCTATCAGCCAGAGCCAGCAGCAGCCAGCAGCGGGCCTACGCAGCTTTTCCCCACACCAACCTTTGGACATGGGGTGCCTCACCACACTGCGAGGCGTGACGCAGGCACCATCCACTCAACCACTGCACCCAGGGTTCGCCAGGTTCACCCGACTGATAACAGGCAAGCAAGAGTCAGAGGGATGGCTGGCGTTACCAAAAACAGTCTAGTCGTGGATGGCCTGGCCAATGGAGCCGGTAGATCGCCAGATACGTACCCATAAAAGTGGGGGTTTGTGTTTGGGTGGCCATGATAAGACGCCACACCGACCTCGGAATGGAGTTGGTAGGCACACGCAGAACATGATAGTCTTTTGGGGACAGACAGAGGGAACACAGCATGCCTTGTCAAAATGAAGGCGTTGAAGTCTGCTGTAGACAAGTAAACAACAGAGAGAATCCCCATCTAGATCATTCAAATAAGCGGCTTCTTCATTGCAAGCACCGTGTAGCAAGCACACCTTAGCACCACGGACTCCGTCGGTAGCGTGCGAGGCGAATGGATTCGTCATGGCTTGACTATGGCTCTCCTGCAAGGTTGCATGGCGAAAGCGCTGAGAGCAAGATACTTCCAGGGAGGTACCTGCTCTCAAGGTCATGCGGTGCTGCTGGTTCAGGACTCCCACCAGTTATCCGAGGATCTGATCCACCTCTTTCATCCCTTGGACGACCCTGGAGGGTTTGCCAGTCAATGTGATTCTCAGTTGCTCGTAACAGCTATCTTCCCAGACTCTGTCGGCTCTATCAGTTCGGCATCCCCCAACCCTTTGCGGGATGGTGATTCAGATGGAACAGCCAACAAGTTCCCGGTGATAACGCCGATCCACACAAGCTCCCTATCAGCGGGTGCGGGGAAGGCGCACATTAGTCCCAGGCACATGATCAAGTCCTCATTCCGCCTGACACACGTGTGCCATACATCGACTCCACCGTTCACCAGGGTTCCAGCCTGGAGGGAACATTGTCGACTTGGTTGTTTCACTGGAGGCAATGGAAATGTTTCGTCCTGAAAGACTTGGTCGCAGCCGATACCTGTGGAAGGCTTGGTTTTGGAGCGTTTATCATCGCTCTCGAGAGCCTCTCAATGTCTGTTCGGAGCATCAGTCAGGCCCGGACGGGTGTCTGATTCAAGCTCCAGGTGGCCGAGAGACTAAGAATAGGCCCGCACCCTAGCGAGAAGCCGCCCCATGTACAGGGATTACTGGACTGCCTGTTGACTCAGTTGCATCATTACTTGTAGAAGGCGCGCCAGTTCCCAGGTAAGACGCCCAAGTGAATGAGTTTCCTGAGACCATTTTCTTCCTATGGTGACTACACATCACTACTTTATTTGAATGCTATGGCTAACTCTGATGTATGCTCAGCTCTAAAATGTGAAGACCAGCTTTCGCTTTGTACCTTAGATAAGATGGATATGCTCACTGGAAAGTTCAGCGCTGGAGTTAGCCACTCGGTAAACACCTTCAACACAAAGAGACCTGTGGCGATACACCGTCTTACTGTCGTTGGCCTGACCATAAGATGGTCTCAGCAAACTAGACGGCAGGATATGCAGGGTATCAAGGTATTCACCACCAATCCCCTCCAGTGAGGGCCATTGCAAGACAATGCAGCAATCACGCATGCATGCATGTCTTACCCCTGGGTACATAAGTACAATTCTCTAACCAGACATCTGGCACGAGACTCCTCCAGAGGATACATGTATTGGGGAAGTGAATATAAAATATACTTGCGTCCGGATAGGTGTTATCATGGCAATGCCATTTTCTAGATTGGCGCAGGCAGAAGATTAGCTTTGGGAGAGAGTGGGACAATTTCCTGAGAGGTTTGAGTTAAAGCATTGCATCTCTGAGCTGATTGAATCATATTATATGTTATTGTGCAAGAGGGAACTTTACTGATCCTTATCCTTACCTCCGTACAGCCTCCTGTGCACTGAGGGAATCAGACAAGTGTTTTGGGCTCTTCTAATACTCATCTTGAGTGAATAAAAAAGACACTGGAAATATTCAGTCAATAGGAGTGAATGTCCATCTCCCCATGGCCTACAGCGAGCTTTTCCCAACTCGAGCGCTCCCCTGATTTAATTCATTCATTGCTTTCTCAATCGTATTCAGCTCTATGCTCAAGCGCTTATTAGTGACGCGCGGGCGATAAGGGCGCCATATCTTAGCGAAGAAGCATCCACCACAGGTGGGGGAGCTTCAAGGCAGGCAACCTGCAAGCTTGCATAGGATACTACCCAAGCCACATCCTACCCTGAGGCTGAGCCTTTTCGATATTCAGATCGCGAGTCTTGTGTGCAGATTGCATAGAACAGTAGAGAAGGCCTGGTTGCTGTTCTCGAGTAACTTCCTTGTGTTTTCTGGCCATCGATTTGGTACGACCAGCCGCCCGAATCCCCGACTCGACCCAATCTTACCCTTCAACGGCCCTGAGCCGACTTTCCATGCTCCAAGAACTTGGCTGCAGCCTAGACCCTCGAAGGGTACTGGGATCTTCTGCATGAAGCACAAATATCCGTAAAGGGAGGTGGAATCGGGTAGCCGCGCATCCTGTGACGCCGCGATCACTTCACAATGGCGACCCGACCAAGTCGATACCGGTCCTCGACCTCCGCCTCGAACCCTCCAAAGACCACAAAAGCGGCCGAGGTCCTCCAAGGTCTCTTGGACAACCTCTCTTCTCATATTCGAACGCGCGGAGTCTCCGGCTATCCCGACACGCAGGCCCTTATGAAATATGCTCGGCAACTGCACCAGCATCTGGCCGCGTCGACCCCCCCCAGTCCCTCCCAGGACGACTTCAGACATTTACACGGCTACCAACACATCCTAGACCTCCTGAGATCATTCTCCGGGTACTACAATCCCTCGAAGCGTACACAGACAGAAAAGAAGGCCCTATTTGAGCTCCTGCATATTGCACTAGCTGTCTTGTCTGCCACATTTCGCGGACATCAAGGAAATAGGCGCTACTTTCGCCATCGGGTCGAGGGCGGAGGATGGGAGGCTCTTGAACAGATAATTGCAAGCATTGGGCTGGGTGGTAGTGACTCGGATCTATACTCCAACTGTCAGCTTTTTGGCAAGCTGCTGTCGTTCGCACTTGACGACCAGCGGCTAGATGAGCTGTGCCAGTCCGTTGCTTCTGCACAGGCGGCCCGCGCAGGAGCAGGCAAATCCGAGGACGATGAAGACGGTGCCGCCAAAGGGGATGCATCCTTACAAAAGGACGCAGAGATGGCCTTTGTTGAGACCGAATTACACAACATTATTGGACCCAAGACGGTCCTCCAGAACGCAGAGATCATGCGTACCGTCGTCGGCTTCTGGGAATCCATTCCCCGGCAAAAGGAGAAAGATCCTGATATAACGTCCTTCGTCGTTGTCACAGCCCTATCGCTTGTCGTTTCGTCGTCGTTTGCTAACCTGGCGGCCTTGCACACCACTGGTGTCTTGTCGAGATTCTTACGTCTCTACTTTGGCCAAGGTATTCAACTCGGTGACCTTGAGAGGGAAAAAGTGCTGGCGCTTTGCAAATCCATGATGAGCCTCGGTGTCAACAGGCTAGTTGATGCGCAATTCCTTCTCTCGAACCAGGACCCTGCAGCATCTGAGTTCTCCCTTGCCATGGCCGAGAAGCACTGCAACCCGTCCTTCGTTCAGTTCGACCTGTCACTTCATGGGCATTCGTCAATCGAGTTGCCAAACATAGGACGCTCATTCCCTCCCCTCTCCTCTGCCGGCTACACCTTCACGGCATGGCTCCGCGTGGATAACTTTGATCCAAACTCCCACACTACCATCTTCGGCGTCTTTGACTCGACGCAAACCTGCTTCTTGCTGGCCTATCTCGAACGAGACACCCACAACTTCATTCTGCAGACATCTGTGACTTCTCAACGGCCAAGTGTTCGCTTCAAGTCTGTCAAGTTTAAGCCAAACCAGTGGTATCATGTTGCCATCGTACATCGGCGACCCAAGACAATGATTGCCAGCAAGGCCTCGCTCTACGTCAACGGAGAGTTTGCAGAGCAGCTGCGGTCCTCATACCCATCTCAACCGCCCCTGGCCAGCGGCAGCACCGATAGCTTTGCTTCGTTCGCATCCAATGCCCAAAAGACAGCTCAGGTCCAAGCTTTCCTTGGAACCCCACGAGATCTGTCGACCAGGGTTGGCCCGGGCTTGATATTCTCAAAATGGTCACTAGCAACAGCACACCTTTTTGAGGACACTTTGAGCGACGACTTTATCGCTGTACATTACCGCCTTGGGCCTCGGTATCAAGGGAATTTCCAGGACCGTCTGGGCAGCTTTCAAACCTATGAAGCATCTGCAGCCTTGAGTCGTCGCAATGAGATGCTCCATCCCGGGAAGGAAGAGAACTCTGATATCCTAAGAGCAATCAGAGACAAAGCAAGCGTGATCTTGCCAGAGCAAAAGGTACTGATGGGTACGATCCCTGGGGCTATGTTTCGGACAGATGGCCAATTCCTGGAATCTCTTCTCTTCAGATCCCTTTCTAGGAATGCGGCCAGCAATCTTCTCTCGTTGACCGCTAAGACTGGGACGGCGATAGCGATCAACTCCGCTATACCCTGTGTCAACGATGCTCTTGTTAGGGCCCATGGCGTGTCAATCCTGGCAGGAGATCCGGTCCTTGCTACACCATACAACTTTGATGACAATCTGTGGCGACTTGGAGGCTTCACGCCTGTTGCCCTCAAGTTGGTGGAGAGGACTACAAATTCTGATGATCTCCTACGCTCGGTTGAGTTTATGTTTCTCTGCATAAATCAGAGTTGGCGTAATAGCGAAGCGATGGAGCGGGATAATGGCTATGCTATCTTGGCGATGCTCCTGCGAGCCAAGTTAGGATACCCTGGCTCTGGCCCTGACAATACTGGCTGGCGGTTGACACTAACCAGTGAGGAGCGAGATCGTCTGAGTTTCCAACTTCTCAGCCTCGTTCTGGCGTTTGTCGGATACAGACATGCCGACAATCTCGAGTCGTTCATTGTCAACCCTCTGGCCTACCGTATTCTGCTCATCGACTTTGATACGTGGCGAAAGGCAGCGCGTCTTACGCAGGAGCTATACTACAAGCAATTCTTGACATTTGCGGTCACGAGCAAGCACCACCAGTTCAACAACAGGCGTCTTGTCAGAATGCGTAGGTACCCCCTTCTTTTGATCGTCATATTTTCAAAACTAACGCGTTTCCATCCAGGTGTAACGAAACGACTCTTAGACGCAGTCAAGGGCGAATCGATCTCGGAGGAGGTCTTGCCTCACTTTCTTTCCGCGTTTGAAACACTCATCCGGTGCAACTATAATGCAGAGGTTCACCGGTCCCTGGCTCTGTTCATCACATACGCGCTCCATACTCAGCCAACTTCTCTCCCGAGAACCCCAAAGCCGCTTTCAGCGCTCAGTCGGTCAAGCACGCCGAAGCCACTTCTCGACACTAATGGATCCGTCAGCGCAAACAACAGTAAAATCCTGAATAAGAGACAGCTCGCCGTCCGAATCCTTGGCATGTATACAAGAATGCTGTGCGAGAAAGGGAACTTGACCGACATTCGCAAATTTGCCAAGACCGTAACAAACAAGGTCAGTCACTCCTTGCAAACTGGACCCAAAAGGGGGACTAACATAATGATAGTGGTTGCTTTATCTGCTCGCGGAAAATGACCCTGAGATTGTCGTCAACGGCTGCAAGATCCTTGCAAGACTTTTGGTCTCGCATGGTGCCGGATACGTCGCAAAGTTTGCCACTAAGACTGGCGGCTTCACCATCATGGCCCATCGATTAAGAAATTGGTGGGACATCCCGACACTCTGGCCGATCTGCTTGTGCATACTATTCGGTAAAGATGTTGCCGAAGTGGACTTTGACAAGCCCTTCGATTTGACCAATCTTGCGGCCATCTCTTCTAAAGGCCGAATCGTATATCCAGAGGCGCTGCCAGTCCTCATTTCGATGCTCCAGCACGGCCTGAGAGACGTTTTGAGATACCAAGATGATCCCGACTCTCCTGCCCGCCCTTCAAGTGGTGCTAGAAGCCCTACGGCACAGGTCGATTTGCTTGATAGCCGACCCCGAGACAGGTCTATGTCTTTAGCAGAAGAGCTCGCGCTGAGACGTACGTAACTTGCCTCCCTCCAAGCCGAATACTTCGCTAACCGATAGACAGAGTCGAACAAGGCAGACAAGGACAGAATCAGTAGCCATGCGACTGTTCTGCAAACTATGGTCCGGTTTCTAGCTGACCTCTACACACGGTCTTCCACCTTCAGAGATTTCGCTTTAAGCTCTGAATACGTCCGACTGCTGCTTACTGCTCTTTACCCGGTAATCGTTAGCACTGATGCTGTTTCTCCTGAAACCGAGTTAAACTCGAAGGACTCGGCCTTGACGTTCGAGGGTGGCGATGTTCTCATAAGACCTGTACCCGGTTCGGCGCTCCCTGCCCCCATTGTGCGTACGGCTAGCGCCTCGTCAACAGAGTCCGCGGTCTCCCTCGGGGTGCAACCAACGCGAGGCACGCCGCTTCGGAAAGCCTCGTCCTTCATTCTGTTGAGTGCCCAAAAGTCCCCTCCACCACAGAGTGCTGCACGATTCAGTCATGTCATGTCTCCGAAGAAACAAGTTGCTACACAACAAGTGAGCAATGTTGTTCTTGAGGGGCTGCTGGATCTGGTCATCAAAGTCTTCGCAGACCAAGTCATGGTCCGAAAAGAATTCTCTGGATTTGGATTATTCTTGAAAGTCCCACCCGGGTTCCAGGAGCACCAGGCTTACTTCGAGTCGTATGTCTTGCGGAACACAGTCGAGCAGTTAGGCGAACTTGTCCGGTCGAATCAGAAGGTCCTTTGCGAACCAAGGATCCTCACCAATATGGCACGGTTAAGTGTTCATGTGCTCGAAGCAACCTTTGAGGGGTGGTTCATGAATGGGGCTCTGACAATGTTGGACTTTACTGGCATGCTGCTCGAGTATCTTCAGCGCCCAGAAGTCTCCTCGATGAAGAGCGTGCGTCTGTGCATGCCAGCAGTGGGCACTCTCCGACTTTGCTTCCTCAAGGTAGCTCTGCTTCTCCTCTCGGACATCGACGATGCTCAGATATCAGACGCAGACGCGCAATCGGCACTGGAAAAACTGTTCTACTGGCAAACTGTGTTATTGAACTGCCTGTCGACTGAAGATGAGTACATGAAGCTCTTTTGGTATCAGCTCTATGCCAAACTGCTGGACAAGAGAGAACCTATACGTCTTGTTGCCGCCAGCATTTGGCGTATTATGCTGGTGCAGAAGCCACAGGAGTCAGCCATCACTTTCCGGCAGTGCTCGAATTCCGACCAGGGCCAGTTGACGAAGGGGTTCAGCAAACTGACTGAAGTTGATGACGGCGCATTTGTTGAGTGGGTCGATCAGCATAGGCCTTCGCTCGACACCATTTTCTTCGGAGGCATGTCCAAAACCTGGGAGGATTTCGTGGGTGTCGAGAACCAACGTACATCTGCAACAGCGCGATCTCGAGTTGCGAATCGAAAAGAGAAACTGAAGCAATGGCGTGCCGAGGGGCGGGAGAAAGAGAACGTGCTCTTGCGGCATGAAATGGCCAACAGCTCTTGGATGAAGAGCATCTACATGACTGAGCATTTCAGATACCAGCGCACGCTCCAAGACCAACAAGACGATCTGACCTTCCTCATCTCCAACTTTAGGAGGATGGAGAGGGACTTGAAACGACCCGGTGCAGTGTTTGCAGAGCCCTCCGTTATTAAATGGAAGCTGGATAGGACTGAGGGGAGAAACCGGATGCGGCGCCGGCTGCTTCCAGTCTACTCTACACAGCAACAAGACTATCTACCGAAGCGACGAGCGACTGATTCTACACCTTCCAGCATCCCCTTGCGTCTGAATACTTCGGCCGGGGAGGCTGCGACGGGCCAGAGTCTCAGTGCAACCCCGATCAACAATGATGGGCCTCCGGGTGACAACCTAGGTCGGAATGCACTCGTCTCCGCTCCAACAGAGGACGAGGTCGCGGACTCGGCATCAGAGTCAGGTGTGGGACCAGAAGAAGATTTTGAGCTTGTGGAGGACCCGAACGACGCGGAAGGCGATGACGCCTTTGAGGACAAGAACAGAAAGGTCATGCGGAGACTTGAGCACGGCGATGCAGTCCAGCATGTTTACAACATCTCTCGGATCATTGGCCTTGATGCCTGCGAAGGAATCCTCATCATCGGAAAAGATGATCTTTATATCATGGACAATGTGTTCCAGAGGGCAGATGGCGAGATCGTGAACGTGTGGCAGGCACCAGTTGAGGAACGGGATCCATTCTCTCAGATTATCACTGGCACCAAGCCTGGCGACAAGGAGAAGCGCCCGACACTTAAAGCCAGCGATCAGGAGTCGCGCAATTGGAAGTGGTCGGATGTGATCAGCATTTCGAAGCGGCGCTTCCTCTTCCGTGATGTGGCCATCGAGATCTTCTTCCGTGATGGCCGGAGCTACCTCCTGACTGCGCTCAACCCTACGAAACGTGACGAGGTCTTTGGCAAACTCATGCTCAAGACGCCGCACACCACCGGGCCAAATACACTGCCCAATCCTGAGGACGCTTGGCGGCTCGAGGCCCTCAAAGTTTTCGAGGAGGCACCCCAGACATTCGGATCCAAGTTCGGGTCCATCTTCAACTCCTCACCATGGAACCCGATCATGAGAAGGTGGCAAAAGGGAGAGATCTCCAACTTCCACTACCTCATGTTGGTGAACACGATGGCAGGCCGAACTTTCAATGACCTCACACAGTATCCTGTGTTCCCTTGGGTACTGGCTGACTATATGAGCGACGAGCTCGATCTGGACGATCCTTTGACCTTCCGAGACTTGAGCAAGCCTATGGGTGCACAGAGCGGAAGTCGGCAGAGCGATTTTATGATGCGGTACAACAGTCTTGCCGAGATTGGCCAGACTCCCTTTCACTATGGCACCCACTACTCGTCTGCCATGGTCGTCTCTTCCTACTTGATTCGGTTGCCACCTTTTGTCGATTCATACCTGCTGCTCCAGGGTGGCCACTTTGACCACCCAGACCGACTCTTCTTCTCGATTGAGGGAGCCTGGAAATCTGCCTCGCGGGACAACGGCTCCGACGTCCGCGAGCTGATCCCGGAGTTCTACTGCCTTCCCGAGTTCTTGACAAATATCAACGGGTACGATTTCGGGCTGCGCCAGGGCGGCAATAAAGTTGACAACGTGATCCTCCCGCCCTGGGCCAAGGGTGATCCGAAGATCTTCATAGAAAAGCATCGCCAGGCGCTCGAGAGTCCGTACGTCACGCAGAACCTCCACCACTGGATCGACCTTGTCTTCGGCTACAAGCAGCGGGGTGATGCCGCCGTGGAGAATCTCAACGTCTTCCATAACCTGTCTTATCACGGGGCGATCGATCTAGATAATATCACTGATCCTCAGGAGCGAGCGATTGTCACCGGCATCATTCACAACTTTGGCCAAACGCCTCATCAGGTCTTCTCAAAGCCTCATCCTGCCCGCGATCCCGACCAGGGAAATGCTAAGCGGCTAGATACATCGGTCGGCTCGTTGACGAAGCTTCCGTATCCACTACTAGAGAGTCACGAGAAAGTCGCGTCTTTGATCTACACGCCCAAGATCGATCGACTGCTATGCGCCTCTCCGTTCAGGGTCAACCTTCCGCCTTACTACGACAAATTCCTGGAATGGGGCTACGCCGACAACAGCATCCGGTTCTACTTTAGCGACAACAGGAAGCCTGCTGGCCTGTTTGAAAACCTTCATATCGGCCAGATCTCCTCTCTGACCTTTGCGGACTCCAAGACTTTGATCACCGCGGGCGAAGATTGTGTCGTCACTGTGCACTCTGTGCAGTCGGTGTCTGGAAAACCGGTTGAATTGCAGCAACGCTCGTCGCTCTTCGGGCACAAGTCGCCCGTCACGACCATGGCAGTGTCCAAGGCCTTCAGCACTTTTCTGACCGCGAGTGAGGACGGAGGCGTCTTCCTCTGGGATCTCAACCGCCTCGAGTTCATCCGCAAACTGCCCATCTCGAGAGCGGTGGAGTGCGCCCGCATCAACGATGTCACGGGCGACATCATCCTGTGCTCCGGCCCCAACGTGCTCCTCTTCACACTGAATGGAGAGCTGCTCGTGGACCAGAACGTCTGTGGCGCGGAGAGCCCCGATGACTTTGTCCAGTCGTGCTCGTTCTACGAGGGTGCCGGCAATGAGTGGCTGGAGAATTGCCTGGTCTTCACCGGCCACCGCAGGGGGCGGGTGAATGTCTGGCGCAAGACGGCGGGGAAGAACGGGCGCTGGGCGCTCGAGTTCCTCCGCAGGCTCGATCACATCGATCCCAAGTCCGAGTCTGGAGCGAATGTTGACGCCGCTATCACATGCATTACCCCTATGCCTCAGCTAGTCTATACTGGGGATGAAGACGGGCGTGTGGTACGTGAAGATACCCCCTTTGACATAACATCTCTGTGATCTTGACGCTAATTTTGACTCTTGCAGTATGAATGGAACTTGATTCCTCGAGAACGGTAGACATGGGATTGATTCTTTTCATGGTGAGAGCCTTCGCCGTGCTGCATTTCATGGCGTTCATGCTAGGAATTCCGTTTGGGGATTCATCCCAGGGGTCGGGTCTGGCCTAGGATTAGAATAAAGGGAAAACAAATCTTGGGACCCTGGATTTGTTCGTGGAGCCTGCCCAACACATTGACGTGACCCATAATGATGGACAAGGTGCATCGTCTGACTTGGTGATTTGCTTGATTTGAGGTTATATGACACGGAGGCTCTATGCCTCTGGTAATCTGTAGAATGTCCCCAACGCCATCCTATGTACAATGGATACACATGCACTTGCGCTCCATCGCTCGCGCTCTTGCTGCAGCTCCAAGGCCGGGTCAGACCTGGGCATGTTCTGTTCTTGCTCATCTCCTCGGTCCCCAATTCCTCATCTCGAATCAGTCATCATAGCCGGTGAGCTTCTTCCTCGGCGTGGTCGGGACTATGTAAATCACATCATGGTCAGTACACTACAGCACACCTTCAACGGGGCAAAGGGACGCCCCGTCCTCCTCCTGTCGGGTCGGGCATACCAGGGTAGGTCAGCGGGACGGGCGGCGCATCCTCGTCTCCGATCATTTTCCTGAAGGGCGGGACGGTGGCCAGGACGACGGGACCGGCGGCTCCGACGATGACGGACCAGAAGTAGGCAGGGCGCTCGCGGGCTGCCCAGCGGCAGTATCGGATGGGCGCAGCCCAGAAGCGTGGCGTCACGGCGGACATTGTTCCTGTCTGTTACGAACGGAGAAGAAGATCAGTTAGACAGAGGCGTCCCGAGATGCAATTGGTGATGGGCTCATTGTGGCTGGCGCTCCGACTTTCACAGGACTGCATTGGCTGAGGAGGCTTACCTGTAGATCAAAACTCGCAAGAGCAGAGACAATTGAGCTGAAGCCCTCGAGGATTGAAGGTATCGCAAAGCTACGTAGCTATGGGATGTTCGCTCGGCTCAAGGTGGGAATCAATCAATCAGAGGGCATCCAATTGGCCCGGGCTTGAAAAGAGGTCGGATTAACCAAGCCGGAACAATCCACGCCTGGACTGCACTGAACGTGGACGCTGGAGGCTGCCCATGGTGGGACCTACAGCGCATCTCGGATTATCTACAGTGGTGCGTCTTAGCGCTTCGAGACCCCTGCAACATGGAAGCCGCGCCCCACTCTTAATGATACGCGGCTTGGCAATGGTCTACGTATCCCTAACACGCTGCTGAGAGCTGTCACTTTTATGTGCAAGGTGGTGGCCGAGTAAGAGCTTCCCTGGATTGCGTTTTCAAAGAGCGAAGCAAGGAATTGCCATCGCGACAGCACCCTCCGACCACATTTGGGCAGACTCATTGACTTGAGACTCCTGAAAGTGTGAATTCCTGCCAATATGAAGTCGCTCATTTCCTTTCTCCTGCTGCTCCTGGCAGCTGTCGCCCAGGCCGTGAGCTCCACTGGTGGCCGCTTGCTGGCTGTCCTCGATGATGTGGCAGACAAGGCCAGCTACTCCAAGTTTCTGGGAAGCCTGGAAGGTCGGTCTCGCCGGGCGCCTCTATCGATTTCTAGGCCATCGAAATACTAATATTTTTTCCAAATCACCAGGCCGAGGCTTTACCATCACTTACGAGACCCCCAAGAGCGAGTCGTTATCGCTGTTCCACCTGGGCGAGAGGGCATACGACCATGTCATTCTCTTCCCGATCAAGACCAAGGGTTGGTGGCATACACGCCCAATCTGATAAATACGAAGCTGGAAACTAACAGAGGGAATGCACTGCAGGCCTAGGACCCAACCTGAGCCCGAACCTGCTCGTCAACTTCGTCAACGCCAAGGGCAACATCCTCGTCGCCCTCTCCTCAGAGATCACGACCTCGACCTCCATCGTCGGCCTCCTGAACGAGCTCGACATCTCCCTTCCCGCCGACCGCACCGGCCTCGTGGTCGACCACTTCAACTACGACGCCGCCTCGGCCGCGGACAAGCACGACGTCGTCCTGGTCCCCGCGCAGGGCCCGCTCCGCCCGGGCCTCCGCGACCTCTTCACCGGCCCGGGCGGCGACAAGCTGCCGCTCGCCTTCCCGCGCGGCGTAGGCCAGGTCCTCGGCGCCGGCGCCCTCCTGTCCCCCGTCGTGCGCGCGCCGCACACGGCCTACAGCTACAACCCCAAGGAGCAGGCCGAGAGCGTGAGCGACGACCTCTTCGCCTCGGGCGCCCAGCTCAGCCTCGTCTCGGCCTTCCAGGCCCGCAACTCTGCGCGCGTCGCCGTCGTCGGCTCGGCCGAGATGCTGAGCGATAAGTGGCTCGGCGCCAAGGTCAAGAGGGCCGGCGAGAAGAAGGAGGTCGCCACGGCCAACGACGAGTTCGCCAAGCGCATCAGCGGCTGGGCCTTCCAGGAGATTGGCGTCCTGCGCGTCAACTGGATCGAGCACCACCTCAATGAGGCTGGGGCCGTCAACGCCTCCAACCCCAAGATCTACCGGATCAAGAACGATGTGGTATGTCTTTTTGTCTCTTGTCCTCCTTCTTAACCGCAAGACACAGCAGCAGACTGACTGATTGACCCTCTCTTACTTAGATCTACTCCATCTCCGTCTCCGAGTACGTCTGGGACAAGTGGACCCCCTACACCGTCCCCGCCGGCGACGAGCTTCAGCTCGAGTTCTCGATGCTCTCGCCCTTCCACCGGCTCAACCTGAGCCCCGTGCCGGCCGAGGCCACGGCCGACGCCAGCGTCTACCGCGTCGCCTTCAAGCTGCCCGACCAGCACGGCATCTTCAACTTCATGGTCAACTACAAGCGGCCCTTCCTGTCCAACGTCGAGGAGAAGGTCACCGTCTCGGTCCGCCACATGGCCCACAACGAGTGGCCGCGCTCCTTTGTCATCTCGGGCGCCTGGCCCTGGATCGCGGGCATCGGCGTCACCGTCACGGGCTGGCTGGCCTTCTGCGCGCTGTGGATGTTCTCGCAGCCCGTCGGCAAGGCGGCGGCGGTGAAGAAGACCCAGTAGAGTTGTGGCTACAGGAAGGGGCGTGGAGGAAATGTGTGGGAGTGAACTCCGATATGAAAAGATGAGATCTTCTTGCTATGAGAGGGACAATCCCTCCGTGGCGGATCTGCCAGCAATCGTGTATATTGCGTGTCATAGATACCTAACAAAAACGAGGAACGGTCATAGAAATGGACTAGATGGGACAAAAGTCTCAGGAATCTACGAGTTTTGCCTTTTGACTGGTTGATAGAAACATTACGAACAACTTTGATGAGCCAAAAACGTGTGGGATTCGGTAATTGATATATTTAAACCCCTAGTAATATTGGTCCGTTTCCTCGGTTAGGTTGGATCTGCTCACTTGAGCCTCCTAGTAGGATCGAGTCGAGATAGAACAACAACAAACATTCAGCGGCCCTCAGATTAGCTCTCTTGTGTTCTCACTGACAACTCGCTATCCACACGAGGTAGATGCTGCTGCCTGCAAATTTGGCTTTTTGGACTCGTTGTCATCACCGGGCTGTGTTTTGTTGTTCCACCATCGATCCAACCAGACGCGCAACTGAGACCACAAAGCCCACCACCGTGGGAAACTCCGGCACAGCTCGACCATACTCCAACTCTCCCGACGATAGGGCTCCGATTGAAAACTATGATTGAAAGCCGTCATTGGCCTCCAGCAACCTGAAAGAAGACGAGCCGCATCCACCCTCGAAGCCGGAGCCAGGTGGGAAGGAAGGGTTGCTTCAGAGAGGGTGTGGTGACCTCTGGTGAAATAAGCACGAAAAGGTTATCGTCATTGCCTCGAACGAGAGTGGAGGAGATGGGCAGCGAGCTGAGGGAAGAGGGTGATGGGACGGGGGACAACTCGGTACTGTGCTGTGACTGGCGGTGATGGGGAGAAAAGGTAGGTTCTGCTTGACGCGCACGGGCGTCAGAGGCAAGAGGTTTGCTCAGATCTCTGTTCTTTATATTGTTCTCATGTCGGCGCGTTCTGGAGAGGCCGCTTGCCGATCAAGAGTATCTGTATAAGTTGATCATCATCGCGCGGGATCTTGGGTGAGGAAGCGAGTGCATTGGGGAGGTCAATACACCTTTTCACTGATGTGGTTCCAGGTGCTGCCATAGGTAGTTGAGCAACCGAGGAGGTAATTCCGACACTGGCTGGTAATGTCGAGGAAGGAGGCAGTCACGCATTTCTTCCCCTCGAGAAAGAACGCAGGTCGGCAGCCCCTGACAGACGAGTTGGAGACAGCTCACTCACCAAACAAACAAACCTTTCGGAGACGATGGTATCGTAGCTGCGTAGTGCAGAGTGAATGGCAACAACCGTTCGTGGCAGTATGACTTGAGCAATATTCGTTCTCTCAAAGTCGAATTACATCTCTCGGTAGGAGGTCCTGGTAAGAAAGCTGTATCGATACTCGTTCAGAGGAGATGATGAATGAGGCTGCATCACCTCCAGGGGAAGAGGTACATTAATAGTGGGGCTGTATTCAACAACTCCCCTACCATTGGCCAGCGATTACTTCAATGGCGCGACCAGCACCAACTTACTCCACAAGGCTGAAAGTGTTCTTCTCCTACCCATCGCAACCTCGTTCCGTGTCAAAGTCCAACCAACGCCCAGCAGACTTGCTCTACTCCACGAGTGCTCAACCCATTCGCAAGCCGCGATACCCTCCGATCGCACACCGGCAAAATGGTACGCCAGACACAACTCCTCCCTCAACCCCAGCCCGGACCCCGTATCCCACCCGCCCGTTGCTAACCTGCCATGTTTCTCCCCTCCGCAGGCGCGAAACTCGGAAAAGGCCCAGTCGATGCTCTTCCGCTTCCGCGAGGCCCAGGCCGCGGATCTGGGCATCATCGACGCCGGCCGCTCCCGCCGGCCCCGCGGCATCACGGAGCAGGACTCGGTGCCCAACTGCGAGCGGTGGCGGGGCCAGGTCCTGAAGGAGATCTCGCGCAAGGTGTCCAAGATCCAGGACCCGGCCCTCAGCGACTACCAGGTCCGCGACCTCAACGACGAGATCAACAAGCTCATGCGCGAGAAGCACATGTGGGAGGTCCAGATCCGCAACCTCGGCGGGCCCAACTTCATGCGCGGCGGCGCGCGGATGTACGACGAGAGCGGGCGCGAGATCCCCGGCGGCGGCGGCGGGAAGGGATACAAGTACGTTATATATTGTTGTTACTTCCACCTCTCTCTGCTTGTTCCGCTTTACCCGCATTCGCTGGGATGCGCCCCTTTCTTCCTTCCTACAGACTGCTGACCTTTACCTTGCTGCTTACCCTACAGATACTTCGGCCGTGCCCGCGAACTACCAGGCGTCAAGGAGCTCTTCGAGGCGGCGGCAAAGTCGCGGTCGGAAGAGAAGCCGCTCGAGGCGCGCGACGACCTGCGCAAGCAGGTCAACGCCGCCTACTACGGCTACAGCCCCGACGAGGAGGACGACGCGCTGCTGGCCTACGAGCTCGCCAAGGAGAAGGAGGCGGCGGACAACCTCGGCTCGAGCGCCGCCGGCAGGGAACCGCCGCCCGGCTGGGAGCCGCTGCCCGGCGACGTGGGCGACGGCGGGGCGTGGGAGCTGCCGACGGTGGAGGAGGTGCAGCAGGAGCTGATCGAGAGGAGGAAACGGAGGTTGCTGGACCAGTTCTAAGCGTGTAGAGGGGAGTCGTGCGAGCATGGGTAGGCGTTTTACGGCGCAGTTTCGTTCTGTTTTCGCGGGATCTGGTTAGGTTTCACTTCCGCATATCGTGCACCCCCCCAACCCTTCGACACATGATGCTCAGGTTGGAAAAGAAATCACTAGAAAAGGGGGCAGATGGGCCATGGCAGGTCGCTATATCATCAAACAGGCCAGGCGGAAAGTCATGAAAAATAAACTCTTATATGTGTCATATATAGGTATGTATAAAATCGTTATGTGCTGATCATCTCTGGACCTCATTTTTGCATATCCCCACATGCATCCTAGCACTTCCAGTTGTCCTTGATCCACCCCGCCATCGCCTCCGTGAACGAGCCTTCCATATACCTCGCCACGTCCTTCTCGCTGTAGTCACCGCCGCTAAACTTGAGCGCCAGGACGACCCAGGGAGTGATGAAGTCGCCAAAGACGACGTCCACCTTCTCCGGCTCCTCGCCGCCCTCGGGGAAATCAATCTCGGCCTGGATGCAGTTGGGCACGTTGTAGAAGCTGATGGCCTCGTGCTCCGCGTCGTCGCCGTCGTCGCCGATATCGTCCTCGGTGGTGTAGCCGCTGACCAGCTTCGGCCTCTTGGCATCGTCGTCGTCGCCGAGCGGCTTTTGTTCGGTGGACTCCAGGAGCATGCCCTTGCCCTCACCATGGCCGGAGGCCACTCGTGGCCCTTTCCTATACCACTGCTCTGGGCTCGTCAGGAACCGCGAGTCGAGCCCGCTGCCCTCGAAGATGGGACCTCCCGCGTTGAGGATGGTGATGACCTTCTTGGCGATGAAGTAAGGCACGTCAGGCACGTAGTTCAGACCGCTGGTGAATGGCGAGATGATGTACGTCGTGTCCACGGTGAAGGGCCCCTCGAAGATGTCGAAGCGGATGGTGCCAGTGTTGAGGATGGAAAGGCGCGGCACGTGTTTGCGCGTCTTGTTGACCGTGACGTCCGGCAATACCTGCGTCTCCAGCCAGGTGTAGATGCTCTCGTTGCTCGGGAACGGCGCCCTGGACATCCAGTAGTCCTGCGGCGCACAGCCGTATGTCTTGTCCAGGTCCAGGGCTTTGCGAGCCTTGGCAATCATGTCGGTCACCTTGCGGCCGTGGTCGGTCGGGAAGGTCGTCTCGTTGAGACCGGTGTGGTGGTACAGGCCGAGGAGGTTGTTGTCAATGTATCTCCTCTGGAATTTGACCGACGCCTGAGTCGAGACGTCACCTCCCTTCTTGCTCTTCTTGTCGATGCCGTCGACCGACATCCACCCTATCGTCTCAAAGTAGCGCCCGCTGGCCATGGCAAACGCCTTTGCGTCATATTTGGTCGCATCGCGGACGTGGGCATGGCCGCCGAAGAAGGCGATGGGCGTGAACCAGTTCTGGGTCCTGATCGCATCGAAGATGGCTTTGAACTCGTCCATCTGAACGCCCACGTGGCCGATCACGACGAATATGTCTGGCTTCTCCCGTATCGCCTGCTGGAACCAGTCCTCCTTGACTACGCCCTCGACTGGCTTCACCACGGTGTTGTTCGCGTTACCCGTGAAGTCGAACAGGAAGCCAAAGGCCACGATAGTAATATTCTGGTTCTTGGTCTTGAACTTGGTGTACCTCTGTGCCATGGGCACCTGCTTGCCCGTGTTCGGCTCGATATAGTCCAAGTTTGACGCGATGTACTTGCCACCGAAGTTGGGCACCGTCTGGTCGCGCTCGGCATCGGCGGTATGTCTGTGGTAGAGCTCGTGGTTGCCCGTGCAGATGATGTCGATATCCTGCTCCTTGAAGATGTCGTAGGTATATTTGCCCTTTGGGCTCGATGAATCGTACAGCCCATTCCCCTCTACCCGATCGCCCGTGTCGACCAGAAGCAGATCCCGGCCCTCGTCATCCGCGCGCTTCCGCATGTGCGCGGCGAAGGAGACATAGTCACCCCAGTCGGCAGAGTACTGGGATCTGAACGACGCCGTTGTCAGCAAAGAACCAAGACTTGGCAATGCCGTGTCGAGGAGGCGCACTCACTCTTGCAGATGCCCGCCGTGCCAGCCGTGCGTATCTGTCGTGTGGAGGAAGTTGAGCTGGCCCCATTGCAGGTCCCGCATTGGTGCCGGCACGGGCTCTGCGGCGTTGGGCTGCATCGCCCTCGACAGCGACGCGGCAGCGCCGAGCAAGGCGATTCCCGTTCTCATATCGACCAACAATCACTAGGCAGGAGTATGTGGTGAGAAATATCCTTCTTCAGATTCAAAATAATGATGAAGTGTAGAAGAAATACTAACTTCCCCTCCCCTTTGATAAGAAGATCGTCTCGGTTGTTGTTGATCTCGAGGAGTCACCTGCGAGTTCATCTGATGGGGTGGCATGGGGAAGCTCAAACAAGCGCTAAAAGCTCCCGGGTGACGCAATTTACAGGGCGGATAGCGGCCGCACCAATGGATAAGCTTGCCGCTAGCAGGGGTTGTGGAAGCCTAGCCATCAAGGTTCCAGGGGTAGGAACCGCCCAGACAATTTGCTGGCACCACAGGGCACGCGTGCACTGTACAACTCATGGTCTTCAACGGCTAGAAGTACTTCTTATCAAAGAATGAAGTGTTGGTCGATTCTGTGTGTTTCAAGGTAGCATCGCGTACCCAAGTTAAGTGTCTAACATATAAACTACTCTACTCGATAGGTTGGGCCCGAGGCATCCCAGTTGAAGAGTACTTTCACACCCGACAGAGCATGCCGTCGTGCTCCTTCCAGCGCTCATTGCCCACGCATGGCGTACACCAGAGCACGTCCTGGGGATCAACATCTCGCTTGATTTCGACCAGGCGCCCGTAGTGGTCACCCCAGAACTGGTGCTGCCAGTCGGGCTCCTCGGGGTTGGCCTGCAATACATCTGGATTAGCAGTACATTCAAGCTTAAAGGGAGGCCAGGGACCCTGCAACAGACCTCGTTCATATAAGCCCCCATGTCTGGAGCCAGCTCCCGCATGGGCTCCAGCATGTAGTTTATCTTCTGAAGCGCCTCAGCCTTGGCCGAGGCGTTGAGCGGCTCAAATTCGACACCGAAGGCTAGGGCGTTTTGTGTCAGTGACAGCTGCGCAACACAGTGGACAGTGACACATACTCGAGTGGACGTATGCCTTCCTCCAGGCGGGATTGACCGCGTCTCCGCCACCTCGCGGCTTCGCATCCATGACACCTTTCCCGCTGACCAGGAACGCCGTGGCGGTTCCGCCGCTCGAGAGCCGGTCTAGGGCAGCTGCAAGAGCGGTGACATTGCTGGTGAGAGCCTTCTTGTCCAGCAGCCGGCTCCCGACGTAAGAATCGGTGCCCGTCGTCGACTTGTCGTAGTTGACCGCGTACCAGCCGGAGAAAGAGGTGAAGTTTGCCAAGTTTGGGACGATCGAGAAGCCCGGCCATGTCTCGTTGATGTGCTTGAAGATCGGATTCCACAGCGTGAGAAACTCCGTGGTGTCCTGCGTATCTTGGATACACATGCTGGCGTAGAATCCGGCTACCGAACCACTGCTCGGGTCGTACGGATTGGGGAAGTCTCGCAAGATATATGAGTATCCTGACATCCCCGCGTCTCCGAGGTCTGGAAACTGGCTGACGACATATGCCGCGAGATCAGGGACGCTCTTGGCAGCAAAGGAGTTGGCATCTGTTGCGACGATGATGTCGCCGCAAGCCAGCCGAGGTGACGGAAAGGTCTTCACCGTCACAGAGGTCATGATCGCAAAGGTAGAACCGCCGCCCTTTCATTTCGAGATATCAGTGCTCCGGTCAAGGTCAAGGGTGCAGAGGGTGTCCGACTACTCACCCCTCGCATGGCCCAGAAGAGGTCTTGATGGCTGCACTCATTAATGGTTAGGATCTCGCCTTTTGGCGTCACAACCTCCATCTCGAGGACCTGATCGGTGGCAAGGCCATAGCGGCTGCTGAGCAGGGAGTGGCCGGCTCCGGTGAGATATCCGCCAAGGCTGACCGTCTTTCCTCCTCCGCCGATGACTGTTCGATTGATCGAACCCAGAGCGCCGTACAGTTCGGCCATCGCCGACCCAGCCCCTGCCGTGACCGCCCCGCCATCGATGGTCACTTTGCAGGACTTGGGCTGGAAACCTTCGTGCGTCTGCAAGCCCGTCATGTGATGAGTCCATATCGACAGTGAATTGGGAGCGATGGACCGGCCGATGAAGTCATGGCCACTGGACTTGACGATGAGACGGATATGGTGCTCCCTTGCTAGACGCAGATATTAGACACAGACTGCTCACTCACTTACTTGGTCTCAATGTGCTTACCAAAGTCGACCCCAAGCTTGACATGCTCGGCAGTGGTCGCATTTATGACGAAGACAGGATATCCCTCACCGCTGCACGGATAATGCGGGTCAGGAAGACAGGAGTCATTGCTGTATTGGTTCCAGTCGACGGAGACGGGGTCTGCGTCGTGGAATTCGTAGGAGGTCCAGCCGGCTTGGACGCCTCGGCAGGTTGCGTTGTCGAAGGTGGGCTGTCCGGAATGGCAGACAGCTCCTGGAGGAGACGGTCGCAGCAGTCGTCCCCCAGTTGACTCATTGAGGCTGGCCCAAGTCTCGGTCGAGGGCCAACCTGCGCTGCCCGGCACTGACTTGCAAAGAGGATCGCAGCTGCTCCCGGGGCGAACATCTGCCAGGGACACTCCGGCTGCCAGGAGGGCACAGAGGAAGGCGGAGGGAGACTTATAGACCTGAGATAGGGTGAGCATGGTGTGCTGATATACTTGACTCAAGGAGAAAACCATTGACAAAAGGGCAGGATTGTGCAACTCTGGACTCTTTTGTCTTGGCGGAGGGTGAGGGGACTAACACGAGGCCTTGTCGGGTTGTTTCCCGGCGGCTATTTAAGCACCGATATTAGAGACGACGATGTCCAATGCGAGGAATGCGAGATCGACGTCGAGGGCTGAGTCTTCTCTGAACAAAACCAGATTTCCACAGATCAACGTAATGGCGTTACGACTAGAACGCACAGTATTATACGTTACGTTGTCGGCCTTGGGCTCTGCCTGGGTTGCTCGATTGGGCGATGGGCGAGAAGTGAAGTGTGGTGCTATTGGCCCGAGGCTGCTGTCAATGACCGTATTTCGTAAAGGCAGCCCGCCTCATCGAGTGGAGTACCTCTAGACTCGGGTGGAGAAAGCTTGTTTCTGCTACCTGTAATCCGGTGCAACATCCAACCGTGCGTGCAGACTTGCTGCAGCACAGCGAGAGCTGGTTCACTGTAGATCGGCTCGGGTTATATCTACGGTTAACCGGCTCCCGCGAACCTGCTTAGAGTCCAGATCAAAGAGGAACTGTTCTCATTAGACCTGTGGATCTCTGCCGACGTTCTAAGATGTGGGATAATCCAATACAACCGGCAATGCGTGTAAGAAATCATCCGCTCAATACTTACCCTTAAGTCCAAGAGCAGATCCTCCACACTTTGGGAACAATCCCAGAAAGAGCCAGCAACTGTGCTTGTTGTTGGCTTAGCTCCCGAGTTCTATCCGGCATGAAGGCCGTATCTGCCGGGCTCCACCCGGAAACGTTCTAACATCCACTCTTACACTACACTAAGCACTTGAGACTTCATGTTCAACTCATGCAGCTCATGAGCGCTTCTTCCTGGAGCAAAAATGCATATACTTAAAACGAGACTGAAATAGGTAGAGGAGTGGGTAAAACCAACAGGAAAGCCGTTAAGCCCATCCGCTTCTTTCCACGACCTATCTAGCCACAGTCATGAGCGTACTAGCTGTATACTTTCATAGATACAGTTACTTATCAACAATCAACTATATAGAATCAAGCCAGAGACAGAGCTCTCAATGCTTCAATGTCCAATTAAGAAAGAAAAATACAGCGCCGGTGCCCCGTTCAGGTTAGTGATGGTCAAGTTGACAGGCCGCTACAGAAGTAGTTAAGTAGTTGAACATCCATCAGTTCCATCGGTTTTATGGAGTGAGATAGACTCGCAGGTCCGAGAGCAAGGATACGCATTGTTACCATTGAGCTGCCTCCTAATGAGATCCCGAGAACCACTCTCACCTTCTTGCCAGGCCACCTTGGATGCAAAAGAGTGAACGAGGCGGTGCAAACTCATCACTGTAGTGTCGGCTCCGAACCTTGCTTACAAACTGAATGGAGGTGCCGAGGTTTAAAACTCAAATTCCGAGCAATTGGTTGATCCACAGCCCACACGGCGCCTTGGAGGACCCCGACACCGACTACAGCATGCCTGGGGCCCGCTGAAAACAGCGTATCTGGGCCCCCCAAGCGGCATGATGTAATGAATTGGTCCGCCTGGCTGGAGCTCGATGCGCCAACACCAGCTCTGGTTGCTGTGGATCGACCACTGGGAAAAAAGAGCACGATTCCAAATCTTGACCATTGCGCCGCCCCGCGACCCCCGAGACCGTGTGCCAATTGTGGATGCATCATCGCATTACCAGGTACTTGTACATTACTTATCGCATCATGAGTCGTCGAGTCGTCAACCCTCTTGACGGCTCTTTTTCTTATAAAACCCCATTTCCTCGCCTCCTCTTTGCACTCAAACGCGAGTCGTGATGTCCATCCCCAAATCGCAAATATCTGCGCTGAAATTCACGAGCACAACCGCATCATCTGTAGGTGACATCAGTGCTGTAAGAGGATTGGCTGCACCTGGTGCATGAATGACTGCTGACGATTCTACAAGGTCTCTCGACGTTTACTGGGTGAAACCGTTGCCAAACCTCGCGGGTTTTCATTTACGACAAGGTTCGCATCGCGGAGAAGAGGCTTTCATACAAGGTCTTCGCGTCTGCGTGCACAGCACCTTATCCACGAGAGCGCACCTCATACCCCCCTTGGATCTTCTTTCGCAGGCACCGGCCTAGTCCTTGGCATCGTCACCATCGGCGCATTCTCCTTCTACCACCGACAGCATCTCTACTCCAGCATGTCGTCCAAGCTCATCCCGCAGAACCCATCCGATGTGATGGTCATTCGGGAGATCTCGCCGAATGTAACGACCCTATCCGTCCCTTTCTCTCGCTTCGGCACGATCAAGATTGGCGGCCGAGCCACCATCGGTGAGCAATGATTTCCCCAAATTTAGTGTAGACCCATGTTCTGATGCAGGTTACCCCCCTACAGTGCGGCTCTCATCAGGCGAGCTGGCCGTCTTCTCGCCGGTCGCTTTGACCCCCGAGGTGCGGGAGAAGCTACCGCAACTGGGCTCAACTGTGCGCTACATCATCGCGCCGGACATGGAGCACCATATCTTCATCAGCGAGTGGGTCAAGGCCTTCCCAGAGGCGCGCATCATCGGCCCCACCGGTCTGCCGGAGAAGCGCGCCAAGCAGGACGACGAGAAGGTGGGCAAGGAGGAGTTCTTCAAGGTTTTCGAGGCGTCCAAGAAGCGGGAGACTACGATCGCCCCAGACTTTGATGCCGACTTTGAGTACGAGTTCGTCGACGCCCATCCCAACAAGGAGCTCGTCTTCTTCTACAAGCCCGAGAAGATCCTCATCCAGGCCGATCTCATGTTCAATCTGCCGGCCACCGAGCAATACTCCAAGGTGCCCGAGGCTGAGCGACAGAAGTCCGGCTTTGCGGACAGGCTGTTCCAGAGCCTCCAGAACACCGAAGGGGAGGCCAAGGGCACCAAGAGGATGCTGTGGTATCTCATGAGCCGCTCCGACAGGCCGGGCTTCAACGACAGCGTGCAGAGGATCAACAAGTGGGACTTTGAGACCATCATCCCGTGCCACGGAGAGACCATGATTGGAAACGGTAAACAGCTCTTTGAGAAAATCTTTGAGTGGCATCTGCAGGGCCACAAGTGAGCCCACCATCTCGGCTACCATGTTGAAGGCTAGTGTTTGCGTTTGGTTGGTTGTACAACATCAATGCACGGCAAGGAGTTCGCGTTGCTTTCTACGATACCAAAGATAGAATTTCCATACCTAATCCAATTATCATAATGTCGCAAAATAGACATGCCATGGGTCGATGTGAACGAGTATCGTGGGCGCAAGAGGCAAGCGATTATGTAAGGCTGCGAAACGTTGCGATTGTTGCAAGCTCCGGCTCCATCGTGATATCTTATCGCAGCTTTTATCGTGCATCATTTTCATTGATGCAACCTAACCTTCCCAACCCAATTGCGTCAACTTGCCCCGAGAACGCGGCTTGGAACACTACATGTCGCTCAAGGCCTGTAGGCTTCAGAGCCTGCGCCCGTCACGTAGGCTCCTCTCCTTTACCTGGAGCTCGGTAACTCCGCAGCGCCACGCACCCGTTCGACGACTTGCGTCGTCGTCGCCAACCTCGAACCACTTCATCACAGAAAGCCCGACGACGAAAACGACGACGACGACACAACCCGACGCCGATGCTGACGGCGCTCAAGCTGCCCAAGATGGCTTCCCGCCCTTCACCCTCGCGGTCAAGGACAACATCGCCACGCTGAACGAGCCGACGACGTGCGCCTCGGCCGGCCTGCGCAACTACACCTCCCCCTTCGAGGCCACCGTGGTCGCGCAGCTGCGCCGCCGCGGCGCCGTGCTCGTCGGCAAGACCAACCTCGACGAGTTCGGCATGGGCTCGCACAGCGCCAACTCGGCCGTCCCTAGCCCCGGCCGGCCCGTGCCCGGCTTCCCGGACCCGGCGCGCTCGCCGGGCGGGAGCTCGGGCGGTAGCGCGGTCGCCGTGGCGAGGGGCGACGCCGACGTCGCGCTGGGGACCGACACGGGCGGCAGCGTGCGGCTGCCCGCGGCCTACACGGGCACCGTGGGCTTCAAGCCCAGCTACGGCATGGTGTCGCGCTTCGGCGTCGTGCCGTACGCCAACAGCCTCGACACGGTCGGCCTGCTGGCCAGGGATGTCGGTCAGATCTCGCGGCTGCTGGTCCGGGGCGGCATGTGGCGCGAGAACGACCCCAACGACCCTACCAGCCTGTCCGACAGCACGAGGAAGCGGTGCGCCGCTGTCAGAGAAGGATACAGCGCTGCGGGTGCTACCTCGGAGCCATCATCAGGGGCGGCGCTGACCAGCTTCAAGCGCCTGACCTTCGGCGTCCCGCTAGAGTACAACATCGAGGAGCTCAGCCCCCTCGTCAAAGCGGCATGGCAGACCACCCTAGACCAGCTGCGACGCCTCGGCGCGCGCGTCGTCCCCGTCGCCCTGCCGACGACCAGGCACGCCCTCTCGGCGTACTACGTCATCGCCCCGGCCGAGGCGTCCTCCAACCTCGCCAAGTACGACGGCGTGCGCTACGGCTCGCGCGACCCCTCGGGCGCCGCCGACGGCGCCGGGGACGTGCTCTACTCGGCCGCGCGCGGCGCCGGGTTCGGCGACGAGGTCAGGCGGCGCATCCTGCTCGGCTCGTACACGCTGAGCTCCGAGGCCATCGACAACTACTTCATCCAGGCGCAGAGGGTGCGGCGCCTCGTGCGGCGCGACTTTGACCGCGCCTTCTGCCTGGGCAACCCGCTGCTGGACGGCGGCGGCGGCGAGGAGGGGGGGCAGCAGCAGCAGTTCGACCTGACGGACCTGCCCGAGGGCGTGGCGCTGGACGACAAGCGCGGCCCGCCGCAGGTCGACTTCCTCGTGTGCCCGACCGCGCCGACGCCGCCGCCGACGGCGGACGAGGTCCGGAGGGCGACGCCGCTGGACGCCTACATGAACGACGTGTTTACGGTGCCGGCTAGCCTGGCCGGCCTGCCGGCGATTAGCGTCCCGATGCCCGGCAGGGAGTCAGAGTTGCCTATCGGCATGCAGCTCATCGGGCAGTTCTGGGATGATGCGCGGCTGCTGGACACGGCGCAGACACTTGTGCAGGCGATGAAGGGATAAGAGAGCCGAGAGGAGAGCACCCCTTGAGAATGCAGTGACTCTTTTATTGTGTTCAGGCGTAGCGCAAGACCTGCTTGTGTCTCGCCACACCAGCCGCTCCGACCACTGAACGGCTCAGCGGCCGCTGTAGATCCATAGTGGCGAGGAACTGGCGACTATGTACTATATATAGTGGGATCTGTATCCCTCGATCTAGATCTGTACTATCTGTAACATAGAATGTAGACCGGTCTCTAAATGCGACCGGATCCCACCATTTGACCTTTTGTAGGATAGCTCGCAACGACCCCCAAGTTCGGCGTGTATGCTTCTCTCACAGTTTGTCGCGAGATGGCCCCATGCTGGTCAGATCTGGTTGCTCAGGGGGTTCGATCTCCAGCGGCCAGAAGGATGAAAAGAAAGGGCAAAGAAGTTCGTCATGGGCGGCAAAAAGCTCGCAGACTCACCCGGAGGGGAGTCTGCTACGAAAATCCCGGGTTGGGATTTTGCTGCCGCACAGGATCGCACTGTCGTCGAGTAGTGGTCTGTGTTGTCGATAAATTTGCTGTCATCGGGAATCGAACTCGGGTCCTCCTCGGCCTGCCTTTGCAACTTTAATTCTCCCAATGAACCAATCTGACCATGTTGCCAAATTTTCCAATCGTCTTTTCCTCCCCGACAGCGGACTGCGTTAACCTGACCTATAAGGGCTCCTGGGCTCCTGAGCTCCTGGGAAATCCCTCCCTCGGCGCAGGGGCCCCCCTTCAGGATCCTTTTTATTTAATCTTTGTCTCGGGGATTCCGCGCCTCTCAAGGACTAAGCTCTCCATCCGACCTATCATCTCTCCTGCTATCCACGTCCATCTCATCCCTCTCACGACTCCTCCGCGGCGACGAATCCCTCGAGCTGGAATACCTCCCGTTCTCTCGCCTCTCTTCCCTATCCTCCCGTTCCCGCTCCCTTTCGTCCTCCTCCATCCCCTCATTCTCCTCTTCCTCCTCCTCCTCCTCCAACAGCTCCTCGATATCCCCCAGCGGACTGACCCGCGGCTCCAGCACATCCAGATCCTCCAGCACCTCCCTCGCCGGCATCTTCCACAGGCTCGTCGCGCACACGCGGTCTTTCACCAGCAGGTCGTCCACGAACTCGTCCACGTACGTCAGCGTCGTGCCCGCCCGGCCCTTCCTGCGCAGCTTCCTCCTGTCCTCGAGCAGCGGCTCCAGCGTCCGGTAGACCTCGGCGGCGGGCCTCGTCAGCCGGACGTAGAAGGCCGCCAGGGCGCGCAGGTACTTGAAGCGCTCGCCGCCGCGGCGCAGGTAGGCGGCGAGGACGTCGTCGGCGGGCGCGAGGATGAGCATCTTGAGCGCGAGGCACAGGAAGGGCGTCGGCCGCTGGGACTCGCCGGCCACGCCGCCGACGTGGCGCACGTGGTCGACGACGCGGTCGACGAGGTCGGCCTCGTTGACGGCGAAGCACTGCTCCTTCCAGAAGTACGAGTCGACGATGCGCTCCCGCACGGCCTTCTCCATGATGGTGGCCGGGTTGAGGCCGTTGGGGGCCAGGGCCGCCGAGGTGCCCCGCTCGTCGAGGAAGCGCCGCTCGTCGGCCGCGTGGTGCATGCTTCTGCGGCTCATGGTGCCGGTCGGGTGCTGTGTGTGTCTCTTCTTCTAGGGTTGAAGGATGTATCGCGGTGCGGGTGGGTGGGGAGGATGCTTCTTCGAGTCACGGGTCTAGGGCATCCGTTCGTCCTGAAATGGGCTGCGCCGAGATTCAGTTGAGAGGTATACTTTTGGCGGCTAGAGACAACTTCTATCAATTACGTTGTCTGGGTAGTTTGGGAGCTATGCTCGTTGTCGCATGTCAAAGGTTGTTGTGGTGGTCGCTTGCGATTGAGGTTCTATCAAAAAAGCGGGTGGGCATTTTTTGGGTGTCGCACAGCCGGCTGGGGAGCTTATCGATTAGGACCGACCAGGGGGTGAACTGCATTATCGATAGTTGCTGGGTCAGCCAAGTAAACACCCCTCTTACATGGGAGATTCCAAGGCACAGAGCTGAGTATATGGTAATGACCTCGTATCGCAAGCATGGCAACGTCATACCACTAAAAGGCATCTGTATTTCTTGAAACACAAGACAGAACAACCTCCAAATACCCATTTGCAAGAGCACTTACATTTCACCGGCTTGCTATATTATATCAAAGAATTTACATGACGGGCCGCCCCGTCCTAGACAGATAGAAAGAATGCTGCTCACATCCTCACAAGTGTCGGTAGCCGTGTCCTGTGGAGTCGGTACGTTTCTTTCCCATTCCAGCCAAGAGCGCTCTCCCGCATTTGACTTGAGATCTCAAGATCATTTACCTACCTGCCTTGGGGCTGATAACTCGTTACTAACCTCACCTGGTTGCCTGCCCCCCCCCCTCGACCGATAGTCGTCTGCTGCACCGTCGCCCTCTTCCTCTCGGGCTACTTCATCCAGCAGCGCACCCTGCGCACCCTCCGCGCCGCCATCCGCGAGCCGCCCAAGCCCTCGCCCAAGATCTTCCTGCCGGACCGCTTCAAGATCCAGACGACCGAGCTGCCCGACGGGACCATCATCGTCCTCGACGGCAACAGCAACAACGACGGCGAGGACCTGTTCGCCGGCGCCCAGGCGGCGGCGGCGCAGCAAGAGCCGCAGCAGCAGCAGCAAAAGGAGCAAGTCCTCGTCGAGGTGAAGCAGAGCGTGCCGGAACTGCGCAAGAAGGACGAGGGGGCGGAGGAGGAGGTGCTGCGCGGGGAGGCCACGGCGGCGCAGCAGGAAGCGCAGGAGAAGCTGCGCAAGATAGAGGCCGAGGAGCGGGAGGCGCGAGAGGCAGACGCCGGGAAGGCGCGGCAGAAGACGACGACGACAACGACGGCCAAGGCGGCACAAAAGAAGAAGAAGAAGAAGAAGCAGAAACAGGCGTCCAAGGGTGACGGCAAAGACGGCAGCGAGGAGGAGAAACCGATCAGCAGCGCGGAAAGACGGCGGCGCATCCGCGAGGAGATCCGGAAGCTGGCAGAGGGCGACAAGCCGATATACTACCAGCGCCGGCTGTATTGAAGGTTGCAACGCGTCGGTGAATGGTTGGCGGATGACAAGAGTTACGTACGATATGTTGGATTTCTTGAGCACGGCATTTTGAATTTTGGAAGGCATGTCATATCGGTTACGGGAATTTGTTTTAACCACGTAGGAGGAGTTTTCTATGCTTTTCACCACCCCGATCTACGTGGACGCGGTATATATCGGATTAGAATCGGTTTGCATTGGGTGATTCATGTCATAACTACCTTATATATATACACGCAGGCTATGTAGGGAAAATACCACAGATGTGTGTGCAACCAGCAAGCATTAAACTCCTTTTCCAACCTGAAGAGCTTTTCGCTCATTGTTCCCATCAAGTCTTCCCATACATTCTTAGTTGGTCATAATTCGGGAGCGTTTTCCCTCTTCCCTTTTCCCTCCCGTTCATCAAATGATTAATTTGCGCCTTGTTTTGTGTGCCGTACTCCCCCCAATCCGTCTTGTTGTTACAGTTCCTGCCCACTTCTTTGCTTTCGCCTAGTTAACCCTCCCCCGTTGTTACATGGAAGGAGGAGGGGGAGGGGGTCGGAACGAGTGCTGTCCCGTCGTCCAAATGCTCGCCGTTTCTCCCGACCTTGAGCCGAAAGGGGGGGCGATGGGGGGGGGGAAAGGCTCAGTGGCCGAGCCTCGACTCCATCCGGACCGACCTGCCCATGAGGTCAGGCCTGGCCCTCGAGAACCTCTCCATGCGCGGCTCCTCGCCCCGGGTCGAGGTCACCCACTGCTCGTGCTCGGGAAGCAGGCCGTCGCTGAGGGACGCGCCGCTCTTGAGTGCCTGTATGCGTGCCCAACGTAAGCATGTGTCCCCCCTCCTTTCCCAAAGGCATATAAAGAGAAACAAATCATATTTCATTTTTTCTCGTCTCCCCGTGTATAACCTTTCGGCTCTGTCTCGAGCCCCCCGTTCTCGTGATACACCGGGAGGGCGGCTCGGCTCGGGAGCAAGTGGAACAAGGCCACCCCCCTCCCCTCCCGAAGCGGACAGCCGGTGTATGCACAAGGCCTTGTTGGGGGGTTCGTGTTGCGTTGTCTAGAGCGGCGGTTGTGCGGTTGTGTGGTATGGTGGGCAGAAGGGAGTAAAAGTGGCAGGGTTTCGCTTACCAGGCAGAGCTTACACCGGTCGCCGAATCGGTTGACGGTGTTGTGGCAATTGATTGAGCCCTGTTTTGTTTGGACGCAACCAGGTTAGCACCGTCGTTGAGCAAGATAGTGTGTGTGCAGTGTGTATGCATGTTGTAGGTAGGTATGCAAGGCATGGGTGCAGGATACATGGCGTGGTGGGTGGTGGTGGGTGCAAGTTGTCGTAGAGTTCCAATGCCTGATCGGCGTGCAGGTCTCGGCATTTGGCGATTGGTGAGTGGGCCGCTTCCTCGCCCTCCATCAGCCCTACTGAGGGCTGTCTTGGGCGGACAAATGATAGAGAGGAGCCAGACAAAGGTGTGGCTGATAAGGGAGGGCGAGCAGGGAACTTGTGATGAGCAGATTGACAGGAGAGAGCTTGATTTTGGGGAAGAGAGATCGACAGAGATAGCTTGAAAGCTCGCTGCTAGCGTTTGGGGAGAGGATGATCGTTCGAACGAGCCCGAGGAAATCGAGATAGACATGACGACGGTGGAAGAGCACCTACATAGTAGTTCGCACAGTAGCAAGGCATGGTGGCTGGTCTGCTGGGATCTGATGATGTTGCGCCGCGAATTCGAAAGCAGGATAGTAATGGACAGGGCAGCTTGGATGGAGGACGAAATCAAAGCAAGCTGGGTAGGCAGTTGCAGCAACGGTCTTTGGTTGAAAAGGACGAGGTCGTCAAGTCTTCTTTGGTGAAGAAAGTGATTCAAGATGAAGGGGGAAGAGGTGTGAGCGGCGGGAAGGGCAGCTCAGATATACACGAGGCGAGAGAGCTTGCTCCAGCTAGCCCATCCAAGCAAGAGAACAAGAGATGCCCAAGAGAGCGTGAGACAAGGATCGATATCGATCGAAACGGATGACGGGTCCCAACGGCACAATCCTGGTTCGAATAAGACAAAGTACGACCCCTTCGAGCCACCAGGGGACCAGTCAGACCTTGGGCATCCCACCCCCCCGAAGAGTCTAGATCCACCGGCCGTGTGTGGTTGACGCCGCTATCTTGGCCTTTTTCTTTCCGTCTTCTCGCAGCCAAAGGCAGCGTGTGTGTCTCTCCCTTGACGGAGCTAAAACGTCGCCCGTCGTGCGTAACCCGCAGAGAAGGCCGAGATGGAGAACGATAAGACGTAATCAACTACTAGACGTAATCAACTACTTAGTTACAGTGGACTACAGGATGACTATTCCTACCTAATACCAGGCAAGGTCAAGATAAGTAGACTTATTGTTCATGCACTACCAACCCCAACCAAAAAAAAGAGACGTTTTAGTAGTCAGGACGGACTCAAAGTCTAAAATATCATGCTATGCTATATATGCTATATATACATGCAATCACACACGGAGCAGTGCGGGACCTCTTTGTCATTGAAACTGCCTCGACCGAGCGGACAGATGTCGTTCGCTGCCCCAAACCGGGCCAAGAAGAACCCTTGCTTCCCCAGAGGCCCAGAGGGTCATAGCCGCTCGACCTATCGGCTTGTCTCGCCGATTGCTCGACGGCTTTGTCCTGTACTGTACCATTGACACTACCTACCTACTCCGTATCTCTTCTCGTCCTTCCCACGGTCCGTCCTGGCGCGCGCGTTGCTGACAACACCATCTGCAAGTGTGCGGAGCACGCAAAGAAAGCAGCAAAGATGAGGGCGCAAAAAGCAAGCACGCGTGCATCCTATGGAATCCCCAACATTGCTTGGTTTGTCCCTGGCGTTACACATGGCCGACACCAAGGTTTAGCATGCCAATGGCCTGGACTGGCCCGGTTGGTTGCTTCAAGATAGAGCGGGAGGACACGCAAGCGACGAGTACAAAAGAGTTGATACGTGGGGGGGGCGGGCGGCTCGAGAGGGGGTGATACCGGGTTCCGTATCGGGAGGATGAATGGAACAGGCATGCGGTTCCGAGGGTAGGTCTTGTATCTCGGTCGGTCTCTCATCCCCCCCTTCTTCTTCGCCGGTCCCTCTTTGCTATACCCAAGAAAGCAAGTCATCCTTATCTGGTCGCACGTAACGATTCCCTGCCTTGGGTTGTATGACCTTCCCTCCGGGCGAACCGTGGAAATGATTCGAGAAGGACTTGGCATGCTCCGTGTTGTGCATAACACTGACTGGGCTGATGCAATCCTCTTCTCCACTTGTTGCGTGCTTCACTTCTCCTCTTACGTGAGTTGTTGGTCCCGTTTCCTGCTCAAAACGGTTCCCTCCGTGTCTTCTCTCCTTTTTTCTTTTTGGCTTTCTTGGCTGGGTTGTTTCAACATACCTGGACCATGTCTGGTTCTGAAATGTGTCGGATCGTCACTAGATCTCCAAGATTCGAGTAAATTTTCTGCTCGTCCCATGACACGAAACCAAGGGGGGGCTTGTGGGTGGACTATCCTGTCAGAGGATGGTTCTGGTAGCCGGGTCGTGATCCGACTTGACCGGGAATCCGGGGTAATCAGGAACGAACCAAAGTCCCGGGGGGAGAAGCTGGAGTTGCTTTCCAGCCGCCCCCACTCCCCTGCCCTCATTCCTTCCAGGGGCGGGTATCGTCCACCATCGTCCGGGGGGGATGAGGAGAGCTGGACGAAATGGAACCAGGCTCAGACGAGTTAGGCCATTGTAACAAGTCCATCTCTTGGACTCCTCCAGTACCGAGGGGCCAGCACATCATTGATCCTACCTGCATGCTGCTCATCTGCAAAGCAATTCCATAAAAGATAGCACGTCACGTCACATGTAATCGCCTATCAAACGAACGAATACTCACAGAGTCAAAAAAGGAAGAGAAGGGCCTGGGAAAGTTCCGTAGACGGGCTTACCCGATCCGGCCGTCCGTCTCAGCAAAGACAGAGCAAGATTACTGAGGATTCCAAATGCGAAGATAGAGAGAGGAAAAGGGGTCTTAGTCCAGATGTCCCGCCCGATATCTCACAACCTGTTTGCGTGACAAAAAAAAATCCTGCCGGAACGCGTTCTACGATTCTTCTCCTCCTTCTTTCCTCCATCTGCCGCCCCATCCCTCGGGTCTCTCCCGCTCGTCAAGGCGCGTATGTGCGCGCGGAAGAAGGAAAAAGGCGTGCCTACTCCCAGAAGCAAACTCTGCGGGCCCGACCAGGAAGAAAAAAATGGAGGAAAGCTGGTCACCTGCGACACGAGCCGTCTCCCATATGGCTCCACGTAAGTCCTAGGTAGGTAGGCTCCTCCCGTCCCGCCGCTCTGCTAGGTACCCGAGCATCTCCAAGGAAAGGAACGACGTTGCAAGAAAAGTCGATCCAGACAGATTGACCGTACTAGCATGGGTCATCCTCCCCGGACTCTGCTGTCAACACCTCATTCGCCGGCGGGAGGAGCTTGATGTCCGGAAGCTCTGTGCTCCCATCCCATCTGGCGGTGAAGGGCCTTGGTTGAGAAATCCATTGGCTCACCGCGCGACACGCCCCGGGCCGCGTCTTGCTAGACTAGCCAGGCCAAGGATCGAGGATGGATGGCCGTCGTAACGAGACGAGTTATGATCCTGGCATGACGTGCCGAGAGGAGAGGATGGCATCTTTGCTTTGGACCTTGGCAGGACGTGCTCGGGAAGGAAAACATGTCCTGTACATACGTCCCCGCTGGATGGGAATCCTGGGGTGCATACGTGGTCTGTTGTGTGCCATACTCGTTCAAGATGCCAATCATCCCGGCTGCCCGTCACGAACATGGTACCAGCGACGCACGAACATGGGGAACACAGGATGCCACTAAATCCAGCTACGAGTAGTTGTGCCCCTATGGCTCCTCCGGATACCAAACACTTCATCAAGATCAAAAGTTGTTCCATGTTCAGACACACAGCACAAAGACAGAGAGGCAGAGAGCGCAGGGAAAGACAGAGAGCGCAGCAGGAAATGGAAATATCAACTCGCTATAGTCAGAGATATATGTCTTCGAAATACAGATGCTATTAATGTTTGCACATCGGCCCCCCCTCCCGCCTGCTGAAAAGGGAGGATCAATAAACAATCGAAGAAGAAATACAATACCACTCCGGATTTGGTACCACGCGGTCCTTTTCCCCCTCTCCCGACCGACCGCCGCAGCAGCCACCCGTACCCATTTCTTCAGAAATGCCGTTGCAGATGGAGGGGGAAGCATGGGGGATGGATTGGGGGAAAAGAGAAGAAACGCATCCATCCACTGGCTAGCCCTCAGCCTAGTGTCAAAGACAGCCACTGTGTAACCGGAAGCCTGCATCTGTGACGCCCCACGACCTTGGTAGGATTGCCCGGTATTCAGCTCGCCCGTATCAGAATCTAAGCTCTCCGAGGAGGGGGTTTGCTGGATTCTCCGAAAAGGAACAAAAGCTCCGGCACAGGTTCCTCAAGCTGGAATTCCATAGCTTGGAAAAGGGTTCACGAGAAAAAAATGGGGGTGCGATACAGTCAAGATGGTGCTTTGACAGCGAATACGCAGCTCAGATGAAGCTCTAGCCATGACTGTCGCACTGAGAGCGTCACCCAAGACAGACTGCACGGTCCGTCGCAACTGGCGGCAACCATCGTTACGATCATTGGACGCGGCCATGCGGTATTGGAGATCCAGTCAAGGCCGGTTTCTCTGGAGAACCGATCATGGACGCACGCTGCGCTTTCCAGAAATCAAGAGCCTCGACCACATCCTCGCCCCGCTCATCCTCGTAGACGAAAATAATCTAGAAACATGTTAGTCAATATCTCTTTACCAGTGTAATGCCGAAAAGATACCACATACCTCGTGAGTACTGCTGTGTAGCATGCGGATGTTCTTGTGAGGCACAATATGAATAGCGCCCGACTCAATGTTGCGCAGCTCAATGAAGTTGGGCTCGAAAGCCAGGATCCAAGGGTATGACAGCGCAAAATTCTGCGGTGCTCCCTCCCAGTCGATCCTCCACTCGGGTCGAGCTCTCCAACCGTTGCGGTTGACAAAGAAGGAGAACTCGGAGTAGTTGAGCAAGAATTCTCCGTTGAGACGCTCAATGTGGATGGGCTTGACGTTTTCTTTGCGAGCCACAAAGTCCAAGGACGTGTCGGCTTGGTCAAGCAACGACTGGGTCTCCAGGGTCTCGAGAGAAACCACTTCGAAGCCGCGAGCACAAGCCACGCACAGCTTGGATTTGAGGAAATGCACTGATGAGGATTCCGTGGGGATGTAGAACTCCTTGAACGGCTTGAGCTCGTCCTGTCCTGCATTGAACATCTTGCCAAATCCTTTCTGCTTCTTGGCCTTGGACATGGCGTCATTCGGCTCGTACACCTTGATGGTTGTTGACAGCGCTGATGACTTGATGCAGCAGACCAGGTGCCTTCCGAGGCAGATGCCAGTCTTGAAGAAGTTGCAGTGGCCTTGGATCTTCTTCCCGCGCTTCGACAGCTGGGGTTCGTTGGGATCCAGAGCCGACAATGGATACGAGACAAGCGTCCTATTTGACAATACCAACAGCAGCTGGTACTCCTCCAGAACGTCAAGCTGAGTGACGGTCTGGGCCTCAATGACACGCTTGGGAACCTGGTCGAGGCGACTCTTGCGATCAGAGACGTAGATGCCGTTGTCCGTTCCATAGATGAGCTTGCGGCCACCATCTACGTAGTCATTAGCAAGCAGTTATGGGCGCAAAGCGCATTCAACATTGCAAACTTACCAAATGGAGCAACACAGTTGACCTTGTTCGTAGCCGTGAAGAAGTTGGACGAGATGACGATCGTGTTGAGGAAGTCAGCACGAGCTCTCAACTTTTGCTGTTGTGTGTCGACATGCTCGAGCCACTTCTGCCTGGCCGCTTGGTTGGAAGCATAAATAGTCAGCTCATAGCCAGCCTTGCCCAGATGCCTCAAGGTAATGGGCCAGCCCTCTCCCTTCTTGGCGTCCGAATTGGCATTCCTCAATGCCGGAAGCAAGCTGGAAGACGACCGCTTCACAGAACCCTGTTGAGGGATGACTTCGTCCATCTCCTTGATGGAGAGAAGTTCGAGCGGGATAGGCTAGATTATTTCGTCAGCAGGGTAGATCTAGCGAGCATAGCAGTGACACATACCCGTCTATACGCCTTCTGGCGCTCAAGCTTGCCCACTTGCTTGGTCCGTACCAGGAGAACAGCATGGTCCAAAAGATAGGCAATGATATCAGCGGGGTCGGTGGGAGACTTCTTGAACTGATTCTTGAAGATGAGCTCGCGTCCCTCGTCCAATAGCCTCAGGTCGACTCGCTCGTTGGGCCTAAACTCGAGCTGGTCGTGGAGCTTGCGCAGATTGAAGCGGTTCTCGGCCTTTCCGGACTCGGCATTGACCCTACCGAGGAGATCGCGAATCATGACGAGGACCTTGGGAATGTCTTCCCTATCCGGATTCTCCGCCTCGGTGTACTTGAGCACATTCTCGAGTAGCAGAGGGTAACGAGCCAATCTTGTCGTAGGCTTGGTCAGATAACCGTTGAGCTCCAGCTTACGAGACTCCTTGCGACGCTCGATCTCGTCGACGAACCGACCAAAGGTAGGATTGATAGAACGTTCGTTCTCGAACTCGTACTTGGCTTCAAGCTGTTTCGAACCGTACATGATGAAGGGCTCGAACTGAGGCACGAACTCGAGGAAGATGTCACCAATATTGCGCACAACAGGGTTCTTTTGTTGCCTTTCCGTCAACGCCTTAGCAAAGCGAGAACTGACGGTGTGTAGAGCCGGATGGTCGACAATATTGCTGAAGATGTTGCGCACGACCCTGTCCTTGCGGTTCGGTGGGATGGGCGAGGCCTTCGACCGCAAGGGAATGATCCAGAAGTCGCGTAGATACTCCAGATCCTTGACGAAATCTCGCTCAGTGTAGCAGATCTCCGACAGCACTTCCTGCCTCTTCTTCTCCTTGTCTCCCACGCTGTCTGCAATCTCCTTGGGCACGGAGTTGATCCAGAGCTTCTGTTCGTCTGTTTGGTCGGCGTCGTCGTCATTGATCGCGGGTCCCTCGTTGCCCTTCAGGCCGGGGCCCATCTTCAGATTCAGACGAGACACCTGTTCCAAGCGGCGGGGACACGCAATCGAATAGCACAGCTGATCCCGAGTACAGGTGGGCGAATAACATTCCGACAATAGGACGAACACTCCGTTCACCGGGTTCTTGTCTTCTGGCGGTGCCTCCTCCGTCAAATTCTCCCTGAACTGGTACATCTCCGACGTCGAGTCCCGCAATCGGTGTTCGTAGGTGACATCGTGGAAGAATTTCTGAGCATCAAGGGCTCGCCCGAGAAGGAGCGCCAGGTTTCTGTCGGTGGTTCGAATAATGTAAGAAAGAACGTCCACCGCCTCCGCACCGCTGAAAGCATTCTTGTAGGTGAGCTCGTTCTTGGTCCGTTCACCAGTCACTATCTTTTGCTGGAACACTTCTGCCACCCGAGACAGGAGGGCCGGATAGACCAGCGGCGGGCGGATCTTGGCGGTCGGTGGCCGATCGCCGTCGGTGGACTTGGTGCTGACAGAGGGTCGGTGAACCAGGGTCTGGGTCTCAGTCCTTTCACTAGCAGCAACTGAGGGAGCCACAGTGGACGCCATAGACATGGTTCGCTGGTGGTCGTTGTTGCCGCTGTGAGAAGATGTGATGCTCATGGTCCTCGTTTGGGATCCAGGGGTGGCATTGAAGCTTTGAGAGGAGGCATAGCCGTTGGTGTTGGGCAGATCAGGCGCTGTGCCTGCTCCAGGTATCCTGCGGTTTGGGATGACGCGCCCACTCATAGTCTGATGAGAATCTCGGTCGTGAGATCCATAAGCACCGCTGAGGGACATGGTCCGGTCGTCGTGCCTGTCGGGGACGACCCTGCCCTGCGCTGTCGTCCTTGCCTGATGGGGGTTGTATTGCGCTTGGCGGGAGGCGTTGGCAGCTGACTGCTGATACGTGTTCGGCGGAGGGTGATACATTTGCTGACGCGGAACGCTGGCGAGAGATTGCGATCGATAGGGGTCGGAATTCATAGAGGGCTGCGGAGGGCCATTGTAAAACCGTTGCGCCGGCGTCCTCATGTTGCTGTAGCCGCCTTGGGGTGGAGGACCCCGAGGGGGAGCTGGCTGGCCGGGATACCGTCGCATTTGCTGTTGCTGTTGTAGATACTGAGCCTGCGGAGAGGGAACCTGCTGTCCGGCAGATACTGTGCGTTGACTCGGGTAGTAGCCACCCATGCTGCTGCTGTCCATCGTTCTCGTCCTAGGAGACGGTGGTGGTTCCCCGTTGTAGCCACTCGGTCGGGGGCGAGGGGGTGGCATCCGCTGCATTCCCGGCATGTTGGGTGACATGTTCTGTTCGCGAGGGTATCCTCCGCGAGGGTCTCCACGAGGATCTCTTCGCGGGTCTCCACGAGGGTCCCCGCGGGGGTAGCCGCGAGGATCTCGCTGCTGCTGCTGCTGCTGCTGCTGCATCATCATGTCTGGGGGAGGGACAGAGTCTGTCATGGTCTGCGATCGGCCGGGAGGGGGGGCGGCGCCGAAAATGTTGGAGAAAGCCGCATCTCGCTGGTAATTATCGTGGCCATATTCCTGAGGCCGCGGCACGGGGCGCCGCTCAGGGATGGACTGGTAGTCGGCCATGCTTTACTTCTACAGGTGCAACAGGACAAGGGACAAATTAGTGACGGCCCTCGTCTGGAGATGGTAGGCTGGTCCTTTGTGGGCAGGCAAGGCAGGACCAAACAGGGGACTGAGGGAGTCTAGGACTTACTGGTACGAGGCCTCCTAGTGGCCGCCAACTCGAGATTGTTCGAAACCGGGATCCCTAGTAGGCGGCGATTGTCATCGAGCAGCGAGGGCTGCCTCCAGAGTCATCGACGGTTGATTTGTGAGAGAGAGATGGCGTGAGTGATGGTTCAGAGGCTGTTCGTTTGGACAAAAACCTGCACCGCCCGCTGCCTCCTTTCCGGGTTCCCTAGTGACGTTGCTGGCAGGGCAGCGTTGGGGCCGTTGAGGGAGCCGGGGTGGCCGGCCGGAAAGCTGCAGCAGAAAATAAGAAAAAAAGGGAGTGTTGGTGCTGTCGAGCGCAACGAGGTCACGGCATGAGCAATGAAATGAGAGCGGCCGAGGGGGGAGAATGGTCGTCGGTCGGCGTCGACGTTTGGCGTTGGGAAAGATGGACAGAAAGGGCTGATTAGGTGCTTTCGGGATTGTAGTCGTCCACGCACGCAACGCACGCACCAACCAGACGTTGAAAGAAGTTGCAGTGTCCCTAGCCCAGCAGGAGAAGCGCAGTGTATTCGCGATTTGAGCCACTAAAACGGGCTCAATCCGTCCCATCGATAGGCACTAGCAGGCCCGCCCAGCCTGTGCTCACTTGCTGTGCTGCAGGGAGCATTTTTGCTCGTTCCCTGTTTCCACGTAGCATCCAAGTAGCGCCGCCTGTCAAGGTACCTCTGTGATCTGTGCCTAAAGCCATTCCCCCACCGGCCAGATAAGGGAGCATCCCGCTGCTGTCAATTGCCCCCATCTTGAAAGCAACGACGAAGATGGTGATCAATACCTAAGTATCCAACATATCTGTAGACTTGCAAATCTCATTCAAGTTCAAGCAGGCCGTTCCTAGCAGGGCTCGCGGTGCAAAGCCATCTTCCCCCAATATCACTCGCTGAAGCCGACACGCACTAGCACCCCTGCCGAGCAAAGTACTGATATCAGCTCGCGACTTGTTTTAGCCCAAACGGGACTTGCTCTTTTGGTCCCGCCGTGTCAAAGCCTCTCAGGGACACATCGAAATCACGTGGACCCGGTCCAATCCAGTCTCTCCCCTGCTAAGTCGGTAGCGAGCTTCGTCGTCACTCACTCGCGCTGTAGGCGTGGCCGAAAGCTCCAAAGCTCCATCAACCATCACCACCTCCGCCACACTCGACCTCGAGCAAGATCCCTTTGCAACACAACACTGCTCCCGTTGCTGCCGCTCCGAGATCCGCAATACTGGTGTACATCGACGTTGCAAACGATCGTCAAGATGCCCGAGTCCGAGCTCTCCCCCAAGTTCGCGCCCTTCCTGGGCATGGTAAGCCGCTCCCCCTCAGAGCTTCTTGTCGTTACGCTGCGCCATCACAAGACTAATTATATGCTTCCAACATAGGCCGGTATTGCCGCCGCCATGGTCTTTGGCTGTACGCACAGTTCTTTCTACTCAAAAGCTATCGAATCCAAGATGCACGATCAAATACTGACCTCGACTGGCACGGACAGGCATAGGTGCTGCGTACGGTACCGCCAAAGCCGGTATCGGTATTGCTGGTGTTGCTACCTTCCGACCTGATCTTATCATGAAGGTACGCAGAGGAAATTTGCGAGGACTATCTCTATATCCGGTCTAACGGTGCGCTTCTACAGAGCTTGATCCCCATCGTCATGTCCGGTATCATCGCTGTCTACGCGTTGGTGGTCAGTGTCTTGATCGCCCAAGACTTGAACCCGGGGGCATCATACAGCTTGTTCAGGTGCGTATTCGAGCGCAGATGGATATCGGCTTGGACCCCGATCGCTAACTTGAGATACCAGCGGCTTCCTTCATCTTGCGTGTGGACTGTCTGTGGGCTTGACTGGTATGGCTGCCGGTTACTGTATCGGCATTGTCGGAGACAAGGGCGTGCGTGCCTACATGGAGCAGTCGAGGATCTTTGTGGGCATGGTCCTCATTCTTATTTTCGGCGAAGTTCTCGGTCTATACGGGTTAGTCCCCTCCCCCATCCTTGACACTTGGGGATGAACGCGCACACTGACGTATCATTAGACTTATCGTCGCCCTGATCCTGAACACCAAGAGCAAGGCTTAAGCATACAGCCAGCCACGCAAAACCAGTCAATATCCTTTGTATTAAAAATGTCAGTAGTATCATCGGGTGACGGAGAGGGACGAACTAGACCAGCATTGCATTTACCAGGCGTTAGGGAAAGAGTCAAAACCTTTCATGTTCATCTAGGTAGCTCAGGACAGGCTTCAAATGCGACAACCTATATATATATTATGGTACGAGTTGCAGAGCGACCTTGGCGGATCTGATCTTACAGCGTCATATTCTGGAATTGAGACACGCCAGTCACGTTCCAAGTCTTGAAGATGCTTTTGAGCAGGGTTTATTGAACCCCTACGTATCCCTACGTACCCTAAATTGGTCAAACGAGTGTCGAGAAGTGCAGACATATATATCCACATAACCATAATTGCGTCATAGGCATCATTCTGTCATATCAAAGTCACCGCCGTTGCTCCCTTCCATAGGTAGGTGGCCTTGGGAGATTCGCGGTGAACCAGATCCGGGTCCCCCCATTTTTTGCAAGAAGCACAGATGAAAAACCAAATAACGCCAGATGGGAGAGCTGATGCCCCGATGCAGTTTGATGCTTGAGAACCCATGACCCATGCCTCAAAAGGAAAGAGGGGAAGAGAAATACTCCTCTGGAAAACCCCGCGGGAAGGTGTTTCGCGGTGAGAGAGAGGGCGTCGGTCTTCAACGGAATCCGAAACGTCGCGCAAACCTGCCGCCGCGCGAAGAGGAAGAAGACGACGACGTCAGGCTCTCCATCTCGCGACGGAACTGACGGAACTGCTTGCCGTTCCTCTCGCGCTCTTCCCAGCCGCGGAGCTCAGCTACAGAGGAGAGTGTCAGTCAGCAAGGACGATTCGCACCCAACAATCCTTTTTTTTTTCTTTTGGAAAATCAAAAGAAAGGGAACAGGAAGAACAAAAAAACACTCACCGAGGAACCCGTCCCAGCAGCGGTCCTCCATGACCAGCACGTCGTCGCCGTTCTCGCGCGCGAGGCGCTCCTGCCGCGCCCGGCGCGCCGCCTCCTCGCCGACGAGGTAGGGGTCCTCGAGCGGGCGGAAGCGGTTCCGCTCGTCCTCGTCGATGCGGTCGAGCACCATGCGCCGGATGCCCTGGAGGTGCGACTGGCTGTTGGCGGCCGCGACGCGCCGGTGGGCGACGCGCTGGTAGTGCCGCGCCGTCGGGTTGGACGACATGGTCGACCACGAGGGGATGCGGAAGGCCGTCAGGTTGGGCAGGTCCGCGGGCCGGCGCGGCTGCAGCGGCGGGATGGGCGGGAGCCCGCCTCGGGCGGAGGCGGAGGCGGAGGCGGAGGCGGGACCGCCGCTGCTGTGCGGAGGCAGGAGGGTCGGCGGCGCGGAGGACGTAGACGGCCCGGAGGAGGATGTGGCGGAGCCGGAGGTCTCGACGGCCCGCGGGGAGTACGGGGGGATGGTCTCGCCGTGGGTGGCGGTCGAGTGGTAGGAGGGCGCTTCGGAGGCTGGAAAGAGGAAGTGTCAGCCCATCGCGAAATACCCTGTGCGTCTCTCGGCTCACTGCCTGCTGCGCAGCTATGCGCACGTGGAGGGCCGGCCTTCTCGACGGGGATATGGCACTGGTGGGACTTACTGTAAGAAGGAGCGGCTGAGCGGATGGAAGCTGTCTCGAAATCCTCTGCGCTCAGTACCTCGAGAGGAGGCATGTAGCGCGGAGCACTGCTGTCATATGCGGCCATGCTTTGCGACCACGGGAGGCTATGATGGCACAAAGGTAGAGAGAGCGTGTGAGACGTCGGCCAGAGCCAGTGCGAATGTTGGGCACGCGGGATGTTATTTCGGGCGGTGTGAGAAGAGGCTTGTCTTTACGAGAACGGACATCTGCCTCGAAGGAATACGAAAAAAGATACGGAGAGACGGCGAATGATCAAGAATAGAGGGACTATGTTCAAAGAGGAGGCTCCGTCAGAGAGCGAATGTGACACGGTCACAAGCAAGAGCCTGGTCCACAGCAGGTGATGTGTGGTGGTGGTGACGGTGGTGTAGACAGGTGTGTAAGTGAGACAGGCTGTCGGATGCCGTCATTCAAGGTCCACGGATATCCTGCCGTGATTCACAGAATGAGAAGATGCAAACCAGAGCAGACTGGACTCTTCGTCTTTCTCTTCTTTAGTCAAAGAACTACACAAGCTCCTATCACGCGAGCGGGAGAGAGGGCGAGCAAGCTTTAAGAAGGGAAGAGGCGAACGAGGAAAGTGTCCATGTGAGTAGGGGACAGCCACGCCCATTTTTGTAGATCCGGCGTTCTTGGCCATGCGGCGGCTTCGCGGGAGCGAACTGCAGCTTTCCCAGTCGCCAGCAAGCAAGAAGCGGACGCAAGCTTGCGGGTTTTGGGGCGAGTGGAGGGAGGGTGGTTGGCTATGATGGAAGCTCTGCTGTTCCGGGCCTACTCCGTAAAGAGTTACTCGGGAGACTGTGTGGATGAAGACGAGGTACTATCTTGGATGCGGGGTTTCTGTCATGGGCGCATGCATTCTTTGGGGGCAGGTGGCCTCCCTCTGCTCGCCTGATAGTGTAGGTACGAAGCTTGGGTAGATACAGTGGTCTACAAGTACTTGTAGATGATAGCACATGGAGAAAATGGTACATCACAATCAATACCTACCTACCTACTTACTCCTAGGCACTCCTCTCTCTTGATTTTCCCCACTTCGCGATGATTCCCCCGACCCCCCTCTCCAAGTAACAAGGCGAGTTATCCGGTCCAAGTCTCCTCGGCCCCTCTCTGTCTTACATGCCACCCCTCTTCACTCATCCATCCTTTGTGGCTCTTCCGTTCTTGGTCGTGTGCACGTCGTTAGCAGCAACTAATCAGTGCTTTGTTACTCGAGCTAGTGGCCGCGCGCGATCTCCCTAACCCACTGTGGCTGTGGTACATGGAACTTTACCAGTTCCTGGGAGAACAACAAGAAATGGGGTACGAGCCGGCCAACCGGTTTGCGCCGCGGAACTTGAAATGCTTCTTTTCTTCCGGCATGGAACAAGGACATTGCCATGGGTTTTCACCGACCGGGAGCAGATACTTGTGTACATACCTCTGTCAACGGGCCACGTTACCTAAAGTAGCTATCTGACATTCGCGGAACCCGCAGGATGCATGCAGATATCCCCTCCCTTCTGCTGTGCTATCCAACCCCTTCAGCCCAGTCAATATTAGGGACCGAGTGAACTTATCCGATCTTCAGGGGTATAGTGCAGTCAGGACACTAGCAAGTAGGCGATGCAAGTACGACGTAAGGCAACGGACGGTCTAGAAAGATGGCATTTATTTCCTGTTAGACTGTGAAAGAGAAGCGGAACCTACACTCGCTTGAACGCAAGCGGTGGAGGTCAGTACACTCGTCCTCGGCTCAGAGAGCCACATCTCATCGATCCCGGCCGTTCCAGACTACTTCAGGTACCAGACCGTCAGATCCGCCAGACCCGCCAGATCCTTTGCAGAACTCCAAGACATGTTGCTTGCTGTCAACTGGCAAATGGGTTGGCGGCTCTTTTACTTTTCCCCGCGAGTTGCTTGAAGGCGCACAGTGTCAAGTATCAGCCAAGACAATATGCCCAGGCTGTTAAAGGCCTTCTTGCACTGATTTCTTCACATGCGGCAACGGTAAAAGGTGCCGAAGACAAGAACTTGGCAATATACGAAGCAAAGGCAAAGAAAGACACGGGGGAATCAGCATACGAATGAGCACTTGCGTAATCGTACAGCATTGTGGATAAACGAGTTGTACAAGTAAGTTCCAATGCCCCATCGTAAAGCATCAATGACGCGATGCAAGGAGCTGGTGGAGTGAAAGTGGAAACACCAGCTCCTCCTCTCCGGACTCCCTCCAGCCATCTCATCGGCATTGTCCACGGCTCAATCGTCTCCCTGGAAGATCGATATGGGAGTGGTCAAAATATAGGAAAACGGTGCAGTTATCACTCACGGCTCTTCAACGTCGCCCAGCCTCTAAATCAAAAGTCGCAACCATTTTCGCCAAATAAATTCAAGAATCACTACAGAACAAGGCCTTCATGCTAACTGAGCATACGAAAACAGTCTTCTTCTTGCATCTGTCCCTCAATGATTACCAAAGCTGTTCTCGTGGATAGTACCACCCGTGAATGAACTCCATCACAACTCCAACCCAGGACATCCACCCCATAGACCCCATCCAAGGCTGGAACACGAGCCTCTCGTCTATGTCAAGCCCGAGCCACCATGGACGCGGACGTCTTTCTAGCAAGCCAATCAGATAGGGCCGAGTCCAAGAGCGGTTTGCTTTCAGCCATATCTTGCGCTCCTCCTGGTTCGCTATGTACACGACGATATTGTACATAGCAAAGATCGCAAGGAAGCACAGTGAGTAAACTGTAGCTCGTCTGGGAGGAGACCTGGCTCCAGTTTCGCCCGCGGGTGCCGGTGCTCCATCTGCTTTCGTCGAAGTAGATTGCGTTTCTGCTTCCTCCAGATCGTCGTCGAAGATCTGTCCCATCGTTTCGTCCTCAGGTGACGGAGGAGCTGCTTCATGTCTACTCTCCCACCGTGCTTCGTCAAGTTGATCGTTGAGCTTCTCGACTTCCAATCTAAGAGCTTCATTGTCTTGCTCCAGAGCCACCAGCCTTTCAAGTCTCTCTACTTCATCTTCTTCTGGCTGAGCGTCCGGCTTTTCTGAACCTTTCCCGTAGCGATCGCCATCTTCAATTTCGGCGTAGGGTTCAGCCTGCGCCGGATCCGTCTCGGCAGGCGTTGTGACTTCAGCCTCTGCCTCGGGAGACACGCGCTTGGGAAGCAGTTTCTCAAGGCCTGCCATGAGTTCCGTCTCCCGGTTGAGGATCGCAAAATGGGGACCCAGGGGGTCAATCGATGCGGCATCCCTCTCCGCTATTTCGCGTCGGAGTTGTTTGAGCCTCTCCTTCAGCTTCTTCTTTTCCTCGCTCCTGGCGATGACTGCTTCTTGCTCCTCCTCGTTGAGGGCTTCGGCGAGAACTTGCGAGTCGGACACTGTCCTGCGGTCGTCGCCCTGCCCGGTAATGTCTAAGCCGTAGTAGCTCCTCTTGGTCTCTGCCTCCAAGTCTGCTGCCAAAGCACTGAGCTCTTTGGAGCTTTCTGCCTCCAGATGGAGTTGCTTCCGCTGCATCCGGACCGTGTCCTTGAGTTCTTGAATAGTTGCCCGGCTCGAGATGAGCTCCTTCTGCAGGTCTTCGATCAGTCGATCCTTGACTTGGAAATGGATGTTTGTCTCTCTATCTTCGACCGAACTCCCTGCGTCGGACTTTGCTTTCCTTCTTTCATGCTTCCTTATCATCGAGGCGTGCTTTCCCGCCATATCGTGGTATTTCCCTTCCCAAGCTTCCGCAGTGTGCTTCCAATGGTCTCGATCTTCGACAAGTGCTTCCAATGTCTCATGTCCTCCGAAGTCTTCGGTCTCGGATCGTGCTCGGCTTCCACTCTGTTTACGCATGCTGTCACTCTTCGTCTCGGGGAGAATTCGACTTGCTTCTTCGACATCGGGTTCAAGTTCCATGATCTTTTGGGATATCTTTCCCAGTAGTTTCTTGATAGATTCGTAATCCTCCTCATTCACATGCCCCCTGATCCGGTCTAATATCCCATCTCTGATGGACATTGATTCCACCACGAATGTGCTCACTTTTCCCATCAACCATTCTCTTCCTTCTACAGGAAACAAGGGCGGCAAAGTCTCGTCAGGGGCGTCGGGCCCATCTCCCTCCAGCTCCTCGCGCGAATATCCACTTGCGGCCGATCCTGTCGGCGATGCCAGGCCGCCAAATCCTCCTGCCCGACGAGGGCTGAGCCCGGGGCTTCCGAGGAGGTACCGCGCCCTCGGTTTCTTAAACCATCCTTTCGCTGATATCGCATTGGTAAGACCGTGATCAGGTTCCTCGTCTTCGTCTTCGTCGTCCGAGATGTGCGATGTCTCTTGTGCCAACGCCGCCTGCGGCGATAGCCCTTCACTCTCATATTCATACTTCTCCACCTCCACTTCCTCATGCTCTCTCATATCGATATTCGTCGACTCTTCCATCTTTGCAACGTGGGTAGTCCCCTTTCGTGCGGTCGTGGTAACGGTCGATCGAATTGAACCGGCGCCTCTTATCTTAGGCGACCGGGGAAAAGGGGTTCGGGACGTCCCAGGCTTTGGCCAGGGGCGCGAACCGCTCGGCGCGCTCGGTCTCCGGCACGTCTGTGAGCTTCCAATGCGCCAGGAACATGCGCTGGTCCCGCCTGCTCAACTTGTCCTAAAAGTGGCAGGGGGCCGCGAGGTGGAGCTGCGTCTCGAGCTCGTGGGCGCAGCGCTTCTCCTTGTCCTGCAGGTACGCCTCGATGTTGTTGCACAGTATGCGGCACTCTGTGGTGTCTCGCAGGCGGATGGGGAAGTCGCCCTCTGTGGTCCGGAGCACGTACTCCCGGACGTCGAAGAACGGGTTGGTGTTCTTGTCGGCGGCGTGGTTGGCGAGTTCGTCCAGCGCGGCTGTGAACTCTTTACGGTCCAATTTCGGACTCGGGATGTAGGGTATCGGGAGCAACTCCGGGATTGGAGTTGGGCTTGGCAGCTGGGGGCCCGGGCTCGGGGTGGTTGGAGGGGTGGGAGGTGCTGCGAAAAGGGGTCGAGTGAGAACAGCTTGGCGAGCGGCGAACTTCTCGTTATGTGCCTGTCGGGCCCACTCAACGGTAGTGTTGGTGGGTGTCTCGCTCAGTATCTCGGGAAGATCTCGCTCCTGGTAGCCCAGGTAATGTGCGCGAGTTTTCCACTGTTCAGTCTCGCGGGTCTGTTCGGCGAGCTTGTGGTTCTGCAGCTCGATCATCTTGTCTTGGGCGATGGACCTATTTAAGGCCTCGCTAAGCATCGTCGCCGAGGTCCACACGGCCCTCTCTGAGCGCAGGTGCTCTTTCTCGAGCAGCTGGACTCGGCTTCGATCCTTGTCTTTGTCCTCGGACTCGGACGAGGGAATGGAGGCGTTCTTGGGGGCGCCATGGTTGGGCTGCACCATCGAGACAAAGGAGGGATTGGTACCCACACAATGGCATTTGCCGGTTCCGGCATCGAGGTCTTTGTTCTCGACCAGATGCTTGCGGCACTTCTCGAGCTCCTCGTTCTTTCGCTTGAGCTGTTCTTCGAGGCGATCGATGTCCTCGTGCGCAAGACCTTTGAAGAGCTCGTATTTATCGCGGTGCTCGTCGTACTTCTGCGCCAGTTTTTCGTACCTTGTGACGAGCCCGTTCCACATCGTGATGCCCTGGCTGTACTTCTTGTCGAGAGCCTTGTACTCTGCTGTTGCGGCCTCTCTCCATTGCTCGAACTCTTGCGCAATGCGTTTGGGCTCAGTGCCGAGAGCCTCGAGGTCCTTGAGCTGTGCGGCAATCTCAGCGTTCTCCTTGCGGAGCTGCTCAACTTTGGCCTGGACCTTGCTATCAGCAGCCATGGCCTCTTTGTTGGCCTGCTTCAGCTTGGTCTTCGTCTCCTTCAGCTCGGACGCTGCCTCCTCGTAGGCATTGGTCGCCATATCCAGAGCGCGCTTGTAGATGGTGAGCTCCTTCGCCTGCTCCTCATGAGCTTGTTTGATGATGACGTGGAGCTCCTCATCGGTCTTGGTGTGAGACTGGGTATGTACGGCCATCTTGGCGCGCAGCGTTCCCAGCTCAGCCGTCTGGTTCTCGTAAGCCAGCGTGGCATTGGCCAGCTGCTCCTTCACGTTCTCGAGAGTCTGGGTATGTGCGGCCGTCTCGGCGCGCAGCGTTCCCAGCTCTGCGGTCTGGTTCTCGTAAGCCAGCTTGATATTCGCCAGCTCCTCCTTCGCGTTCTCCAGAGTCTGGGTATGTACGGCCGTCTCGGCTCGCAGCGTTCCCATCTCGGATTCCTTCTCAGAAAATCGAGAGGCCATCACGTTCTTGGCCTGCTCGAGCTCGGCATTGCATGCGCTCAGCTGCGCCAGAAGGCTACGCCCCTCTGTGTCTTGCCGAGCTGCCAAGTCGTTCAGGCGAGTGACTTCCTCGTTCAACTTGGTGTTCTCTGCACACATACCGTTGATGTGCTGCTGGTATTGCGCAATCTCGGCCTCCAACTTGGAGACCGTGTCGTTTGACGGGTTTTCGTCCAGCTGCGCTTGGAGAGCGGCGCACGTGTAGGTCTTGTCTCGAAGCTCGTAGCGGAGGTCGTGGGCCACCTTCATCACTGTCTCGCACCGGTGTTGGGTCTCTTTCATGTTCTCCTCGCATGCGATGGCTTTGTTGTACCACTTCGCTCCCTCCTCGTGCTGCCGGCTCAGATGCTCCACCATATCGGTGGCTTCGGCGAGAGACTTTGTAATGGCTTGGACGCGGGCTTTCTGTTCATCCATCGCCTTGGCCAAGTCGCTGTTGTCTTTTTTCAGCGTGTTGATCTCGTCCTCGGCAGCTTGCAACTCCATGTTCTTCTTCCAGATTTTGTCCTTAGGACGGGTCTTCTTGAGCTGATCTTCGAGGAGCTGGATCTTCTTGTCCTTCTTTTCACAGTCATCCTTCAGGCTCTCGGCTGACTGGCGAGCGGCGTGGAGCTCCTTGTTCTTCGCTTCATAGTCATCCTTGATACTCTCAGCTAACTCGCGAGCGGCTTGGAGCTCGTTATCCCGGTCATAGAGCTGACCCTCGAGCTCCTTGATGCGGTCCTGGGCGGAAGCGCCCATCGCCTTGGTCCTGGCAAAGTTGAGGAGGCTCGTGGCGGCGACCCGCTTCTGCTTGACCTCAAGCTTGCGCTTGAACTCCTCCTTCATCTTCTTCTCGGTCTCCACCTGCACGCGGAGACTCCGGATGACCGGGTCCTGGCTGTTGGCCCCTCTGCCGGGGATGCCTGCGGCGGTCATGATGAAGGTATGGACCGCGTTGCAGTCCTCCGGAGGGATGGCGACGGCCTTGAGAACATCTGTGCCAGGGATGACTCTGCCAGTGCTCTCATCGGTGCACTCGACAGGGAGCACAGCGAAAGCGTCCGTGCGGAAGGGCTTGCTGGGGTCAGGGTTAGGGATTGACGCTGGCTGGTAGTCTGCCAGGCAGCGGCCGACCTCGCGGTTCTTCCAGTCGACGTACGGGGTGTCCTTGGGGTCAAAACCAAGACCGTTCACAACATGACGGAGAGCCACTGATATTGATTAGCAACTTTTCTGCAGGTATGATTTCTCAAGGAGTGGACAGGACTGGAGATGTTGAAATGAAGGTGACGAAAGGCTTAGGACAAAGTGAAGTGTATATATACAGCCAGCTCGGGCAAAGAGGACAAGGGTGATAATCAGCAAAGGTAGAAAAAAGACTGCGTCTTACCCGCAACATCATCATCCTCGGTAGGATCTTGAGAATCCTCCCTGCAGCGCTTCGAAACGGGCTCCGGAACGTCGTCATCGTCGTCCTCCTCGAGAGATCTCTTGCGAGCGATGGGCTGGGGGCTGATCTCAGTCGAACCGGCCTGCAGGGGCAGGGGACGCGGAAGCGGACGCGGACGGGGACGGGGACGGGGGAGAGGAACTCCAGCGGACGACATTTTGCTAAGTCGAAACTGAAGATTGGAAAGTTCGGGTAAAGGTATGAAAAGGGTAGACAACTGATAGTTCCGAGATGGAAATTCAAAGAGATGAAGCTTGACAAGTGATGATTGTTCTTTGCTTGAGACAAGAGCAGTTGCTGTTGGCTGAAACGTAATCAAGTCTTGGAAAGCTTCCTGGAAAAAAGGTGTTGCTGTGAGAAAACAGATTGGGAGTCGAGGGTGAGATGAGGTTTAAGTAGTGGCGGGACTCGAAGGTCGAGAAAGGTAGTGAATAGCACAATAGCTGAGGTGGCAGTGAATAGACAATAGCCGAGTCAAGTGAATAGTGTCTATTCTGTCAGCTGGAATTCAGATTTCCCTCTCCAATTCAGTGACGGCTGAAAATCGTCTCAGATGGCTCTCAGATTCGTCACAATGGTTGCAGTGTTGAGGTGACTGGCTACCTAGCTCGGTTGTTGACACTTCACTGTTGTTATTGTTGCTTGAGTCAACCGAGTCCCATAGGCTCTTATCGCTGCACAAACAGCAAAAGCAGATAGAGGCGAGAATAGATGGCATCCCACTGATACTGTCGTGAAAATAATTGTGTCGCTTGCTAAACTACTGATTCGTATGAGCGAGCATTTGCAGGTTCAGGTGTACAATGAGCGCTGCGAATCCTGCTTTCTCGTGAGTTATGGTTCTGATTTAGAGACGTGACCCATATTCCATAAGTGCAAAAAGATCTGGTGGCTGACGTGACAGGAGGATGGACATAGTGTACAAAATACGAGTGTGGTGCCATTTCTTCATTCTGGGGGACGAAGCAAGGTGCTCAGGAGGAAGAATGCAAGAAGATGACTGCAACCTAGCTGTACCAGCCCTTGGCCCCTGGACCACCATTCGTCTGTTCCTTCCTATGCTCAATCATGGGCTCCTTGATGTTAAAAGCCTTGATAATGTCACGCCAGGTAGCCATGTCCATAGACATCACAGCCTGGTGCTTCATTGCACCAGCTCGTTGGCCTGGAGCGACTTCGTCTGCGGCATGGAGGGGATCTTCACTGCGATTAGCAAATGCACACATGGAAGAGGGGTAATCTTTAACTCACAGAGCGCAGGAAGATCGTCGTCGTCGTACTCGATGCCAATTTTGCCATCTCGAATCAAGAAACTGACGTAGAACATATTCTCAATAGTCTGGCCAAAGGAGCGAGGATTGACCACAAATCTGAGCAGGTCAATGCCTCCAGTACTCCGTAATGCGTGCTTTTCCATCAGTTTTCGGGAGTCCTCCTCGGTCTGCTTATCCCCAAGTGCCTCGAGCTCGCTCGTGACGGTATCCTGGGCAACAGACTGAACCTTCATGAGTCGGTTTAGGATCTTGTTGCAGATGGCCGCGAGATCATTCTTCTCCGCCTTTGCAAGGTCTTCGGTCCTCAGAACCTCGGGTCTGACTTCCTTCAGATCCCTAATCTTCAAAGGCGCAGTCCTCTTCGTGATCTTGCGGGTTTTCTTCTCCACAGACAAGGGTCCCAGCAGAAAGCCAGGGACAGCAGGCCTTGAAATATGGGGTACACATGCAAACCGTCCAAGGTGGGCCCAGTTCAGCATGTCGCCTTCATCGCCGACCTCTTCGTCGTCGTCGTCGTCGCCTCCTATCGCACCCCTGTTACTCGTTACCCTCCTTTGCCGCTGGGTGCTAGACAGTTCGACCGCATTATCGTCTTCGATACCACCTCCATGGCGCATGTAAGTAATACATTTCGAGACGAACTCGTCGACATCTACGCCGTTGCCGAGATTGCCCGAAGTCCACCGCAGACTTCGCTTGTATGACAGCTCAGAGATTTGCAGCATCAACCTCGCATCAATCGCCGCTTCTGAGGTCTGCTTGGCCTGCTTCAAAAGGCTGTCGGATTCGAGCAGGATCTTGTCGAACATGTGAGGCTTAGCCTCAAGGAAGTCGTCTTGATACTCGTTCGTCGTGTTTATGAGGCTTCGCATCCCGCGCTGAATCTCCCGACGCTGAGCAATGGGCTGCTCCGGGTCGTACCCGTCCGAATCATCGCTCTCCGGCTCATTGCGCGGCATATTCGGTGCGTGTATTCGTTTGAGAAACAAGACACGTTTAGAACAGTAGTAGATTCGAGTCAACGTGACATACAAAGGCCGGCTGTTCCCGTTCTAATTGTCAAACGCCCTTTTCTCGTGCTCTTGAGTAATGGTGATGATGATGGGTGATGTTGGCGATAACGGAAACGCGCTGATAATGCAGACGCGACATTCTGAGCCGTATGAACGCGGGGCGTAAGTGGCTGCTAAAGACAGGTCGGTACAGGTGGGTCATGCAGCTCCAACAGCCAGCCCCACCGCTGTTATCGCTATCGCTCAGGTGCCAATGGTGGCAGGTGGTGATGAGGTCGCATGCCTGGAAGCTCAACCTTATATTGACTCGTCTGGTGACCATGGGAATAGGGCGACTGTTCTTTGTGCAAAAGTGAAAAGACGCAAGCCGATGAATGCGATTTCAAGTCAAGGAGACTAGCTACGGACTTCCAAATCTTGCGATGGAGCCCTTTTCCTTTGCAAGCTCCGACGCCCTCGACTATCCGGTCAGCATTCGCATCATCAACCTCGAAGGCGACGAAACTCCATACCTCCACTCCACGCTCCTCGAGAAGCCGGAGCTTCGGCATATAGGCTCGAATGCCCAGGCAAACTCGGACCTTTATGCGACAGTCCAACTCTGGGCCGGGTCGAAACCTCTGACGGTGCCCGTGCAGACGGCATACAAGGCATTCAGGTCAGAGAGGAAGTGGAATGAATGGCTGACCCTTCCAATAAACTATGCCAGCCTTCCTGTCAACTCACATCTCGCCATCACGCTATGGGATCTATCCCCCACAGGCGGCAAGCAGGCGCAGGGACACTCCATACCCTTTGGTGGGACGACCCTGCCTCTGTTCGACAAGGACAACCAGCTGCAGAAAGGCAGGCAGAAGTGCTTTGTGCACCGGCAGCAAAAAGCAGACGGCAATGACAACTCAACAACTCCGGCAACCCTACCCAAGAAGCGTGGCGGGTCAAAGAAGGGCGAGGTGACGGCCGTGGACAAGGATACGGAAGAGCTCGAGCGGATGGAGCGGCTGTTCAAGAAACACGAGATGGGCGAGATACCGAGAGTCGACTGGCTAGACCAGCTGGTGTTTCGAGGGTTCGAGAGGCGTGGATTGCAAGCTGCCAAGACGTCTCTAAAGACTTTACAGCGGCAGCGGACTGCGCAGAATGGCACTGGAGTCGAGAACGGCACCGACGATGGAGCCACGGGCAAGGATTCCACAGAGCAACGACCTGGGCCTTCAAGGTTCATGCTCAATATCGAACTACCACGTTTCGATTTCCCGATCGTGTTTGCGGATCACGAATACCCGCCCCCTCCAGTCTCATCTCTACAGCACATGTCCTCGTCACAATCCAACATCATACTGAAACCGCCCCCGGAAGTCCAATTTGGGCCTGGTATAAACAGCTTGGGTGAAGCCGGTGGCGGATTTGGTAGTCGACTCATACGAGTCTATGACCCCGAGGTCGGGGCTCGGGACAACCCGGCAGAGAGCAAACACCGGAGGCTCGTGCGAAGTCAGCATCGCCAGGGCATACTGGACAAAGATCTGAAGCCGAATGCCAAAGTGCGAGATGAGCTGAATATGATCATGTCGTATTCTCCCGCTCATCCGCTCTCGCCGGAGGAGAAGGATCTTGTTTGGAAGTTCCGCTACCATCTCACGAGGGACAAGAGGGCGCTCACCAAATTTGTCAAGTCGGTCAACTGGCAGGACCTCAGCGAGTCCAAACAGGCAGTCCAGGTCCTTGGCAGATGGACCGATATTGACGTTGACGATGCCTTGGAGCTCTTGGGGCCGACATTCGACAATCACGCTGTCCGTGCCTTTGCTGTAGAGCGGCTACGAAAGGCTGACGATCACGAACTATTGCTCTACTTGCTCCAGTTGGTGCAGGCACTCAAATTCGAGCATATCTCCACTGAAAACAACCAAGAGGCCACGCACGACTCTTCGCTTGCTCGATTCCTCATCTCCAGAGCGGCACGTAACTTCATGCTGGGCAACTATTTCTACTGGTATCTGATGGTCGAATGCGACGACAAGAGCCAGGAACAGGGCCCCGAGTATCGCAAGATCTTCCGCAAGGTAGCCTACGACTTCATGATGGAACTAGAGAGGCTACCTGGCGGCAAGGATACGCGCAAAGTCCTCTTGCGACAGGCAGAATGGATCGCCATCCTCTCAAAGATCTCGGGCGAGATCAAGGAGTCAAATGAGTCGATCGCGCGCCGGTCGGAACGGGTCAAGCATTTCTTGGCGGACCCGAAGAACGAACTCGTCAATATTGATCCTCCTCTTCCTCTCCCGCTCGATCCTTCGATAGAGATTGTCGGCGTCGCCCCTGAGGATACAGTGGTCTTCAAGTCCTCCCTGCACCCCATCAAGGTATCCTTCAAAACGTCCAACGGACGCAAATACCCAATTCTGTTCAAGACAGGCGACGATCTACGGCAAGATCAGCTTGTCATCCAGATCATCACCCTCATGGACCAGCTCCTGCAGAAAGAGAACCTAGACCTCAAACTATCTCCGTACAAGATCCTAGCCACCAGCACCAGCGCAGGCCTGACGCAGTTCGTCTCGTCCATGAGCTTCCAGGGCATCACCTCCAAGTACCGGACCAACCCGGCCCTCGCCTACCTCAAGCAGAACAACCCCGACGACCGCGCGCCGCTGGGCCTCCGCAAGGAGACGCTCGACATCTTTGTCAAGTCGTGCGCCGGCTACTGCGTCATCACCTACATCCTCGGCGTCGGCGACCGCCACCTCGACAACCTGCTGCTCGCGCCCGACGGGCACTTCTTCCACATCGACTTTGGCTTCATCCTCGGCCGCGACCCGAAGCCCTTTGCGCCGGCCATGAAGCTGTCCAAGGAGATGGTCGACGCCATGGGCGGCAGCGGCTCCGAGCCCTACCGCCAGTTCCGCCAGTACTGCTTCCTGGCCTACTCGGCGCTGCGCAAGTCGAGCAACCTCATCCTCAACCTGTTCAGCCTCATGGTCGACGCCAACATCCCCGACATCCGGCTCGAGCCCGACAAGGCCGTGCTCAAGGTCAAGGACAGGTTCCACCTGGAGCTGACGGAGGAAGAGGCCATACGGCATTTTGAGCGGGTCATTGACGACAACCTGAATGCCATTGTGCCAGTTGTGATTGACAGGCTGCATGAGTTTGTGCAGGCTTTCAGGGCTTAGAGTCACATATTTGGTTTAGATGTAGCATGGCGTTGGGGCGTTCGAATTTACTGCAGGCAAGACGTGAGTGAACCACAGCAATGATTAATCTTACTTTGAAATACATCCTTGAGCGATAGGCCTGAAGACCTGTTGAATGTTGAATATTACACAATATCCTGTAAAGCAACGGCAGTACGTGCTATCTGCACAAGGTTTCCTTACTCCCTCGAAACCGCCAATAAGGAAAAAAAAAGAACATGGCCTACTTTACATAACACGAATACTCATACAAACCACACCTAATTCTTCCTCTGCAACACGTTGCCAGAGCGCCTCCTCAGCGCGGAGGGCCGCAGCCTGGCAGCCAGGTTCTCCCGTGCGGCAGACAACTGGCCCGCGCCCAGGGGCGAAGGCCGTCCCACACCTCCGGACCCCCTCGCCCCCGCGGCAAGAAGGTGGTGCGCCGCGCTGCTCACCCCTTCCCAGTTATTCCTCCCGTCCTCGCCAGAGTACAGGCTCCCGCCGCTGGGGCTGTCGTACCCGGCATCGTCCTCCTCCTCCTCGTCGTGGAACCCGACACCAGCCGGCACAGAGCGCCTCCTCGTCCGGCCGAGCAAGCCTACTCCGCCGGCCCGCAGATGCGGCGGCCTCATGACGTTGTCGTCGCGCACGCGCAGCGCGGCGGCGTCGATGGCCATCTGCGCGCGCATGGCCGTCCACGACTCGATCTGGCCGCAGTCGGCCTCGTCGACGCAGCGGCACTCGTCGCCGGCGGGGCAGTCCGTCTCGCCCATGGCGTGCCACTCGGCGAGGCAGTGCTCGTGCGCGACGCACCCGCAGCCCAGGCAGGGCGGGTACAGCGCGTCGACCGGCTCGGTGCAGTAGACGCAGCGTAGCTGCGCCTGCGCGCGGTGGCAGCGGTGGCAGGTGCCCACGGCACCGCCGACGGCGCCGTCGTGCTCTTCGGTCGTGTACTCGAGCGGCTCGAGCTGCATCTCGCACCGGCTGCAGAGGCCCGTGACGTCGAGCCCGCGGTCCGAGGCGAGCAGGGCCTGCAGCTGCTCCTTCTTGTTGCCCAGGACGAGGGTCGGCGACGTGGTGCCCGGCGTCGTCTGCGGCGGCGCGCTCGAGATGCTGTGGTTGTGGCTGTGGACGCTCTCCGCGCCGCCAAAGGACTCGTGGGCGCTGGCATCGTCGCCAAAGACGCCCGAGGCGGTCATACTGTCGTCCTTGAGGACGTTGAACTTCATAATCTCCAGCCTGGCGAGCGGCTGTCCCCACATCTGCAACATCTCGGCATAGGCATATCGATAGCCCGCATAGATGGCATTGTGGCTCGGCTCCAGGAACGGCGTAGCCATCCAGCCGTCGTCGTTGAACAGCCGGCTGTTCTCGGTGTGAACGGTGACATCCACTGCTACCATAGATAACATCTCCTCGCGACGGTAGTCGTCATCTGACAGCGAAGTTCTAGCCGTGCCTGGGTTCTCAGCTTGCGCGCCAAACACCGTCGAGCCACCCCAAGTGATATTGCTTGGCGCCAGATTACTGAGGATTGTTTCGGCAGGGCTTGGTCTTTTCCGTACTGGCGGCTCGGGGGGGGATGAGGAAATAATGCCTGACAGCGTGCGGGGCAAGCTGGCGGTGATAGTTGAGGTGAGAGCTGAGTTGGTTCGTCGGAAAGAACGGGTATTCGGTGAGGTTGACAGGCTCTGTGTCTGATCGCGCTCTAGGAGATGATCCCTCCCAAATCGCATAGGAGGTGTCTCACCACACGAGTATGAATTAGAAGCAGGCTCGCCGGCCCAGGAGACTTCCTCTGAGCCTTGTGACCCAGAATACAGGATAGGAGTGTGGGCTGTGCGCGGAGTTGTCACGGCAGAGCTCATCGCACTGCGCGCGTGCATGTTCCATACGTCTGGATTCGTAGGAAAGTACTCAAGAGAGAATGAGGGTGCCTTCATAGGCAGTGGCGTCTCGGGTTGCGTCAGATGTGATTCAGCATACGCGACACTATCTTCGGCCGAAGAGTCGCCAAAGATGCAAGACAGCATCGCAAGCATTTGGATGTCTGCAAGCTGGTCAAAGTAATCGAAGAGATCGTGGATGAACTCCTGAGCCAGGGGATGGTAGCCCCATTTCACTCGACCAGTGAGCAGCTCATCGTCTCCCTTACTGCCCCTGTCATCTTCTCGAAACCTAGACACAGCATCTCTGGCGATGACCAACACCGATTTTCGCCGTAGTGATTGTTCAGTCAACTTGAGAGGGATGTCGGATCTCAGGAGCAAGGCAGAATATCGCCATATATCCACAAGATCCGGATACCCATACTTCTCGGCGACTTTGGCATTGTGCTCACACACCTCGGCACCATCACCGAAAATAGCGTACTCTTGAGCAAACTGCTGCTTCGAGGGGAGTTCGACCCGGTAATCGTGGATAGATGTGATGCTTTTTGGCTTGCCCGGGCGTCGCCTACTGGTGCCGGTGCCTGTGCCAGTTCCAGCACCCGTTCCTCCACCGCTGGAGCGAATTGAATCGTTTGCACTCCATGTCTTGCGGATGCGCCGACCAGCCTGATACCAGAGGCTGATCTTGTGCATTGTTGTCAGCTCGGAATCGCTAGAGGAGGAAGACGACGAAGCGTCAGAGTCGTCGGATCCATCTGAGTGATCACTCGTCGCGGAAGCATCTTCATCTTCATTCCTTTGCTTCAACGGAGGCGAGTCGTGTGTCAGACGCCCAAACCCAGCAAAATTGGGTTCCCCCTTAAGCCGGTCTCGATTGGCATCGGCTGCCAACGCAAACCTGTCTTTGGCTCTCTGGTCCTTCGTCGGGAAGAAGCAAACAATCCGACCATCATTTGAGAAGCGCGCACCACAGGTCCTAGCTTTGGGTGGCACAACCATTGGCCGAAAGCTCGGTGCTAGGGTGTTGTCTTCGGTGCTAAGAGTCAGTTCCTGAGACATGGACGCTGAACCCCCGGCGGGAATCTCAGTCTCATCATCTTCGCTTGAACTCTCATCGGCAAGATCATCAGAGACGTCGTCAAAGTCTCGCACGTTCTTGAAAAACGTTGTACTCGCCTCCAGGTCGACTTCTCCCAGCAGGTAGGTAAATGCAACATCCAAGCAGTTCTTTTTCCTTTGCAGAAACTGGGCTGTCAGTTCCTGCAGCTCCGTCTCGATCTTCTGATGCGTTTCGTCTGGCATGAAGGAGCTCTGTTCTACGAAGAACCTCGGTGCTTTCAGTTTGGGATAGGATGCAGGTATATCCACCCTGACTTTGATGAAGATGGTCTCTCCCCCTTCTCCCCAGGGACCCTTCAGCGACGCGTTCAGTGTGAGGTTATCCATGTCGATGTTCTCCCATTTCACGTTTGGAAGTTGGTTACTGATGCGCACGAATTCTTCATGGATGCTTTCAGGCTCGCCCCAGTCATCATCAGGGTATCCCGGACTCAACATGGATGAATCCTTGGAATCTTGACGTTGGGGAGTGTCAGAGCTCGATTTGCGCTTGTTCATCGAGACACCCTTCATCCACCCAATTTGGGCATGGCTGCGATCCGCTTCTTGTGACGAGACAGGCTTGGCCTTCATGGAAGGGCCTCTCCAGGCAGATCGGCTCGGGTAATGGGGAGCTTGCATACTCATCGTGAGTGCGCTTCGCCGATACCCAGTCCCGCTGGTTGCAGGGCGTGGGTCACTCATCGTCGCGGTTCTCCTATCACGATGGGGGTGGTCATCAACTGTTCGGAAGGTCTTGTAGACTGCGCCCTTGCGTGTAATGTTGAGTCGTTTTCTTGGGGGGCCGCCCTTTACAAAGCCTACCGCAGCGAGATCCTCAGGGTCCGGGCGCTGCAGTCGAAGCTCGTTGTCTTCACCCCAGGACACTAATTGAAACTCGCGGTCGTCGGCCTCTTCGGTCACAGTGCCACGACTTCTCCAGAGGAATTCCTTGACTTTGTGATTACCGTGGCCCGGGAAGACAGCTACGGGGTCGACGTGGCCATCCTTGGGCGTGTTGCTTTCCGATCGTCGATCATAGAGGTAGAGATTGCCAGGCTCGTTCTGAGGCATGGCAAGCAGACCCCACCCGAAAGGAGCATGTCGAGCGCGCCATACTGGGAAGTCGGTACGGATGACCCGTTCAGGTTCGTCGCCCTCGTTCCCATAGTCCCAGAACTTGATGCTTTTGTCGAGTGAGCAGGTAACGACCCCTGTTGCCCTGGTACGGTTCCAGTCTAGCCCATAGATCTTTGAGGTATGGGCGCTGATTGTCCTCAGGGGTTCCGCGGCGTTTCGGTCATCCCAGATGTGCAGGTATCTGTCATGAGAAGAGGCGAGGATATGGCTGTCCTGCCTGTTGTATTTTACCTGAGTAGCACCTGCAAACCAGTCACAGAATGTGAGAGCTGGCTGCCTGGGGCGCCGAAGATCCCAGCAATGAACATAACCATCCACGGCACAGGTTGCCAGGAAGTCCCGGCTGTGCGCTGAGAAGTTGATGTCGGTGATTGCTCGACTATGGCCTTGGAGAGAATGCTCAATGGCTCCAGATGGCGAATCGTCGCGCAGGTTCAGATTCCAGACTAGACATCGATGATTCGCAGTGGACGCGACCCAGTAGTCTCGATCTGCGAATGGTGACCATTGCACATCCACAACAAGCCAAGGAGAGCCATGACTGCTCAACCTCCGAGGCGGGCTATAAGGTGAGTCGAGGTCTATTATGGTCAGACCCTCGGGCCTTGGTGTGCTTGTTAGCTCCTAGCTCTCGAAGAGGGGCCATGCTCGACAAGCTTACGAAGCAAGAGCCACATCCCGGCCTGAGGGAGATATCGTGGCTGACCCTACAAGGCCATCGACATGAATGGTCCCATCGGCGTCAAAGGTCTCGCTGTCAGACGCCGATTTGAGCGTCTTGCTCTTCTTGTGTTGGTCAAAGAGCCGCGTGAATGCAGAAGGCATGGTGAGAGCTCAGCGCCGTTACCTGGCGCATCATCGAGCGCGACGGCTTGCCAAACCGCTTCCTGCCTCGACAGTCGCTGCGCAGGCCGATTAAGTCGATCGCATGGATCGCAAAAGGCGCGGCTTCATCGGTTTCAGTTCTCGCCAACCATTCCTACTCCTGTGAGTCTCCAGCGGGTGTCTTCGCAGGGCTGAGTTCACGCTGGATTGGTGAGCTGTCGTGCATGAGATTAAGCTGTAGATTGACCGAGTTCCCATAGGTAGCCCTCCCGCTTTGGTTTAGTGGAAAGTGACTTTGGCCTCCCAACTTATGATGTGGGGCTCGTGACAGAGGCGGAACCTGCCGGTATCTAATCCCCCCCCACCTTCGCAGTCCAGTTGACTCTCCCGCATTCAAGTCGCTGGTGAGGCTTAGATTTCCAACGACAATCATTGATCTGCCTTCTCTGTGCTTCCAAGTTTGTCGTCTTGAGCGACCAAGCACGGGAATATCCTGCGACTCACTGCTGCGAGACCTTCTCCCGTCGTCCCGAAGGCCAAACATTGCAATCTTCTCCCGCTATTTAGCCCTCCTCAGCCCGACAACTTCTGCAAGTAGGTGCCTAATCAACACAGCTTGCTCGAGACTTTGCTTCAGAGCTCTCGACAATTAGCCGGTCTGTATCTATCCGACGACACCTAAGAATCACTCTGCGGCCATGGCGTTACCCAAGCGCATTGTCAAGGAGACGGAGCGGTTGATGGCGGAGCCGTAAGGACCCCTCGAATATCGAAATTTTGGGATGACTCGATTTGATCTGACCTCGACACGTACAGCGTCCCTGGTATCAGCGCCATTCCTCATGAAGACAATCTGCGATACTTTGATGTCGAGATCCATGGCCCTCAGTCGTCTCCCTACGAAGGTGAGTCAGCGTTGGACCGAAGGGCAGACGTTCTTGATGCCATGTATGCTAACCCGGCGACGCAGGTGGCATTTTCAAACTTGAACTCTTCCTTCCCGACGACTACCCAATGACGCCGCCCAAGATCCGTTTCTTGACCAAGATTTTCCATCCGAATGTTGACAAGCTCGGGCGCATCTGTCTGGATGTTCTGAAGAGTACTGTTTTCCTCCCCAAGTTATCCTCAACTCTCTGGGAATGGACTTAGTGACTAATTGGGATAATTCAGACAACTGGTCACCCGCTCTCCAAATCCGAACCATACTCCTATCGATCCAGGCTTTGCTGGGTGCCCCAAATCCCGACGACCCCCTCGCCGCCGACGTTGCCAAGAGCTGGAAGGAGGATGAGAAGGCTGCCATCCAGACTGCAAAGGAGTGGACGCAGCAGTATGCCGTGCCCAAATGAGCGTGTTAGCAATGTGCTTAGGTCGCTTTTGTCCTGAGAGGCATTATTATTCTCCTTGGAGAAGTTAAGAGGACGACGCCGCTGGAAGGGAATCACACAGGTTTCGGATGCTCGAAGGACGTCCTAGGTGGTGCAATCTAGCCCTCTGGAGGCTGTGGGTGCTCTAGGACATTGCAGCCACTGTATTCAGTCGGCATGATATGATGGATGATGAGTAGAGGATGGATCACGAAGACGCGTAGTCATTTCCAGCGCTTGTTGTTTCGTCATAGAAGGGACGTTATCCATATCATAGTTGCCATTGAGGGACCAGGGTGAGCTTGATTTCAAAGCTTTTACTAAGTAAACAGAGATTCATCGATACTTTCATCTGAGACAAGAAGAGTGCAGTTTATGCGGATTGAAACGCCGTACCATGAATCGCACTCCCAAGATCTGAGGATATCTATGCAAGTCGACAGTAGTCGCTGGCCTATCACGGAAACCCCTTCCTATACCTTGAGATGGCTAGCTGCCGTTGGTTCTCCTTGCATGTTCTCGGGCAGTGCCACGGTAGTAAGATTTGGTTGAGTTTCCAGGCCTTCCATCCCGGTGTATACAGCTCTATTAGATCAAGAGGGGGTGTTCAAATCCACGTGGCACTTTAGCGATGGGTTACCTTGCTGGGCCGCCGAGACTATGATGCCTGGATGCATCATGGAACCGGGTTTACATGCCCTCGTGGCTGACGGATGCTTTCTGGGCACAACAAGCAAGTGATGGTCAGGTTAGTTGACGGACTGCGAACAGAAGTACTCGACTATCCATCAAACCCATTCAGTTTTAGGTAGTGAGATAGCCCTTCCGAGTCCCAGAGCAAGGATATGCACTTTTACGATTGAGGTATCCCCTGATGAACTTCTGTCATCCATTCTGACCCCCGCTCGAACAAGGAAGTCTCCCGGAAGATCTTGCTCGCATGGCGGAAATTGCCATGGCTTTTCCCGACGAACGGCGCGACTTTTCTCTTGCTACAATCGCTGACAAAGCCGAGTGTCGGGTGGCTAGAACGCGGCCTAGATCCCTGTCACCGATGCATACGCGTTAGCTTGACAGGGATCCGGCCTGGATCGCTGGCAGCCACCAGACGGGGAGAGTTTGTGCATGGCAGAGGAGTGTTCATGGCGGACCTGTCATCGTCAGCTGGTCATGGCCCAGCAGTTGAATATACGTCCAGAAAGCCGGGTGATCTAGATTCGGGCGATGGAAGGCACTGGCTGCACATGGGCGAGACGAGTATGGATACGCATTGCAACATCGACAACACCCATGACACGGACATGTGTGTTGACTGTTCGGAAAGCCATAGCAGCAGGATACTAAGACCAATATCTGGCGTACCTTGCCTTAGTTATGGTGACACAATCGGGATGGCCTCCTACAAAGGGTGTAAGCAGAGCTTCACAGCACTATGAGAGGTGCAAAGACACGCGGATGCTGTGCGACTCCGCGTACGGAGTACCTAGCTCAGTTATCAGTGTTCATTGAACGAGAATTGAGTCTCACCGAGCAGCGCCCTCTTCTTTGTAGCTCCAAACAAACAAAGTGAGCCCGTGCAGCCCAACACCAAGAGAAGAGAGGTCAAAGAGTGGATGTCACCACTCCTCCTCCTCCCTCCCCTAAACCACAATGAGCATGCAGAGAAAAAGGACCCCTGCTCCACCACCTCCACATCCCCTGGGGATCCATTCGCCATCCCCAGCCCCCCTTCCAAGTTCCAACATTCGTTTCCTCGCAATTGCGGCCGCAATTTTGAAACATTGGACCGATCATATTATCCATGGACAAGCCTGAGACGGTTTCCAATCGACTCTGCTTGTTTGCTTTCGCATTACCAGCTGCGGATCCGGCTCCCATCCCCGCATCACGGCGTCAACACTGAACCGCGAACCAGCTGCGCGCCCACTTTGGCTCTCAGGAGTTCAGCCACCCCCCCGAAATCCGAGAAAAGGAAACATCAACGAGCTTCCAGATCCCGCGGCCCCCCTCGATCTCATTTCTTTCGTTCACCTGCCCTACCGGCTCCTGTTTGCCCGTGTTGAAGACAGAAAGAGCGCCAGCGGTTCGGACCGATCTAGCAAACGTGCCAACGCTTTGACATTCCTCGTCCCGCATTCCGGTCCCGGTTGCTCGTCGCCACCCCCCAGCTTTGACAGTGCGCCAGAAGAAGCAGCATCTATTCTCGATCAAGCGCTGTGACACCTCGCTGTCTGCCAGCCTCACAATCTTCAGCCGAGAACCATGCCTGCCCGAACGAACGGTAGCGTGGCCACCGCGCCAGCGCCAGCCAAGACTTTCGAGCTCCCAGCTCTCGACTTCAACTTCTCGTCGCTCACCGAGGGCACCAACATCCCAGCTCCTCTGCCCTCCCCGATCCAAGAAGAGCCCGCCTTGCCCAAGACGCCGACCAAGCAGGAGGAGAAGGAGAACACCAAGCCGACGACCTCCTCGAACGGAGAGCATCCTGATGCCACATCTCCTGACTCGACCGGTGCCAAGGGCGGCGTGAAGCGCCCAGCCGACGACATTCCCGCCTCTCCGACGCACTCACACCGACAGGGCAGCATCCGCCGGCTGTTCAGCAGGAATATGCTCAACTCGGCGTATGCGAGTGGAGAGGCCGACTCACAAGCGGCGCCCAGCATTGACGTCAGCACCACCAGGCCAGCAAGCCGGAGCAACGGTAGCTTCATGGATGACAGGAAATCAAAGAGGAGTAGCGGATGGTTCAGGAGACTCCGAGGCGGCGACACATCCCCACCGCCCAGCAGCAGCGGCTCCAACAAGAGGTCGAGCACGTTAATCCAGGAAGTGAGGAAGCCTGCTGGCCCACCACCCCCAATGATACCAGAACTGTCCGATCTCGAGGCCAAGATCGACCTCGACGACGGAGGCAGCCTCGGTAGCGATCTTTTCAAGAACATAAAATAAGCATGGCACAAAGTGCTTACGACTTTACTTCGATTCTACATCCGACAATGAGGAGTGGACGGCGCTCCCAGGGCAACGAACGTACCAGGAACACGCCCGGACCACATTTTTGCATCTCTGAAGATCTCATAAAAGCCAGCAGCAGACGTCAATTCTGGCATGGAGAAACGACTTTTTTTTTTTGTGCCTTTGCTACCCTTTCATTTTCTTTTCTCTTTCTCTGGCTCTTTCGAGCTGCAGAAGACGCATGCTGCGAGATATGTATCATGATACCCAGCTCGATTAACGGGCTCATTCATTCTCAACACGAGAGCTGTTCACTTTTATTTTTCTCACACAAAAAGATGCCCATTCTTCTCGAAGCCTATTTTTTTGAGTGCTTGTGCCTTATCATCCCCTCCGTTGCTCTCTTTTCGATTCATTTGTACTACGTAAGGGAATTTAGGAAAGCGGCAGCCCGCTGAGATCTCCGCCGCATGGCTTAGTTACCAGATGCCTCTAATACCTACATCCTCCACCTTCTTCCATCTGCTTCTTCCGCCTCCTCTGGCTTGCCTCCTTGACTCTTGGTTTCTTGTGAGGACTCTTGACAAATAATCTCCCCGTGTGGCTTCATGGCCCTTGCGTGGAATTGCGAAGGGCTTGGATCTTCAATGAAATGGAGTGGCAGGCCTCTAACTCGTGCATTCGTGCCCTGCCTCCCCATCTCCAGGGCAGTTTTATCAAGCATCTTCTGAGCCTGAAGCCGCAGCCCTTGAACACCGCCGTGCGGGCAGTCGAAGGGTGCGATGGCACAATGGCGATTTAGTATTGGTCTGGCCTGAGGGCTCAGCACTGCCTCTGTTGCTGTCGCCCATCTCCTCTTGCTGCATGTTGTCACACATCGGAGCCCGCAGAAGTCGGGCTTGAAGGCCTTGCGATCCGGGGGGGTGGTTGAACAATCCACGACAACAATCTTGTCCTTATAACTGGAAACGTTATGGTGTCTCTGGAGCAGGTTCATTGTGTCTCTTCAACTATGTCTAGATAACAGTATGACTCGACTTGAGGTTGACCCAAAAGTTAAACTATTGATACATATATGAATATATTGATAGAACCCCTTGTGATTCTATAAAGGTCACTCGTAGTCACCGAGATCTTCTATTGAGATATGGATATGGGTATATAGAAGGCCGGCTGGAGTACAAGTTGTACCAAGGTAAGGCAGCATCGGATTTTGGTGCAATTGAGGCCAGGGTACTTCATGATAGGTATCTCAATCACATAATATATGTATGTGTATGTATCTATTTCTAGTACTTCAAATACTTCATCTTATTTATTTCGCAGTATATCCAGATGATATGATAGGAGTCACCCAATACGTTTGGCAGCTTTGAAGAGAAAAAAGTGGCCCTGAGCAGCAACAGCTCAAGCTCCACGGCTGGACGGGTGGGGACATGTACCGTGAGCTCTAAAACGTCATTCCAACCGGCGCCGGGCCGAGAGCTTCGTTTCTTTTGCACGGCAGTCTCCGCCGACATTGACGACTCACGAAACCACACCTCTTGTTTGCGCAAACCACCAATTCGTCCGAGAAGTCAGCAAGCATACCCGGAAAGCTAGAAAGATGGCGACGACCCTGCGCTCCGCGCGGCCCATCGCCAACGGCCTCCTCCGGCCCAGCGCCCAGAGCTCGCGGACCTGCCGCGGCTGCTCCCTGCCTCTGACGGCCGTCCGGCACAAGAGCGGGCCGTACGGCTACGAGCAGGCCAAGGCGCTCGTCTTCTCCAAGTACGGAGAACCCTCTGACGTCCTCAGGTACGCAGTTGCCCCCCCCCCCTTTCCTCCCCTCTTCTCTGTCTTCCTTTTTGCTGCTGCTCGAACGACGACTGCCCCAAGAAGTATCAGCTAACGGTTTCGTCGTCTTGTTTCCCACAGCATCCACAAGCACTCCATCTCCCCCTCCCTGCCCTCGGGCTCCGTCCTCGTCCGCACCCTCGCCGCGCCCATCAACCCGGCCGACGTCAACACCATCCAGGGCACCTACGGCGCGAAGCCCACCTTCTCGACGCTCCTGGGCACCGCCGAGCCGGCCGCCCTGGCCGGCAACGAGGGCTGCTTCGAGGTCATGGCCGTCGGCGACGGCGTGTCGTCGCTCAAGAAGGGCGACTGGGCCATACCCGCCGGCACGGGGCTCGGCACCTGGCGCACGCAGGCCCTGATCGAGGGCGCCGACGCGAGCCTCCTGCGCGTCGACAGGACCGGCCTGACCCCGCTGCAGGCCGCGACCGTCAGCGTCAACCCGTGCAGCGCGTACCGCATGCTGCGCGACTTTGTCGACCTCGTCGACGTCAGCGTGCGCAGCTTCGCGGCGTCGGGCGGCGGCGCCTGGTTCCTGCAGAACGGGGCCAACTCGGGCGTCGGCCGCGCGGCGATCCAGCTCGGCCGGCTGTGGGGCCTGCGCAGCATCAACGTCGTGCGGGAGCGCGAGACCGAGGCCGAGACGGCGGCCCTGAAGCAGGAGCTCTCCGACCTCGGCGCCACGGTCGTGCTGACGGAGAGGGAGTTCCTCGACCGCTCGTTCCGGGACCGCCTGGCCGAGACGCTGCGCGGCGGGCGCGACGAGCTGCTCCTCGGGCTCAACTGCGTCGGCGGCAAGTCGGCTTCCGCCGTGGCGCGGTCGCTCAGCGAGGGCGGCACGGTGGTCACGTACGGCGCCATGTCGCGGCAGCCCGTGAGCCTGCCGACGGGCCTGCTCATCTTCAAGGACATCTCCTTCCGGGGCTTCTGGCTGAGCCGGTGGGCGAACCGCGACCGGCCCGGCAAGAGGCGGACGGTCGAGGAGATCCTGGCGCTCATCCGCGAGGGCAAGTTTGCCGACACCCCCGTCGACGAGGTCCCCTGGACGTGGGACACGCCCGAGCAGGAGCTGCGGGACGCGGTGCAGGGCACGCTGCAGGGGTTCAGGAAAGGGAAGGGGGTGTTTGTGTTTAAGGATACCTGAGAGAGGGAGGCGTGGCATGGGGGTTGGTTGGGGCGGTAATGAATGACCGAGGGTTGAGAGTGATTTGTGTAAGAACAAAAAGATGAAAATAGACTGTGATAAAGCTTGCTTGTTGTACTTTGTTGCAGTGTGCTGCCTGGGGACTCTTGGAGGTCTGGGACTGTGAGAAGCCAGGTCTGAAAGTTGATAGGATCAAGTGACTGTAGTCTTGGATCAGCCAGGTCGAGCCATGTGCCAGGTTGAGTACTTGATTTGCAACTTGACACTGAAACCTTGGTGATATGTGAGCACTCGCCTCACGAGACTCGAGCCTCGCCTTGGCAAAGAGCACAACCACTCAACACTCTTCATATAGACCAGAATTTATATGCCAATATGGCTGCTAAATGACCATGTACAATCACTGTAGAGTGCAGTGCAGTGGTGAGTCAGCTGCAGCACCCACCCCCAAGCCATACACCCCCTTCTAGGCTGCACCTCTGCCCTGGACCCGCCTCACCTCCCGCAGCCGCGTCCCAAACATCGCCAACCCAGACCCGCTTTTGACAACCCTCAGAACGCCCCTAAAGAGCTGCAACTGTACAAGTCCTCATACATCTGGGTTAGCCAGTCAGCAAGTGGCAGGGGGCGTGGGAGACGGCTCAACTGGATGAGAGTCTGGTTGCAAAAAGACTAAAAACCCCAAACACGAAAAAGAATAGAGCCGCACACGTCCTTGGCCAGTGGAGGATTCTAATCGAACTTTGAAACTCATTGTGTTCGATACCCGTTTGAATCTAATTACACATATATATATAAAACCCTCGCGGTTTTTGTAGCCGGCTTCCAGGGGGATTCGGTGAGTTTTTTTACTTTCTTGACATATCTTTTTATTTTTTTCTATGCTTTTAACAACGAGCGTACCCGTTGATAAGGCCAAATAATTGCGTGTCAACGTGACTTCGCGACCGTAACGGCGGCCTATGTACCAAGAACTTCATTGGAGGAGACTAGGCGTAGGGGTAGTGATATCTTGATTTCAAGGTTGAAAGTCGGAAGGTTGCAAAACGCCACTGGTGATTTGGGCCACCGAAAAGTGCATATCAGCTTCTGAGAACATTGCGGCACACCCGTTTCAACTATTCGAAGACTGTCATGATGCCTCAGCCGTTCCCACGTACGAGGACAAGGACATTGAACCTTGTAACAGTATCGCGTAGACTAGGACATAATCAACAACACACGTGCTTGAAGTAACGTCAGAGAGATTTATCCAAGCGTTGTAACACTATGGCAGCCCAGGCATCACCGAGGACACACAGCGCGTATCATACGAAGGTTGTTGCTTTTTTTAACTTCTGAACAAACATGAGACCTTTCGAGTGATTAAGCTAGTAGCGCGCTGCCTTTTGCTACATCCTATGGCCCAAACGTTTTCTACTCCCAGCCGTCTCGAGTCAGTTCCACTGCTTGCCAAAGAACTCGAGCACCGTCTTGTAGCCGCGGATGTACTCCTCCTTGACATGGTCGTCGGTCAGGTCCGAGCGAGCGGCCATCCAGCCGTGGATCTGGTCGCCGAAGGTCTCGACGTGCTTGGCGACCGTCAGGTTGCTCTCGAAATTCTTGACATCCTCGGGAGCCTCGTCCTTGGACGCGAGCATGATGAGAGGGACCTTGATGCTAGAGGCATCGTTGGCGTCGACCATGGCTGGATGGATCTCGGCAGCGATAGAGAAAGGAGTCTTATCCCCGGAAGTGGCGAGAGAAACGACCTTTCCTCCCCAGCAATACTAAAAATTGCGTTAGACAACAACACTTGCATTTCATGGTAGGATTGACATGGCCTACCCCTAGGATGCCCCATGACTTGATCGAAGAGTTGTGCTCGTTGGCGGCCTTGACAAAGGCGGGGACCTTCTCGGCGACTGAAGGGGGCGGGAACTTCTTGAAGAAGTTGCCGAGATTCTTCTGCTTCTCTTCGGTGTTCGGGGGGAACCTACGGCGGGTCAGTTAGCCCAGCATTTCCTTATCCCTGGTCATCAAGCTCTGAGAGGGGCCATACCACTCGATAGGGCAGGGCTCGCCGTTGAACCAGTCAGGCATGTAGACCTTGTACTTCTGGTGCTTGTCGCTGGTGGCCAGGATATCGGCGCCCTGGACCGTCTGGTCAAAGAAGCCAAAGATGTCAAAGATGACGAGAATTGCCTTGGTGGCATCGGCCGGCCCAGTGACATCTGATCAGCACGGCATCCCCAGTCAGCAAAGAATCGGAATACCTCGGTTGTCTCATAGCCCGAACGTACAAGTCTTGAAACCGCCAACCTGCTCGTACGAGCCTTGGGCCTTGTAGCCGCTGGCAACTTTGCAATGGTTAGCGACGGGTCGGCGAGCATCGTCGTCAAGAAAAGGGGTCTGCAGATCAGCGTCGTACCGACTGGGGGTATGTTACAGCAGGCCTGGTAAAGTTAATTATTAGTCTCGAGTCGTGGCAGGGCGTGGCGCGTCTCGTGAAGCGTCAATGGGAGAAACTCAGAACGGACCTCGCTGTGACCGCCGGTAGCTGGCATGCTCGACATCCTGGCGGTTTGTTGGGCAATTGGCCTCGTAAAAGCGGCAGATGTGGTTTGTTGGGCTGTAGGAGCCTGGGCCGATCGCAATGAGGCCGATGGAGTCGACGCTGAGGATGCTTGACCGCTTGTGTAGAGGTTGGGAAGTCGAGGAATTGGGTTTCGCGAAGGGCTCAGGGCGCGGTTGAGAAATCCAGCAGGAGCTCGGAGAGGTGGGGTTGGAGGCGGCATAAGCGTCACAAGTTGCAAACGGCGTCGGCCTGGAGCAGGAACAAAAGCAGCTCGGCAGTTGGATCGCGGCTACGAGCTGCACGGGCAATCTTACAAGGTTTCAATTGGTAGGAGCAATATGCACGCCCCTTTCGAACTCAATGCAACCAGTTGTCGTTCTTTCTTCAACACTGCAATGCCGCCGTTGGACTGGCGTGATCCCCAGGGCTTGTTTGAGCTTGAAAGGCGGCGGTGGCGCTGCGGGGTGTCGGTCGGGAGGGGTCAAAGCTCCCTGCAGTAGTCGGGGGCGGGTGGTGATGTCACTTTGATGTGGTCCATGCGTTATCATGTCCAAAGGAAAGGCCTGACTGTGGACCTCTGATCATGTACTTTCGCGAAGCTAGAAATTGTATTGTAGTCGTACATACATTTGGGTATGGCGTGCGTACTAATCCTGTATGGTCAAAACGTTCAAGGCTTTCGTGAGGCTGGCCTGCTTTGCGCTGATGTTTGAATTGATTGTCTGTCCAGGTGAAGCCGTTGGGCAATTGCCGTTTTGGGCAAGACGGAGCCAATTACAGCCAATCAGCAGAGACACCGTCTCCAGGCCGAAACCTGGCCTGGATCTATTTCAACTTCTCTCTATCAAGAACATTAGCTAGCGATCCTTGCAACGATAATCATCAATGCCCTTTTGCAGCATCCGATGGCCTCTGGATTTCTGGCCTAGGATGGGGATTGCTTGGGATGTCCTTCTTGCTTCTCGCCATACAATGCCGTCTTCTGAACATTCCTCGAGGATGAAGACTGTTGGGTCGACGTATCCCTTGCCCTATGCGTCTAGGATGAAGAAATAATTCCAATGTGCTTTTCAGAAGATGAAGTTACCCTATCCGGTCATCATCAATACATAGCATATGATAAGTCCAGCAGGCTCGACCTCTACTACACGGCGTCGTCATCATAAGAACACAACTTGTAAGTCACCCTAGCGCGCACCTCATAGGGAAGACGCTAGTTCCTGTCTATGATGATATGAAAGCCACCTCCATCGGAGTTCGGAGGCAGAGTCCATCTATACCCGCGCCTTGAGAAGTCGTTCCTGCGGGGGTGTGTGTGCAGTGTCAGCCTTCTAGAAGCCTGTCCCTTTTTGTTTTGTCACGGATGCATCTGGTCGCTTCAAGTATTTATTTTTTCTCCACGGACATTGGACATGATCACAAGATGCAGTTCCGGCCCTAGGCAAGAACCGCCAGATATTCCGAGGCGGCTTGTGACATTTTGTACAAGTATTCAGAAAACTGGAGCTCACCTCTCTTCCTCCCCTCTCTTTTGTTGTTCTTTCTCAGTGCGTGCGCGTTGCAAAGTGACGGGTATCTCGTTTGGCACCGGTTTCTCCATAAAAGATCCATCTGATCCATCAACAAAGGTGTACTAGATGATCGGGATTGTGGCAAAAACAAATGGACTTGGCTTTTTTTTCTTACCGGGTCCAAGCGACTTGGCAGCCGTGTGCCTGCCCTGATGAAGGAAGGAATACCTAGTGTTTCAACGGCGAGTAATGACCACAAAACGGGCAACCAAGTCAGCATTTGGGGCTTGTAATTGTCCATTTGCCCTACAGAGAGTCATGTGCATGGAACAAAATGTGCGCTTTGTCATCGACGATTGCCCCTATTTTCCTCGGCTGCAGCCATCGGCCTGTCGATCAAAAAGCTTGTCCTTATCATTGAAAACGTCCGTCTATCTGTGTGCAGGAAGACGTCACAGACAGCGGGCTTTTGATTTGGTGGGCGGCGCAAAAGAGCATCAAAGTCCGAAGTAGCGAGTTGGCAGCCATGTCAGCGTCAGCGCTTATGCGTGGACCGCTGGCAAATCAGTGTGGCTGGATAACAGTAGCCTCAAGCTAAGGAATTTCTCGTTCGTCAATCATGCAACAGCAGTCGTGTATGGTGTCGATTTCACATGTCCACCACTATTGATTTAGAGATGATTTCGGTTGTTCAACCCTGTACTCGGAGAACTTGCTCCTTTTCACAACATATGATAATCATAAAGTTTGTGGCCGGATGCACCTCAATCCACGTGGAGAGAGGTTCGACCCTGCATAAAACGGTACAAACGGGGTTCCGTGCCGTAAACTCGGCCGGCGGGACTCCGAATACGTCCGGCCACCAAGATTTGACGGGACGACACTAGTGCAAATTACCGAGGGGGACAGCCTTGCATTAACGGGTTGGGCTAATTAACCTACAGTTTGGGAACTGACAAATTCAACGGATTTAACGACGTCGTGATTGGTAATGCCTGTAGAGTCGTACATCGAACGTGGGATTTGTTATTGACATGCTCCAAGCAACCATTAGCTTGGTATGCATAAAAGCTACCAATTTCGTTGCGAGTAATTGCTGCCCCTGTCATGTCTCAGATAAGCTGGGACTGCAGGGTCCAGGCTCGATTTACTCGAATTGACCCAGATCTGGGGAATTGAGGCGTCGTTGGCTGGAGCTTTTTGTCTTAAAAACGGCATGATCTGATAGCTAGCCTGTCTCTCGGGTCTCTGAACCGAAAAATGTTTGTCTGGATCTTTACCAGGTAAAAGTCATGTCTTTGGGCAAAATTCAGCCAGCACATCGTCCCACTTGGGCCCTAGGAACCGAGGGCGAATTCTCCAAAGGAGAATATCTGCGACGGTGAGAAGAAGCTCTCGCGACTCTGCGAGCCCGCGACACGGCTACCATGCTAAGGTGAGCGTGTACAAGTAGTTATGTCGCAGGGGCAGTGTTGTACCCCGAGGTCGCTGGTTGTGTTAGCTCTAGGGGTCGGTAAGAGGCGCTCGCCGATCCTACGTGAGCCTCACCGTGACGTGTGCCTCCAGCAAATCAGGTGTCCCGGCGTGGCTGAATTCCCCCAGGTCACGAGCCCCAGACACCGACACTTGGGCGGCCCAAACAAAGGATGCGGCATGCATGGCATGGATACCGTGGTGCAGTTACGTAGCCTTGGAGGGAGCAGCCCTATGGCAATGGGGTCGGGTTCGACATCGGACTCCGAGTCTACCAGGATTGGTGCACAATGCTTCCAGGGCAACGGTAGCAAAGCAACCTCGTGTGGAGGTTCCTCTCCGCGAGTGTTGCTTTGTTGTCTTTTTGCAACGACAGCATGCCTCCAGTATTGCCTGGTACCTGGGCTGTCAATTGGGATCCAATGTCGATCGCTGGCAGTCAATCCCAATGTCCGTGGAAAACTCCGTGGGCACCACGTCCGTGTGCGCGGCATTTTCCATGTTCAGGCCTGCACATCCCTGCTACCCCAGACGTGCATCCTTCCGCAATGAGCCAATTTGTGGTGTCGCGCGTGTAGGTGAGCAGGGTCATGAGGCCATCCAGGCCGGGAGAAAACGGGCGGAACCGTGCCCTGGGATCAGGAACAAGGTCTCCTTTAAAAAGGGTGTCAAGGGCCTGGGGTCTTGAAGGAGTGCGTTTGGTGCCCGAGGAGGACGACGCAAGACCCCGTGCGCGAGCTCGAACGATGCGTGTTCGGCCCCGGAAAGACCGAAGCAGCGCGGCGACCTCCCACCCACGGCACTTCGCCTTTATCGAATTTTGTCGAAAAGCGCACACTCCCCTCCACTTCGCGCCTCTCCCTCGGGATTCACTTCCTGTGGAATGTTTCTAGAAACTTGACCAATCGTGGGGCTCCAGCCCAACCTTAAGCTTTGGCACTAGGGCTCTCACCTTGATGGGCAAAATGGGACTCGGCCCCATCTCCTGCCCTAGGTACCTACTTGTACATCATCACCGACACCTACCTAGCACTCAGATCTTCCTACCCTTCTGGATTCCCGGTCGTCCTAGTGTCATGCTCCCCCGGAAGTTGGTGATACCTATTCCTGAGGTGGTGTTCGAGTGCCGGCCACTTGAGCCGCCGGCACTTGGAGTGAAGGAGGGCGAGCAAGCCTCACATGGCCCCAGACCGCGTACCATCTTGCCTCCATCGGAACATAATTATGCGCAGTCGATCTCAAGACTATCACCTAACATCTCTTGATCGATCTCGAGGGTTTTATTCTCCACTCTACGTCTTTTCTGACATGCAGCTCGTTGCGAGCAATATCCTAGAATTGTGCAATCGCTTCTCTGCGTGCCACAAGCAGTATTATTACATATTGCCAGCATCATTGTTTCACTTTGTACCTGCCAACCAAGCTATTCAAGTGCGTAGCGCAGTCAAAGGTCCCCTTTTAAGAGGCAGAATCTTAAATTGCCTCTTCGGGTTTTGGTCGGCGAGTCAGGGGCGTTTCGCACGGTTCAACCGTGGAGAGCTGCCTCGAAGCGCACAGTGTGTCATCAAAGCGCGCTCCCGATCTAAGTCCGCGGCTCGCGGAGTTGGCATAGGTATTACGATATGGTCCCTGTCTGATACGATACAATGGAGATGAGTAAGGCTGAAAAAAAAGGGCTCTCTGCCTGTCATCATTTGAGAGAGGGCAAGGGGACCTGCAGCCTCCAGGGCTGCCACCCATGGCTCCTTGGCACCAACCTTGCTGCCCATGACAAGGCCGCTGTGTACGGTTTAGACTTTAACGGTCTCACCATGGCGTGATAGGCGTGCTACTGAAGGTTGTTCCATGATAGGGTAGGTAGGATGTCGAGAACTGAAACGCGTTGAGGGAGGTGGGAGAGTGTCGCTACTCGGACAGGTCGACCGTATTATTTCGAGGATTATCCGTCAATAAGATTTTATCCATGGCTACGCGACCCCGGCCGGCACTGGCACGATCCGCTTGTGCAAGAGCGGACGGGGCAGAAGTGGCTCAAATTCCCGAGTCGGCGATAACACGCACTAAAGGCTCTCTGGTGAGAACGTAGGCAGGTACTTGACTCGTCCTCAGATCTGAGACAAGCTCAAAGGTACCCGTTTAGCGCTGTGAGCGAACCCCCTTTTGCGCGAGGAGCCTTGCTGGACAACTCGATGTGCTGCGCTGGCCTTGATCCCCTGGGCGCGCGCCTGGAGGGGGGGCGTGCGGCTTACTCGACAACTCTGTTTCGGTCGGGGATGAGATGAAGTCGAGGCCGATGTATCTCCAAGTAGCCCACCGTACCCACAACGGGTTTTAACCCACCAACTTGTCGAGCATGCATGATGGGCCCCTACTAGACAGAATGCTGGGACATGTCATAAAAGATCATGAATTTTTGGTATAAGTCCTCGGGGCGAGGCGAGGCATGTGTGTTTTTTCTTGAATCAGATATATACCGAATGTGGCTGCTCCTCATTCCCCAAAGCTGGTCTTCTCGCGCCCACACATGCCGTATATTTCTTTTGCTGCCTCTTCCTTACTCATCTATCCTATCAAGCCACCAAGCCCAAGCCCAAGCCCAAGCCCAAGCCCAGGCCAAGAGCAATCCTGGTGTGGTGTTCATCTAATTGTACTACTGCTTACACGCTTACACGGACTGTGGGCGAGCCAGACAGCCAGACGAGCCAGCCAGGCAGGCAGGCATCAAGACACTCATACATCATTTTCGTGTGATCGACTCGAATCAAGGTTGTCACACCGTTACACACGAAACTCGAGGCGAACGAGCAAGACAGAAACCTTGAATTGGCGACTTATCACCGCTCTGCTCGCTACCCCTCGCTCTCACCTGCAACCCGTCAGCTTACCAAGGATTCTTGACGCAAGCATTGGCGCAATCCCTTGCCCAATACAGCATACAGTCTCCCCTGGTCCAACGTGGAGGTTCAGGATAGGAACACGCGCGCGCAATCCCATTCCTGGCGCAGCAGTCAGCCAGTCGCAGCAAGAAGCGAGCTAGCTTCCTCAAAAGCATCAGAAGCCCCGATCCCACTGCCCCTCGGACCGGGAGTAGGACTTCGGAGACTTGTTGGTGACCCGTTTCGACAAGCCCCGTCACTTTTCCCTTTCCTGGGTACGGCGAGTTTATCGAGTGGCACCGTTTTGCCCACACCCAAATACGCCAACGAGCCCAGTGCCCCCCTCTAACGTCCTACGCAACTCCACCCGCCTTTTTTTCGAGGCCGCACCGCATTCGCGCACACACGGACATAAGGACACCCCGACCGTTAAAGCCACTATTTCGCAGCGCACCCATCCAGTCTCCAGGGTGCTCAGGGTATCCTCCACAGGGCACTTTAGGGTCTCTGCTAACGCTCGGGACGGCCTAACTCGCGATCCCAAAGGAACCTTGACCCAGCTGGGCGCTGTGTATCACATAATCCCTATGCGCCCTTGACGAAGCAACTTGAACAAGCCTTACTCGTCATTATTAATCTCGACTTCTCTTGGGAGGACCGCTCACACGGGTCGCTCCGCATTTTCTTTTTCTTCTTCTTCATCTGTTTCCTAGACATACCCCCCCTGAAAGCCCCTTGAGGCTTTTAGTTTCCTTTATTGTTCCCTCCTTCATATATACATCCACTCGGGCCCTGTTGTGCTGGCTGTTCCCAGAACCTAGGAAGCTTCCTGTTGCCCCTCGCCCCCGAACTCGACTTACACACACACCGCGCATCGTCGTCCTGCCTCTCCCCCTTTGGATGAACACGGCCGATTACCCATTGCTATTGCCACACACACAGTCAAGCCATGGAAACAAATCTACCTACTCCTCCCCAGGAGGATCAAAAATCGCAGAGCTCGAGGAAAAGCTCGGCGTCGAAGCAGGTCAAGGCAGTACACCGGCCGACTAAGCGGGCGTCCACGACGCACTCGCACCCGCACCCGCACTCACATCCCTCTCCCACCCACGACAGCAATTCCGCCGATGGCCGGCATAAGAGGGTATGGAAGGCCTGTGAGAGGTGTAGAATGAAGAAGACCAAGGTACGCGTGCAATTGTTTTTCTTTTTCTATCTTGTCGGGTGTCTCCTATTCAATTGAGTGTCCACATCACTTACACGGACTTTAGTGTGATGGAGAATTCCCCTGCAAGAGGTGTAAGGATGACGGCCTTGTCTGCACGGCCGGCACCCGAAAGAAGACGGAATACAAGCAAATACCAAAAGGGTATGTAACAATTCTCAAACAAACATCATATGATGTCTACCATCCAGACAATTGACTGACACATGCCTTGTCAGATACGCCGAGGTACTCGAGCACACTCAATTCGCCCTCATCGCGACGGTGCACAAGCTCTACGCCATGGTCCGCAGCGGACAACAATGGGACCTGGGCGAGCCCGAACTGAACGACCGCGGCCAGCCGGTGATTCACAACATCGCCTCCAAGCTGGGGTGCATCCGGCCCAACAGCGACATGGACCTGCCCGTCCACTCGGTCTTCCCCGAGGACGAGGCAGGCCTCGCCGAGCTGGCCCGCCAGCTGGAGTCGCAACAGCCCGAGCAGTCCCCGATCAAGACCGAGGTGGACTGCAGCCGCACCGACCGCGCGAGCTCCTCGGAGCTCGACCACTCCGACTTCGAGCAGGACTACCGCAAGTCCGTCTTCGGCGGCGCCAACAACGGCGGCGCCACGCTGTCGCCGCAGAGCCTCACGTACAGCGACTTCGAGTCCGTGCCCAGCGCCAGCCACCACCACCATCACCAGCAGCAGGGCGGCGAGATGTTCCCGCCCCAGCCCGCGAACGTGCCGACGTCCTTCCCGGCCTGGATGCCCAGCCAGCCCACGGCGATGGACATGAGTCAGCAGTTCATGCAGCCGACCCCTTCGTTTATGAACATGGACCTCCTGAACCAGGGCCTCGTGGAGTCGAGTTTCGGGACCATCAAGCCCCATATCCTGTCGTGCCCGAATCCCGAGGTTATGATGGGCATGGGCGACCCCATGATCTACTCTGGCTACGACGCCGACTCATTACGGATGTGATTTTAAGAGATGGGACTTTTTTTGCTATCAAAAACGGACGACGTTGAAATCAGATGTGTGCGTGTGATGTCTTTTACGACCTGGGTACGAAGATTGGGTTGGGGATCTAGACGGCGCACTTTGGATACCTTCCTTTTTCCTTTTTGACAGGCAGTTTGCGCATTCAAGCGGAGATTCACTGCAAGGCGTTGGTTACGGGGTCCTTTTTGGAGATTCTACTTTTTTTTTTTTTCAACTTTCGCTGGTCCTCCCCCTGTTGTTCGATGGGTGGATGATCCGAATTGGAGTTGTCGGTCACTGGTTCGTGTGTGTGTACGACTACGGCCCGTCGTCCGCGATCTTGCGACGATGACAGGCGACATGGGCCATATGGGGAGCCCGTCGTTGAGCGCTCCCTGCCTACAGAAGTTCTAGACAAATAATACAAACAAACAAACTCCACCCGTCAAAGGTCCATCACGTTCCTATCTAGACTTTTGCCAATCGTCAAGCGCTTTCATTAGTAGGAGCCTAACGGACAGCCCGTCCGTGATAACACGGCGATGTCATCGCCTCCTCCTGTACCCACACAAACAGAACCTTTACATGTAAGAATAACCGACCTCGGCAGCTCCAGTCCAATGAGTCTTTTCTTGCGTCACACACGTCCCCCTTCTCAACGTTACGCATTAGAGTAATCCTGACAAGCCCAAGGCCCCAGCAAAAAAATTCACTTTGCCAGCTTACCATGCCAGGGCAAACACTAATGCTGGCAGTTGTGTAAAAAACGGCATAACGGCATGCCGAGAAATCCTCTGTTTGTCATTACCACAGCGGCGGGCTCCATGGAACGCCGGGTTTTAACTTGCTACATTAGCTCGACTTACGGGCGGGCGAATCAAGGAGTCATGGACCCAACTCGGGGTCTTTTGACAGGGCTTACAGCAGCAATAGCTGAGTAGTACCTAGTGTGAAAGGGGGTTGGGTGGTGGGTAGGTAGGTAGGTAGTGGATGTGTGTGTGTGTGTGTGTCAACGTTGTTGTGTTAGTGAGTGGTGAAAGTATCCGCAGGTACCTCCGTGCAAGGAAGGGCCCGCACGCACGCATCAGCATTGAAAAAGAAAGTGGGATGAACGGAGTCGACCTGTAAATCCGAATATCGTACTGTTTCTTCGATGGTGCCATTGCTTTTGCTGCTATGAAAGGGGAGAGGAAGAAATTGACTGGGGGACCTGGTCCCCTCCGCCCGCTGCCTACGAAAGAGTACGCGCACTCTTGTTCGCATTCGCTCCGCGGGACGAGACGAAAAACGTAGCGATCGAGGCGGTGTCGTCACGCGGGGGGACATTGATCAAATACCAAGATGCTTGGCTCTGGCATGGCATTTGACAGACAGTCTTGGGCGAAGCTAATAAACCATACATGCTTGCTTACCTGATGGAACAACACACGCATCGCACGCACGCACATCACCAGGGGCAGTCCCAAGCGAAGTGTGCACGCCCCCCTCCGATAACTCAGCGGGAAAATGGAGATGCGGATGTACATCCCAGTACCAAGCCCGCATTTTTGACTTTTTTTCTCCGTTTTGTCCACTCTAGGTAATAAACAGGGTCAGAAAGAAAGAAAAATAAAGTGTGTCAGGATCAAATCTGATCTCATCATCAGTTAACAGCTTCCGCCGAGGCTCCTCGGAGGGTCGACGGAGGGATTACATGGATCAGATAAGCCTCCGTCCTGCCCGTTAACGGCGGACGAAATTGGCCCATGGATCGGCGGACCAAAGAACCAGAAGTGTCTGAACTCTTGTTCATGACCTGCACGATATATATGAACGGCAACAACACCCGCAGCACTGCCTGCCGAGCTCATGCAGATTGCATATGCTGCTGTCGCATGCGCTCACCGCAGCTTTGAACCCGTCGCGCGCGCGCGCGAGTTGCCAGGCCTTGCAACGGACGGCCCTTCAGCTTGATCGCGAAACCCGCCGCGGAGACCCAGTTTAATGCGCCTCTGAGGTCTTTATTCTGTCATCCATTTTGCTACATCCTGATCTTTATCGTCCGTCCATCAGATCAGGGATCACGTACTTTTGCGGATCCCCTCATCTGCGGTCGAAACCGTTAACCAGCCATCCCTCTTTCATGGTCTGATTGATGGCTCATCTACCGTCTTAGCTAGTGTGTGGCTGACAACCTTCCGTTCTGCCAGAGCAGCATTGATGGTAGATGGAAAGGGTTGGTTCTAAGGTTCATGTAGAGTCGCATAGGATGATACGACTAATACGATATACCTAAGCCTTTACCTTTAACTAAGTGTGCCTACTGATACGACGGATGCGATCTACGAAGATACGGTCGCTTAACTATCCGAGACTACATGGTACTTTGCTTTTCTCGATGCAGGTAGGTAATGGTCTTCCCAAAAAGAAGCCTTGGCTGACAAGGGCTTGTGGCTTTAACTCAAACCGTTGGTGTGCCTACCCTTGCTGACCCTTGCTAGGCAAGGGACCTCGACTCTGGGGCAGAGGGACGACGCACATCACCTTGATCACCTACCATCCAATTCCTTTCTCGCACACCCTCGCGCCCAAACGGAGACTACTCGCGCCCGAAAGCGTGGAATCCCACGTTTTAGCGGGCGTAAGTCGGGTTTTGAAGAGGTCCGCACGCCGGGACATGGACCCTCTTTTCCTTTCTATCTTTTCTTTTCTTCTCTCGACTGGCGCTTCGCTTGGCAATTGTCGATTCCCGAGCTGAGTGTGGCCCTCTCTATTACCTAGGTTACGGTACCCAGACCCATTTTCTTAAATTTTCCATTTCATTTTTATTTTATTTTACGGAGCGTGTTTGTCCCTCCCATCGTTCAGCCTCATTCGCCGCACTCGTAGGGCAGGCAAGAGGGTGGCCACCTTGCTCCAAGCTCCACCTTGCCGGACGGAGTTCCGTCGCAATGGTGGGAAGCCACATGCCTCGAAAGTACTCCGTACTTGTATCGTAATGCGAGAGGGCCCACAGCGCGGCCGTGATCCGCGGGACCCATCACATTGGCGCCTCTCTGTGTGGGAATGTTGGAGCTACGTCTTATTAAAAACTGACGTGAGGCCTAATGAGCCCAGCCAAAAGATTGCAAGTGAAATGCCAGCCGTGAATGCACGTAGGTCAGATGCAGATGCCTGGCTCCCTTTTAGCTCATCGAGCTCTCGCATTCGGTGTGACTTGGCTTCTAATTTCTCATCGCGCTTTGCTGCCCAAGACGGCCAGCATCATGCGTCGTCAGGATGATCCGCCAATGGATGACTCCTCTTGCGCTAGATACAAGTACTTCGTAGGTACCCAACTCACGCTAGAATGGTAGGGATAGCAACTGGGGTGTCATCAATATCAATCGATAGATGATCATCTGTCACGATAATAAGTTCTCCTCCCCCCCCAAGGTAAGCAGCCTATGATATCAACACACCAAGCAATGTGCAGGAAACCCATCCCAAAAGCGTCCTGTCGCATGAGCTAGCCCTACGGCCAGTCGGAGCAAAACTACCAAGGTGCTTATGATAGGTGGTAGACATACCACCACCACCAACAACACTGCTGATACGGATGCCGTCTGGTCTGGTATGTGCCGTGCCGCCCTCAAGTCGCTGGCCACGTCTGGCTGCGTTCTTGATGCACCCCACTCTGGATGCCAAGCTTTTGAGATGTCGCCCAGCCCTGAGGACCGAACAGAAAAACCCGGGTCCTGCTTGTTAGTGCGCCAATACAAAAAGGAAAAATCCGTTGCACAACTAGCTGGTCCCCCGGCCCCATCGAGGAACCCGGGCGCGTGAACCGAGCAAGGTCCGCGGACACACGCCAAGTGGGATGCCGAGGCTTCGCCCTGGCAGAAAGTGGGAATAGCATCAATCTCAAACTCTGTCCCCATTCCTTCTTTTCATCCTTCTAGCCCTTTCCACACTGGGAAGCGCCCTGACTAAGACCTCTCTCTCTCTTTCAAGGCGGACACATCTCGCACTCCGTCCGCAACTCTTCGGGCCAGCCTCGACGAGTCCCACTCCGAAAAAGCTAGCTTTGCTACGGGTGGTTGCTGGTGCTTTCATTGCATAAGGTAGCTAAATAGATCCCACGGACCAAGCCAGCCCAGAGGTGGGCTCTGCATAACTTTTCTTGATGGCCCATGCCCCCCCGATCTTGCACAAAACCACCGATCCGATGACGAGGTCATCGGGCGACTGCATGCAGGACAGGGGGTTCTTGTCAACAACACACACAAATCTCGTCGAAGAAATATGGGCATATTGCGCGAGAATTGTATGAGATCGCCCGCGCCCCCGCCGCCCGCTTCGCTTCCGAGAAGGAGCGCCGCAGGGCCCCTCCAAACGCCCGAAAGTCCGCCTCGGCGATATCCCACCACTACGTTATCAAAAACGGTGACCGATACGGTGGGAGCGGGACCGAGCATGGCCGAAGCTCAGCGACGTGCGATGCCTTGCGTAGTAGTTCCCTCGCCCTTTTGACCCTCTTCTTCTTTTCCCAGCTGCCAGGCAGGCTGATGGCGGTGACAGCTTGTTCCCACTTGGACTGCCTTTAACTTGGACGAAAGAGGAAAATCAGACAGCTCCTGCGTGCTGACTACATGCGGAAACATGAAGCTTGTCAAGTTCCATACGCGGATAGGACCCCAGGTACCGCCTAGTACTCGGCCATCTCGCCCTTGTCAAAACCCCATCTTAGCGTGCAGGTCAAGACCAAAAAGAAAGAAAGCGAGAGCGAGTACGACCGCGACACAGCCACAGAATGAACGCGTAATACACCTGAGTGGCTTCATTCCCAAGGAGACCTGCCAAGGCCTGCATCTATTGGGATAACAAGCCGGGTCTGCATTGGTGCAATGCGTATGGTTCCCCACGTGCTGCGACGTACGATGGGGAGGAACGTTGGTGGAGAGCTTGGGGAGCTTGGAGACCAGGCGGAGAAAGGCCATGGGTGTTGAGAGAACTGACACTTCGCCACTCTCTTGGGCGCCTTGGCAGGTGATACGCTTGAGTGGTGCGTATGTTTGAGTGAATAGCTGCAAGTGATTACCAGGGCTGCTGGAGCTGGGGGGAAAGGTGAGGCGGTTCCCCATCTTGTTCCCGCCACACCCTGTGCAAAGTTCTCTGTCGTCCGTGGCAGGTCGCATCAAATCCTTCGCGTTCGGAAGCACCTTGATACGATTGGAGAATATGCGCCTCTCCTTTCCCTTGAACGTTTACAAAACCCGAACGCTGTTTGAAGACAACACGACATTTACAAAACCCGAACGCTGTCTGAAGACAACACTAGAGAGTTCGCTCCTGGTGTGATTATGCAAGTTCTAGAACCGGTAGCGGTGCCCTGCGTGCTGAATATCAAACCACTAACAGTAAACAGACTCGGCTTCGGCCTTTTACCATTCAAGGCATTCCCAAGGTTCCTGGGTACTGCATGTATGCAATGTTGACACAACGATGACTATTCCACTTGGAAGTCGTACCTAGCGATGCCTCTCTCTGTCAAAACCATTCATCTCGACAACAGACAGTAGACTCTGATTCTTGTGTTCAAAATCAGGACATTTCCTCATCACACTATGGATCCTACTGTGGAGCTCCATCCGGTTGACAAAGCCATCTACTCGGTCATCTACTGGCTCAAGGCTATCGCAACTTCTGGTCACAGACTCCAAACGTCATGGGGCATCCCCGATCTGATCGGCGCTTTCAGCCCCGAGACAATGCCGGCCTGGCAATGCTTGGAAGCACTCTTGTATATTTTCGTGATAGCCACGTTTGGGGTGATCTTTCCGTTGGCACACATTCTGTTCCCGAGCAAACATCAACAACGGGATCTGTGGAGCGACCGGAGGAGCCTATGGGGTCTCCTCGTTCTGAATTGGGCCGTCTTCTGCCTGGTGAGTCTACTTCCTTAAGAATTCTTGGGCAGGTATCAATCAAGTGACGAACTAATAATCATGGGAGGTAGTATCGTGCCATTGCCATGATCTGGTGTATGGTAATGGCGATAGATAACTGTGGGGGTGGAAAGAACGAGTAGACAACAATGGTGGCGGAATGGACACAAGACAACTCTACAGGAAGGCACTGGAATATGCTATCCTCAGTCGAGATCAAGTCAATTACTCAACATCAGGTTTCCAAGCAACTGCGTCCAATGTGTTCCATGCCTTGATGCACCACAGTTGCCTACTTTGCCTCAATACCCCAGGACTGCCACGTCGTTTCCCTCAAACAGTTCGAGTCTAGATTGGTTCCGGAGTAGGTAGTACTTCGCTCCGTGATGGACTTTCATGCTCGTTCTTTCTCGCAACTCAAGACCTTTCGATGCTGCTAACTTCCCTTGATACTGGATTGCGGGCAGGTATCTCAGTCAATCACCTGTTCCTGCCCAACCTCATACTGAGGCAGGGCTTGGCGCAACTTCCACTCTTCATTCTCGTTCTTACCTCTACTAAATTGTCCAGGGATGAAGGAAACTATGCTTGGTGTTCCCTCTTACCATTGATCAATTCATGATGTCTTTAAAAGACTCACTCTCGTCATGCTGGTGCTTCTCGTCTCTCTTTTTTCTTCTCTATGTCCTCTCAGCCTGGCAATCATGCCTTCAATTCAGAACGTGTACGAGGGCTTAGCTCTTTTGTATCTCTGGGTTGTTTTGCCCGTGCTGCACTATCAAGTTGACCCCTTTCTATGTTGGCGTATCGACAGGGAGGCCCTCGATGATCATCCGGTCGCGCAACGGACCTTTTTGAGAGGGGCAATACACGCGTTCTTTTCAAGTCCAATCGTGTTGTATTACTGGCTCCGTGTGTAGGACCTGGTCCTCTTGGCAGGTCCCGGGCTTGACATCCCCGGCCTGCTGCAAACGTCTCTACTGGGTGTAGGCTCATAGAGTACACCAATTTTTTGTTTTCAATTTTCTCTTCGGAGATGACTCATTTTTTCATTGGACTCGTTGCTTGATGCAATGATCTGAAGAAGAAATATTTTTCTTTGCTGCACATTTCCGTGTCCCGTGCCATAGTTGCATTTTGATGGAGTATGGCCGTTTCCCCTGGCCCTGCATGTTGATGTCTGTTGTTAGGGCAGCTGAATGATAGCGAAAGGAGATCAGGTTGTCTCTTTCTGCATGCGGACCCAAAACTTCACTGCTGTTCCCATCGATGCCTCCGGAGACGCCAAATGAGGATTCGTGGTGATGACTTCAGCCTAGTCTTGCTTGGGAAACGTGGATATAATGCGAATCACTCCGTGCTACAATCCCACGAGTAGTCAAGCGATGCACAGCAGGGCCAAGATGTAGAATGAGAATATCTGGGTAACCCCTTCATCCCATCCTCCAAATCGATGCAGAAGCCCTGGCCTTGAGTCACTAGTTTCTCATTTGATGCAACTACTCTTCGTCACTTGAGATCCAAAGTGAGAACAACGTCAGTGTCAACTCACCTTGGCCTTCACCTAGATCTCACCTTGCAACAACCTTGAAGAGTAGATTCATCACGACTATTTCCCTTTTCTTATTTCCCTTTTGTGCTTTCAAAATCTTTCCCCCGATATCTTCAAGCTTCACTCTTTCTCTCTTTCTCTGCCCATCGTCATCATTCAAACGGCAGGACTTGAGACCAGATCGCCCACTTTCAACGGACATCATCCCCAGGAGTCTTCTTCGTATTCGTTCACCAGGCAGATCCTGGAAGGCAAGGTCAAATCCAGTCCTTCTTTTTAGGAAAATCTTTGGCGCCCCTTCGATTTCAGCTGCTTCTCACGAGCACATCATCCAACATGCCGGGCTTGATATTCTTCGGCTTTCGGCTGGCGACCGAGTTCCTCTTCAAGAAACTGGAGATAACCAACCATCACATGGATCGAGAGGGCATCGATGCCGCGATTCTGGATGAGATGAAGGTTATTTTCAAGGATGAGCTGCTCCTTGCCTTCACCACACAGGAGACGCAAGACTACAGCAGGAGCTTGGAGCATGTCAAATGGGCAGTGGCCGTGAGACTCTGGAACAAACTGGGTGAGTAATTACCGTGCGAGTCGATGGTGAAAACCCAAAGTACTGATAGATATGCATAGTTCCTGGTGCGCCCTCTGCTGCGCCCTGTATCTACCAGGGCCAAGAGCCTTTGGAGAAAATGTCGGCTTCCTATGCTGGGCTGGGTCTCGACTGCTCCATGATATTTCAGATAGTTCAGCAGGACACGCTCGCCCAAGCTCTCGATCTCATCGAACCGGTCCATTCTGGAGTCCAACTTCATCAGCTTCCCGCGCGACAGGCCACACAGCCGCTTGATCCCGTGAGCCCGATCACGATTCGTGAATCCACTCCTCAGATCTCGCCACCGGTGACCCCTGAGAGGCGCCAACCCCTCTCCGCTCGGCCAGTCGCAGCAGCAGTGCCCAGAACTCCGACTGCCGTCCGTCAACTGGCCAGCCCACCGTCCACAATTCCCAGGCGCGCAAGACGCCGAGACGAACTTCGTCACAGGGGCAGACACCACGCCCGGCATCGTGTGATCAAAGCGGTTCACAGGCTTGAGCCAAAAAGCAGTTTGAGACTGCCGTTCAGCTGCAAGCTGGACCTCACCGGCCTCAAAGTCGACAGGTGCTTGCCTGAGGCTGGATGTAAGTCCTGCCACACGAGCCTATCCAAGTTTTCTCGCCAGAGTCGCATCCAGGAGGTCTACAGCGCCCGACGATATGACGATGAAGAGTCTGAGGACGAGTCCAGCACTTCTCTCCTGAAAGAATGTCCATGGATCCAGTACTTTGGTGGCCAGATCCCTTCATATCAAGGACACTCCGTCGGCGAGATCCCCTGGCCTCTGAACGCTGCCGGACCTCGTCTTTACTGCAAAGAAGCGCTTTGGCAGGAGGTCATCAAGACACTCGGCTTCGACTTCATGGTGAAGCAAGACCCCAGCCACCCGCACACGGCTCCAACCTCCATTTTGCTCGTCGAGACCAAAGAGGCCGGCTACACCCGAGCCGACAAGTGGTGCGCTATGGCGTTCATCCAACGCCTCGCTGCGGAGATTATCGAGCGCCCCGGCGCCGTCGCTCACTGGGATGTTGCCGAGGACGTGCTGTATGACAGACTGTTCATGAGCTGGGAGACTATCAAGGAGGAGGTGGTTGGAACCATCCAGGCTTACAACGGTGATCGTGCCGAAGGATCCATGGTGGAGTCTGATTCTGACTGAGTGGTCAGTTCTATGGAAGGGTTGGTCTGTGGAGGACCACGTTGGCGGAAGTCGTGCAACAAAGTGTTATCATGCTTGGAACTTGTATCGCGAGGGGAGTCTGCATTTTGTCAAGGTTTGCTACAATCAGACTAACTACGGCAGCTTATTCGACGTTTCTCCTGGCCTGGGTAGGTATCCTGGTGTCTTCACCCTGGAACGGAGGGTCATCTAATATTAGGGGGTGGTGAAGATCGCTTGCTTTGATACTGCGATGTTTACAGTACCTAGTCAAAGTTGCTTAGAAGTACCTAATGAAAAGAATACCACAGCTGTTTTGTCATTGGAAATGCATCCATTGGGACAGCAATATGGCTCGTAGTGCCCGTAACAGGTTCCGTACAGAGAACGAGATTCGGGAGGAAGGAGCGGCACGGCACATGGGGGAATTGCGTTGGCAAGTACGGATGTGTCAGGACAGTGCAACAACTTCGAGAGCGGTGAGGAGTTGGAAAGCCCTCCTGATATTCAACAAAGCCGATTTGAACCTGTCTGGCGCCGCTTGTCCCCCTCTTCCTCTTGATCTCCACTTGGTATCACAATCTCTCAAAGGTCATTATCCCGGTCCAAAAAACCAGTTCCAAAAAAGAAAGAGAAAAAGGAAAAAGAGAAGAAAGTCGTAATCCCTGCCCTTGAAGATTTCGTGACCAAGCCAACCGAGACTGTCCTTCAGCAAGCAAGCACAACTATGTTCTCGAGTCGAACAGAAAAACACCGTCAACAAGCTAAACTAACTAGTGAGCATTCCAAGGTATCTCTAAACGGCCGAATCAAACTTTTGCCACTTTCAACGCCTTGAGGAAGAGATTCTCTCGACCCTCCGCACGTCATCGGGCATACGCGTGATGCACAACTCCCTACAGAACTCGCCCCAGCCCGAACCACTGGTTGCATCCCGGACTGCCTCTTGCAGGTCTTTGCCGTACCGCTCGCGGTACGCGGCCTTGATAGCAGCCATGTGGTGGCCATCCCAATGGAAGCGAATGAGCCGCGAGATGAGGAGCTCTCGGCGGAGCTCGTCTCGCTTGGAGGCCGTCACAGCATGATGCAGCAACAGCGCATCTCGCACTGGCTTGTTGATGACGCCGTTGAGAATGTGCGCCAGCAGCTCGCCCTGTCCACATTGATCAGCGCGAGGGTACACCTGAGACGGAGGGTCACAATACTTACAACAAGGTTGCCGCTTTTCTTGAGGGCATCTCTGGCAAAGTTGGAACCGTAATCGGCATTGTACAGCTTGAGCACCTCGCGGAGGTGGCTGTCACTCCGTTGCACAACAATGTTAATCATGGCAGACTCGCCGCCTTTCTCCGCCTTGACGGCTTTTCGCAACGTGCGAACGTCGTCTTCGATCAACCGACCGTCTAGTGGTAGCGGACGGCCATATCGGTCCATATCCTCCATGCGCTGCTCATCAAGGACAAGCAGTACCGCTCGCTTGAACTTGTCTTCTTTCAGCTCCGTCTTCATACACTTGGTCAGACTGTTGTCGTACTTCTTGTCGCTGAACCCATCTTTGATCATACGGATCTCATCGTTACTGCGTCCCATGAGTGACTCGATGAGTAGCTCACGCCGAGTTTTGTCTCCCTGGTACCAGAAATTGGCCCAGTACGCCTCACTCTCCCACTTGCCCAGAGCTGTGGCATAGCATGCCTTCATTAGGTTCGGGTCCTCATCCTTGAGCCGTGCTCGGATGTGCTTGGCAATGTTCACGCCCTTGCGGTCTGGTCCAGTCTTGACCAGACGTTTGTATTCGGTCCTCAGCTCCATGACTTGCTCGTGGGTGAGTCCAGGCAGGATCTCGATGAGTGGCTGAGTATCGGGGCGGTCATGGCCCTTGAGCGCTTTGGCCAGGCGAGAGGCGTCGTCCTCGGGGTCGGTGAATCGTGCCCGTCGTCGCTGTTTCTTCCCGCCGGATCGCTCATCTTCGGAACCTACAGGAGATACATCCAGAATATGACTGTCTCCAGGACCGCCGCCAGCCTGCGACGGGAGAAGCATGGGTGATGGCATGGGTGACATGGACTGATAGGTGCCATGGTACGATTCGAGCAAAGGCGAGGCTGGCGCGGCTGAGAGCGAGAGGGTCCGTCCGTGGCCTTGTCCAGTGTTAACTGACAGCGACGACATGCGGGCCACTGGCGGCTGAGGGGATCTGTCGCGGGCCATCGGCGGTTGAGGAGACCTGTCGCGACCCATTGGCGGTTGAGGAGACTTGTCACGGCGTCGGCTGCTCGCGCCAGGCTCGACGGTTACCAGGCTAGCGGAGCTCTCCCGGCCATCGCCAGCGTACGAGTTGCGATACTGCTTCTCCCTAGCGCCCGGACCAGGGCTAGGCGAGCGCCCTCGACCAGAAGACCGAGGCTCTACGCCGAGGCTGTCCCGGGATGGGCGGTAGCTTGCATGTTCCTCAGTCTTGGCATACTCCCATGGCTTGGGTTGCGCGTAAGAGTAACTTGAAGACGGTTCCTCGGGTCTCGAGTATTTGCTGGATGGGGCTTCTTCAGGTCTCGAGTATCTCGATGGAGGAGACTCTGGTCGCGAGGACTTGTTCGATGGCGGAGGACCACTTCCATAGGCAAGGTCTTCCTCATATCTCTCCTTCCGGCTCCGCTCTTTGTCCCGGGGACGATCGCGCTCTCGGTCCGAGTCGCGCGCCGGATCAGTCTTCTTCGCATACTTCTGTGGCAGGAAAGAGAGTCTGTCTTGGTCTAGCACCTTGTCGCGCGGGCTATCACTCGCCCTCTCGTACCGATATTCCTTGTCTCGCCGGCCGTCGCTGTACTTGACATCGACCGTTTCACGCGATCGGCGGTAGGAAGAGTCATCAACCGGTGAACGGGGAGGTTGGTCGTAGGAGCTGTATCGATCCTCGCGAGGCTCGTAGTCATACGCGCGGGGCCCGGGAGCCATTGCGTCCTCTTCCGGGTACGGTGTCGCATCCACAACATTGGGAGGGTTGCGGCTGCGACTGCGCTCGCGCTCCCGGCCGGATGGGGAGCGGGAGCGCCCGCGACGGCCACCATCGTCGACCTGGAGAGACATGGTGGGGTTTGTTCGCGGGGAGCTTTAGAGCTGCTCGCTTGGCGCACGAAAGCTAGAGGAGACTCCCCCACCTTATTTCGGGCAGCAGTGCGAATGGGTGAGGCCGAAATAGTGCCCTTGGGGTCGGTCAACAGATGCGCTTGGAAGACGTCTACGTTTCAATTGTGCACTTGTCGAGAGGAGAGGGAGCCTTGTCCCCAGGGGAGAGCCGTTGCTCGGGCTTTAGTAGTGGCAGGAAGTGACCTGCGAAGCTGAACGTGGTTAGTGACTAAGGTGGGCGCCCTGCATAGGGTGATGAAACGAAGCCCCGCCCTCATGCTGATCCTGTCCCGGAGCAGTACCGTGATTCGCAGAGGAAAGGTGCAGGAGTGTCGAGGCTGCGCACAGCAGCCAATGGAGGCGCAGCTGGCAGCTTGCCCCTGCTCGACCACTTACGGTGCTCTGCCGGCCCCGAAGCACCACGGCCACTCCGGAGAAGCAAGCATCGGACGTCATGACGGAGCTCGGCCTGCATCTTCACTATCGCAGCATGCGGGGCATTCGTCTGTGCCATGACAGTCCGTTGTGGGGTTTCGGACAGGCCGCTGCTCATGGCAACCCAGCACGAGACCATATAGGATGCAAAGCAGACTGACGTGCAGCTGTTAGCTGCCGTACATGCCGAGTCATCACAGATACTATGACTGGCGGACCTGACAGCAAGACGTCACCCCGGATATTGCGAATATTAACCATGAATCGGCCAGGTCAACTGTGCGTGGTCTCAACCTTAGCATATCGGTTTCACACTAGACCATCACTCTCGTGGTTCTGTGCCATGGCTCTACTGGCTTGTCACCTAGCCAATGCTTCCAGACAAGGGCGGTTCGTCCCATCCCGACAGCCAAGCCCATGGAGGCCGAGCAACGGCTCTCGGCGTGCCGTCCATGTCTATCTTGCATCAAGTGGAGTTTCAATGACGATGGAAGCCTGACTTTTCAACGCTCCTTCGGGACGTGGGCATAAAGTTCAATTTATCTGGTTTCTATGAGATGTCGACGCATCTCGGCCAAGTACTGGCTGTCCATATGGAGTATCTCTCTCCCGGCTTTCGAAGGCTCGCTACTATCTGGCCGGTGCCACAATTCGGATATAATTTCCAAGATCGCTGTCGTTTCCTGACTAAAACAAAAACCCAAACGCCATTCCGATGCGAGAATCAGTCAAAGCAAGCCCGCTCAACGAATCATACAACATCCTGAGGTCGCAATATGTGTTATTGCGTCGCTTCGAGAGTCGATGAAGCTTTTATGGAGAGTGCACGCTTCTCGATGACGGCCGACTCCTCGGTATCCAGTCGAATCTGGCCCTGACGGTGGCGGCCAAAGAGACACCTTCCGCTGTAAGGAGAGTTAGCTTCAGGTTTATTCGAACAACCACGGTCCTAGCCTCACTCACCTTTCGCGCATGGCATCCCAAGTTTCGACCAGGAGAATGACAACAACAAAGAGAACCACGGAGCCAATGACGATCATGTCGTTTCGTTGGTGGGTGAGACGGTAACACGGGACCTTGCCAAGCTTCTGAACCACGCTCTGCCTGACGCCGACCTCCATCTGGGCAATACTCGAGTGTCGGACGGCATCAACGGCTTCTTTCGGGATGTCTGCTGCATCAATGATGACGAAAATATCGTCCTCGGGGTCCTTTGCCGGAGTTGGCTGTTGTTTGCGATAGTTGTGTCCCGTCAGGGACATCAGGTACGACGTGACTACCGGCCTGTCCGCGGCCAAGACTTCTGAAGGGTCGTCGGTGCTCGAAGGACGCACTGGCCGGTTGTCGATGGAGATCTCCTCGGCGGGCCGCCGCTGCTGAACGGTGTCTTGGCCTGGTCTGACGGGCGCGGGCGGATGTGCGCCCAGACTGTGCATCGACTGGTCCTCCGAAACATCACCGTTTTCCACCATGAGGACCGGTGCGCCCAGGGCCATGCAGGCCAAGCCTGACACAGCGAGCGTAACGCTGCACCTCATCGCTGCTAAAGTCTGCCGTCGGCCTGATCAGAGTTCGCTGTGGAAAGGAGAGTCTCAGTCCAAGCGACGAGGTCGACTTTGGCCGACTTTGGCCGACAATAGGTCCACGGGATGAGGAGGTCGCAACAGACAGCGTGGAGAGGATAAATTCCCCCTCTTATCCACACCAAGGGTCCTGGGGCGCGATGCTGGGGATTTTAATCTATTTTTGCCGACCCAGTCGAACCCTTCCCTACTCGGTTTCCGGGTGTTCCACGTCGGGGATGGGTGTTATCATGCGGTGTATCCTGCAGGTTGTATACGACCGGCTTGCCAGAAACGGCGAATGAGAATGGAGGGGCCTTGAAAGTATATATGAAGCCGGCAAATGCACGAGTTGGGTGCTCTCTGGATGGCCGAGATTTAAGATTTTCAAGGTCCCAGCAACCTGCCGTCTAGGTTTCGTTCCTCGGAGAGACTTTCAACGAGAGTTGCACGAGGCCGCAGAAAAGCCAAAAGTCGACAGAAGGAGAATGACCACGAGTGAAGGCCGGCCTGGGTGGTCAGAGCTGTATGATATGATATGAAAGGAAAAGAAGTGAATCACTGGCAGGGCGTGTAAGTGGTGGTTATACTAATAAGAGACACAAAAACGGGCAAGCGTTCAGCTTTTCAGCTCATGGGGGGGGGGACGGCCGCCGCAAGCTCGAGTTATTATATCAGACTTGCTCTAGACCCAGGGTCCGGAAATGCACCAAACGACTCAAGGCATGAGCACACAAGGTACGAGCAGGTGTGGTGCGCCTTTTTGGGCCCATGAAGTATGAGTGATCTGCCGGACGGTACCAGCGCTGGGGGGGGAGGATCAATAGATCCAGCATGGGCAAGGGGCCAGAGAGTGGATTGCTCGACCCAAGTCCCAATCCACACATCTCCACCGACAACCGTGTCGTGTAGTGGAGTGGAAACACACACTCTGGCCGGGCCCTACTGCAAGACTTGCAACGCCTGTTCCAGATGCTAAAATCGACCGAGCCCGCTAGACTGGCGCGTGCCTCGATGCCAACATCGGTCAAGCCTGGGGTACGATGGTGTACTTTCTACTGGTCCGTCGAATTGCGCCAAAATCCTTGAATTTACAAGTACGAGAGGGTGGGAGGAGGCAGACTACCTGGCCAAAGGCTCCCCGTCATCGTCAACATCAAGAGGTACCTACCTGATGAACGAGTCGAGTGTCTCAATGCTCAATGCGGTGGCGCGCGTGTCGGACTCTCGGAGGACACAATTGAGATTTATTAATCCTCATGCCTCTCTGGCACCTCGCTAGAGCAAAGCGGGAAGTGTCACAGCTCCCCTCCGAACTGACTTGTTTCTCTTTTGCAGTGACCGAATTTGGGTTCTCGAGTGAGACAGAGTACTCCGTACCTTGCCTCCACTGGCTTCCCTGGTCAGTGGGGGAGAGAGAGAGAGAGAGAGAGAGCGGGGACTCACACAAACTGATCAGCGCCCCAGCGGCTGTCTGGATTAGGTATCCTAAACCCCCCAAAACGTGCTGGCGGCAGAGAGGATGACAGGCCCAGAACCCAATGCCAAGAGAGGCCGGCCGCTGGCCTCTTGCTACCCGGCCAATAGCTCCAACCTCCAGCAGGGCTCGAGACAGCCTTTTGGGAACCGAGCAGGTCTTGGCAGGCGTGCGTAGTGCATGCGAGGGGCGCATGGGGGGGAGGGATGGATGGATGTACATGGTGGAGAGGGAAAGGGAGATCAATCAAGCTTCTGGCGTTGTGCAGGTCCGGGAGGCAGCCTGCATTTTGGGGGCCGGTTTATTACATCAAGACCATCAAGATCTTTTCTTTCCCTGCGCGCGCGCAAAGAGAAAGAATGCAGTCGTCCAGCGTTCGACAGACACAGGAGCAGAGCATAAAGAAGAGAACTGTACGGAAGCGAGGTGCTTGAGGATTGCAATTGGTCTCATCGTATATTTCATGCTCGGGAGGGGAGTATCCACTGGCAGTTATTCTGTTGCCTAACTGGTACCTACCCCAGGAGTAATGCACATGTTTCGCTCGGCCATACGCTGTACGGAGTACCAAGGTTAGGTAGGTAAGGTACCTGGAGTCGGATGCGACTCCGAAAAAGCAGAAAAAGCTTGGTGTCTTGGATCCTTGGACGGAGGGGAATGGACGACCAGGCTGGGCACAATTTCGATGCTGATGCTTTGTACTCCGCAGACTACCTACCCTTTGACGCGGATCGGATATCAAAGAATGCTCTCTGCCTGGGGTGATTTAATCCCATCTCACGGCTCTAATTTAATAAGAGAGTCGGACGATGCTTTAGGTAAAGTACCGTAAGCCTTCGCGCCAGAGTTGGCTAAGAAGAGGGAGAGGGGCCGCAAGTGGCGCTTGATGCAGCGCTGAGCAGGGTCGAAACTAGCCGGGATCATGGCCCAGCTGGGAAGAGCTGCCGCCGCCAGCGACGTTCTACTTGTAGTTGCAGCCCTGTCGGATGCAAATTGCATTACTTGTAGTTAGGTCATATCCGAGAAGTGACCATCGAATGAATGTTCTGCTTCCCGTGCAACTAGGTAGGTAACTCGGGGTAGGTACAAGTAGGTAGACAGGGTCCGGCCAGAACAGATATCACGCCTTGTTCCTTTCTCTCCAGAATGTGATGTAATTCCAAAATGATTTCAACAGGGCCTTTTCCCAGCAATGCACGTCAAAAGGGGGGGGAGGAGGAGGAAGATACCGGTAAGGGTCAAGCATTCCCGCGACCCGCGGCGAACGAGTACGGGCACACACGCCCTCTGCCCTGCCGGGACCGCCAAGCAACCATCCATCCGTATGTCTGAAGATAAAATTCGAGGTGGTACAGGAAGGATGCAATTTGCTCCAACATGCAGTTCGATTTGCACAGCCCCCCCTCTTCCTCCGGGTGAGAAAAGCCAAGACTTTTTTTTTTTTATCATGTAAGCGGATCTGCGCGTGTCTCCATTCCGTCTGTGTGCATGGGCCTGCCACCTGTCGATGTTCCCTCGAGGTGACATCCAATGGATTCTCATTCATGGATGCTGTTTCTACGCTGTGCGACAGCCATACAAGTAGACAGCCCTGATCAATTGACTGCAAGGGAGCTCGTCAGTGGAGGCCACAGCACTCGCCGCCTGCCCACCCATTCTCCGCCGTTCCTCCTCTCCTGCCAAGGTATGGCTGGCCGAGTCGTACAGACAGGGATCTGGCCCAGACAGGTCTGGAATGTCTTGGCAAATTGTAGCCTGCCCCGTGCTCCAGGGACCCTCTGTTCCCCGTTTTTCCATACTTTAGGCCTGCCAGAATGCAGTACAAGTACTCTGTAACTACAGTTAACTCCAGTAATTCCCGTCACATTCGAGACGCCCGGGCTCGGTCTGACATGGCGCCTCTCTGCACGCCCGTCATCTCGTATTGCAAGTCATTCTTAATATAAGTGCGGTATTCCTGATCAGCAGGGGCTCGCGAGTCGAGGTCTACCACACCCCTTATCGCATATGTGGACTGGGCTTGATCGTCATTGCTCTCTCCCCATGCTTCATCAACCGTTACTCGGCTTCTGCCGGTGCTCGATCGATCTTGTCCCAAAGAGGAGAGGGTAAGGCTACTTCTCTGGACTACCTCTTCCTGGCGACCGACGAAGAGGGCAATGGCACACGAGACCACGCACGCCCGTTGCGAATGCGCCGAAAGGCCAAGCAGGCAGAAGCAATATCTTCTCATCACCGCCGCCGCCGCTAGGTAGGACACTCAGCACAGCAAAGCAGTTCGGTTCGTCAACGATACCTACCTGCCATGACGCCGACCAGACCATCTACAAGCATTTGCGTTGGACCGAGCCGAGCAGCAGCCGCAAGAACTTGTGACACTGCCCCTGGTTCCGTGGCTTGCGTGGTTGCTTTTCCATCCTGCAAGTGTCACCACCCGCACTTTGATGCCTTCTCGTCGCTGTCTCGCAACGGAATGTTCTGCCGATTCGGCTATCCTTAAAATAGAAAACAATATGTCAAGTCGTACCTAGGTAGCAAACCTTCTCGAGCAGAGCACGTATCTCCAACCGCTGCTGAGACGCGGGATCGTCGCCTGTCAATCGCGTAAAAAGCCCGCAATGCATTCCAGCGCAATCCGAGGTTCTCCCCAGCCTAACATTTGTAGAGATGAAACATGCCTTCGCTGGCACAGGCAGTTAGATCAATACCTTGGGTAGGAGTCCTGGTCATGGCCGAAACTCAGACGATCGACTCAAGGACCGGCCGAGGTCTGTCCTTCCCGCCGTTCATGCCATGTGCTGGTTTGGGAAGCCGTCTCGTCAAGACTTGCTCTTGAGACAGCGCACATTTGTTTCTCGGGTTGCTAAGAATATCTCGGGCTGTCAATGTCGGTCGATGTGTGGGGAAGAGCATGGCATCTTCTCAAAACAAGAAACAGTTTCAGCATGCCAAGAGGACTGTTCACCGTCTCTGACGAGAAGAGAAGGATAGCCCGAGGGAGGCAAGGCATTCCAAATGGATCTGCTGTTACAGAACAGCTGCATCCATGAATGCTTGCAGTCAGAGCTTGGAAAGCGAAACAAAAGAAAAGCCCAGAAAAAGCTTAGCATGCGCCCCTACCTAGAGCTAGCACCTGCAAAGCCGTGCCGACTTCCAGCTGGCCCGTGCGTGCGGTGTTGGCGGCTCCTTACAGGGGTTCTGATGTACCTAGCGCATATGTCTCACCATGCTAGACTCTTCAGTGCCGCAATTCCGCCCATTCTGCTGAACCGGCCCACGTAGCAACAAGTTCAAACCGACGACCACACACAGCCGCGGTCCGCGCCGACAAGTGAACGAAGAAGAAGCCTCTAGCTCTCACGCGCGCGCGCGCCAGCAGAGGCCCGAGCAGGCAGGACATGCCCATTGCGCAGTGACATGGCCTCCGCCGCCCCGGGCCCCCAGCGCCAGTCCCCGTCCCCGTCCCCGACCCCGTCCGCCGACCTCGAGGCCCCCTTCCCGCCGCCGGCGCGGGCATCCACCCTGCCCGTCTCCATCGACGGCCCGCGCGCCGCCGCGCCCTCCCACCTCTCGCCCGATGCCGCCTTCTACCCCAACACCTCGCCGCCCCGGCGCCTGGCCGGCTACGACAACGGCGAGGTCTCGGGCAACGAGCTGAGGTCCTCCCGCCGCATGCACTACAAGGCCCCGGGGGACCGGAGCAGGAGCCGGCGGCGCAGGAGGGCGTGGAAGAAGCTGCTCTGGGTCAAACAGACGTGTACGCAATGAACAATTCCCGGGGGTGTGGTGTGGTGTGGGTGGCGCAATGTGGCAGCATAACACGGGCCGCTGACATTTACCCCGTTCTCTTATTAACACACAAAACTACAGATCCGGACAACTACACAGACCAGGCCACCTTTCTCGAGAACCTGCAGCGGAACCCGCGCCTGCAGCCGTACGAGTTCTGGCCCCTGGTCGCCGACTTCACCGTCATCGTGCAGCACGTCTGCTCCGTCATCATCTTCGTCGTGTGCTTCGTCGGCATCTTCCAGGAGCGCGTGAGCCCCGTCGCCGTGGTGGGGCTCGGCAGCCTCGCGACCTTCCTCGGCTGGCTCCTCTGGGACTGGTGGGTGATGCAGGAGACGGACGACGAGGACGCCGCCCCGGGGGGGCTCGCCCACGCGAGGAGCCTCAGCGGGAGGCAGTTCCGGCCGCAGAGGGTGCTGACCGGGCCCGCCGGCGGCGGCGGCTACGACGACACCACCACCACCCGCGACACCAACTCGCCCCTGACGGCCAACAGCAGCGTGTCGAACCTGCCCTCGGCCATGAGCTCCGCGTCCAACCTGCACGCGGCCCTCCGGCCGGCCCTGCCCAAGAGCGTCAGCACCACGAGCCTCACGGCGCCGAGGTATGTGCAGTCGGCGTCGGCCACCTCGCTCAACTCGTCCACGTCGCGCCTCAGCGGCTCCCGCTTCAACGCCAGCGGCTCCGGGACCCCCACCGCCGCCGCCGCCACCGCCGCCGACCACCCCACCTCTACGGAACTCCGGCACCACCACCACCGGCCCTCGTCCCCCCTGCGCACGGAGCGCGCGCACCTGCGCCTCGGCACCATCAAGTCGGCCGTGCTCATCTACTTCACGCTGCTGGGCCTGTCGCCGATCCTCAAGTCGCTGACGCGCTCGACCTCGTCGGACAGCATCTGGGCCATGTCCTTCTGGCTGCTGGCCGTCAACATCTTCTTCTTCGACTACTCGGGCGACTGGGGCGGCGTGCGCCGCTTCCCCGTCGCCTCGCTGTCCACCAACGCCGCGCTCATGGCCTCGACCGTGCTCGCGAGCCGCCTGCCCTCCACGGGCCAGGTCTTCAGCCTCACGCTGTTCAGCATCGAGGTCTTTGGCCTGGCGCCCGTGTTCCGCCGCTACGCGCGCCACCGCTCCTGGCGCTTCCACGTCGTGCTCACGGTGCTGCTGGTGCTCGGCGCGGGGGGCGGCGCCGGCATGATCCTGACCAGGCCCTCGGTAGGGGCGGGGGCGGGGGCGGGCAGGTGGTGGCCCGTCTGCCGCGGCGGGCTGCTGGGCATGGTGGTCGGGTGCGCCATGGCGGCGCTGGCGATGGGCGGGTGCAGCTGGTGGCTCATCGGCCTGCAGAAGTACAAGAACGAGATCTACGGGCCGTGGGACCCGGCGAGGCCGATTATTATCAGTAGGCGGCACTGGGATGAGTGAGTGGTTTTTGGTTGGTGTGTGTGTGTGTGTGTTTGATTTGGTTTGGTTTGGCTTGTTTGTGGTATGTTTTGGGAGAGTGTGTTTTATAGATGGATAGATAGATAGATGTAGATTTATGGTCGTCGTTGGTTGTCGAGTAGATGTCGAGTAGAGAGCTACCTACCTAGGTATGATGTAGACTACAATCTGTGTAATGAGTGTAATTCTCCAGCTAACTCTATCTTGATCTCTTGACACTCAAGCCCGGATGGGTTTCCAAAGTTCTATGCCGAACAACAAGGACCTGAAGAATTGAATCCTCAGAACCAGAACCAGAGCGTTTCTTGTCTCCTTGCACCCACGGTTCGTTTTGGCTAAAGATAGACATGAAGTCATCCTCGCCGTTAGAAGTGGACTGATCTCTTATAAAGCGGGGATGGCACCCCCCCCCCCCCCCCCCCCCCCCCCCCCCCCCCCCCCCCCCCCCCCCCCCCC